AGGAAAGGGGCTATCGTTTGGAAGGGCACCCATCTCCGTGTCCAGATATCGTCAGAGCATGGCCGGAAGTCTCTTGGGAGATCATCGTTCGTCGTCGTCATACGCGACCCGCTCTGTCTTCAACGTCGAATCGGAGTAGATCTAGTGGTGACGTTGATTGGACGGGCTGGGCCCTCGGAAACAAGGGCCTTCTTGGCCGAATGCTGACGGGACTTTATACTTTTTTTTTACTGTTCTTGCTTTATTTCTTCTGCTTTCGATGGTTTGCCGAGAGAGGAAGATCTTGTCACTGACTTGTGACGGCGGGCAATACTGAACGCCCGCCGTCGTATGAAAGCATCATTTCTAGCAAGCTAACCCCCATCGTTAGGTGAAGGCATCATCTTCTCTTACATCAGGAACTTGCTTTGCCTCTTGAGAACAGGCTTTCTCAATTGGGAAAGTGTGATCCAGGGGCCCTCTATGTATATCTATAGATATATATATATATATATATATGTAGATAAAGAGAGACAGATAGACAAAGATTAGGGAGGGAGATGGGGGAGAGGTTGAATACGTGCACTTGCAGAGAGAGAGGGGTCCAAGGGGAATTATTGAGGATGGGGTAGGAGTGGTGGGCCAAGAGTGGCAGCCGACAAGCGTGGAGGTTGTCCTGTCCAGTCTCCCCTCCGTGGTTGTAAGATCACTGGCTCTTTAAGTCAGTCCTGTGGGTCTCCCCCCTACGGAGTGCGAAGAGAGATGAGGATGCCGACCCTAATTGGCAACAACTGTCTCATTCAATAAAATAAAAGCACAAGAGAGAAACCCACTCCTGCGTCTCTCTCTCTCCCCCTCCCTCCCTTCCTCTCTCTCTCTCTCTCTCCTCCTCCCTCTATCTGTCTATGTATCATCGTCTGCATATTCTATCTCTTGCGCTCGGGTTGCGTTCGAGCATTGAAAGCACGAGTCGTACCACCGGTCATTGAGAATTCACCGTGGTTCTTAATGAAGACGGAGGGACACCAGCCGGCAGGTACGAATTTCTCACGCAGGGGACACATCCTCCATATCTTATGTCGCATATCCTGTTCTATCTTTTTTCAGGCACGGCCACCTTAATTTTAAAATATATTGTAAGATTCTATGTTCCGATCAGCCTGTAACCCGCCTTGACCCGTTTTTTTCACGACGCACATAAAATCCGGGGTAACATTTCGATCTTGACATTATCCCCCACATGGTAACTCAACTCTGGCTCTCTCTCTCTCTCTCTCTCGCTCTCTCTGTGTCTCTGTCTCTGTCTCTCTCTCGGTAGCGCATACGGAAGGAGTGGATGGGCCTGTCCACATCGGGGCCCGGGCTTCACATGAGCTCTGTCGAGAAGATGTTTTTCAGGCCTCTCTGCATCATAAAGCTGAGACCAGACCTTGTCGAAGCCCCTGAACGACTTTAAACCAACGCTGTATCTGATATCTCTCTATGCTTCCGCTCTCATGTGGAATCCCCACCGGTCAGTACGTAACTCAGGGTCTCTTACACGCTAATACCCCGTAGGCTCCTTTATTTAAGGGCTGTTTCAGTGGATCCACCCTCCACTCGCAGATGATGAACTGGGCTCCCTGCGGCTGACAACCCAACCGTTGGCTATATAGATTAAAGTTGGGCAAAAGGCTTAGCTTACTCGGAAGCCGTCACCTGGCTCTCAATCTAAATGGACCCTACCACAATCTGCACAGCCGTCCATTTGTTCCTCTCTTACCACATCAATGAATGGTGGGGCCGGGGAGGGGCAAAGAGAGAGAGAGAGAGAGAGAGAGTGGATGGTAGTCTTGATTGTCCATTTTGGAAGGGTTAAAGAGCCCTTGTGAATGGGACTTTTAGTATAAAAATAAAAAAACATAGATACTTAGCTGAATTCGGACAACTTCATACTCTGTACAAGAAAGAACCCTCATGAGTAGGACTTTTAGCATGAAAATAAAAAACATTGATACTTGGCGGAATTCCGACAACTTCATACTCTGAACAAGAAAGAACCCTCATGAATGGGTGAGGCTGGCTTCAGATCGTTCATTAATTTCCCAGTTTAGACACGAGGATGCGCCTACAACTTCATACTCTGTACAGGAAAGAACCCTCATGAATGGGTGAGGCTGGCTTCAGATCGTTAGTTAATTTTCCAGTTTAGACACGAGGATGCGCCTTCAACTTCATACTCTGTACAAGAATCGGATGAATCAAAATTGATCCGGAAGCCCATGAATTCACCTCGAGTGGGGGGGCTTTTATTCCGGCTCAGCCAATTTTCGAGAGGGATGATGGGCCCATCCAGCCCCTCTGCCTCTGCTCACGAGAGAGAGAGGTTGCACGTGATGATCACAAGATTGACGAAACAGGCTCCAAATTGGGGCTGGGCAAAGTTCATTTTTTTAATTTGCCCTTGATTTAAAGGTCCAAATCCGGAAATCCCGAGCTGAACCCGGCCATGGGCCTGTAGCTCCATTGAGACTCCTAACAGCGCGATAGTTTAAAATAATCTAACATGACTTTCATAGGTAGGTCAGGCCGACATATAAAATTTCCCGCAAGGATGGGACCAGAAGCCACGAGCTGTGGTAGGGACTAGAAGCTATCAGAAAAGCAGAAGGGACATTAAAAAATTATAAATAAATATACTGTTAATTGAGGAACCCAGAAGAAAAGGGTCCCAGTGATGTGACCTTTTTTTAATCGTGAAGGGGCCCAGTGAGGAATAATCTGTCTGAATCAAATTAAATAAATGTACTACTCCGGAGTAAATAGCTACAGAGGGTCTGCACATGACAGTCTTCGCTGGCTACAGCGCATTCCCTCCCTCAGAAGCATGAACAGGAGAAAACAGAGCAAGCATGCGGATGATCAGAGGGAAAATTTGTAGGTTATGAATTTAATTGAAGGATCATTTATTGCTTCACAACCCATTTCCCTCAATTTTCTGATTCAGCCGAATGCTGCTGCATCTTCCTATTATTATATCCACGAGATCCGAGGTTGCAGCAGTTTGGAAACGCGGATCTGAGAGATTGGAAGCGACCCCCAACTGGTTAGGGGGTGTCTGAAAAGGGCAAAATATATTAATGATTTAAAACATTGGAACGTGGACTGACGAATGCACAGACGGATGGAACCTCCACGCAGAGAATTCTTAAACTAAAAAAAAATCAATATATATATATATAATAAAAAAACTTCGAAATACGAATGGTCAAACATCGCGGCAAAAATGGCGCATTCTGGGAGAGCATGCTCAGGGCGCAAGCGAACTGCTGAAACGAAGAAAATAATAGTCTTCCCCGTCGCATCGCTATCTGAAATCGATTTCTTTCCATCACCGTCACAGATATGATGCAAATCCGAGAGTATCATATCATGTCTAAGCAGAGTCTTGTCAAGCATATGGTATAAATCTAGATTTATTCCGAAGCAAGAATCAAATACCTTGAAAATGATATACAAAAAATAGTGGTGGCAAACAATATAAACTGCGCACTTGCACACCGGCAGTATTTACAACGTGCATTCAATGTGGGACTTGGGTGCATTTCTGTCGAGTTGGCCGTCAATTGCACATCCCCCTTCACAGCGCTTCACCTGCAAGAAGATCAGCATCGCATCTCAACAGAACGGGGTAAACATGAGAGCAGCTAACGGGGAACCAATGGCGGACATTTAAAATGACGGACATGAATTCTGTTTTGCTTTTGCTACTTATCCTAGTGTCCAACTTAAAGAACGCCAAATCCATCATGAATTTGTTGAGAGAGCGAGACAGAATTCACAAGGTAAGAAAAGAGATAGTGCCGCAGCTAAGGTCTCTTAAATTGAAAAAGTATTACAATATGACGCTTAGATTCAATCCTTGTGGATATTGGGGGATGAAAACGTTACTTTCGAGTCTGCATTGAAACTTAGGGCATCAATATGAGCAGAGAAAATGAAACAGCCCCAGTTTGGATACCGAATAAAGGAATGAATACAGGCATTCAGAATGCATGGGTGATCGACTTGTGGGATACATTGTGCCACATCTATCCTGTGTTCTCATATTTAGTCCTGTCTTATCAAAATAAGAAACCAGAATCAGAACCCAGCTCAGACTGCTTTTCCCCAAAAACTCTTGATGCAGCCAGAGTAACACTCAGGATACAACACATCTTGTATCTAAAATATTTACGATATGATTAGAGTTCTAATTTTGAAAACTTGAAGCAAATGGTCCTACGAAGACATGAAGTTCAAACGATAGAATAACCAAGTGCTGTGTATAAGGAGAGTGCATCTCTGAGTGATTGTCTGTATAACAGAGAAAGAGAGAGGGAGAGAGAGAGAGAGAGAGAGAGATTCCAAACTCAAGCAAATAGGAAGACATCAGGACACCAGAGAGTCAAGAAAAAAAACGAAAATATCGAAATTATACAGCTGGATAAATATTGTGACTGTTGATGTAGAAAAAATTTACCCACAACAGGTGAGAAAGGGTTAGTCGTAAGTTACCACTATTAGAGGACAGGCAAGTGAATTCCCAGTTTCAGAGAGCAAGAAATATTCCTTTAAAGGCACAGAGAATGGGGTTATGCCAGATGATATGATAGTTCAATTTCAACCAAGTGTAATTTCCAACACGCATAGCTTCATTATAGAAAGCCTTCTCCACATAGAAAAGGTGCCAGTTATTAGGATATCACAATAGAGCCTTTACTATTCGTATATCACATCAGAATCCCCACATAGTTAGATCAGAATCAGTTATACAAAGAATATAAGAACCGCATGGAAATTAATTATTAGTCTATCCGAAAGAAACCTAGATTGCAATAAGCTAGAAGATGTCAACTTAAGAATTTTATTAGAAACAGTCAGTATAATAAGGTCCGTCCATACCTTTAAACATGGGGAAAAAACATTGCCTATCAAAACTACAATAGACCTAGACTGAAGTAAAGGGCTCACATGTTAAAGAATGAAAACTATTGCATACCTCAAATTATGGCCCAGAATTTCTTTTTGCAGATCAGAAGAGGTTTGACGATCTTTTCTTCATTCTCTAACAAATATGATTGAACTTCCCACAGGAACTTTGGTGCAATATCTCTAACCTTCAATAGGATAGACTCCTCATCCCTAATGATAACGAATCCCTGCATATTCAATTTTTTTAATAAAAGTGAAACACTCACGAAATTTTATCAACATAATTTGCATGTTCATCTAAGCGCTCAAAATGTAAATTGATTGTTTATTAATCTTAAAAGATTGACTACAATTTTGCGATTACAATAAAAGAGTACAGTAACATGAAAGAGTGGATGTGAGATTTTTATAATTGTATGCTTCGACGCATCATGCATTGGATGAATAAGAAATTTATTTGGTGTTTCAAACACAATGGCATGATGTATCAAAGCAGAGAAGTATTAAGTTAAGAAATTCAGAAGAGTTGTATAACATCAATAAGAGGCTATTGATAGCAGGAAAGTCATCAGTATGCTATCTCATATATATATACATATACATATAAAATCCAATGCCCAAAAAAAAAACATCTAACAGTCGTTAAATGCAAAACTTTACAAATTAGCAATATTCAAATAACTTCTTCCCATGAAATCATCAATGTTGTCATAATGGATATGCGACTCCAGGGCCTTTTCCCCTCATTTTTCTGCTTCTGGGAATTGAAAGAATCCCTACTGTTTGTGAAATTTTATTTTACTTTCCATTTTCCGATATCTCACCAAGAAAGAAAGATTTTTTAAGGTAACAAAGATGATCATCTACAGTTGAACTTCCAACTCAACCAGGGTAGATGTTAGGGGCACCATGAATACTTTTTAACAAAAAAATATTAGACAAATTCACAAAATATATGAACCAAAACATTAAACTATTGCTATTTAGCAAAACAGCTATTTGCGAATGTAAACAAATCATGTTCACATTAACAGGTCAGAACATATTCGTCAAGTAATCACAGGCAGCGCAAATCCTGCCCATATTCATATCAACCATCGGAAATGTGCACTGCCTTCCCATTTGTGAGAAACCATCAAGCATCACACTATGAACAATGCATCTAACGACTATACAATTAACATCTGTCAAAGTTTTCAACAAAACCCTAATGTATTCTCTCCCACAGCCCACACAGACAAAAAGGTGCGGCATGCAACTAATCCAGGCAAGCACCTTACTGGGATCCATAACTAGGGAACAGAATCTGAGCTACCTTCTCTTGCAAACACCCTAAAGTAATGATACCAAGAACAGTTAAAAGGAAACCATGTGATGGAAAAAAATGAAGAACAATTAATTTATGCCATTGACAATCGTTATGTATGTTAATTGATAGATATTTAAATTTTATTGAAAATTCTCAGTATAAAAACACAGTTAAAAAAACGGCCCAATTGAAATATAGTATATTAACAGTAAATCCTCATTCTGTTTTAGTGGTAATTGCTACAAGAACAGAACCATTTTTTATAGTTTAAGTTGGTATTGTAGCAACTTTATGCTTCAAACAGAAAACCATGAAACTCTTATGAGGATCTCCTAGCAAAGAACTTGATCACGAAATTTTCAAGAGAAAATTCGATTATTAATTCTCCCGAAAATTATAGAAGATTTCTGCCAGTATAGCGGGCTAAACCTTATGCTTCCTTCTGCTTCCCCTAACCCTGAAATTTATCTAGAGAAAGAGTACTAGTTTTACTTTACCTCAGGTCGAATAATTCGATCCATCTCAAGCAAAACATCTTCCAAAAGACAACCCTCTTGTCCACGACCTTGATAATGAGAGAAAATATGAGAAGCATGCAACAGGTCGTATGTCCGTGGATACGTTGAGAAGGGCTCACACCTATGGGCAACAGAAGCATGAAACTTCTCACATACAACCATGAAACAACTGAAAATTCGGTGTACAGATCTTCGAAATCTCACCAGTCATGAAACACACCAACCAAACCACGGTCATATATTGAAGACAATGTATTATTCGCACTCACTGGAACTATGTTCATCACCCAGACAGGAAAAGTACTCAGTGCAGCAGCGAATCCACCAAGATTTGCGTTCATGTCCATGACATTTCGAATGTCTGTTTTGCTGACACCCATCAGCTTCCAATATTCGCGGACTTGCACTTGCCAATACATTGTATCTGAATTAAATCTGTCCAAAGTGATACCTGTTGACCAGTATTACAAAATTGCCCAGCGAAAGGGACAGAGATATATCAAAACTGTACTGTTTCTTATGGATATGGTGGAAAATAGAAACAAACAGATAAATCAAAATCCATAAATCAGATAAGACTGATTACTGCACGCAAATCAGATTATTTAAGGTTTTAATTATTTTGATGATGATCACGGCATGCAAGACAGTTTCATTGAAAAGATTTGAATAATATAAAATTTTCCCACATTGTTGAAAAAATTCGAAGCTTCGTACTTTTCAGTTCCACGTTTTACTCAACGGGAACTAAATAAAATGAAAGTTAGTTCTGAACGAAAAGTTTACTACCATTTAACAATCTATCAATAATATGCAACACACAGGACCAAGAAATTCAAACCAAAAGAATTACAATACAACTGACATAACAATGAATAACGAAATAGAGAGTTGACCGCAATGCATCCAGTGCTTGTGCAACAACACCCTGTTGGCAGGGGTCCACATGAAAGTAATGAAATTAAATAATGAAGTTCCAGATGAATGCAAGCCACAATAAACAAGGAACCAAAATCACGTTATTCGATAATTCGAAAATTTATCAAGGAAAATTTGACTGACCCAAGCTCTGAACGTTTTTTGAGTTTGCAGAAAGTCGTTCTCGTCTTGAGGGCAGTTTCTGAATATTATCTGGTGCACCACTTGCCCTTATGCAGTTTTCTATAGGTATTTTCCATGATGGTTGAGAATCATCCGTAGTTGCACAGACACCGAAAAGTTTCTTCTCAGCATTTTGTACCCGACATGACTCATTTTCCTGTTTAACCCAGATTGCAGTCTGAACTTGCTGATCAATCAGATTCCAGCATATTGATCTCGTGATGTTCATCAGTTTTCCCCAAATGATTGGAAAATAACCATCCTTTCTATAGACAGGTGGGGCAGAGTATACAAAATATCCATTTGGCCGCAAAAGCCGATCCACTTCTTTGAGCAATATTCCATCTGCATATAGAATGTCAAGAATCTTCATAGACTAAATGTTACAAAGCTGTACAACAGCAGAATCTGAAAGCTCTCTGCCAAGAAACAATATATCTATATATTCAAAAAAATTAAGGTAAAATATACCATGAAGAATAAAACTATCACTGAATTCTTCCATCAGTGAAAGCAGCATACTATTAAGAAAACTCTGGAGTTGAAGATTCGAATTCCTCTGTTTCTAATTGAAACTATGAATGCTGGTTAGCATATTGCGAGAATCAACATCCACGATCATCAAGCAAACAAGCCTATCTCATCCATGGAGGATTCACCTTGAAATAAGCTTTCTGGAATTTTGTGTACGATGTTTCCAACTGAAATGAGCATAAATTTTGTTCATCTTGATGTGGGACTTCAAAATTGTATGATCAACTAATAAGTCTCACGTTGCCCAAAGAAAGCTCAGCATTAAACCGTCACAATGCACAGAAGTATAAGTCCCAGCCACCCTCTGTTGCTCCAGGACAATTGAAGGTATAGTACCTTCTGCTAGTAAAGTCTGAATCACATCATTCATGTTGTGCCCCCATTTTTCCTAACTGATTTCAGACCATATGCCTGATAATGACAACCTCCAGTCTCCAAGTTTGGGATTTTCTGTTCCATTTTCTTATTCAACCAACAAATTACAAGCAGCCTAAGAAAATGGCAAGTTCTGCACAACAAGATCGCTGAACCGGCCACTTGCTACATCTCCTTTAAATCCCCTTTTAAATAATAGCCTTCAGATTCCATTCGAGTTCTTTCTTTCGTTCTCATCAGACAAAATTTTATCTGTACTCTCGAAGTTTTGCAGTTTATAAATCCTTTCCATAATACCAGCAAAACGTCATAAATATGACTAACTTTTATGCCTATACAACGTAGTCTTTGAATAATCAACTTGCGTTTTTAACTAAATTTATTCAAGCACAATCGACTTTACAAAAAATTGTCTTCATCCATCTCCCTATGATACAATGAAAAACTCCATTGCATATCTTTAACATGGCATAAAGAGTAAATATTTACAGTCTTTGCCATGCGATTTCCGAACTTGTTCATAGCATTGCCACAAGATAGGATTTCAAGAACAGGAAAGTTACATATTTTTTTGCAATTAATCTGAAATAGACAACAGAATGAACTACTGCACAGACATAGGAACAAGAGAAGTTACCGTTCTCATGCCAGTCAACCCGGCACCTTGAACAATGAACCATGTCAAAGGAATGGCTAGGGAAAGGAAGCTGCTTTTTAGCAATAACAGCTATCATTGCACCTATTCCTCGCTCTAAAGCAAATTGAATCTGATTTTCATGACCATCTTTAGGAGCAAAGGACATTGTTTGTATATCTAATGGAAGTAGATAGGCAGAAAAGCTCGCAACCCCACAACCAACATCTAGAACCTGAACTATGCCCGCGTCACGAAGGTTGCCACTCCCACTCGTTACCATTTTGCCCAATCTGCACACATGAATAAGACAAAAAATCTGAATTAATAGAGAGATGGCAATACATGAATTATGGTTTTCTGTAATCACAATCCATGAATAGTGATGAAAGATATTATTGATGTAAGTAATGATAAGTCTCGCAATCAGCCCAAATCAAAGTGAGCAACTTAAGGGATAACATTTTATCTCAGAGCATTATTTCTAAAAAACATTGGTGCAGACGAAATATCATTCTAGTTAATGGAAAAAATTACACTATGATACTATTCCGGCGAATATTGTTGATTACCAATCATTCATGGAAAACTTGAAAGAGTGGGAATCAAATATTATACATGTTAAATAAAACTTTCACAGTTTTTGACACGTTACAGAAACAATTACCCAAGTTATTCAATGCAGATGTTAGCAAATCTTCTCATAGTTCATACTTTAGAGTGTATATTAGAATATGAATGTAAAAGGTTCACAATCTTTGTGTTAGTGAGTCATTTAGAATAGGGGACCACTAGGCTATAGCCAATATTGGGCCTTATGGTGTCATGTCTTCTCTCCTCTCCACATATAGAATAGGTGAGGAGAGGCTCTGATTTTTTTAACATGTACTACCTATTCCTTCTTTTGCATGCTCCACTCGAAGTGAAACACAGAAGTTTTAAGAACAAATCAAATTCAAATGAAATACAGATTAAGTTTCATCACAGTTAAGCATGGTTATTGTCTTTTTCTTAGATGATCAGGAACTACGGCAAATCTGAGCAAGTCTAAACTCTGAGGAGAGTACCATACTGTTTGAAACCCAATGCATAGTGTTATTGAGACTACTAATGCGAGTCAATGGGGAATGATCTTCACTCTTCAGCCACAAGATGGATACCCATAAACAACATTGGTCCATATGCAGGGGAACCAGGCAACCTCCTCACTGGTCATCAGCTTGTTTATGTCAACAATGTCACATCATAGCTAGGATACCTACAACTAATGTTTTTAATTTCATACTCGTGGTTGAATTGAGGTAACAAAATGATTTGCTTCACGCACTCTGCACGTGGCAAAAAGTACAGTCGAGAATGATCAGGAAGTTCCTGACATTTTAATCATATGATGACAAGGAGTCACAAGTCATCAAAACAGAACGATAAGCGAGATCTTATGGCATAAGAAATCGAGATGTCAAACCGTTAAGTGTGCCCCTTACTGCTTCGTATCTCAGTCAATTGAAACTCCTTTATTTGGTAGTTTTGAGAAGGTGGTCTGAAAAATAATCTATTTTTTCTTCTGAATTTCAGTAAAAAAAATTCTCAGTACTGTGGTTCATAGGGTGTAAATCGTAGACTAGACCAACAAATGAAGGGAAAGCATGGCAGAATCAACAAACATGAAGGTATACTCTCAGCACTATATTTTGTCACAAGAGATGGAATATTTTGATCCGTTATCATGGATAAGAACGTCCCGACTGACAAAATAAGACTAATACACAGGATCAGAATCTATAAACGGAAGAATATGGCAAAGGGTGCCACAAAGGGCATGGATAATGCAGTGAGACATCCAGATGACTGTCAAAAGATTTTTGGGCTGAGAACTCGGAATGTGGGCCGACCAGGAGACGAAACATGGTAAAGAGTACATTTTCTTGAAAGAAATATATCGAAATACATAGACAATAAGAAATCATTTTACAACGGTTATCAACACATCTGGTATAGCCCAAGCCTTATAATTCAGACACGAATTGGTTGACCCAACTGAGATACACCATTGCCAGGCATAACTGATCTAGTCCTACAGGGAGGGTTGATAAGGTTTAAGAAGGTTTGGAATGACTGACTTTGGCAATCCCAACCAATGATAATCCAAATTTTGATTGCATCAAACTTGAGTAATCTGAATACGGGTTCCACGGTGCATTGAATTCACACTATAACAACCAATCAAAGCAACATTCAGACTATAACAACGAATCAAAACAACTTATCATTTCCTATTAGTTTCCATCTGCCTAACCATGAACTCATGTTCATCCATTTGACGGTGAATATCAGAAACTTTAAATTATTAACTACTCTTGCTTTCTGAAGTTTCAAAATTGAACAGAAGAAAAGCCTGCCTTGATCTCACAATCTAAGTTGGATCTCTCTCAAAACTCATCTGGCCAGTTTTCTTTGGTGACGGCCCTTGCATCAACTTATGGAAACGGCAAGATAGCACGAACAGCTCTTCAAATAAACTCGCACATTAGAAACTTAATGCATTTTCCAGTTGTTTCTATTCTGGATTGCAGTTTCTCCATCTTCACATCAATCCTTCCATTTCACATAAAATAGAAAAACAGATCCATCCCTCAGAAGATAGAAAGCAATGGGAAAAACACAGCAAAACTTGACTTTTTTACATTATGGCAATAACAACGATTATTTCACATAGCACAACTTAGATTCTAATCTTGACCTTTGCCTCCAATATTTTTACTGTCTCAATCCATCATATATTTTTCCAAATCTACAGAAAGGGAGAAGGCAGAGAAGAAGGGAAGGAAAGGGAGGGAAAGGAAGAAAAGCTAATGATTGCAAGACCACACCATCACCACCAGCACCCACCCCTGGTTCCTCCGTCTTTCTTGTTTATCCATTGTTGTTGTCAGGTTGCCAAAATCTGGGTGAGGTGGGATGAAAAGAGGGAAGCTTCTTTTATGAAAGCTCAGATTAAAACAACTCTCCTAGTTTATTTTCTTTTTATTAAAAATATTTATAGATACCCTCAAATTTTGAAAAAGAATATCCTTAAATATTTGTTAATTTCGACCTAATCTTGTCGATCCGGGACCTGACCTTGACACTGTGATCCTCACATCGCATGGATGCACTTGATCAAACTTAGTCACATGTAAATTCAGATGCACTTAATCCACGCCGGTATTCTACAGGAAACACATAATTGAAGAAACAACTGCCAACAAAATAAATTTCTATCATACTTAAAATCCTACATTTAATAGTGTAACAAAGATCCAAGTTCACTGGCATTGAATTGAAGGGAAAAAAAAATGATTGTTGAAAGTATATGCAAATTCAATAAACAATGATTAGTAATTAAATTTAATTGAAACTTCATATCGGTCAGGTCATTCTTGGCCTTTACCTGAACAACTCAACCTACCTATCAGATGTGCCCCTGAAAATTAACAGCCATGGTATATCAAACTCAAAACACTTTCAAAGATCGGATACAATCAGATTTCCTTAACCATTTGAATGTTCGAATGGCTAAAATTTGATAGGGACCTTCATACATAACAAAATCTTTTTTATATTATAAAATATTGGGCCAAACACCCAACTAAAACATTCGGATATCCAGTGGCCAATATGCAAGTGAATCCAGTACCAATTGTACTGCATATCTGATGCATGAAAGCCCAAACTATCCCAATTAAGAAGTACAAAATTAGATAAGAAAATTAATTTCGTAAAAAGCTTGTAAGCTAATAATGCAACATACTTTCTACCAACGACAGTCTCCCGTAATGAAAATTGCCCCTTTTATGGGAACATTATCATGGCATGTTTGCCACATCACTAGATCAGAAAGATTGGGGCTCAGGAAACACCAGCAAACCAAAACATCTGTGGAACAAAACAATGAAAAGGGACCACAGAGATGCTCTAAAAAAGCAAAACGTAGTGAGTATTTCAAAAGAAGTCGGCATAATCTCGGAAAGACAATTAGTTTTAGAGGATCTAGCAGATACAAAAAGGAAAAATATGATTTAAAAAATTGTGTTGCTTGTATTAAAGCAAAGATGACCTTTCAATGTACTCAGCAGCACCATGCTTGAAATGAGTACCACCTCCAGGAAACCACCATAGCTCCTTCTTCTCATGCACCCAATTTTGCCCTCCTTTAACTTCAGCAAGATGAGTATGATTTACATTACTATGCCATACGTAGTCCCTACTAATTGGCCATTTTATTGGAATTTTATAGTCAACTGGTGGAGGAACCAGGCAAAAAAGGCGCTCCTGAGGGAGAGGGCAATGTCTTTCAAGATCTCTCTTTCTTTCATCTAAACTATGTTTAACATAAGAAGGATGGCAAGGGATATGCTCGTTATATTCTAAAGGGCATACATTGACGCCCATTTCAGAAATGGAAATAGAAGCCCCTCTAAGAGAAAGAGAAACTCTATTTTTGAGCTGCGATAGACCTGCAAGATATCAAGGGCATGGATTTGAGGGCTGAGAAGCAATAAAAATCCAAAATTACCAAAAACGCCAATAAGCCAGATTTAAAGTAAGATAATTTCGTTAGCAAAAATATTAGATTCCACCTGCGAGCTAAATAAAATTCTTAAAAGGGAAACAATATTTTCTGTAAGCACACATCACCTTGAGACAAGTGGCTATGAAAAGGGCCAGCTATTCGGCAGTACAGGATTCATACAGGTTACATAAATTTTCAAGTAATAGTGTTATGGCAATTTATGTCCCTAACGAAATTATCATGTAATTCCAAAAACCAAAGATCTTAGGATCAGCCACCGCTAGAATGCTTGCAACTCGGACTGAGATTTGGCAAATATTGCCAAGTCAGTTACATTATGGGAGAGATCACAGCTAGGTGCCTCAACCACACGCTTCTCTTGCTGTTATTATTCGTAACAAAATTCCCATCTTTTTCATTGTCTTATAGCTCCCTCCATTCTGACTTCTTTTTTTGCTCTTTCTGTTAGCTGTCTTTTTCATTCTGCTACTGCTCCCTGTACTCTCAAACATTTTCTTCTTTTTCTCTAGTTCCCTTTACATTTCTTCTTTTGTCTTAACTTTCGATTGAGATCAAGCATATCCCAACTACACTCGTATTTGATCATTACACATTGAAGGCGCTAAAAATGGATACAATTGATATGCACAACCTGTTGACACAGCAATCCAAGGATAATAACTGGAAGAAAGAAAGATTATTCAGTGTTCTCGGGGGTTATACTTGCTTCTACATATTGACTGTGATGTATTATGAGCTTATCATTAAAAATCATGAATACACCACGAAATATCTGCTTTAGATGTCACCACCTACATATATTCCTTTTATTAGACTCCAGCTCTGTCCTTAAGCATCACATGGTGAATGATCAGTGAGCGACACAAATCCAATCAATGCTCCCATTGTTTTACTACTTTTTCATCTTCCATGCATCAACTTGGAAGTCATTTGAGGCCAGGGTTCTTAGTGGTGACCATAAGCTTCTGTGCCGAATTCTTCTTTCCCCTTTAGGTTTAGATACTATCTTCTACTTAACCATAGGGATGACACCACCACACCCTCCGCACTTCTCTATTAGAATTTAAATCCAACAAGTCAATCTGCTGCAACGCACATTTTAGTTGAGAATAAGGAGAAATATAATTCGGAGTGATACTGCTGAGAGCAAAACTGACTACGCACGTTTCCAACATCCACTCAGCATCTTTAGAGCTTTGCTGAAACTCATCATGCTCTATTTGCTGGTATTTTTAAAGGCATAATCCTGTAAGAGACGGATAACCCCCCTATCATACCTTTGACATGTCAATTAGTTTCTAAATCCTTCTCCATGAGACTGAGCTCCTACAACGATCGCTAGGATAAAGCATGTCCACTAAAAGGAATGGATGAGAAACTACCATTCCCGTTGAACTGAACTGAAACTAATTACATGATTGGATTGAATAGAATTGAATGCAGTGAATTCGCGTGGCATGAGTCAGGATGTAAACTTTTGATAAAAAGGCACCCCATATTGGGAACTCAAAACACAGATTCTTTTTATAGCACATTGCTCTAATTTTTCATCTATTGTGAGAAAAATGAACACAAATGTCAGCGTCTCCAAGACTTACTTCAAACGATAAAATCACAGCTTCGAAGCCTTGTGGAACTTTAAAAAAAATATCCTCCAGCTTAAAATGAGGCAAACCTTTCTTCCAGCCTTCGAAGTACAAAAACTTTGCATCCCAGCCAGCTAACAGTTTCTAATTTTCATTCCCCGAAATTATATATATATATGAAACGCCAAATTGTTCCAGCATTGTTAAAGCTGCCATTGCGGAAAAGCTATAACATTTCTCAAGAATCAGTGAAAAATCACTCTATCATGAGAACATACTTGTCTCCCTCCATTCATTCGAGCTGACAGGATCTGCGACAGAGGGGGCGGAGACGACGCCAATGCAAGCAATGTAAAACGTAACGTATGCGAATACGACGGGTTGGCCCTGCTTTCATGTTACTTTCATTGGCAATTTTTCCGAAGTTTTAACGATCGAGCACTGAGCTACAAGCGGGAGAGACTATATGGTATTTTTAGTCGCTCACCAGGAGACCTCGCCGACAGGCCCTGCTGTGGCCGCTCATGCCCCGGCGGTAGATTGGAATCTACGTCCACGGGAGAAGTACCGGAGCCGAAGAATGTCCCGGCGCAGAATGACGCAATAATGAGGAGAAAACCAGCCAGCAGCAGCTTGACCGACATCGAATCGAACGCCTGCTTCAGCATCGTTCCTCTCCCTCCCTTACCCTGCGCGGCTAATGGACCCCGCCTTCCGCCCTATTCCTCATCTTCTTTCCCCTCGGATCTCGCAGGTCTGATCGGCGGGGTGAACCCAAGTGCAGAGGCAGAGGAGTGGCGGGGCACCGCGTGGCCACCGACAGCATCGCCCAGCACGTGACCCGCGTACCATCGACAATCGGGGATCGTCTGCGACGCGACTCTAAACACGACCATTTTTTTTCAAAGCAAGCAAGAAGTATATTAAAAGAAAGAATAAAAAAACGAAATTAGGAGGGTCCAGGGGCTATCTACAATTTGATCAAAGAGGCCAAATTACGAGTGAATGAATCTCAAATTCTGAAGGCCTAAAGGAGCCAATTGGAGATTCCGCCAGATGCATATCTCGACCTTATTTTTGAAAGGATGATTCGTGGCCCGGATCAACCCTTCACACGTGAGAGCTCAACGGTGCCGCGTTCTGCCACCCAGCGGGCTTATGATAAGTGAAATCTTTGGCGAATGCGAGGTTGGGCGCCATGTGAAATAATACGACTATCCGATGACGGAGATAATCTTTGGCGGGATGGGCCTAAAAAACCTCGATCGATTTAGCAGATCGGATTAATCTGGCCCTTCAGTATATGCATCGTTACCCGCGGATCTTAATCGCAATCGCTCGATCCAAGAATAATATTATTATTTAAATTTACTTTGAAAGTTACATTTCGGGCCACTAAAAATATGTTACTCTCTCGTCGCCTCTGAGGTCAGGGGGCGGGGAGTGGGTACGATCAGGATACCCATTAACGAGTCAACACGAGGTATGAGAATGACGCCATCCATGACCTCATGATGACGGTAAAAACTATTTTCGGTCCAAGTGGACCTGACGTGGAACAGACAACGACCAGGCCCAGAGATATTTGACATACCAAACTTGGATTCAAGAGAAACTTCGTATCAAGTTCCCGGCAGCGAACGTCCTCTTCCGCGCAGTGCCCCAAGCCCAGCGGACTCCCCACCCACTGGGCAGGCAGTCCGACGGCGGGTGGGGAAGGGCGCCTCCTCTGGCCCACCGGCGACTTCCTACCCCGTGCTCACGAGATTCGGGACCCCACGGGACAACCTGACAACCTGCAGAGGTGAAAAAAGGGCGGAAGAAGCCAAGAAGCTTCACCCACCCTCCTCCTCACACGCCAGCGAGAGGAAGAAGGGCAGGGCTGCTTCGACGTGGAAGTAGAACCGCGGCTCCAGGGTGGGCACAGGTGAACAGCGCCGCAGCCGCCCGCGCAGGCTGCCGGCGGTTGGCTTCCGTGGGGCTCTGACCAGAGGCCGGTGGAAGGGGAAGACTATTCTTCCTCCCCCGCGGCCGACTCTGCAGGAGGAATGTGCGAGAGAAGTAGAAGTGGGGGGTTTCCTCGGGCCCTGCGTGCCCCCGGGGTTCACTAAACGACGGTGGCCTTCGGACCAACGCGGCCTCGGCAAGTTGGGAGTGGGGAAGGGCCAGAGAATCCGAAGCTATGCCTTCCACGGAGGCGCTGAGGCCCCATCGAAATAAAAATGTCCTCAAATATTAAAGTAATAGAAATTCCCACCCCTCCGGTGGCAAAACAGAAAAGTAAGTCCGAACGCCAGAGAGAACATCCCTCTCCAAGACGAACTAATGGAAAGACTCTCATTCATTAAGGACTAGAAACGAGTGTTGATCGGGGCCGTGTGATGGAGGTTTAGAATCCAACAACTTTAAGTGACTTTCTTCGAGAGCGATTCCGAATCGAGAGGTGATTCTTGAAGCAGCCATCTTGAAGTAGGCTGAGATCAGAAGATTTGTTCGAGAAAGTGGTTTGAATTGGCAGTTTTTTTACTGCTTCGAAATAACGGGAATAGGCGGGGAAAGTGGAATTCATGTTTTACATGTGGAGCGGTTAACAACGGAGGGGGTGGGAGCTGTGGGGTCTTCGTAACGATTAGCTCGAAGGGGTCTTCTGGACCAGCCACGGGGGATGTTGATTCAGGGCCGCATGGCGACGACGCACGAAGGAGCCGCAGTACATCCATCTCCGTGGGTAGATCTACATCAAAAGTTGCGCTAGAGAGAGGGAGAGAGAGAGGGTGGTGGGTCTGCATGATCGGTTAATGTCAAGCAAGCTAGGAACTCAGAGGAAGCTTCGCGGAAGCTCGCTGCGGGCTTCCTGCGGCTTGCTTCTGGCACCCATTAAATCAGCGAGATGGCCGTGGACTCCTCACTCCTCGTCTTCTCCCCGCTTTCCCCTCTTCTTCCTCCCCCCTTACCTGGTTCTACCTCTGCTTGTTAGTATCTAACCTATCAGTCCAAGTAGCCCTGCTTTCTCTTCCTCCCTCCGCGGCCATGAAACTAATCGCCTCTTTGTTCTCCTCCTCCGCCTCGTCGTGCCCGTCGTCTCCGAAGGGGTCCGGCGGGGGGAAGAAGAGCAAGACGAAGAGGGGATCCAAGGAGCGATCCGCCTCGCGGAACGACGCCTCGTCGACCGGATCGAGCCGCTCGTCGGGGGCCAGCGGCAGCGACTCCTTCTCCAAGGCCACCGCGCGCACCCCACGGACAGTCATCATCGGCCGCAACGCCTCCTGCCTTGATGCGGAGTACTGGTCTCCCTCCCCCGCTGACCTCGCCTCCAAGGCGGTCGCCATACTACCCCCCGCAGCAGGCCCAAAGCCCTCCCCTGCCGTCCCCCCAGCGGTGTCGGAGCTGTTCTGCGTGTTCGACCGCGACGGCGACGGGAAGATCACCAAGGAGGAGCTGGAGCTGGTCCTGGGCCGGCTGGGAAAGTCGGACCCGCCGACCGAAGAGGAGCTGTCGATGATGATGGCGGAGGTCGACCGCGACGGCGACGGCTGCATCAGCCTGGAGGAGTTCGGCGTTCTGGCGCCCGTCCTGCCGTCCTCTGGCTGGGGCGCCGCCGCCAGCCTGGGGCACGACGATCTGAGGGAAGCCTTCGGCATCTTCGACGCCGACGGAGACGGTAATATCTCTGCAGAGGAGCTGCTGGGCGTCTTCCTAACCCTGGGGGACGATCGCTGCACCCTCGACGACTGCCGCGGCATGATCCGCGGCGTCGACTCCCGCGGCGACGGCTACGTCTGCTTCGACGACTTCGTCCGCATGATGGGCGGACAAAGATGATGATGATGCCGCCGCCGTAGCCCCCGGCCCGACCGACGGTCGGAGATGGAATACGAGAAAAATCCCCCTCTTTTTGTGGACTTGGATGCAAAAATATCCATTTTCGACCTTTTGGCTAGGTAATTCCTGTAAAAGGAAGAAATGCAATTATTGGTTCTGTTAAAAGCACTATCCGATACCAACTCCAATTGGTTGCCATCTCATTAGGGAGAGAGAGAGAGAGAGAGAGAGGGAGAATTAGGTGAATGCAGAATCCATTATCTATTTTATAATCTGTATAGAGAAGACTCTACTCCCACGGTTGTGGCAGAGAGACTAGGGTTAACCACTGCTCCAATTGCCCGCAGAAGGATATTCCGTCCCTCCTGGCCCGGCAGCCGCCCCGCCGTCCTCGTCCTCGTCGGTGTCGGAGGCGGCGTCGGGACCGAAGTTCTCAATCTGCACGCAGTCAGCCGTGACGGCCCCCGCAGAACAGGGATAGGAGGAATCGGCGCCGCTCTCGTTGCCCCGGTTCGTGAGAGTGAGAACCTCTTTCCGCACGACACTTAAGACGAAGCCGTTGGGAATCCTCCCGGGCTGCAGCAAGTCCCCTTCCGAGACTACGATGCTGGTGGGAGTCGTTGCGGCGTCTCTTCTGCAGTCGGACTCCCCACCATTGTTCTCCGAGTCTCCTCCGTCCGGCGTCGTCACCCTGAGGCCGCCGTCGTGGTGCGGCTCCCCGCCGGCCGCTAATCCTTGGATGGTAAAGGAGACCGAATGTTGGGCCGCGTCATGGCTCTCGGCGGCGTCCTCCCGCGCTCCCAGACTCTGAACGAAGGTGATGAACTTGTTCGCCGAAGATGTCCTCATCAGAGGCCCGCCAGACCTCGTCCAAGACCCTAGATCGCCGCTGTCCGATTCACTGTCGCTGCCGTCGTGCACGCCGTGCTGGGGGCGGACGGCGCTTCCCGAGGTGCCACCGGCGTGGGCGGCACTGCCCTGATGGGATGCTGCAAAGTCCACTACGGCGTAGTCCTCGAGGGAGCCGGACGAGTTCTCTCGGGCGATCCGATTCCACGAGGGGATCCTCTTCGACGCGCTAAACCTGGCAGCGGTGGCGACCCCCTGCGACGCTGCCGCCGCCCTCTCGGCGCTCCTCTTGAGCCGGCGCATGTGGTTGAGGACGGCGACGCACTCGTCCAGAGCGAGCTCGATGGCGCAGTTGGCCTTTATCGCCGACAGCTTCTCCCAAGTGCAGCGCCTTCCCTGATTAGCCGCCTTCTGGAGCTCCACATGAGATGGGTTCCGAATGATCTTCGAATACTGGCGGTGCGGCCCACAAAAGAAACAGTCCCCATCAGGTGACACAGTAGATGTAAGAACCGCACCGAAGTGAGGACGGAAGCGCGTCCCCACAAGGTCAGACGGTCGTCCGTACCTGAGCAAGGGTGGCCGGCATCACCACCGTAACGTCCCCCTCCCATTCCTGCGCGAAGAGCTTGGCGAGCCCTCCGAGAGGGAACCCTAGCTCCAGAATCTGGTTGCACCTGTGCTTCACTTCCATCTCCGCAAGATGGGCGAGCTGTAGAATATATATGCAATGCACAGATGAGGGGGCAATGATGATGTGGGCGATCAGCAAACAGAACATGGTAAATTCATCAAAATGGCTGGGTTATACCTTGGCGGCGAAGTCCCCCCCGTAGGCTCTGACAAGCTCCTTCAGTCTCAGGAGAGGCGCGATGTGCGGATTCGCCTGGCTGACGATGAAGTGGTTGACACTGAAGAGCTCCTTCAGCTGGATCATGGGCAGATCGCTCTCCAGGCTCCCGTCCCGCCACCGGCGAGCCGAGGAGCGGCGGGGGGCCTCCCCGGGCCCCGCCAGGAAGGGGGCGAGGAAGGGAACCAAGTTACCGGCTCTGTCCTTGGCCATGAGCTCCTGCGCCTCGAACAGGCCGGGGAACGCGCAGGAGGCGGTGACGGCGCTCCAGATGACCACGTTGGGCGAGGTCAGGTAGTTGAGGCACCGAGGCGGCTCGTGCTTCCTCGGGGAGCAGACGGTGACCCCGAGGATGCGGCCCGTCATGTCGTAGGCCTCCTGGAATGTGAGGTTGCTGGTGAGATTCCTCAGGAGCATCTGCAGGTGGCGGATCTCGTGGAGCGCCCCCTGCGTCATCACCCGCCTCACTACCGTGAAGATTCCGCCCAGCTGGTCGAAGAATTGCAGTGAGTGCCACGAGTCCTCGAAGAAGCTCTCTAGCTCCGGCCACGACCGCGTGGCCACGACGGCGCACATGATCGACCCCACGCTCGAGCCGGCGATTATCCGGGGCAGGAGCTTGTTCTCCACCAGCGTCCTCACCACGCCCACGTGGAAGGCCCCCAGGGACGCGCCGCCGCTGAGCAGCAGCGCCGTCCGCCCGAACGCGTGCCGGGTCTCGTGCATGAACGCGAGCTTCTCCTCCAGCAGCAGCTCCTCCGAGTCCGAGTTGCAGATGATCTTCAGCTGCGCAGAGACCTCGTCGATGTACTCCTTGATGAGCTTCGGCACCTGAGAAATTTGGTACCCCACGCCGGTCCACCATCAGTAACCGGGAAACAAGCCACTCAATCAATCCGCAGGTCTCTGGGTTTCTTTTTTTTTGTTTTTGGAGGGTGGATGAAGAACAGGAATGAACAAACAAATCGGGAAGGCCAGCAGGCTCCGCAAACCGATGTTCGGGAAGCGCACCTGGAGGCGGCCCTTGTGGAGCTGGGGGTTGCACATGTTGCCGAGGTTCCTGAAGAGATCGGCGCGCATGCAGAAGACGATGTCCCTGAGGGAGCCCTCCTGGCGGCGCTGGCGCAGCTCCTGGAGCTTGTTGCGCACCAGCTCCTCGTCGTAGAGGTCGGCCTCGTTCGTCTTGGGCTGCTCCTTGTCGAGCATCTTGGCGGCGTGGCCCCACTCCTCGTAGGTCAGCGCGCTGCGCATCATGTTGCGCCAGAACTTGCGCCGGTAAGCCGACTCGGCGCGCGCGCGCACGTTGGTGAACCGCTTGAGGAGGAAGGCGACGAGGGTGACCATGACGAGGATGCCCTGCGCGTTCCGGGGGTGGAACCAGGAGAGGACCGGGAGCACGACGTCCTTAGTTGCGGCGAGCCAGACGCTCAGGAGCCGGAATAGCTGGTGGCGGAGGTGCGAGACGGAGCTGCAGAGGAGGACCCGGAGGGCGATCGTCCGCCCCACCACCGTGGAGGGCCCGATCGAGAACGAGTCCACCTTTGCCTCGCTGCTGATGTCCATGCCCGCCCAATTCGATCTCTCCCTCTCTGTTCTCGATCGAGATCCTCACAATTCGCCCCGTGCGGGCCACAACGATCTAAGGGGAGCAGAGATGGGAATCGGGGGGGAAAGGGCAAATTCCGATCTTCGTCGCCGGATGTGTCTCGTGGCGTTTTCCCCCTTCTCCCTATCAAACCAGAGTTTGCTTGCTTGCGCCTTCAAGGTTCTTCACGCAAGCCAAGGAACAGGGTCTCCGACGAGATCCCCCAAATTTACACACGCGGAGCACAACGAAGAAAAGAAAAGACCCACCAAGAAAACGACGTGCACCGATGTCAGGAGGGGATGAGAAAAAGGGACGATGACGAGACGTCGATCCCTCCAAAAGCCGAGACCGGAAGCCCCCTACGGTTCCCAAGCTCAGAGGGAGAGAGAGAGAGAGAGAGATTCGCGGTGGGGCAGCCGCTGCGGAAAGCGACGGGTATTCCCGTGTTCGAGAAGAATTCGGAGGGGCAGCGGGGAGGGAGATAGAGAGGGAGAAGGCAAGAGAAGAACGGAGATGACGCGGAGCCTATTCATCGGAACAGGAACAGGTGGATAGACGCGAGGATGTGGCGAGCGAAGGAGAGCTGGTCTGACATGGCCAAGGAGTGGATAAGGAGCAGAGCCCATCCCTCTCCCACTACCAGACGAACCTCCCACTGAAGGCTAATCGTGTATCCCTCTCTCTCTCTCTCTCTCTCTCTCTCTCGCTTCCCTATGGTCACCTTTTGGGAAACCAGCTCAGGGGATTGACGGCCAACAAGCCCACTTAGCCCGCCTTTAGAAGTGGGCCGCGGTGGGACGAGGTTCGGAACCGCTCACGCTAAGTGGGCCTGTTCTACCCATCTTGGATATCACGGCCCCTCTCTCCGATGCATAGTCGTCGACCGCTTTCCGAAAATGGGCCGCTCATCATCCCAGTCAACGCCCACATTCTCTTTGGGCCTCTTCAACACGCAGCGTAAAAAATAATTAGCTGATATTTTAATCAAATGATATCAATTATTAATTCTCCTTAAGATCAAAATCGTCTATGCAGAAGACGGTCCTAGCTTCTCTCTCTCTCTCTCTAACCTGCTCTTCCTCTTTCATTATAGCTCTGGGGTGGCGAATGAAGGCCAAATAATAATTAGCTTTAAATGATTTAAAATATTAATTATAAAAAAATTATACAAAACGAACACTGGGCCCCACCCGAATAATTAAGTCCACGTGGGAACACCGGTCAGGGATCCTACAGAGGCGCCTCGTGTCGCGAGATATGAAAGTCAAGCCAGGTGTCTGTGGGCCGCCGTTCCCCGCACTCGGGAAAATTTAACCGAGACCAGCTGGTTAATCAGTCAAGAAAGGGAGTCAAGAAAGTGGAGGGTCAACGAATGCCGGCTACGAGGAACTCGCGAGAGACGGCGAGCAGCCGTCAACAACGGACGGCCCTAACGTGCTAGCCCGGACGAAAAACTTATTAAACTGTGGGCACCAGTCATTAAACGGCTCATTCTCCACAAACGGCCATCTTTACCATACATTTCCCAGTCATGCGTCGCAAGATTATATTCTTTTAAAATCCTCTTTTTGCTAAACAATATATTGCTCCATAAATTATAGAAAGATATCTATATGTACAAATCTTTGTGTAATCTTTTCTATTAGTTTCTTCCAATACAGCCCATGGATCATTTTTTTATTAATTTTACGGTCTATAATTTAATGGATTAGGAAAACCCAAGTTCCCGTGGGTCTCTGATTTCATGAAGGTCGAGTCAACTGGAGGCCGGGTTGAGGAGACGAGGGGGGAAATCGGTCAGCCTACGGTGGTCAATGAAAGATCGCTGGATCTCGTCAAGAAGGAACAGCCAGGACTCGCCAGCCGAATAAGAACGTATACAAAAGTTGCAAAACTCGTACAATTGTTTCACTCCAAAGCCGACAATTTGGGCCCCGGAAATTACGGAAAAATAAACCATCTGACGGAAGGGATTTGCCGCGGGAGGGAGAAATCCAAAGTGGAGACGGCGACATAAAAGAATAATCATGGAAACATTTTCCATGGTGAAAATATGAATGGATAATGTGGGGTCGGAGATGTACAGAAGATGAATCCAGCCTCAGTACAGCGGCGTCTCTCCTCCGGTCGGCGTACGTGCGAAGGCGGCACGGCCATCGTAGCGGTGTCCCAGGGCAGTTTTAGTGACGTCATCGTCGTCTTCTCCGCTATCAGAACCAGAGCAGGAGCTGCTCGAGCTGTCTATGGCGGCCTCCGAGTACTGAACATGGTATTCTTCTGGGTTGCCGGTCTTGGGGGTGAGGACATAGTCTTCCTTCTTCACCACGTTAAGGACGTACCCGTTCTGGACCTTCTCCGGCTGGAGCAGGTCGCCGTCGGCGATGACGATGCTGTTGGGAGTATGAGGAACCCTGTTCTCCTGCTCCCGCATTTCAGCTTCTATGGTTGACTTCTGAGAGGCCTTCACGGCGGCGATATCCAGGCTCTGCACGAAGTTGGCGAGTCTCCTTGACGATGCCGTCTTCCTCAGTTGTCCTCCGCGTATGGTCCACGAAGTGGGCGCTTCCGCTTCGTCGGCTTCTCCGTCTCCTAGGGGACTGTTGCAGACCTTTGGGCTGGGGGGGCTGGGTTTCCTGCCAGAGTCGGCGAGAAGGTCCTCCTCGAGGAAGTTGGGGTTCTTCTGCTTGGAGACGTAGTGCCATGAGGGGATGCGCCGGTGGATACTAGGCCTTCCAGTCGGTGTGCCGGCTGAGGCCGCCGCCACCCCCACCGCCACCGCCATGGACCTCTCGGAGGTGCTCTTGAGGCGGTGCATGTGGTTGAGGAGGACGGCGCTCTCGTCCAGGGCGAACTCGACGGCGCAGGTGGCCTTGATGGCGGAGAGCTTCTCCCAGGTGCATCTGCTCCCCTGGTTCAGCGCCATCTTCAGGTCCATGAAGGACGGATTCACGATGAGCTTGGAGTACTGATGAGATGCGAACGAGTACATCGTCAAACATCTGGAATAGTGCATAGTCTGAACGAAGAGAATGGATTGATTTAAGTTCTGGGATCTCCACCTGCGCAAGGGTGGCCGGCATGACGACGGTGATGTCTCCCTCCCAGTCCTGAGTGAACAGCTTGGCGAATCCCCGAAGGGGGAAACCAAGCTCAAGGAGTTGGCTGAACCTGTGCTTCACTTCCATCTCGAAGATGTTCGCCAGCTGTTTACAGAGAAGGACGATCGAAGCACAGCATTATTGCAGGAGAAGTTGAGGAATAACGACCAGAGATATATATAGTAGGATAATATCTTTAATGTGGTAATCATCTAGTATGTTATTACCTTGCCGGAGAAATCGCCCGCGTAGGCCCTGACAATCTCCTTAACCCGCAGCCACGGAGCGATGTGAGGGTTCGCCTGGCTGACGATGAAGTGGTTGACGTTGAAGAGCTCCTTGAGCTGCATCATGGGTAGGTCGCTCTCCAGGGTGCCGTCCCTCCACCGCCGAGCAGACGGCGCCGCTGCCACCTTGTCGGAGCTACCGGAGAATGGCGCGTGGTAGGGCACGACGTTCCCGAACCTGTCCTTGGCCATCAACTCCTGAGCCTCGAACAGACCGGGGAAGGCACAAGAGGCGGTGACCGCGCTCCATATGAGGACGTTGGGGGAGGTGAGGTAATTGAGACACCGGGGGGGCTCGTTCTTCCTCGGCGAGCAAACGGTGACACCGAGGACCCGGCCGGTACGGTCGAAGGCCTCCTGGAAGGTCATGTTTCTGGTCACGTCCATCATCAGGCGCTGCAGCTGGCGGATCTCGTGGATGGCTCCCTGCCGCACCACCCGCCGCATCACGGCAAGAACCCCGCCCATCCGGTCGAAGAACCTGATGGTCTGGAGGGAGTTCTCAAAGAAGCTCTCGATCTCCGACCGGGACCTGGTGGCGATGATGGCACAGATGATGGAGCCGGCGCTGGCCCCAGCGAGGACCCTCGGGAGCAGCTTGTTATCGACCAGGACCTTCACCACGCCAAGGTGGAAGGCCGCCAGCGTCGCGCCGCCGCTTAGGAGCAGCGCTGTGCGGCCGAAGGCGTGCCTCGTCTCGTGCACGAAGGCGAGCCTCTCCTCCAGATCGAGCTCACCAGACCTGGACTCGCAGATCATCTTCAGCTGAGTGGAGACCTCCTCGATGTAGTCGTTGATGAGCTTCGGCACCTAAAACGTATATATAAAGATGTATTGTTTGTTTATTCACTCTTCAATAAAGTGTGTCCATCATAATGCGAGCGGAAAGAATCTGGCCCAGATAATGGAAGAGACGGTTCTTTCGCGCAACTGCGCCGGATTTCTATCTAGGTCAGTATCGCTGTCGACGGAGACTAACGAGGTGTTTCCCGTGTTACCTGGAGTCTGCCATTGTGGAGCCTGGGGTTGCACATATTGCCGAGGTTGCGCAGTAGGTCCGTCCTCATGAAGAAGACCATGTCTTTCAGCGAGCCCTCCCGCCGGCGGTGCTGAAGCTCCAATAACTTGCTCTTTATCAGCTCCTCGTCGTAGAGCCCTGTGTCTCCCGACCTGGGCATCTCCTTGTCAAGCATCCTGGCGGCGTGAGCCCAGTCCTCGTACGTCAGGGCGCACCGCATCATGTCCAGCCAGAATCGGCGCCGGTACTGCGACCGAGCTATCCATCGGACACCGGGGCCACGGCGAAACACCAACGCTATGAGCGCCGCCATTGTCAGCATCCCGGTTGTGCCCTTCGGTCTGAGAAGAGACACCACCTGGAGGACCGTTCTTCTCAGGCTCCACAGAAACCGGCGGAGACGCCGCCTGAGCTGCGCCACGGAGCCGCAGAGGAGCACCTGCATGGCCACCGTGCGGCTCATGGAACAGGAGCGCAGAAGGGCAGGGGGCTCAACCATGGCAAGCCAAAGCCGGACGGAGGGGGGCTCTAAGGCGTCCTTTACGGTCCCTCGCCTATTCTCTCTCGTTCATTCCTCTGCGACGCTCGCCGCGCAATATCAGACCGATACTGGGAGGCTCGGCGGATTATATAAGCTTCCGATGAGGGGGGGGGATCATACGCCTTGAAATTCCTTACGCACATGCTCTCTCTCTCTCTCTCCCTCCGTCTCTCTAAAGAATTAAAACCTTGAGTTCCAATTCTTGAAAATTCAAATATTCTTTCTGACGGGGATAACGACCGGGGAGAGGGGGGGAGAGAGAAAGAGAGAGAGAGAGGTCGACGGGCCTCCGATTTGGACCGCTCGATTCTAATATTTTTGGAGAGAAGGTGACGGGGCTTGACATTCAATTCAACAGGCTGGCTTTACCCATCGACTGGTTCATCATCCGCCGGTGAGTCGACCGACTCGAGTCAATGGGTGCCCAACGCGGACGATAACTTCGTCTCCATCCGCAGGTGAAATGGTGTGCCCGGATCTCCAGGCCATGGGAGAGCCGGATCTACTGAAAGAAAGTGACACGCGGGTAAATGAAAATTATCGTCGGCACGAAGTGACAGGGAAAAGGAACGGCTTGCCGGCTGGTTGTGGCCGCGTAACTATTTGGACTTCTTGCGTTCTAACCTTGACCCCCCCGTCGGCACACGGGCTTGACCTCTCGTTGATCCCGGCCCCACCCCACCTTCCTCCCTCTTTCGATATACAGATGCGACGGAGTCTCTCTCCTTTTTCTCTCTCTCCCTCTTTCCAGAGTCAGACATAGGTTGGCTCCTTTGCCCCTCAAGGGAATATTTTGTTGGAAAGTGGAAAAGAACCCGGAAAGCGAAGTCCCTGGATGCAATCGTGAACAGTGCAGGGTTTCTTCCAATTTTTTTTCTATGAAAGAGGAACCCGTGGATGATTGACAGAGGGCCAATTGCGTTAGCAAGAGGTGATCGCGATATCTTCTCAGATGCTCTGATGCTTGGGAAGACTGAATCATGTGTGTACGCGAGTGGAGCGAAGAAGGGGTGGAGGGAGATTGAGAGGAGAGTTAGAGAAAAAGGAAAACCTCGAAGTTTGATTGCTAAGGAAAGAGAGTGAGTGAGTATTCATCCGGGCACACTTAATTCCAACCGTTAACTTAGAAATAAGAGACTCATAAAGTGGGCACAAAACCCATAGCTGTCTTCATCTATCCTTGTTTTACTATATATTATTCTAAATTTGACAATTATTAAATTATTACATTAACACTAGTATTGATTTGTTGCGGAGAGTGAATAGTGGATGACCTTCGTGTTGTGCTCTCATCATCAAGAAGTTTGATTTGACCGCTTTTGAACGTGTACATGATCTTCAATGATTATTACGTCACACGCATACGTAAAACCATTGGCGGTAAAGTTCTCTCGCAAGTCAACAGAAAACAATGACGCCCCAATGTCGCATTGCAGAAAATCACTGGCAGATGCCAATATTTATCTGACAACGTATTCTTTCATCAAATATATTACAATAGTTATTCGGCACCTATTTTTTGATGATGTCTTGCATAAACTAGCAACCGGGTCCATAGGGCGGGCGATTTCTGGCTTAAATAAGTCTCTGATCATTAACTTTTATGGCGTAGTGGCTTATACTCGTTAATTCCTTGAGATGAGTCGTTCTGGGAGTCCCGTACCATTCGCCGTAGCCTGTTGACGCCCGACGCAATTTGCTCGGCGTCGTTTTCTCTGATTTATTGCTGCACATGCGGGGGTGATGTGGATCGGTGGGGTCCGAGATTGGAGCGGTGCCGATGGCCATAAAATGCAGTCAGACGCCCGTTGGCGGGCGGTAGCGGGGACCCGGCGCCCACCAGCGTCGACGGGCGCTGACGTGGGGCATGCGCCTGAGGCGTGGAGCTACCCATCCGTCCACCTGCAAGAGTAGTAGGTGAAGAAGCCTGTCACGCAGGTCAAAAACCCATGAACCTGTGAGTCCTATAAGCTGGCCGTACCTGTCTCTCGGCTGACCCCGTCGGTTGGTTGCAGTTTCGGTTGAAACTACACAGCTGTTGTAGTTTTAATACATCGGTTCAACTTAGGAAGGAAAATACTAAAAAGGTTATCTGATGAAACTTAACTCCAGCGTTTGAATGAATCATCTCCGCAGCCAAAATACGACCCAAGACCGGCGTGTGATGTTTAAGAAATTTGAGCTGAACGATATCAATGGAGAAGGCCATTGGCTTAAGTACTAGTATATGATCTTATGTGCTCACTGTATATGATCTAATAGGTGAGATCTATGGCCTACGATTATTTCTTCCAGGACATCTCACTATGTACAACTGAATCATAACAATTAACATAGCTCACTATGGTGATAAAGCCACAATCAAAATGAAAGGAATGTATTCACTATTATAATCTTCTTTGATGTCAAGATGGTATGATAGTTGGCGCTGTTTTGTAGCACCAACCTATTCAATTTTAATCTATTAGAATAATAATCAACTATAGATATTTTAATCCACTATAGGGTGAATCAGTGAATTCCCTGGTCTTAAACTTTTACAATAATCTTTCTAACAGTTTAGTTGATAATATTTAAATATTGAGAAACATTTAAATGATAATTTTACTTTGTATATAGTAATATTAATCCTAATAAATTAATTAGTTACACAATCAAATAGCAACATCACCATTTATTTAATGTGGATCAAATTATATTTTAACATATTTACCCAAAGAAATAATCTGGAGCTAAGGGAATCAACCTATAGGTTGGAAGGGACACCATATCTCAACAAGACAATTGCCCATGTGTGTGTAAAAGGGGTGGGGGGGGGTGGGGTTTGGGTTGTTGGCTGGTGGCTTTTTTGCATTAAAAGAGAATAAGCCCACATACATTTTGCCTGATGGACCAAGAAAAATAAAATTTAATGAATATTCTGAAGCTCTTCTAGCTTAGATATTGTAAGGATAAGTCATGGAGTTATTTTATATAATATTTTGTATGAGTTAGATCTCTAACTCTTCAAGAGTGTTGTGTGCTTAGCTGTTTAAAATCCTAAAATTTCGTAGATCAACTTTTGGTCCCAAGTGTGTCAAAATGAAAACAAGGAGCAAGATTAGTTTTTCTTTGCAAGAGGCAAGCTCGAATCTAATGCAATTTGGGCCTTTGAAAGTAGTTAGAAGCACCTCATCTAGCTCAACAATTTTGAGTGGGTGAATTCCTTTTAAAGTGCTCTTGGTCACTGCTTACTCCTCTTCTCATTAGGACTCCTCCAGTAGTTACATTGCATCTGAATATATTCTCTAGATACAATGTCATTAACTTCATCTATATTACTAAATTCAAAGCTCTAGTTGGCCCACCACTAGGCATTCAATTCTATGCTATCCTTCAAGATCGATTACCCTTGAATGAGCATATGTGAGCCTAATATATGCTTTGACTAATAGATCATTATGTGAGCCTAATATATCCATTACGCTTCAAGATCATTATGCCATTATGAACCCTTGAGATGGTGCATGTGTTATTCTAATAAGAATTTAATATTTCCTTTGATGATGATGAGAACTTTTGAGATCTTAGATGTTTAAGAATAAAAACTTCTAGGGTTTGAGACTTTTGATCATAGAAGGCCATACAATCCCTATTGTTTTCAAATAAGGTCCTAGCCTTACAATAGCATATGACAGATGGGGAAAAAGGTCCGAAGTTGTAAAAATAGATGAAAGAAGGGGAAGTGAAGACAAGAACTGGTTATGAGGAGAGAGGATGTCAGCTGATGCGCACCTAAGAGAGTGAAGGAGAGATCAAGCAGTTGAAAGAGAAGAGCAGGGCTAGGAAGAGGGTGATGGAGCACTCAATGTACCTTTGTTCATTCATGCCCTCCTTGTGCCTCCCCCTCCAGCCTTTATGCGAGGGTTGGCCATAGTGGACTGGGCCACTACCTTCTTGGGCCTTAGATCATAAGTGTGTTTTGTATCAATACGCCCCCCTTCGATAGCCAGCTTGTCCTCAAGTTGGAAGTCTAAGAATTGTGCCTTGAACTTTGTTGTTAACTCCCATGTAGCTTTCAACTCAAGCAAGCCCTTCCATTTGACGATTATGAGCTTGCTAGCTGAGGATGTTTTAGAGGCAACCAAGTGCTCTAGCTTGAGCAGCCACTCCCTCTCCTCCGTGAGGGTGCTCGGGAGTGGTTGAGGTGATGCACCTTCCCCTAGAGCTCACCACATCTGCGATACATGGAAAATAGGGTGGATGGCAACATGCTGTGGTAGCTCGAGTTTGTATGTCACAGGTCCCACCTTTGAAGGACCATATAGGTCCAAAATATTAGGGCTTAAGTTTCTTGTTTCCACGTAGTGCCTCTAGTAAGTTCTGAAGTTGAGGTAGATGGCCTTATCGACGTGAAACTGCACATCTCTTTGGTGTTTGTCAACTTGAAGCTTCATATAGGATTGCTTTCGTGCCAAGTGGTGCTTGAGAAGAGCAAGGATCTGATCACGTTCCAATAGCATCATGTCCACCTCGTCGTATGGTGATGGCGTAGATCCATCATGGATGATGGAGGGAGGGTCCAGACCGTAGACTACTCAAAATGGAAACATCCTTATGGATGTGGGGTAGGCAGTGTTGTAGCTCAATTCTGCCCAATGCAACCATGCATTCCATCATGTGGGCTTATCACCTGCAATACAACATAAATACTCCCTTCAAACTACAATTGACTACCTCTGTTTGGCCATCTGTCTCTAGGTGTTAAGCATAACTCATCTTCAAGGAAGTCTCTTTAGTGAGTGGAGCTCCCTCTAAAAAGAACTTAGGAAGGTGCTAACCCGATCTGATATAATGGAGAGGAAAAAATCATATAGGCACACAACCTCCCCTTAGTGAAATTGGTCACCACCTCTTTGATTGAGAATGAGTGCCTCAAGGGTATGTTGTGGCTTGACGTAACTTAGTCGTTGTATAGTAAATCACACAAATTTAAAATTTATAAAACTAGAAAATATAAATTTTCAGATATTTAAAAGTATTTCTGAACAAATATATCAAGTATAATTCAATAAAACTTCCAAAAATAGCGGTAATTTTCTAGGTCGATCACATGGATGTAATATAATATCTGGTAATTATTCATAATTTTTCTCAAAGAATATTATTTTCTATAAATTTTATACTAGGAAATGAAAAGGAAATATATTTAAAATTTACGAAAAAGGAAAATAAGGGTGCGGACATCAGGATGACGTTAGCGCCTGGTGAACGTGAATCTGGCGAAAACAGAGTTCTGTTTGGAGATTCTTACGTAAGCGATTATAAATGATTTAATTGATCAAATTAAGATCTGTAAAAGCTGGAAGAATCGTAATGAAATGAAGTATATCTTGGTAAATTTAAATCACACAAATTATCACTAAATGAAGCGGAAAGTAAGTTGAAAGTAGGAAAACAAAGTTTCGGCGTCGCGGCGGCGATGCGTTGGCGATGCACCGAAATCCTGAGCGTTGGGAGGATTGTCGTGTAGTGTCTACGGCCTTAGAGGCTCTCCTTGGATAAGGACAACGTGGGCAATCTTTAGATCTCTTTACGAAGTCTAGAGATCAATGAAATGGGTCGTTGAATCGTCTTCGGTAGCTGTCACCCGACGTAGCGGAAAAATAGCGACTTTGTGGCTCTTCGGTGGCTGTCACCCAACAAAGAGGAGCTAGATAGAAGTGGGGCGCATGTTAGGGAGCTTCATCCTCAGGTCCGCACAACAAGAGGAGGCTCTTCATTGCATCCAGTACGCTCTCAGGAGGTGGTGACTTGTCTCCCGGCGGATCATCCTCTTCCCGATGACGGCTTGTTCGTCGATCAATCAGAGATGCTTTACTCGATAGATTTGCGATCCTTTTATCGTGAATTATTTAGCAATTTTAGTAACAATACTCTACAAATCGCATTGACAAGATTTTCGCCGATGATCCAGTGATTCTGGTTGCTTAATCCTTCACTGGCGATCTACAGGAAAGTCGCAATAATTAGATAAAAAATATGAGTTTTGGTTCTAGGAGGATTCAAACCCGCACCAGTTGTCCGCCCTTTTTGGGGAGGGTGTGACAAAGGTTTAGTCCCACATCGGTTGTGCGTCAAAGTTTCTGGCGAATATAAAGTAATACTACGTTCATGATCAAGTCCCTTTCTCACGCATGTATGACCACTCCTTGCCCCACAGCCAGTTGACCACCAGTGATGTGGAAGGGGAGTGGCGCTCGAGCCCCTGCTCGTGGCTCCTCCCCGACTGTGCTTTCGACCCGCTTGTGGGCCCAGCTGGCCAGTGGGTCCCCCCAATTTTGTTATATTTTTATTTTTATTTCTTTTTCTTCATTTATCTCAAAAGTAAGACTGTGAAAATCATATAAATTTATATAAAATCACATAATTATCCAAAAATTCACATTAATCAACTGAAAACTACTTTTCACACTTTAACACAAATATAAGTCTATTTATCATGAGTTAAGGTTGAAACTATATTATTTATTAATTATTAACTCATGATAATGAAGACTTATCATGGTTGTACTTGCTAAGACAGTCAACATCACCATAATTGTGTCAAATCCCCTATACTTGGGTAATCCCTCCACAAAGTCCACAGAGATGTCTTCTCATATTTGGTTTGGGATTGATAGTGGTTGTAGCAATCTTATTGGGGCGAGTGTAGAGGATTTGAATCAAAGAAAAGTAGAACATTGGTTGATGTGGGTCTTCACATCCTTCTTCATTCCATGCTAGAATAACTGTTGATTTAGTCACAAGTATGTCTTCAAGAACCTTGAGTGGCCCCCCAATGCCTTGTCATAGAATTTCACCAGCAGCTTTGGAATGAGAATTGATGACTTCGATAATGCCAACCTATTCTTGTACAATAAAATGTCATTTACAAATGTGTCATGCGAGTTGGTCAGTGTACCTTCCTATATTGTACTAATGATGTTGGAAAAGTGTGGGTCATTACACACTTCTTACTTTGCCACATTTGTGTCTAGTCACTCAGTAGTGGAGACAAAAAACATCATGTGATCTTCTAGGCTTGGGCATCTAAATAGAGTATCCACCACCTTGTTGTGGCAGCCCTCCTTGTATTGGATGATGAATGAGTATCCCATAAGCTTGGGCACCCACTTGTGACACTGACCGTGCACCTCTTGTTGATCAAATAAATATTTGAGACTATATTGGTTCGTGCCGATGGTGAATCGGTGGAACATCAAGTATTGCTTTCACTTTTGGATGACCAAGACAATAGCCATCATCTCCCTTTTGTAAGCTGACTAGACATGAGCTGAAGGAGGTAAGGCCTTGCTGAAATAGGCCGCTGATTGCTCATTTTGCATCAAAAACTCTCCCACAACCATCCTTGAGGTGTTAGTTTCTAGTATAAAAGGTTGGGAGGTCAAGCAAAATTAATACCAATGTGGTGACTATGGCACACTTGAGTCCTCAAACGCCCCTTGTGTAGACCCAAACCACTCAAAAGCATCTTGATAACTTTCATTAATTACATGATAAAATGCTTAAGATTTTATAATTTATTATTTAATTTTATAGAAATATTTATAAATTACTTTAATATAAAAAATGATATTAAACTTATTTATATTATTATATTCTTAATGTCTAGAAATTATTTGATGAAATTGACAATGAAATATTTTGATAGGTTTTACCAATTAATATTATTATCAAAATGCTTGTATGTTAATTGCATTTATTTCTAACATTTTATTGAGCTTATTATGATAAATAATAATAATATAATAATAAAATTAAAATACGAGACATTTCTTTGTTTAGATTTTTCGTATCAACAATGGATGTACGAATATAGTGAGAAGTATGACAAATGATTCAAAAAAATCGACAGAATTAACACATAGGAAGATGGAAAAATACTCAGGGGAGGAAGAATGGAGAATCTTCGATCAACTTATCGCTCTCCACAATAATTTTCTCTCTCCTTCAGTGGCGATGAACGTTAGATTCACCCAAATCATCCATCTAATACAAACAATGAATTTTGTCTTGATTTCATTCTGATTCAGCTGGTACAGAGGCTGAACTTCATCCACTAACTCATCCCATTCTTTGCTCGATATAAACGACAAAGAATTTATTCAGAGGATCCTTCTCCAGATTTTGCGACATGCTCAGAGTCAAACTACCACTGTCAATCGGTTCCAACAAATGACAGTTGTTGGGATCATCATTCATCGTTTGGAGATCATGTAAAAATCTATTTCGTACACTACATCTACACAAATCAATCAAATATGGGTGAAAATTTGATCATTACCATTCAGCCCATTCTTCTGTAAAACTTGAATCTTTGCATGATTTTACTTTCTTTTTAATTTATAAAAAGTTCTATTTAGTTTTAATGATTTTACAAAAAAAATCTCTTTTGAAATCAAAGTTACTTTAATATGAGTCAACATATTTCCAACGACTTGAATTTGGGGATGTTCTTCGCGGGCTGATATTTGCTGACATCACAATTCCCTATTTCTTTCTTTAAAAGTATTTTTATTAATCTACGAAATTAAAAAGTTAAAAAATTAATATATCAATTGGAAATTATAAATATAATTAATTATTTTTTATCTTTCTTGTGTTTGACCTAAAACACCCTTATAAAATCAAATTATTCTAAATTAACTTATTTTTCAGCATTTATAAATTATAAATTTTCTGAATTTTCTTTACAATGACATAAAATATTTAGTCAAATTTTGGCACCATTGTCGAAGAATATTTTTAAAAATTAGTTTTTTTATGATCCATGTGATAGATAAAAAAAAAGATATTTCTAAAAAATTGTGATCCTTGTCTTTCTTTATTTATTTTTAGTTTTTATTATTTTATTAGGTTATTGTTTGGTTTTTTTTGTGTGGTGCATGCTAGGTAAGAAATCATTAAACCCAAGATTAGAATTTTCTGAAATTAGAAAGAAAAAGTTTTCTACTAAAAAAATTAAAAATTTGAATCCTGAAAATATGAATCCTCAAAATGCTAATCAACAACCTAGGTTATTGAAAGATAATTTCACCTCATATCTATGTGAAGACTTGTTGCAAAACCATGTTTGTACTAAAGAAATTAAACATAGTGTCTTTCAAATGTTACCTACTTTTTATAGCCGTCAATATGAAGATCCTTCTTATGCTCATCTTAGAGAATTTCAAAGAATTTGTGCTACCATTAAGGAAGTGGATGATTCAATGAGATTAACTTTATTTCTATTTTCTCTTAAAGATGAAGGTAGTTATTGATTTTCTACTTTAGATGGAAAATAGAACATAGGCTACATTATTGCAAGATTTTTTTAATCGATTTTATTCTAGAAGAAAAACTAAAACCATGAGGAAGGTAAGTTTAGATTTTTCACATAATTCAAGAGAAGCTTTTCATGAGACATGAGATAGAATGAAGGATCTGATGAGAAAATGTCCACATCATAATATTCCTAAAAGTCAAATAATTAGAATGTTTTATGATGGATTACTTCCTTCTTTTAAGCAAATGGTAGATGGAGTATGTGGAGGATTATTTTTAAATCAAAGTGAAGATGATGCATAGGATTATAAAAATCATATAAAATCACATAATTACTCAAAAATTTATATTAACTAACTAAAAACTACTTTTCACATTTTAACATAAATATAAGTCTATTTATCATGAGTTAAGACTAAAACTATATTATTAATTAATTATTAACTCATGATAATGAAGACTTATCACCACCCCAACTTAAATTATTGTTACTCTCTTAGTAATAGAATTATGAAAATTAATTAAAATTGAAAATTTTCAAACATCATATTTTTCATGTATAAAAATATAATTAGAAATAATTTACCTCTAGGCACTTTGTACCCTTATGTCAAGTATTTAATGATGTCAAACACTTAAATATTTAAGCACTTCTTAGAATAATAATCTAGACTTCATTTCTTTTATTCACATCTTTATCACTTTTTCACTCATAGATATTATTCACAAGATGTTTCAATTATCAATATTTATCTAAGAATAATATTGATTCTACATTTTTTTTTTCATGGCTTAATTTTTGATTTTTGTACTAATTTTCTTCTATTTTTTTCTATAGCGGATAAGTAACTTTTCTTGTAGACAAATTTTAACAATAAGAATGATGTCTCACACCCTCCATGTATAAATCCTTTCGTTTTCAGGGCTTTCACATTATCCACTTATTTTACAACAAATATTTTTTTATAAATTTTTTTTGATAATAAGAATGATGTTTCACACCCTTCATGTGTACTCTTTCTTTTCAAATTTTTCACATTAGTCTTTTTTTTCTAAATTTTAAAATAAGTGATTTCTCTTCACAAGTCATATAGATCAAGATGTAAAAATCTCCATGAAACTCAAATGATAAATCAAATTTTCACATCAAGTAAATACTATCCATCAAGATCATGAAGCGAAAATCTATAAAATTAAATTCATGTTATCTATCATATATTCAAAGAGTATTCTAACATTTCATATTACTAAATCATTCTTCTAACTCAATAATAATCATCATAATATCTTTTAATATCAATCAATCTAATTGATTTAATCTTTCATGCATGTAATATGGTGTAAGAAATTTGTAAATTTGATAGTTCTAATAATTATATTTTCTATTTTTACTTCTATTTTGAGAAATAATGAATTTTTTAAAAATAAATAAAAACTATCATCTTTATAGCTGTAATTTTTGAATTTCAGAAATATATGTCTAGGGGATTGAAATGTGAGAAAAGGGTCTCTAATTTTCAAATTTTGGATTATTTTCTTTGCTATTTTTGATAGTTTGTAACCTATTTTCTTCTATCCCTAACAAAAAACTAGAAAATAGATGTTGTAGTTTTTCTGATTTTTTGTTTAGTTGCTTTTATAGGTGAGCATGAAAACAAATACAAACACATGTTCATAATATAAATTAATTAACATAATATAAATAATATAAATCTATCACATTGTGCATCAGTCCTAGGCAAAGTGGTGCTTGATCTGAGACAATCTTGATGGGCTCTAAGTAGTCTCTTCTCCACAATAATCTTGAGCACGAGAATGTCATTGATAGGGCCTTGATTTTCTTTTTTTCCCTTCAGCTAGCCACTACTAGAGAGAGAGCCAAAAAGTGTCTTCCAAAAGGGGGTGAGATGCTTTAAACCTCTAGAGAATTAGGCCCCTCCAATAGATGGTTATGATTAATGATCGACTCTCTTAGTGGACAGCCTAGATTCTTTTATGAAGGTGACACTCTAATCTTCTTCTTAATCTTATCTTAAGGTACCCTAAGATGGGCAGCCTATATCTCGTCTCTTAATAACCCTTTTAAATTCAATGAGCTAAGCTAAAGTGACACCCTCTCTTGGGCCCATAAATATTTTAGGCTAGCCCTCTCCATAAGACTTAAGCTTTTCTTTGGGCTGAAGACTTGAACTTCTTCAATTACTTTCAACTCATAATAAGAGTTCACCTAAGTCCTTACAATCAAATAATTATTAAGAAAATTTGAAAGAATCACCACTTGACTTTAGAAAAGTCAAGCATGGTTAGTCTCATAATATAAATAAAATAAATAAAATAATATATATTATGACTTAAATGATAAAATATTATGAATGTCATAATGAGACTGTGACATATATATAATTTTATTCTGTACCTATTAATTAGTATTTATATATAAGATATTAATACATAGATGTAACTACTAATTTGTAATTATTAGCGGCGGTGATGCATCAATGATGCGTCAAAATCTTGAGCATTTGAGATGATTATCAAGCAATGTCCACAGCCTTAAAAACTCTCCTTACATAAAGATGAAATGAGCTATCTCTAGATCTTCTTGTGAAGTCAATAAAATGAGTCGTCGAGTCATCTTTGGCAGCTGTCACTCAACGGAGTGAAAAAATAGCAACAACTCTCTGACAATTGTCACATGACAATGGTGAGCTAGATGGAGGTGGAGCATGTATTAAGGACTTCATCCTTAGGTCCGCGCAACAAGAGGAAATTTTTTATCGCATCTAATATGTTCTCAAGAGGTGACAACTCGTCTCCTAATGAATTGTCTTCTTCCTAGTGATAACTTATTCGTCGATCAATTAGAGATAATTTACTCAATGGATTCATGATCTTTATCCAGAACCGTTCAACAAATTTAGTAACAATACTCTATGAATTGCATTGACAAGATTTTCATCGATGATTGAGTGATTCTAGTAGCTTAATCGTTCACTAGAAATTTGTTAAAAAATCATGATTTAATTAGGTAAAAATATGAGTTTTGGCTCTAGTAGGATTCGAATCCTCGTCGGTTGCTTGTCTACATTAGAGAGAGTGAAATAAGTACTCGAATATCCTTATAAAGTGACATCATAATGATATTTCTTTCTAATAAACAAGGGGTATTTTAGATATTAAAATCATAAAACCTTTAAGGGAGGCTATGACCGTCAATTTAGTCCCAAATCAATTTTATGCCGAGTTTGGGGTTGATATATAGTAATGCGAGATTTAATAATCAATGTGTCACTTTCTCACGTGTGTAAGACCACTTATTGTCCCATGCCCAATTGGCCACTAGTGATGTGGAAGGGGAGTGATACACATGTGCCCCATATCAATCTGTTTTTAGTTGCTTGATAAGAGTCTTCATTATCATGAGTTAATAATTAGTAAATAATATAGTTTTAGCCTTAACTCATGATAAATAGACTTCTATTTATGTTAAATTATGAAAAGTAGTTTTTAATTAATTAACATAATTTTTTGGCTAATTATGTGATTTTGTACGAATTTATATAATTTTTATAGTCTTATTTTTGAGATAAATGAAGAAAAAGAAATTAAATAAAAATATAGCAAAAAGGGGGGGGGGGGACCCACCAGCCAACCGGGCTCGTAAGTGGGTCGGAAGCATAATCGTGGAGGAGCCACGAGTAAGGGCTCGAGTGGCTAAGACCGATGGGGGCATGTGTGCGCCACTCCCCTTCCACGTCACTGGTAATAAGCCGGCTCTAGGGCAAGGAGTGATCGTACACAGAAGAAAATGACTCATTGCTTGCAAATGTAATATTATTATATATTCGCTTGAAACTTCGACACACAAGCAATGTGAGACTAAACTTGCATCACACTTTCTCTCGAAAAGTTTCGAAGATTTTAATACCTAAACTACCCCTTAATTATAATAGAGATATATTATGATGACATTACTTGATAATGGCATTAGAGTACTTATTTTAATCTCTCTCATGTAGGCAGAGAATTAGTATAGGTTCGAATCCTCCTTAGAGTCAAAACTCATATTTTTATCTGATTATCACGACTTTCTTGCAAATCGTCGGTGAAGGATTAAGCCGCTAGAATCACTAGATCATCAACGAAAATCTCATCAATGTGATTCGCGGAGCATTATTACTAAAATTATTGAATGATTCACGATAAAAGGATTGTGAATCTATCAAGTAAATCATCTGCAATTGATCGACGAACAAGTCATTGTCGGGAAGAGGATGATCCGCTGAGAGACAAGTTGCCACCTCTTAAGAGCGTACCAGATGCAGTGAAGAGCCTCCTCTTGTTACTTGGATCTGAGGATGAAGCTCCTTGACATGCACCCCACCTCCATCCAGTTCCTCTCTGTCGGGTGATAGCTGCTAGAGAGCCGCAAAGTCACCATTTTTCTACTCCACAAGTGACAACCGTCGGAGATGATTCAACGACCCATTTCATTGATCTCTAGATTTTGCAAGAAGATCTATAGATTGCCCACGTCATCTTTGTCCAAGGAGAGTCTTCGAGGTTGTGAACACTGCACGACGATCCTCTTGAATGTTGAAGATTTTGGTGCATCGCCAATACATCACTGTCAAAATGCCGAAACTCTGTTTTCCTACTTTCAACTTAATTTCTACTTTATTTAGTGATAATTTGTATGATTTAAATTTACTAAGCTATACTTTATTCAATTACGATTCTTTCAACTTTTACAAATCTTAATTTGATCAATTAAATCGTATGTAATCGCTTACGTAAGAATCATCGGGTGGAATTCTATTTTCGTCCAATTCGTGTTTGTCAATCACTGACGTCATCTTGACATCCACACCCTTATTTCTTTTTTTCATGAATTTTAAATATATTTTATTTTCATTTCTCAGTATAAAATTCTTAAAAAATCATATTCTTTGAGAAAAATTATGAAAAATTATATGATATTATATTACATCTCTGACCTAGAAATTACCACTATTTTTTGAAGTTTTTTGAATTATAATTGATAGATTTATTCATAAATACTTCTAAATATCCAAAAATTAGTATTTTCTAGTTTTATAAATTTTAAATTTACATGATTTACTATACAATGACTAAGTCACGTCACTACTCGAGCCCTGACTTGCAGCTTTGCTCGACTATACTTCCGACCCACTTGGGGGCCCAGCTAGATGGCGGGTTCCCTCTTTTGCTCTGTCTTTTTTTTACTTTATTTTATTTTTCTTCATTTATCTTAGAAATATGATTATAAAAATCATATAAATTCACATAAAATCACATAATTAGTCAAATTTTAGATTATCTAACTAAACTCTTTTTTATATTTTAACATAAATATAAGTCTATTTATCATGAGTTAAGACTAAATTTATATTATTAATTAATTATTGACTCATGATAATAAAGACTTATCACTTCACCTCACTATAATTTGTGTTGTCGTCAATGTATCACAAGAAAGAAGAAACAAATCACAAATAAATAATGAATCTCATAAGATGGGTTCAATAATATAAAAAAGTAAAGCATGACAAATCAGTCTAGACTGATGTTGCACAAATCTTAAAGGGATCTTAAGCTTTTGTGTGGAAATAATAGTGTGACAACCTAATAGTAAAATGAAACAAAACACTCAAAACTATGAAATCAAAGAACTGAAAGTAATCAACAAAATAAAATAAAATGCAGCAATTGAAGTGATCAATAGCTATTAGAAAATGACTCTAGTTGTTGTAGGCTAATGGAGATCGAAGCTGCCTACAGCTTGTACTCAAAGTAGGACTTCAAGTGTTGCCCATTTACTTTGGATGTTTTACCTATCTTAAGATTTATTATTAAAACAACTCTTGAGTTAAAATTCTGCCAAACGACAAATGAACCATTCCAATGAGATTTGAGTTTACTCAGAAATGATTTTAAACGAGAATTCTACAACTAAACCTTTTGATTTTGATAAAATGATGTTGACAAGAGGAAGAGAAAATTCTAAAGAAGAGTGCATAGGGTTATGTAGAAGAGAAGAAGAAAGAGAGAGAGAGGAAGAAGTGGAGATAGTGGAGGATGAATAAGGATGTAGAGAGAATAAGTCTAAAATGGGCTTCGTGGGCCTAGTGGGCCTATTTTAACACTTCCTTTCAAGTTGGAGCATACAAGTCAAAACATGCCTGATAAGTCTTCATTATCATGGGTTAATAATTAGTAAATAATATAGTTTTAGCCTTAACTCATGATAAATAGACTTACATTTGTGTTAAAGTGTGAAAAGTGGTTTTTAGTTGATTAACGTGAATTTTTGAGTAATTATGTGATTTTATACGATTTTTACAATCTTACTTTTGAGATAAATGAAGAAAAAGAAATTAAATAAAAATATAGCAAAAAGGGGGGGGACCCCCGCTAGTCAACCGGGCTTGCAAGCGAGTCGGAAGCACAATCAGGGAGGAGCCGTGAGCAAGGGCTCGAGTGGCTAATACTGATGGGGGCATGTGTGCGCCACTCCCCTTCCATGTCACCAGTGGCCAACCGACTGTGGGGCAAGGAGTGGTCGTACACATGCGAGAAAGGGACTTGATCAGGAATGTAGTATTACTTTATATTCGCCAGAAACTTTGGCGCACAACCAATGTGGGACTAAACCCGCGTCACCTTCCCCAAAAAGGGCGGTCAACCAGCGCGGGTTCGAATCCTCCTAGAGCCAAAACTCATATTTTTTTATCTGATTATCACGACTTTCTTGCAGATCGTCGGTGAAGGATTAAGCAACCAAAATCGTTGGATCATCGGTGAAAATCTCATCAATGCGATTCGTGGAGCATTGTTACTCAAATTGTTGAACGATTCGCGATAAAAGGATCGCGAATCCATCAAGTAAAGCATCTCCGATTGATCGACGAACAAGCCGTCATCAGGAAGAGGATGATCCGCCGGGAGACGAGTCACCACCTCCTGAGAGCGTACCAGATGCGATGAAGAGCCTCCTCTTGTTGCGCGGACTTGAGGATGAAGCTCCTTGACACGCGCCCCACCTCCATCTAGCTCTTCTCCGTCGGGTGACAGCCGCCAAAGAGCCGCAAAGTCGTCGTTTTTCCGCCCCACGGGGTGACAGCCGCCGGAGACGATTCGATGACCCATTTCATTAATCTCTAGACTTTGTAAGGAGATCTAGAGTTTGCCCAGATCGTCCTTGTCCAAGGGGAGCCTTCGAGGCCGTGGACACTGCACGACAATCCTCCCGAACGCTCAGGATTCTAGTGCATCGCCGACGCATCGCCGGAACTCTGTTTTCCTGCTTTCAACTTAATTTCCGCTTCTTTTAGTGATAATTTGTTGATTTTAAATTTACTAAGATATACTCTATTTCATTACGATTCTTCCGGCTTTTACAGATCTTAATTTGATCAATTAAATCGTCTGTAATCACTTACGTAAGAATCACGGGTAGAACTTTGTTTCTGCCCGATTTGCGTTCGCCGGGTGTTGACGTCATCCTGACGTCTGCACCCTTATTTCCCTTTTTTCGTGAATTTTAAATACATTTCTTTTTTATTTCTTAGTATAAAATTTATATAAAATATTATTCTTTGAAGAAAATTCTGAATAATTACCAGATATTATATTACATCCTTGTGATCGACTTGGAAAATTACCGTTATTTTTGGAAGTTTTATTGAATTAGAATTGATATATTTGTTCAGAAATACTTCTAAATATATGAAAATTCATATTTTCTAGTTTTATAAATTTTATATTTGCGTGATTTAATATACAACTAAGTCACGTCAAGTACTAAGTGATAACCTCAATAATGAAGTGAACAATTATGATGTGAACTTAGATACAATCTTGAAGAATATAGAACTAACTCACCCAAGTATAGTCATCAACAAAGACAATATAGTAGCAATGGCCTGAGAGAATACAAGAGGGACCCCAAACATCACAATTAATGAAGTCAAAGTGTATTGCGAATAGAATTTCGTCTTGATTCAATTATGATCCATGATAGTGTTTACCTAATTGACATGACTCACACAAAAACTTATTCAGAGAAAGACAAGGTAAAATATTTTAAGAATTTTCAAAACAAGTATGTCTTAAACAATAATGTCACAAAAGAGATGAAGTGGTCATAGAGGAAACAAAAAGAGCCCAAAGGCCAAAAGAAGATTCATTAAAAATTAGTTCGTAGACACCACATCCATTCTCATGCCCTAAGCTAATCCTCAACTCAGTATACAGATTCCGAAAGGTATAATGAAAAGAAAAAAATATAACGAAACAAAGGATAGCTTGGGTAATAGCACTAATACATAAGAGGTTAGTAGGAAATCTAGGAACATAAAAACCCTTGATGAGAGGAATACTTGAGGTAACAATAGTATTGCCATGTTCATTGACAGGACAAGTTTGGCCATCGGCAATAGTAACGAGTGGATGATGAGAGATAGGCTGATACGATGATAAAATGGTGGTTGTGCCAGTCATGTAGGTGGAGGCTCCGAGTCAATAATCCATGATGAAGATGAAGATGCAAGAAGGGCATGTGTACCTGACATGGAAAGACTCAGAAGCGAGGTCAGATTAGCTGAGGAATGAGCCATGGTACCACTGGAGCGACCTAATGCTTCATACTCGGCGGAGGTCAATGTCACCTAAAAAGTTAGAGATGGAACACTAGATGACGTCGGAGAAGTTGGTAAAGGAGGCAAGAGAGCTGGTTGGGCAAAGTTAGGCTTCTCGAACTATTTTCAATATTTGTTGGACGGGTGGTTCTACTTGTCAATAGATGTATATAGGAAAGAAATTACAACCCTTCTCTTGTGGCAGACGATTATTATTTGGTCTCAAAGTAGAAGAGTCATGTGATGCTTGAGGAGTAGAGACAATCATTGTCGAATGAGTAGATGTGATGTTACCAATAGTAGGAAGAGTGCTTGTACTCACACAAAGTACAACGGAGAAAATGTGAGAGATATTAGGTATCCGGTCTCTAGAGAACATCGTCCTATGAATCTGAGAGGTAATCGATGGGTGAAGTCCACTAAAATAGACTCTAATAAAATATTCTTGATGGTAGTGCTCAAATGTCCAGAGATCAGTGGTTGGAGGCTGATAGATGGCAAGCTCATATATTAGGCCCTAGAGACAACTGAAATGAGTATGAAGTGAGGAGATGTCCTGCTTGCAAGTAATAAATGACTTGAAGATCTCGACCATGTGACTGATATTCATTTGGTTGATGTATATGTTTTCCAATGTCGTCTAGAGTTGTTGCACAAAGTGAATTCAAGTGAGAGGCTTAGTAATACTCAACTCAATACTTTAAAGCATCTAAGTAAGGATGGTTGAATTGAGTTGAGATCATGAAGCAAAGGATGGATCAGTGAGGCTAGGCAAATAAGTTGATAAGTGGTGGAAAAGGTTGTGCGATGTCAAGAGTGCTCAAATCCGGAGGCCCATGATATATAATTATGTCAATTGAAGACATATGCTAGTCGAGTGAGTTGTGTTGTGGAGTAGCCAACTCGATTAGAGGAAAAGTGACGGCTAGTTGAAGAACTAGTGAAGGAGGCACCTGAGACATCGAGGATTCACCCACCAGATCCATAGATTAAGATTATCAGGAGATGAGATGATGCTGGAAGAGGACGTCCCCAAAGCTGCATGTGACGTCGGAGGCGGCATAGGCGGCGCAAGCGGAACCTACAGTCAATGCACGGGACACTAGGGGGAGATGGTGCCGTCAAGCACACAAGCATAGCGACGTGTCTGGCGAGCGTGCAGGACGGTGCTAAGCAAGTGCCAAACAGACACATAGGTGGCATGCGGCAGGAGGTGCGGCAGGCGTGCAGGGCTATGCATACTGGGCACCAAGTAGCATGCAAAGAGGCACCACAGGAGATTGTGTCGAGAGGATATGTGATGTCGAGATAGAAGAAGAGGTAGAGTGACGCGACAGAGAAACCTTAGGGCTCTAATACCATGTTGACAAAAGGAAGAAAAAGATCCGAGAATTGATATATTGAAGAAGAGGAGTGATGAGGTTATATAGAAGAGAGGAAGAAAGAGAGAGAGAAAGGGAGAAGTGGAGATAGTGGAGGAAGAATAGGAATGTAGAGAGATTAAGTCTAAAATAGGCTTGTGATGAACTTGAATTAGAGGTCACATACATCATCGTGATGCAACCAAGTTCATGCAAATAATATTTATAAAACCTCACTCTTCTACTTAGGATAAGTAAGGGTCAATCCTCAAGTAGCGTGGGTAATGAGAGTATGAATTCTATTTATTTTATTTCTTATATAGATATATATATATATATATATATATCCGTGAGATTGTGAAAGACATAATTAAATGTAAAAGAGTGAAGACAAGAGTTGTGAAAAATATGACAAAGGGGAGAGAATAGATCTAACGCAATGGAATGATAGAATAAATGATAAAATTAGTTCGAATTAAAAGTTAATCTATCCTTGTAGAGGATTACAAGGATGCCCAAATCTAGATCTTGCACAAACCTCGTTGTGCATCAGTCCTAGGCCGAGTAATACTCGATCCATGATGATCTTGATGCACTCCAGATAATCTTTTCTCCACAATGATCTTGGGCATGAGAATGTAGTTGATCAGGCCTTGATTTCCCTTCTGTTTCCTTCAGCTAACCACTACTAGAGAGAGAGAGCCAAAAAGCACCCTCCAAGAGGGGGGTGAGATGCCTTAATCCTCTCGAGAGTTAGACCCCTCCAATGGACAATTAAGATTAATAACCAACTCTCTTAATGGATGGCCCAGTTCCATGAGGGTGACGCTCTAATCCTTCTCTTAATCTCATCTTAAGGTGCCCTAAGATGGATGGCTTAGATCTTATCTTTTGATAGCCTTTTTAAGTTCAAATAGGCTAGGCCAAAGTGACACCCTCTCTTGGGCCTATAAACATATTAGGTCGACTCACTCTATAAGACTTGGGCTTTTCATTGGATTGAAGGCTTGGGCTTCTTCCATTACTTCTAACTCAAATTAAGAACTCGCCTAAGTCTTTGCAATCAAATAATTATCAAGAAAATGTGAGAGAATTACCACTTTAGTTCATAAAAGTCGTGGAGTTAATCTCATAATATAAATAAAATAACTAAAATAATGTACATTAGGACTTAAATGATAAAATATTATAAATATCATAATGAGTTGGTAACACATGTATAATAGTATTATCTACTCATTAATTAGTATCTATATATAAGATATGAATGTATAGATGTAATTATTAATTTATAATTATCAGCTTGGTGGGCCCAGTGGGCCTATCTAACAAATGATTTACAATTGATTTTCTTGTCTTGAAATGCTTTAAGTTTGGCCTCGTAGATATTGGAATTCTCATAAGCTTCATTTCTTAACTCTTGTAATTCTTGCAATTGAAGAACACATTGCTTTCCTACATGTTCTAAGGAAAGATTAAGCTATTTGATGGCCCAATATACATGATGCTCAATTTCAATAGGTAAATGACACACTTTGCCATAAATTAGGCAAAAAGGAGACATGTCAATTGGATTTTTAAATGTTGTTTTGTAAGCCCATAGTGTATTCAGAAGTTTTTCAACCTAATCTTTACCATTAGGCCATATGATCTTCTTTATTTCTCTATTTCTCAATTTCTCAATTTCACCTATCCATTAGCTTGAGAATGATATGGAGTCATAATCCTATGATCTACTTCACATTTTTTAAGCAAATTTCAAAAGTAAAAATTATTAAAATAGGATCCACTATCACTAATGATAACACGAGGACATCTAAATCTAGAAAACATATTCTACACAATGAACTTGCATACAATTTTATGATCAGTGGTTCTAGTGGAGATAGTTTCTACCCATTTGAAAATATTATCAACATATAATAGAATATATTCATTGTATGTAGAAGAAGGGAATGGACTCATAAAATCGATCCCCCAAAGGTCAAATATTTCAACCTCCAAAATTGATTGATTTCATCCTTTTTCGAGATGTTTACCATGGCAAAAAAGATGAGAATGTTGAAAAATAGTAGGCCAATTGATAAGTCTTCATTATCATGAGTTAATAATTAGTAAATAGTATATTTTTAGCCTTAACTCATGATAAATAGACTTATATTTGTGTTAAAGTGTGAAAAATAGTTTTCAGTTGATTAACGTAATTTTTTGGCTAATTATGTGATTTTCTAAGAATTTATATGATTTTTATAGTCTTATTTTTCAGATAAATGAAGAAAAAGAAATAAAAATAAAAATATAGTGAAATGGGGGGTGGGGGGGACCCACTGGCCAACCGGGCCTGCAAGCGGGTCGGAAGTGCAGTCGAGGAGGAGCCACGAATAGGGGCTCAAGTGGCTAGGACCAATGGAGGCATGTGTGCACCACTCCCCTTCTACGTCACCGGTAGTCAGCCGACTCTAGGACAAGAAGTGGTCGTACACGTAAGAGAAAGAGACTCATTGCTTGCAAATGTAATATTACTATATATTCACTTGAAACTTCGACGCATAAGTGATGTTGGACTAAACCCTCATCACACCTTCCCTCGAAAGGTTTCGAAGATTTTAATACCTAAACTACCCCTTAATTATAATAGAGATATACCATGATGATATCACTTGATAAGGGTATTAGAATACTTATTTCAATCTCTCTCATGTAAGCAGACAATTGGTATAGGCTTGAATCCTCCTAGAGTCAACTCGTATTTTTATTTGATTATCACGACTTTCCTGTAGATCACCGGTGAAGGATTAAGCCGTCAGAATCACTAGATCATCAGCGAAAATCTCGTCAATGTGATTCACAAAGCATTGTTACTAAAATTATTGAATGATTCACGATAAAAAGATTGTGAATCCATCGAGTAAATCATCTGCAATTGATCGACGAATAAGTTGTCGTCAGGAAGAGGATGATCTACTAAGAGACAAGTCACCACCTCTTAAGAGCGTACCGAATGCAATGAAGAGCCTTCTCTTGCTACTCAGATCTAAGGATGAAACTCCTTGACATACACCCCACCTCCATCTAAGTCTTTTTCATTGGGTGACAGCCGCTAGAAAGTCACAAAGTCATCATTTTTCTACTCCACCGGGTGACAGTCGCCGAAGATGATTCAACAACCTATTTTATTGATCTCTAGACTTTGTAAGAAGATCTAGAGATTGCCCATGTCGTCTTTGTCCAAAGAAAGTCTTCGAGGTCATAGACACTGCACGACGATCCTCTTGAATGCTCAAGATTTTGGTGCATTGTCAATACATCATCGCCGCAATGCCAGAACTCTATTTTCCTTTCAACTTAATTTCTACTTCATTTAGTGATAATTTGTGTGGTTTAAATTTACTAAGCTATACTTCATTCAATTACGATTCTTTTGACTTTTATAGATCTTAATTTGATCAATTAAATTTACCTTTAATCGCTTACGTAAAAATCACCAGGTAGAACACTATTTTAACCCGATTCATATTCGTTGGATGCTGACGTCATCCTTACGTCCGCACCCTTATTTTCCTTTTTTGTGAATTTTAAATATATTTTATTTTTATTTCTTAGTATAAAATTCATAAAAACTCATATTCTTTGAGAAAAATTCTAAAACATTACTTGATATTATATTACATCCTTATGATCGATTTGAAAAATTATCACTATTTTTTGAAGTTTTGATTAAATTATAATTGATATATTTGTTCAGAAATACTTCTAAATATCTAAAAATAAGTATTTTCTAGTTTTATAAATTTAAATTTACATGATTTACTATACAACGACTAAGTCACGTCACCAATAAAATCTACATTGCAAGATTTTTGTTGCAGTCTTTTTGGATACAATGTCCCCACCACATGTTGAAGAATGACACATAGTTAGCATGTTGAATTGTTTCTTTTCAAGTACACATTTGTGCAAGATTTTGTCAATTCCTAGATGAAATAATTCAGATTATTCCTAAAAATAAACTTAAGGTCATTGAAGAATTTACATTTCATGTTCATTGACCAACGTGTGGACACTTGTCACCAAATAATTCACAATATGCATGTACTATGGTAGTGTACATGTATCAACTTTTAGTAAATGTTCATTAGGAAAAGAGTGTAGAATAGGTAGATTATTAAATACATAAATCTAGATAAATGGTTTGCGATGTAATTCTTGCTGCCATTCTTTTCCTTGATGTCTAAATCAAATTCTTGTAATAAAAGTATCCATCAAATTAATCTCAGTTTAGGTTCTTTCTTGGCTAAAAGAAACTTAATGGCTGAATGATACGTATAGACAATTACCTTAGTTCAACAAGTATTATTGAAATTTATCTAAAGAAAATACAATAGCTAACAACTCTTTTTCTGTCGTAGTCTAATTTAATTGAGCATCAGCCAGAGTTTTACTCGCATAATGAATGGTGACTGATTTCTTATCAATTCATTGGTTTAGGACTGCTCCTACAACAAAATCTGATGCATCACACATTAATTCAAAAGGGTGACATCAATTAGGACCTTGTAAAATTGGGTCTTCTGTCAATACTTATTTCACTCTCACAAAAATTTATTTTCCTTCAGTGCTAATCATAAAATTAGTATCTTTAGAAAGTAATTGAGTGAGGGGTGTAGCTAAATTTACAAATCCTTCAATGAATCATCTATAAGACCCTGCGTGTTCTAAGAAAGTATGTAATTGTTTAAGAGATGTGGGTAAAGGAAGGTCTTTGATTACCTCAATTTTCACTTTGTCCACTTCCAATCCACACTAACTAACTACATGCCCAAGCACCACACCTTCCTTTACCGTATAGTGGGACTTCTCTCAACTTAGAATGAGTTTCTTATCAACATAAATCTGCATTACTTTAGTCAGGTTGGTTAAACAATCATCGAATATTTGTCCAAATACAGAAAAATCATCCATAAAATTTTTAAGACAATCTCCCATGAGACTAGAAAACATTGCACTCATGTATTCGTGAAATGTTTTTGGTGTGTTGCATAATCCAAATGGCATCCTTGTAAATGCATATGTTTTAAATGGATAGATAAACGTCGTCTTCTCTTGATCTTTTGGAAAAAAATTCAATTTGATTGTAAACTAAGTAACTATCTAAAAAATAGAAATAATGTTGCCCTATAAGACATTCTAAAATCTGATCAATAAAGGGTAAAGGAAAATGATCTTTCTTTGTTACTTCATTGAGATTTTTATAGTCAATACAAACATGCTAGCTAGTGGTGAGTTTTGTCTTGATCTCTTCGTCTGTTTTTTTAGAAACTATTACACCTGATTTTTTTAGAATAATATGAATGAGATTTATTGACGTGACTTAGTCGTTGTATAAATAATCATGTGAATTTAAAATTTATAAAACTAGAAAATACTAATTTTTAATTTTTTTTAAAATTTAAAAATATTCAACAAAAAGGTAATCAATTATAATTTGATAAAAGGTTCCAAAAATAGTAGAGAATTTCCAAGTTGATCAGAGGGATGTAAGATAATATTGAGAAATATTTCAATTTTTTCTAAAGAATATTATTTTTTATCATTTTTAGACTAAATGATGATTATAAAATACATTTACAAAATCATGAAAAAGAAAAATAAGGGTGCAGATATCAGAATGATGTCAACATCTAGACAAACATAAATGGTGATTTTTAGGTAAGCGATTATAGACAATTTAATGGGTCAAATTAAATTCTATAAAAGTCAAAAAAATTATAAATAACATAGAAATATAGTTGATTCTACATGTAGAGGAATTTTTATGGAGAAAACCCTAATGAGATTTATGGCCTTTATGAGAATTTAAGTAAAAATTCCAGAGATCAAGCATCTTTTGAGTTATATAAAAAGATAAGAAGAAAAAAAATTATGAATTGCATCATCAAGATGATACTAATTTAAGAAATAAGGTTAATCAGATTAATCAAAGATTAAAAAAACTTAATTTACTTATTGACAATATTAGAAAGCCTCCTAACTCCTAATCTAATTCAAATAATACATGCACTATGCATGGTGGAATGAACATTCTGAATTTTAATATTGTAATTTAGATCAATCATTTCAGCCTATACAAGAACAAGTGCATGTAGCTCACAATTTTGTTAAAAATAAAAAAACTTTTTCTAATTTTTATAATCCTAATTAGATGAATAATTTTTCATAAAGACACCGAAATAATATTCAAAATCAAGAAACACTTAGACCCAATTAAAGTTCTAAATTTTGTCCAAAATAAGAAAATAGATTTCAAAAATCTCAGCCCTTTCAAATCTAACTTGATTTTATAAATATGATGTAGCAAATGAGTCAAATGATGTTGTAATAAAAAAAATTTATAGAGGCTTTTGAAAATAAGAGAGAGGAGGGACAACTACCTAGTTAGCCCATAGAAAATCTAAGAAACTGCCCAATAGTAAAATTTTAATAAGGAGAGTAGCTAGACAAATTTAGAAAACAACTCACAAAATGAACATGTTAGGATAGTGAATACATTGTGGAGTGAGAATATTGGAGTTGATCCTTACTCCCAATCATTAGAGAAAATAGATGAGCCATTAGAAGTAAATGAGAATATTAAGACTGAAAATATAGTTGTAGAAAAATTGAATTAAATTATTTATTACTTATGATTGATGAATGAATATAGTGAGGATGATGAGGAAGAAACCTTAGATTAAGAAACAACAGCTGATTGTGGAGAAATCATCTAAATTTTAGTAAAATAAGAAAAACTATATTTCGAATGAGGAAAAACTAGTTGAGTTGAGAGATGTTGGAGATGAAATTAATAAATCTAATCAGTATTTTACACCAATGGATGTTGATAGTAATGATGATGCATATCATATACCGAAATTAGAAGATAGCTCTTGAGAAGATGAAAAATTTGATAAGCTGAGAAATGAAAAACTAGAAAAAGAGTTGATTCAACTAATCAAGAGAAACGAAAAGAATGAAGATGAAAATAGGGATAATTTTGAAAGAAAAAATTTGAATTTAATAAATTCATTACATCTAAGATTAAAGTAGATAATTATTCCATCCTTCAAAACCCACAGCCCATTAGAATTAAGTCTAAATTTGAAATATTCACTCCTCACAAATTGAACACATGTAGGGGAAGATAAATAGAGTAAGGAAAGAGTGCATTAAGAAATGGGTGAGTCGAAGAATTAGATTTATCACATTTTATGAGCTAATTTGGGTAAGAGCTAATTTGAAAATTATATGGCTAAAAGTATCTCAAGGTATATATATATATATGAAGTACATGAATTTATTCTAAATCTGAAAAAGAATATTATGAAACTTACATTGGGATACAAATATATTTTGATGGCCATATATCACCTTATGTGCTCTAAGAGTTGTCTAGCCGAAGACTTTAAATTCAGCACTACACGAGAGGAAACCCATGGTTTTTATTTCATTAATTATGTTTTGTCCTTTTAAGTTCTATTTTTTTTTGTTTTTGTATTTAGTTTTTTCAAATAAAAGTGCAGGAGGAAGAGTGTAAGACACTTAAATTTGCATATATGCATGCTTCACTTGAAATTTATATTTACTACATATTGTGTTCCAATTTTTTTGTGTCATTGAGGACAATGTCATTTTTAAGTTAAGGAGTGAAGTATTAAGTCTTAATTTATGTTGTAGAATGATTAAGAACATATGTTTATATTTTCTTTCATGATCACCTGTAAAAATAACTAAAAATAAAATAAATTTAGAAAAATAATAACGTCTATTTTCTTATTTTCTGTCAGAAACTACAAAAAACAATTTACAAATTTTCAAAAAAACAGAAAAAATAATCCAAAACTTAAAATTTTAGAGACATTTTCTCACATTTCAATCCCCTAGACATATATTTCTGAAATTTGAAAATTATAGCTACAAAGAGGATAGTTTTGATTTATTTTTGGCAAATTAATTGTTATTGAAAATAGAACTAAAACTAAAACGCAGAATTTTCAGAACTATCTAATTTAAAATTTTCTTACATCATATTACATGTATGAAAAATTAAATCAATTAGATTGAGTTATACCAAAAGATATTAGGATGATTATTATTGAGCTAGAAGAATGATTTAATAGCATTAAATGTTGAAATAATCATTGGATACATGATAGATAACATGGAATTGATTTTATTGATTTTCACTTCATAATCTTGATTAATAGTATTTACTTGATGTGAAAGTTTAATTGATCATTTGAGTTTAATAGAGATTTTTACACCTTGATTTATAAGATTTGTGAGAAGAAATCACTTACTTCACTTATTTTTAAATTCTAATTAAATTTTACAATTCCATTGCTAAGGGACTAGTAATGATTTATGTTGGGAGGTGTGATAAGTCTTCATTATCATGAGTTAATAATTATTTAATAATATATTTAAATTCTTAACTTATGATAAATAGACTTATATTTATGTTAAATTATGAAAAATAATTTTAGTTGGTTAATGTGAATTTTTCACTAATTATGTTATTTTATATGAATTTTTATAATTTTTGTAATCATATTTTAGATATAAATGAAGATAAATAAAGTAAAATAGAAAGAAAAAGGGGGGAACCCACTAACCAGTTGGGCCTACAAGTGGGTCAGAAGTGTAGTCAGGTGGATCTGCAAGTAAGGGGCTCAAGTGACAAAGGGACCAGTAGGGGACACATGTGTGTCACTCCCCTTCCACGTCACTAATGGTCAACCAAGTGTGGGCAAGGAATGGTCATACACACTTGAGAGGGGCTTATTGGTCACATAATCTCATCTTACTATATATTCGTCTCAAAATTTGAGAAATAACTGATGTGAGATTAAATTAGTGTCACACCTTCTCATAAAGTTTTTAATTATTTTAATACCTAAAAATATCCTTTATTTATGAGGAAATACCCATATGATGTCACTTGATAAGTCTTCATTATCATGAGTTAATAATTAGTAAATAATATAGTTTTAGCCTTAACTCATGATAAATAGACTTATATTTGTGTTAAAGTGTGAAAAGTGGTTTTTAGTTGATTAATGTGAATTTTTGGGTAATTATGTGATTTTATACGAATTTATATGATTTTTACAGTCTTACTTTTGAGATAAATGAAGAAAAAGAAATAAAAATAAAAATAAAACAAAATGAGGGGGAGCCGCCAGCCAGCCGGGCCCCCAAGTGGGTCGGAAGTGCAGTCGGGGAGGAGCCGCAAGCAAGGGCTCGAGTGACTAGGACCGATAGGGGCATCGAGTAAAGCATTGTTACTAAAATTGTTGGATCATCAGCAAAAATCTCGTCAATGTGATTCGCGGAGCATTGTTACTAAAATTATTGAACTATTTGCGATAAAAGGATCACAAATCCATCGAGTAAAGTATCTCCGATTGATCGACAAACAAGCCGTCGTTGGGAAGAGGACGATCTGCCACCTCTTAAGAGAGTACCAGATGCGATGAAGAGCCTCCTCTTGTTGCGCGAACTTGAGGATGAAGCTCCCTAACACGTGCCCCACCTCCATCTAGCTCATCTCCATCGGGTGATAGCCGCCAGAGAGCCGCAAAGTCACCGTTTTTCTGCTCCACCGGGTGACAGCCACCGAAGATGGTTCGACGACCCATTTCATTGATCTCTAGACTTTGCAAGGAGATCTAGAGATTGCCCACGTCGTTCTTGTCTAAGGAGAGCCTTTGAGGCTGTGGACATTACATGACGATCCTCCTAAACGCTCAAGATTCCGGTGTATCGCCGACGCATCGCCGCCGTGATGCCGAAACTCTGTTTTCTTGCTTTCAACTTACTTTTCACTTTATTTAGTGATAATTTTGTGATTTAAATTTACCAAGATATACTTCATTCAATTATGATTCTTCTGGCTTTTACAGATCTTAATTTGATCAACTAAATCGTTTGTAATCGCTTATGTAAGAATCACCGGGTGGAACTCTGTTTTCGCCTGATTCACGTTCACCAAGATCTGATGTCATCTTGACATTCGCACCCTTATTTCCCTTTTTTGTGAATTTTAAATATATTTTCTTTTCATTTCCTAGTATAAAACTTATAGAAAATAGTATTCTTTAAGGAAAATTTTAAATAATTACCATATATTATATTACATCCCTATGATCGATCTGGAAAATTACCGCTATTTTTGGAAGTTTTATTGAATTATAATTGATATATTTGTTCAGAAATACTTCTAAATATCTGAAAATTCGTATTTTCTAGTTTTATAAATTTTAAATTTGTGTGATTTACTATAAAATGACTAAGTCATGTCACCACTTTATAACGATATTTACCTACTTATTTCACACTCTCTCATATAGGTAGGCGATCAATAAGGGTTTAAATCCTACAAGAGTCAAAACTCATATTTTTGTCTCATTAAATCATATTTTTTCTAGACTATTAGTGAATGATTAAGTCATCAGAATCGCTCAATCATTGGCGAAAATCTCATTAACACGATTCACACAGTGACGTGACCTAGTTATTATAAAATAAATCACGCAAATTTAAATATTTATAAAACTAAAAAATACTAATTTTTAGATATTTAAAATTATTTATGAAAAAATATATCAATTATATTTCAAGAAAAGTTTCAAAAGTAAGATTTTTTCACATCGATCACTAGGATGCAATATAATATCAGGTAATATTTTATAATTTCTACAAAGAATACAATTTTTAATAAATTTTAAATTAAGCAATGAATAAAATATATTTAAAATTCATGAAAAAGAGAAACAAGGTGCGGGCATCAGAATGATGTTAGCACTTCGATGAACGTGAATTGAATAGAAATAGAGTTCTATCTAATGATTCTTACATAAGTGATTACAAACGATTTAATTAGTTAAAATAAGTTCTATAAAAATTAGAATAATTATAATTTAATAAAGAAGAGTTTTAAAACTTGAAATCACACAAAGTATCATTAAATTAAAAGTAGAAAAGATAGAGTTCCAACCTTGCGACAATGATCTTTGGAATTTTGTATGTTTAGGATGGTTATTGTATGATGTCCACAACCTTAAGAGTTCTCCTTAAACATAGATGCCCTAGGCATTCACTAGATCTCTTGCTGCCTCCTAAGAGTACACCTCCTAAGAGCATACCAAATGCGATGAAGAGCCTCCTCTTGTTGCGTGGACTTGAGGATGAAGCTCCCTAACACGCGCCCCACCTCCATCCAGCTACTCTCTATCGGGTGACAGCCGCCGGAGAGCCGCAAAGTTGTCATTTTTCCGCTCCGCCGGGTGACAGCCATCAGAGATGGTTCGACGACCTATTTCATTGATCTCTAGACTTTGCAAGGAGATCAAGAGATTGCCCACATTGCCCTTGTCCAAGGAGAGCCTTTAAGGATGTGGACACTGTATGACGATCCTCCCAAATGCTCAGGATTCCAGTGCATCGCCGACGCATCGCCATCGTGACGTTGCAACTCTGTTTTACTGCTTTCAACTTAGTTTTCATTTCATTTAGTGATAATTTGTGTGATTTAAATTTACCAAGATATACTTCATTCAATTACGATTCTTTCAGTTTTTACAGATCTTAATTTGATCAATTAAATCGTATATAATCACTTACATAAGAATCACTTGATGAAACTCTGTTTCCACCCGATTTGCGTTCGCCGAGTGCTGACATCATCTTGACATTCGCACCCTTATTTTCTTTTTTTGTAAATTTTAAATATATTTTATTTTTATTTTCTATTGTAAAATTCATAGAAAATAGTATTCTTTGAGAAAAATTTTGAATAATTACCTGATATTATATTACATCCCCACAATCAACTTGGAAAATTACCACTATTTCTAGAAGTTTTATTGAATTATAATTGATATATTTGTTCATAAATACTTCTAAATATCTAAAAATTCGTATTTTCTAGTTTTGTAAATTTTAAATTTACGTGATTTACTATACAATGACTAAGTCATGTCAACAAGTCATCGTCGAAAGGAAGGCGATCCATCAGGAGACAAGTTGTCACCTCTTGAGAATGTACCAAATGCGATGAAAAATTTCCTCATGCTATGCATACCTGAGGATGAAGCTTCCTAAGAGGTACCCCCACCTTCATCATACTTATCTCTATTGGGTCATAGTTGTCAAAGATTTGTAAAGTTGTCATTTTTTTGTTTCGTAAGGTGACAATCGCCAAAGATAATTTGTCAACCTACTTGATTTATTTCTAGACTTTACAAGAAGATCTAGAGATTACTCACATTGTCCATTTTTAGGAGAACCTTTGAGACCATGGATATTGTTTGATATTCCTTTCATACACTCAAAATTTTGACACATCACCACCATGACACCATAACTCTATTTTATTATTATTTTTAATTAATTTAAATTTTACCATCATTTTCTAGATTTTGAAAAGAGATCTAACGAATGTCTAGTCATTCATATCCAAGGAGAGCTTTGAGGCCATAAACATTGTTCAATAATCCTATCAAATATAAAAATTTTGATGATCGTTGTTGCGAGGCCGAAACTATCTTTCCAACTTTCAACTTATTTTTTGCTTAATTTAGTGATACCTTGTCTGATTTCAAATTTCGAAACTCTTCTTTATTAAATAAGGATTCTTATAACTTTTATAGATCTTAATTTGACCAATTAATTTGTTTGTAATCGTTACGCAAGAATCGTCAAGTGGAACTCTATTTTTACCCAATTCACGTTCATCAGGCTGCTGACATCATCTTGACATTTGCACCCTTATTTTCTCTTTTCATGAAGTTTAAATATCTTTTATTTTTATTCTTAATCTAAAAATTATAAAAAATTATATTCTTTGTAAAAAAAAACTAAATATTATTCAATATTATATTAAGTCCATGTGATCAATTTGGAAAATCCTCACTATTTTTAGAACTTTTATTGAATTATAATAGATATATTTGTTCAAAAATACTTGTAAAGATCTGAAAATTAGTTTTTCCATCTAAAATCGTTGATTAGGTGCAACTGGAGATCTTTGTTTTTCATTGATGAAGATTCCATTGTTGATTGACTATCTCCCTTGTTCTTTCTATTGACTATTTTCTTATAGAAAAACCATGGAGTCAAAATAAGAAAAAATCTTTTAGTGTCAATGATCTTCAAAGCTCCATCGGTCATGTGGCTGCATAAAAGAAGTTAAATAATTCTCCACTATACCCTTGAAATAGGAAAAAATGATGTTTTACCTTCTCTTTACATAGGAGTATTTTCAAGATTATTTCCCTAACAATGTCATAGTAGCAATTTAGTCCCACATCGGTTGTTTTGGGGAACTTAAGAACTATAAAAGTTTAAGTTTTCCTACACATTTGACTTCCTACTCCTATAAACAAAATACCCAAGATAACTTGGGGAGAAGAGATAGCTAATGGTCATCCCCCACACAACATGTGTGATAAGATCATACTTTGCCCCACACACCACTTTTCCCCCCCTCCCCCCTCCCCCCCCTAGTGACGTGGAAGAGGAGTGACACACACATTCACAATGTGGGTACTCAAGCAACTTGAGCCCAGCCCGTGGTTCTAATGAGAATGGGTTCACCCACTAGAGTAGTCCCCCTATGATTAGATAGTCAAGTGTCAAGTGCCAGTTGGCCAATGGTTCCCCTCACTTTTTATTATTATTTTATTTTATTTTACTTCATCTTGACTTGAAAACATAGATATGTACTCATATAAAATCACATAATTAACCATAAATTAAAATTATCTATGTAAAAATAATTTTCTCAATTTAAGACAAATATAAGACTATTTATCATGAATTAATGTGTAAAATATATCATTAAATTAAACCATAAACTCATGATAGTAGAGACTTATTAGAGACCAACAAATTAATGAGTCGACATGAATGTTAAATCACAGAATTATCTTACAATATGTATTCAACAAGTCGAGGGTGTATTTCCAAATGATGATGTACATTAATAAAACAGATGGGGTTTTAAAGATCATCATGCCCAATGATTATTTCCATTCTCCTCTTCTCTTGCTAAGATGTTGATAGAAGTTAGAAGGTGTTGCAACTTAAATTAAGTCAAGGAAGATCACTGAACACTAATGCAAGATCCTTTACTCAAAGCCCTTATGTATTTTGACCACGTAGTTGAGACCTTACAAATTCTCACTTGATTCCTACAAAACAACTTCACTAAAAACATGAAGACATATTTAAGGTAAGGAAAATGGTTCTTATTAGTTGTGTCATTAGAAATTCTTAGTATTTATAAGAAATCACATAAAAAATCTTACTAAATTTGTTTAATCTTCCAATGTCTATTTTTCTTAGAATAAATATACATTCAAATAACTTAGATACTGATTTGATATATCCATCAAAAGACTTAAATATACATGGATGAAACCAATTATTTTACATTAAGGCTCAAGTTATTATCAGAATCGTATTAGTTCAAATTATAACAACCAAGATTTGATAACATGAATTCCAAATAGGAAATTTATATACGATGTGACTTAATCATTGTACAATAAAATATATAATTTTCAAATTTATAAAACTAGAAAATACTAATTTGTAGATTTAACAAGTATTTTAGCAAAAATATATCAATTATAATTTGATAAAAGGCTCCCAAGATAGTGAAAGCTTTTCAAGTTAATCACAGAGATGCAAGATAATATTAGGCAAAAATTTAAATTTATTTTCAAATAATATGATTTTTTATGACTTTCAAACTAAATTATGAAGAGATAATATATTTAAAAAAATTGCAAAAAATAAAATTTCAGGTGATGAATTAATATGACATCAGCACCTCACGAACATGATTTAATTAAAAATAAAGTTCTCCTTGAAAATTATTATGTATGTGATTATAGATTATTTAATTGATCAAGTTACTATTTGTAAAAGCCAAAAAAATTGTAACGGACTAAAGAAGCATTTTAAATTTTGAAGTCACAAAAATATCACTAATTTAAAGAATAATTAAGTTTAAAGTTGGAAAAAAAATCTGACATTATAGTGACAATCGCTAGAATTTTGAGTGTACGGGAGTATTTCCATGCAATGTCTAGAGTCGCAAAGGCTCTCCCTAGATATGTTCGTTGTGAAAAATCTATGTATCCTCTTGTGAAATCTAAAAATTAATAAGTTGGGTTGATGAAGAATCTTTGATGGATGTCACTCAATAGAGTAGAAGTTCAATAATATTCTTTGATGATTGTCACTTGACTTAGATGAGTTTGATGAAAGCGTAGCATGTTTTAGGGAGCTTCATCCTTAAGTCTGTGTAGCAAAAGGAGACTCGTATTGCATTTGGTACACTTTGAAGAGACAACAACTCGTCTCTGAACGAATTGTCATGTTCTCAACAATGGCATATTTTCAATCAATTGAATATAATTTTCTTGATGAATTCGTGACCTTTTTATCTAGAATCATTTGTCAATTGATAATGATGCTCTAAAAATCATGTTGACAAAATTTTAATAGGTGATCGAGCGATTTCAACGACTTGACCATTGATTGGCATTATGTAGAAAAATCATGATTTAATCAAATAAAAAAGGTTAATCATTACTTTGATAGGATTCGGACCTTCGATGGTTACTTGGCGGTATGAGAGAGGGTTATCAAATTACTCAAATACCTTAGACATATTGACATCATCGGTGAGTTTCCTTCTTATAGTGTAAAGGTATTTTAGGTATTTAATTTATTTATTTTATTTTTCATCATTTTAACTCAAAAATGTGAATGTAAAAATATTATATAGTCGCATAATTAACTAAAAAATCACATTAATCACATAAAACCCCCTTTTCTGGATTTAATATAAATACAAGGCTATTTATGATGATTTAAGGTGTCAATTATATTATTAAATAATTATGAATTCATGATGATTTTCATGTTCTTAGTTGGAGCATTTATTCTTGAGTCCTCTTGGAGACTTGGGCTTGCTTATTGTCATTGTCCTTGTCCCCATTATATTTTTAAGACCATGATCATTTTTCACCTAGCGGTAGAATATCGTTTATTATATCACCAGTTGAAAGACACTAAAATTTAGTATATTCATTGCTTATTCTTCAGCCCCCTAGAACAACTATGATGAACTTGCAAAGGGTATTATGATATGTTTTGGCTGATGACATCCCATTACTGAATCACTCAATGGATAATTGTCGGACCACACCATTTTTTGTATGTTGTATGCTACATCTTCTCCATTTCTCGTGTTATCTAAATCACATGGGTCATAAACTTTTGTTTCTAGAAACAGTGGCAGTTGTTGATTACATGCCCATGTTAGTTTTTTATTATTGGGCATAAAATTCACTAAGATTCATGTTCAATGAAGGTGTCGAATGATTCAAGAAAGTTCAATAAATACATTGAAATGTTTATTACTCCCAAAGAACGACAAAACCTAATTAGAAAGGTTTGGAAATTTTTCACAACTTCTCATGCAGTTTTGTTATGGATTCAGGGCGCAGCAAAGACAAATTCCATCATAGATCTGGTATGCAACAAATAGCCTGCATCAAAATTTTAATTGAATAATGTGATACTTAAGTTTGTTCGAACTACTTCAATTGGACAATGTTATTTGATCTAAAGCTATGAATACGTGATGATATCAATGTGAGAAATTTCTGTAGAATGAACCACTAGGACAGAGAAAGAGACATGGGTAATTGCATGGCCAGGACTAATAAGGAAGCATGTAATATCGCAGGGAGATTCTAACGTTGAATGGTGAGTAGAACTATGAATCAGAGTAGCCGTAGGTATAATTGTAGATCGGATTAGAGAAACAAACCTATTTAACAGACGAGTCCATGGGCAGATAATCGACATGCTTCCTTGATGTTCTGGCTGGGGACAAAAATATGGATCGGTGAAAACAGGGAAGTTCGTTTAAGAACGAGGACCAAACGGAGGAAATCTGTCATGAGAAACGGCGGAAATTAAACAGAATCTCTCAAGGACAGATATGGAACCGTTCAGTAAGAATCAATTTGAGTAATCTGCTCATATTTTCTCTGGAATGGCAAGTATTTTGTTTCCGCGTCTGCAGAGGTCACAGAAATCATGGCAAAAAGCGTGCAGAGAAGAAAATCAGATTCGATTATCGCTAGAAGATGGGGAAAGGAAAAGGGAGGCATATGCATTAACATTTTGACTATGTTACTGGATTCTCGCAATGACGAGGTGGATAAGTTCGTTCCGGGGATAGAGGGGGTGGGGGTAACGAAGGACTGTCTCCATCGTCGTCATTCCGCCGCAGCAGCCCCAAAAACAGATCCCGAGGTCATCATAATCTTAAACTCGTCGAAGCTAATCAGGCCGTCGCCGTCGCGGTCGACACCGTCGATCATGCGGCGGCACTGAGCGACGGAGGCGGATTCGCCGAGCTTTCCGAGGACGCGAGCGAGCTCGTCGGCGGAAATGGAACCGTCGCGGTCGAGATCGAAGACGGAGAATGCGTCACGGAGGTCCTCGAGGGCGTCAGTGGGGCGAACGTTGGCGGTGTTGAGCTCCACAAATTCGTTGATGCTGATGAATCCGTCGCCGTCCCCGTCGGCCTCGGCCATCATCCGCGAGACCTCCTCCTCGGACGGAGGACGGCCCCCGAGGCTCTCCAAGACGGCGGCCAGCTCGGACGACGAGATCTTGCCGTCGCCATTGGAGTCGTACTTGGCAAAGACGATCTGCAGCTCTTCCCGCGGCGTCCGCCTCAGCGACGTCCGTGGCTCGGCAACGAGCGACGCAGGCGGCGCTGTCAGCTCGGGATTTCTCCTGGTTCTCCCCTCCTTTCGGTGCCGCCGGAAGAAAGATCTGATGCTTCCCATTCCGCTTTCGAGAGTATTGTAGATCACTGCGACGAGATTTGAAGAAGAAGACGGGGTAGCGAGAGAGGGCGAGATTCAAATAGAGAGAGGAAGTTGCGGTGTCTCTGTCCCTTTTTCTATTGGAATCGCGAAGGTTCGGCAAACAAGGGGCCTACTTAAACCTTTCCACGTCAACCACAAACATTGGTGACCCTGCGTTTCCCCCCCTATGGTGGGGTAAGGAATATCCAAAAAGAATATATTTACTATTTCCATGTATACAGGGTTAATTATGAGTTAAACACAATAGGAGGACCCTTAAGAAATATTTGAACGGACGAAGGGGCGCCAGCTGGTTGTTCTCAACCATCCACGTTCGACGTCAGTGGCTTCCGATTCGTCCAGCAATGCGAGGCCACAAGCCGCCGGCCGGCGGCCGCCCCGCCGTACAAGGATCGTGACGCGGATCCACCAGCTGCTGAATCAGCATGCCACGTCATCAATCACGCTGAGATCAGACGGCTGTGCCACACTGGCCGACAAGAGGGACTCGGCACCGTCGAGGCCGTGGCCGCCCAAATATCCTCACCCACCCCCATCCCCCCCGGGACTCAGATTATTTGACAAACCGACGGAATAATTTCATAGCCAATATTTTCTCGAGAGTAAAGTTCGTCTCAATTTATCTCCAGAATAATATCCTCTTGACTGAACACCTATGTGGCAGTTTATGAGGCCTTCAGTGCATAATTTACTTCATATCTCTTGCAGAGATAGGGAGAGGAAAAAAAGAATAAGTAGCTGCCAGCGTACTGACACAAGCATCTGATTTAATTGATACCATCGCTAAGAATCCCATTGATACCATCGCAACCATCCTAGTATAATAATGAGATATTTATTTTCTTTTAATATAAATATATTTTAAAAGAGATATATATATATATATATATTGAACATTGGATCTTATAAATATAAATGTTTCATTATAATTTTGGTTTTGGTTCCCTAGAGATGGTACCTTTACCTCGGTGGACAGGTTTTCTTTGGTCCATGCATTCTTGAAACACAAGGTGCATAAATTTACGTCAGTTACGTCGTAAAAGATGTCATTTTGCGCAATGATGGAAAAAAAGAAAAACTTTCTCTGATCAGTAGTGGTTATTTACCAAATTTTCGCAGTTGAAGGCGGCATTGCATCAGATGGTAGAGAGAGTTGCTTCCGGTAGAGAGGCAACACGGCAATTACCTGCGGATTCCTAGAGGGAGAGAGAGAGAGAGAGAGAGAGAGAGAGAGATGTGAATTAGAAAGGGCACCGATATAAAGAAACAAGACGTTTAGAGAAAGGGAATGGAAATGGGAAAATGTCAAGGAGGATCTGGGGAAATTACGAATTAAGGGAAGGCCAACAATAGAAGGATGAACATATTAAACCGAGTCCCTCGTCTGATATATTAAACGTCGGGCCTCTCCCTCTCTCCTTCCCCAGTAGTTCCGTTCTTGAGGTCGTCAACTTCTGTGCCCGAGATGGGGCCTCTGCTGGTCGTCGTTGCCTCTCTTCTCATGGCGTCATCACCACTTCCCGTCCGGGCTGCTACTGCCGTCGTGACCACCATCTTCGTTGACCACTCGGGTCGTGGGCAGTTCAAGACGATCCAGGAAGCCGTCAACGCGGTGCCCTCCAACAATAACCAGTGGATCCGCATCCACGTCGCTGCCGGAGTATACGAGTCCGTCCTCCTCTTTCTCTCACTAGCTACCTCCTTCTCTTTATCCGAGAGGATTTGAAGGAATACAGGAATCAACGAGTGAATGTTGCTAACAGGGAGCAAGTGAGGATACCCGTGGACAAGGGTTTCATCCTGCTGGAGGGCGAGGGGAGGGACCAGACGTCCATCGAGTGGGGGGCTCATGCCACCTTGATGACCAGCGATCCCGACAGCGCCACCTTTTCCCTGCTGGCGGAAAGCTTCGTCGCAAAGCGGATTACCTTCAAGGTGAGTTTGGCGCCCACCAGCAATGCTTCAATCTGTCTCTGGCTTTGATGTTTCGCTCGTGGTTTCCCTCTTTTCAACACGAGGAGATGAAGGGTTGAGGGGGGGGGAGAGAGAGAGAGAGAGAGAGAGAGACCATTGAGACCTTACTCCGGTATGCTAAGCGCTGAGAATACTTAACACGATGGGAGACTGATTCTAGCTGTTGTCGGCTTGGGCTAGCTGGAACCAGAAATATTTGATACATTCGTAAGAGTAACTGTGGATTCGATGATGGCAGAACACCTACAGCGGTGTTACCATGGCCCCGGCGCTGGCGGCCATCATATGGGCGGACAAGGCCGCCTTCTATGACTGCAGCTTCGTCGGCTTCCAGGACACCCTCTGCGACATGTCCGGCCGCCACTACTTCAAGGATTGCCGTATCGAAGGCGCCGTCGACTTCATCTTCGGCATTGGCCAGTCCATCTACGAGGTAAACCCTATCTTATTAAGTCTCCATCTTCACTCCCTCTGTTCCTCTGAGTAGAGAAGAACCCTGGGTTCCTTCAGGATATCCCTACCCCGCCTTCTTCCTCTCTCTTTCTCTCTCTCTCCGTCTCTTATTGTCGCTGCTGGGCAGAGATGCACTCTGGTTTCCTTGGGCGATGGCTGGATTACTGCTCATGGAAGAAGCAATCCATTCGACCCCAGCGGATTTGTCTTCAAGCACTGCACCATTACGGGGATCGGCAAAACCCACCTCGGAAGAGCTTGGGGACCCCTGTCTACAGTGGTCTTCTTCCATACTTTCATGTCGGACATTATCGTGCCCGAGGGGTGGCAAGCTTGGTTCAACGCCCGACACCTGTAAGCCTCCTTCCCTCCCCTTTCCCTCTCTCTCTAAAACTAACTACAACCTATTTCAGGTCAGAAATTACCTACGTAGAGAGCAGCTGCACGGGGCCTGGGTCGAACACCTCATCTCGGGTCAGCTGGGAGAAGCAGCTCACCAATGCCGATCTGCTGAAGTACATCAGCATGGCGTACATCAACCACGATGGATGGCTCGAGAAGTTGCCGTGAGACTCCCACCGCCGATCAAGAATGTAACGCTTTAGTTCCGATTTGATTAGCTTCGATAGACTTCTTATCACCCAGTGATGGGGAATGTAACGCTTTAGTTCTCTAACCTCTCGATGTACAAAGACGCTTCAAATGAGAATGTACGGAATATAAAGAGGGTGAGCTCTTTGAGCGTGCAAAAGAGATTGAAGCTTGTTGCAAAGATGGAAGAAGAGAATTACAAGTAGACTACTTTTGAGAAGAAGATATCTGAGAGGAGTGTATAGTCTTTGCAGAGAGATTGGGATTTGCGATGATCTCTTACGATTTTGAATCAATGGCAAACGTGAGACGTCCAACGCATTGAAGATTTTTTTCTCTAAAAATTAGTAGCCGTAATAAATATAAGAATAACATTAGGACAGATATCGAGGATGATTAAAAACCCTTAGTTAATAAACGGAAGATAATGATAAGTTCAAAAGGACGGCCCCTAAGGTCCTGAATAATAATCTTTAAAAAAATTAAGAACTTCCGACTAACATACGACCAAGGTCTGGAAAAGCTGTGGAGATTCATAATCACGACCCAAAAGAAGTGTGCAAGAGTTGTTACGGAGGAACTTTCAGAGTGACAAGAGATCCTCGTCGAATCCATCTCCTGTAACTGCTGATTTATGCATCGTTTTTCTTAACTTATGTAGCTCCTGCGTGGTTATTCATACATCAGCAATCTAATCTCTAAATATTACTCATCGGACCATGGAAAAGGTTCACAAGGTTCTCCTGTAGGTTATAAAGAAGGAAGGAGGCAGCGGGATTCTTCCCCCCCAATGACTAAGATTGACGAAACCCAGGCCAGATTAACATCTCTGAAACCCCAGTTTTAACCCCTTGATCAGGCCGTGGGCGAACGCTCAATCCGTCATTGATCTTTCCACGCGCGTCAAGCTTCTCTTGGCACATGAACTCGGTTTCAAGATCGTGTCAAAGCAATCAAAAGGATGGCCTCATGAGTTATAACTGAGAAAATGTGAGGCCGGATAGTTCGTAAATTTCAGGAAAACAATTCGACAAGTTGAAAATTGTTTACGGGCCCGCCAGATAAACTTATCGGCGTTTCTGCGGACGGGGGTGAGAAGAAGGGGTTAATTGGTGGCGGATGAACCAGAGCGTGGAGCCCCAGGAGAGGGCGTCACAATGCCGGAGCGGCAGCGTTTTCTTTAGACACGGGCCTCCCGTCCTCATCGCGAACTCCGCCCTGAACCATCGCCCGTGGACTCTTGCCGGCCGCTGGTGCAGATGTGGGGTGCCCTAACGCCCTTGTCCGCCTGGCTCGCGGCGACAGGAAATCCCATGAAAGCAGCGTCGCCACCAACAGCAGCTTCCCGAGAGTCTCTCCACCATAAGTGAAGGCAGCAGCAACCCTCCGGCCGCGGCAGGTTGATCAACTCATCTCCACCCGCAGCACCGAGATGTTCTTGCAGCCCGCCCCGGCGGCCTCCATTTAGAGAATCCTCCCTCCGTCGCTCAGTAGGCAGAGGGACAGTGCTGGTAGGCCCTCATAACGGAGCTCCCATATATCATCCACCCATGTGCCGACGTGAAGCTGATGAGGTGCGACGTCTCCGGCATGTCAGAGTTGACAACGCTGCTTGAGAGATCCTAGATCATGTTGTCATCCCACCGTCTGCCTATGTAAGCAGGAGCTCTGGGCCTGATAGTGGCTCACCAGATGCGCCCACTGACGGCCCTTGCTTATGAGGTGGGATTCTCTTTTGAGAATGGTTTATGATGCAGAAGTTGAGGAATAACTGAGATTCTGACATGGTCTCCAGTCCATAAGAAATGAATTTTCACGACTCCTGAGTCTGAAAAGAACAAAATGATGCACCCGGAATCCATACGGGTTACTTGAATATCTCACAATAGAACGAAAATGTTAGTATTGCTCCTCCACTTAAAGTTATAGTATATTGACCCTTTAAATAGGCCAAAATAAGTTATAACCAAAATTCAGTCTAATTACTTGATTTTATGCTTAGAGTCATTTTGAGGCTTAAGACCTTAGTCTTTGTTGTTACATTTAGTCCACCTGAGTCACAAATATTAGGCCTTTCTCATTTCTTAGAGTATTTTTGGGCATCATCCACCTTGGTTGAGAATAACTCAACCCCAAATCTTGATGTGGCTTTACTAGTATTTGTTAACATTTGCCAAATTAAAGATTTAAAATATAATTAATTATTCATTTAAATCAATAACATTGCCTTAAACAATGATTTTGGGCTTCAACCTGTAATAACTACCAATTGGAAATTTGCCTCTCTTCATGTGTATAATGACTGAAACACCCCCTTCAAAAAAATTGCTTTCAACTTTTCTTATAAGTTCCCCCCTTATAGTTGTAGCAAAAAGAGATTTAATTATGCAAACTTTTATGGATTAATTTGAGATCATCTGGGATGTAGGACGTGCTTATGAACCAACCTGACAACTAGATGTGGATGAGATAATAAGAGAAGGGAACCCTATACACCACGGGTAATGTTAATCAGGGACTTTAGATGATGAGTGCCGACCTCAACTAAGTGCAAGTAGTAGCCGAAATGACAATCCATCACGACTAGGTGTCGCCAGGTGGTTCTGATGCAGGGGTGATCCTCCAAGTCCACGTCCGAAAGGCGAGGACTTAGTATCGTCTACGCAACTCCATGGCAAGTGCTCGACGACCAACGTGACAATTCTGGCGCGCGCATCAGAGTCGCACGGTGGAGACACCTAACCCGTTCTTACCTAGCTAGGTCCGACAGCGGTGGAGTCAACGTAGTAAATGACTTGGAGGAAAGGGCATGAGAGCTAACCTGCAGGGCAGAGGTCTGGTCGGTGTGCGGCAAGGCGTCCAGCTGACACTGTGAACAGGCGTTCCGGTGGTTTGGCGCTCTCTGGGAGGGATTGGGATGAATCAATGACCCCCCCTCCAGTGGATATCGGCTGGGCTTGGCTGGGCTCAGTAGTATGGGCTAGGACAGGGTCAGAGGAAGGGGCACAACCAAGTGGCTGGGGCGCTCAGGTAGGCGCCCCTAGGTCAGGCGCAATGGCGAGCTCCGAGGGGCAGGCGCGGTGGCACGCAGGCCGGTATGCAACGCGCACGCGGAAGTGCCGTAACAGTCGCGAGACGAATGCACGGTTGAGCACTCGGCGGGCGTCCGCAGTTGGCAGGCGTGCGGGGTTGGCGCACTAGCGGAGGCACGGCGGGTGCTGATAGTCCGGTAGCGGTGACGGCGACCTGGCGGCGGCTCGATGGGCTGCTGACGGCCTGGAAGCAGCGGCGGCGACCTGGCGGTGATCCCCTTTCTCTTTTGTCCTCTTGGAACGAGATTCTCAACCAAAACATACTTTCTCCTAAAGATGACGACTCTGTCCTTGGGGCTGGCTCTCCACCCGTAATATAGGGCCCCAAATGGGCCAAGGGTGGAAGGCCACGCTTGAGGCCCAAGACGCCAAAGCCCCAAAAAGGGAGCACACACAGAGTCCAAAATGGGCCCTCCTCTCCCATTGGGCCCAAACGAGGATGGCCCAATAGAGAAGAGAGGTGAGGAAAGGAAGGACGCCCTCTTCTCCAATTGGGCCCAAACATGTATGACCCAAGAGGAGAAGAGAAGAAAGAAAAGAAAACGAAGGGAAATGGGCCTTCACATCCCCGCCATGGGCCCAACACGGACCCTAGGGATGGGAGGTCCCCGCACGGAGTAGAACTAGAACCCACACGGCTCACAGATGCGGGAAACGAGCGAAGAGAGCATAAGACGTGGAAAACCTAAAGACACCTCAGGCAGTATAGCGGAACCGGGGGTCCTTCGTCTTTGCTCGTGCTCCTCGATCTGGCTGGACACGTGAGGGCAGGGTCTCCTCTATCGCCTCGAGCTCGTGCAGTGGTGGAGACAGGTCCCGTTCCCCACCAATCTGTCATAAAATTCTTCTTGAGATAAGTCCATGTACTTTGATTTCTCTCCTGAAATATAGCAAATCAAATTACTAAGCATCTCATTTAACACCTTAGTTTTGCCATTAGTTTTAGAGTGGTATTAGTAAAGTTTGAAGCATTAATCAAATCTTTAGCAAAGAGTAAAACACAAATATGACAAGCCAATTCTATGTCAATTAGGTGTTATAGCATGAAAATAGGCTAGCAACTTATATTATATTATTTTCTTGTAAGAACTAAAGTGTAACATCTTAGAGAAATGATACAAAACTAAGAAAACAATCACCGAACATTGTAGCCTTAGAATAAAATCCATTGATGTCCCCGCCTACAATGTTTCTAGAATTAGTGATGTTGTACACAGTCAAGTTCTAATTGACATATTTGACAAGTTTGAACATGGTTTCCTGTAACTTCCTTCAATTGTGGCCAATAGTAGTATTCTTCTATTAGCTGGAGTTATACCATGCCCAGAATATTCTCCTAATTTTCTTTGTTGCTACTCATGGATTAACTCTTCACCCAACTAAATTATTTGAAAGCATGACTGATTTTCATGAAATCAAAATTATTTGTCTATGAGATCATTGGATTGGCGGGCCACTTTTTCATGTATCCATCATATAAATCTTTGAAGTAATTAAAATTAGTTACTTAAAGACGAAGGTTGACCAAAGACACTGACTTTCCACTACATAGGAATCTGCACCAGTACTAATGAGGAGCTACAGTTCTTCATACTCTCCGATAAAGATTTCCATAGACCTGATGATAGAGCTTTGCCTGCGGTGCCAGCCCAATGTCCTAGGCCGTCAAGCTGGCCATAGGTAAAGGCTATTGTTGATGGAGATCAAAATTTGATTCCACTGTTTGGTTGTCGTGGAGGTGCTGAAAATTTGTGTGAGATGGCCCAAAAGGATGTAAAAGGGTTTTGAAATGCTTTGTGTGTTTTCTGAATTTACAAAAAAAATCCTTCATTTTGGACTACAATAGTCAAAAAAAGGATTCTTTAGACCATTACAGTGGTAACTTGTGATGATCTGATGACTAGCTCACAATTTGTCAAGAGCACATCAACGTAGTACAAGTCATGTGCACTGTACATCGCAGGTCAAGGGTGATGTAGCATAATTCCAACACTATTGTTTGTTGTGGGCTCCTTTTCTTTGGTTTTTTTCTTTTCTAGTATTCTTTTCATCTTAGTCGCAACTAAACACGGGGTATGCTGATTCACTTTTAAAGAAAATGAAGCCTAATAAAAACTCATTTTCTAAATAACTTTCTTTATTAATGTTGAACTTTTTGTTGGTTCATAAGACTACATCTGTACCATTATCAAGAGAAAGAAAAGGAATAACGTAATGTACAGTAGCTGTTTAGCCCTTATAAACTTTATGTTAAGTTCAAAATATTTGGACCTCTAAAAATCAACAACCTCCTGCTTTTTCGGCGAGTAAACCCAATTACAAGACATTTGTCACATAATTAAAAGGAGATCTCCAGCTTTCATTTTATGAAAATATGATAAAATTATCTGATTCACATCTACCATAAATTTCAGTAGAAAAATAAACTGTAAGAATAGTTCGAAAGAAAATAAAAATTTCTGATGAGTTGAAGAGGTCAAGACTTGTTTGTTGAGATTTTCAAGCTGAGATTATCCTTCTATTTTGCTTATGAAATATTTTAAATAGAACAGTATCGCATCACTACTAATTACTTGCACTCGTTTTACCGAAAACAGGGTCAGAAATCTATACAATCGGTATAAGAGGAGCACATGGGATCCGGTTTTCAAAGATAGAATGCAAGATATTATCCATGATATTGGCGAGGCAAACGCTGAGAGGGCGACAAAATGTGAAGGGGAGTGTGAACGAGGTCGACGCTGTCATACGGAGGAAGATTCCGTGATGAGTGGAGAGAAACATGGGGCAGTTTAGGATCTGTGAGAAGACTGTCTCTGTGTATTGGTTATGACAAGCATCGGTGGAGAGGGCGGAGGCAGCGAAACTAGCTCCAATTGAGGACTGGTTTCTATGGCTGCGCACTCAAGGTCGGTATACTAAGGTCAACATCTTGGTCTAGAAGATGGCATTTTGAGGCGATTTCCGGTGTAATATTTGGTGCAATATAATAGCAACCAAGTTTTCCTAACTAAGTATACAGCATCAGTAATTTTTAGTGGTACGTCGAGTTAGTTCCCATTGTTTAGTACGTCAGAAAACTTGGCATACATGCATTTGGTTCTAAAGTGGATGACATGCATCCTTCTTTATTTCTTCATTTAACCATTAGAGCGACAATAACATAATTATGATCAATTTTTCTTTCTATTTCCATTTTTCTACACCAAAGTTCGTCAAGCATTAGATTTAGGTCTAATAGAACTCAGCCTACGAATAAAGGAACATGATGATAATCAAAAGACTCTCAAGGTTGACCTGTTGGCACGCAGGTACAAGTTATCTGTCAGGTTCTAAAATGGGTCGATTTCATGCCTGTTTGACATTTTTGCTAAAATCATCAACAGTATGCAAGGCCCTGGAAGACTCGACTCTCATTTGTAGTTGACTATTAAACCCTTAAGAGTAAATGTGACCGCCATCCAAGAGGCAAAAATGAGATGTAAAAGTCATCATTGATGAACACCTCAAAAACTCCCAGCTAATGGCATATGAACAATTATTTATCTTGAAGAATTATTTAGCATTCAAAATTTATAATCTTGATGATGATAAAAAAAAGTTGGAGTCCACATGTCGAAAATGAGGTCGTCCTTCTGTGTGTAAGGCTCAAGCAAACTCTGATTTTTCTACCAGCATAATCCGAATCACAATAAGAAAATCAATTCTAGTTCTAGAGAGGGAAAGGGAGGACAGATGGAGGAGGGAGAGAGAGAGAGAGAGAGAGAGAGAGATTAAACATGGGCCTGGGGAGCCTAATTGTCTGCTTAGTTCTGATTAGCGAGCTGTTCACACCAATGCTACCATGATGGTAATGAAAATCAGGTCCAGTCGGCGGCTGGTTATCATCCAAATGGGTGGTGACAAAATCCCACGTGGGCCAGCATAATCATAGTCCTCTGGTATGTGGTCTTCCACGTGATCCCGACGCCCTTTGTGGACCCCACACACGAAGGTCCAAGAACCCAGTACCACTGGCCCTATCCCAAGCATCTTCTTCCACGTGTATACTGCCTGTTCTTGCGCCATAGCGAGGGATTCGTGGTAAGTAGTAGCCGGAGGACGATAGAAAGTTGACCTCTCAGTGACGAACTCTCATTTGCCGTCGCGGTGAATTTCTGGGATGGCGCTCGCACTCGCCTCCCTGCCGATGCTTGATATTTCCAAGTCTGGAGGAAAGATCTCGCGGAGATCTGCCAGAGGCCCCTTCCTTTCCCGTCATCCACGTTCGAGCTTCTCTGATGACTACTTTTCTTGGCCCCTGCCCGGCGTCTCCATCGTCGGCAGTGCTGGAAGAGGCGCAGTGGTACGTAGCGCAGTGACGGAAGAGCAAACGCCGTCGTCGATGAGAGACGACGAGAAGATGCCGTATGATTCTCCTCCTCCATCCAAGGACGTCCTTGTCGTTGGAGCCAGTGGTGGTGTGGGTATGTTTTACGTGCTTCTTTAGGTATTCGTTTGTCTGCATTTCCTTAACTATAGCTCATTACCATTCCCATTATAATCATAACCTTGTCACTGATTTTTTTTTCTCATATTTAATCAAATTAAAATATTTTTTTCTCGCGGGAAGGCGATCATTCCGGAAGTTCCCTCAAGCTACAGTGTTAGGACTACTGTGATGTCTCTTTCTATTCAGCTTTTGACAACCCGTGGTTTGGAAAATTGTGGTGAATTCGATTTATTTGGGCTTGTGAGGTTTTCCATGGTTTTATTGAAAATGTTTTTGCATGATTTTGTGATGAACATAAGATTTAGAGACCGTGCATCAATGCGTCAGTAACAAAGATGATTGCGTTGAAGATTTACAAACTGTAAACTATGATTTATTAGTCTGGTGCGTGGATTGCAGCTTAATGTTTCCGATATGTTACATATTTTCAAAGTTGTTCCCCGTGTATGAGTTTTTTTATGTATGTCCTGGCAGATAGCCTCTCAAATGCCTATCATCACTTTTCTTTTATTTTTTTCGATAGCGAAGTTAAGTAAACGCGCCACATTGAAATTCAAAAACAAATGTGTCTCCACGTCCAATCACCATTTATGAAAATAAAATTATGAATTATATGGATAGTGTGTGGAGGAAAACAAGTCTTGACTGTTGGTGACTTCCAGATAAACGTTTTGAGAATGGAATTCTATCATCAATCTATCTTTTTTAAGTCCTATACAAACCTGGTATTTTTATCTATGAGTAATGGTATTGACGATGTGATGGATTTCATGCCTATTCCTTTGCTGATCGGATGATATAGGATCATAACAGAATGCTAGAAGAATCGATGAAAATGGTCTTGCAAAAATTAAATGATAGTGATTAGTAAACCTTAAGAACATAGATATACTATCAAGGTTTTTCCATTGGCTACAAAGGCAACATCAGCAAAAGAAAATAGTGTAATACAGTTGAGATGGATTTTGAGAAAGCCTATCATAGAATTGATTTCTAATCTTATGGCATGTATCTTAGAGTGCAGAACCTTAAATTTCCAGCATAGCTTTGTCAATTTGAAAAGTCAGGATCAAGAAATTTTAGGAAATATTAGAAGGCCGGAATAGTAATGTCATCTCTGGCTGGTACTGTCGGATTTTCAGCAATAGTGTTGTTTGAACAATATCTCTCTCCCTGTCCTGAGTCGTATTATAGAAGAAAGATTGATGCTGTAGGAAGCCTTAAAGTGTGCTTTCAGTCTGCTATACTTGAGCTGACCTATTAAATAGTAAATAGGAAAAGTTTTTTAACATTCGTTTTTGTGATTCTTTTCAAAAAAGAATAAATTTGATTATTCAAGAAGAATGAACCAATGCAATTCATGAGATAGCAAGCACAGCTTCTTTCAATGACATAGCTAGCGACCTGTAATTAGCAGAACTTATTTTTTCGAAGTAATGACATGCTTGATTTTTTTTCTATGTAATTAATGGTCATTTAGAAAGTTATGTTTTGTGAAGTTACTTCCCAAAATAAACTCATATCTTTTGAGTGACCTAATAAAAAAAAAGAACATGTGAATGTCACCAGGTAAAAGAACAGTGGACCGTACGGATTGATGATAGTTTCCTACCTGAATAAACAATCTCTTCAGTATATTTGTCAAAGATCTAGAACAAGGAAAATAAGCCTTACTATCAAAGTGTATAATTTGAAGTTATTTTCCCCAGGATATATCAGATAAATGATCTGAAAAATACATGAACATGCTAAGGCCACTAAGTACGAAAACAGTGGGTCCTGTAAAGAAATGGAACTCTCCAACAAGTGCAAGGTGGATTTGGGTTTGTAAGCTCCATATAACATGGAGAGACTACCATCACTCTGTTTTATCCCACGTCTGTTATCAAAGTTCAGATTTTTAACATTGGTTACACGTGGTTCCACATATGTTTGTTGATTTGTGTCTCTTCCATATCTATGTTGAACCAGGTGAATAAGATTTGGCGTGTGTCAGTCCCATAAGTGTTGGTAGAGGGAAATGGAACACCAAGGAATACATGGGCCTCACCTTTAAATTAATCAATTTCATTGCTAAAAGCTGACATGTCCTAGTGCCTGATTTAAGGTGATCAACTTTCATATCTTTCAGGGCAGCTGGTGGTAGCATCCTTGCTTAAAAGAAACATTAAATCACGCCTCCTTGTACGAGATCCTGAGAAGGCAGCATTATTATTTGGAAGACAAGATGAGGACAATTTTAAGGTACAGAAATGCGTGCAGGTGTCATCAGTTATTTCTGGTCCTATCCTTTTTCTTTGTACACTTAAAGTTTATCTGGTAATTTTCTATTCGATTATGCCAAGCAACAGATCTGCAAAGGGGATACAAGGAACCCACTTGACATGGATCCTGTCATGTTTGAGGTCAGCCTTTGACGTGGATCTGCCAGAAGGCCAAGATTTGCGTATCATTTATGTGATTTTTAGTGCCCATTCAAATCAAAATGTAGGACTTTTGTTTCTAGGGAGTTACGCATGTAATTTGCTGCACTGGTACGACAGCTTTTCCTTCAAGGCGCTGGGATGGTGATAATTCACCGGAAAAAGTAGGTATGATTTACTTCTAATTTCTATTTATTCAATATTTTCCTAAGATGCCTAGGTTTCACAACAATGAATCTTCATAAAAGTAATCAAGATTTTAAAAATTCAGAGGTTCATACTAAAGCACCTTCTCTTTTCTACGAAAATAAAGGGTTTTATTCGAGTTCGGAGAAGATCCCCTGCTATTGCTATAGAATCTTATATCAACACCTTAGATGAGATCTGTCAAGATTGGTCTCATAACACTATTATTCTTTGAGGTTTCTCTTGCAATTTCAAGTTGAATCAGTGCATCATACCTTTTTATACATTCCAGCAGTCATATGTTTAGCTTCATAACTGCAGATTCACCAAGTCACATCCAACTCATTTTGTATTTTCTCTCGTATCCATATGAAGATCCACAAAATTTTTCATCCTATTTCAAGCTTGACATCAGATATATATTAACTAATGCGAATTTCCCTGTCCAGAAATTATCTGACTGACAGACTCCAACCAGCTAGTCAGGGAAGTCTGTTTCCTTACAGGTTTTCTCTAATTCTTTTCATTCTCCTACCTTCCCTTTATCTCTCCATTCCTTGTTCTCAATCTCAGTGTCAGACAAATTAATCATTTTTTTCTCCTTTTTATTTTTTCTTCTTCTTCTTTTCCCATTATCTTTTCCCCATTTAATTGTCATGAGGTACACATAGCTTGGAACTGGGGTGTTACATCACGTTCATTTCACCCTTTCCTTTCACTATCACACTTCTTATTCATCACAATTTGGGCTCGGATGTGCCCAGATTTCAGTCATCAATGTTGGGCCATTAGGCTTTCCTCTTCCTGTTCCTTCCGGGGTTTTTTCTTCTCTCTTCCCTTTATTTGTTTTTCCTTCTCTTCGGTTGAAGAACAAGTGGGGTAAAAAGTTAGGGGATTTCTCACATTCTTTTTTACACATAGAATCAGCTCAAAGCATTAAAAACTGCTTGTACAAAATTATAATTTAATGAAACCCTCAGTTTGGTATCATCTCAAAGGGCTTTGATCTATATAACTCATTAACTCAAGGTCCAAATCAGTTTCAATATTCATTTTTAGCAGAAGAGTATCTTGATTGGGATTCAGTGAAACATTGCGAACACTTTAAGATGCATTAGATTAAATGTTTGGTCGTAAAATTTTCTGTCATTTACATCTTTAATGCACGTTCCATCATAATCAACATCCATCCCTTTTAAAGTAAGATATTTTTAGGTTTGCATATTCCATGACTTTCATACCAGGTGAAAATCCATAAAATGAGCCAAAAATTACATATAACTGCTTTCCTTTGTTTTCTTTTGAAGACTGGGAGGGAGTTCGGAACCTAGTGTTGGCATTGCCTCAAAAAATACAGAGATTAGTCCTTGTGTCATCTGTTGGTGTCACAAAATTCAATGAAATGCCTTGGAGGTATGTGAGTTCTATTTTGAAGTCTTTAGGCTTTATGATTAGGTGTTAATGTAGTCTTATTTTATGATGACTTTTGATGTATAGGATGCAACATAAATTCTAAGTGAAGAGTGTCACTAGAAATCAAAGTTCATATATCTTATTCTATAACTATATGACCGGCTTGTACTAGGCTGACCTTTGGCTTCTGGGCCTTTTTAGTATCCAAGCCTGGTTAAAATCACGCCACTTCAGTGGGTCTGCAGCTGTTAAAGCTTGTAATTTCTTGTCATTATAGTGAACGCTGCTGAGTAATCCATCATTCTAGAAAAGCAGAAATGACAATCTTCAGATCCTGTTTAACTTTTATGACTTAAAATTTATGTTTTTAGAAAATGTTGCAGGCAAGAATGATATGGTCTGCTTACCAAAGTTCAAATTTAATGTATTTCGACCAAACTAACGTCATTAAATGGAAGGTAATATCCTTCTTACGAGAGTGTTTAATCTCTATGTATAAATAATTACACTCAGTTTGTAATAACCGTTACAATCACTTGGACTGCATTGGTATGATATTGCTGCAAAGTTTCTTCCAGATACTGAAATTCGTACCCATAAAAAATTTATCTTGATCATCCTCAGGTGACAAAAAAAAATAATTGGATTTTTTTTAGGTACAGAAATGAACACGAATGGTGACACCTTCAAAATATTATTGTTGGAGAAAACGATTGAGAAAGTCGGACCATATTACTTAAGAAAATGAGAATCAAAAGAGACGGTGCCCAACATAGTCACCAAGATGGAAAGATGATTACATACAACGAAAGTCTAAACCACAGTATAATATCATCAGGTTGTATCCACAGATGTGGCTCTTGAGAGGTTAATGTTTGTTTTTTGATAAGAGATGACCATTAATATTAAACGTTTTATGTTACCGAGAACTGCAAACTACTAAAGAGATCCTATTATCAATAGATGCAGTCCGGTAGTATCGGCAGTTGTTTGTCCTTTTAAGTAAGAGAGCCATTCTACTCGACATTTAACTGTATTTCATGGCTTAGTGGCAACTAAAGCAGAACCTAATCTGGTATTGATTAACTGCTGGCAGATGTGCTACATAATTGTATAACACTCATTATGAATATTATCTAAAAAATATTGATATTCTTGTTGTGAGTGGTTTGACTCTCTAAATATGACACCGAATGACCGACCAGAGAAACTCTAAGGATGAACCTGAGGTGCAAGAAACCTTTCTGGATGATATGTGGCATTGGTCGAGCAGATGGGATAAATGATTTTTTCATGATGAGTTAATAAGAAACTGTTTTATTTAACTTATGTCTTGTGTTGTGTTATGATTTAGGAGAAATTTTTATTACAGTTTAATCTGAGGTGCTTGAGCATGCCAATTGAGAGATCATGGCAGCAATTTTCTTGGAATGGTAGCTTCCAACTTGTTTTGTTGGAGAGTGTTGAATTTCCTCTAGTTCGTTCGTTTCTTGAAGAATGACAGATCTTCTCGTGGAAGAAAAAAAAGGGCTTCTATTCACCACACATCAGGAAAAAGAATTTAAGAAGACACTTTACATCAAAACAGGGGTCTGTTATTTATAATAGATCCATAGGAGAAGGTTCTAGACATAGAGCCTTACATCCCGAGACATACAACAGATGTTCACATGCTTCTTTAAGTGAAGCACGTGATACACCTCACCCAACTACTAATGCAATATTTATATTATATTTCAACACTCCTCCTCAAGTTGGTGAGTGGATATCATCCATTCCCAACTTGGAGCGCACTTGTTGTAGTTGAGTCGCAGAAACACCTTTTGTTAGCAAATCAGCTAGTTGATGTTGAGTGGAGATGTAGGGAATACAGATTTCTTTAGATTCCAAGTTTTCCTTGATAAGGTGACGGTCTATCTCCACATGCTTTGTGCGATCATGTTGAATGGGATTATGCACAAGATTAATTGTAGATTTATTGTCACAGTAGAGCTTCATAGGACCTGAAATGGGAATCTTTAGGTCAGTGAGTAAAATCTTCACCCAAAGTAGTTCATATATTCCATGCGTAAGTGCCTTGAATTCTGCTTCTACACTTGAACGAGCAGCCACATTCTGTTTCTTGTTGTGCCAAGTAACCAAATTTCCTCCCATAAACATCATAAGACCTGAGGTTGACCGACGATCTAAAAGAGAACCAGCATAGTTAGCATCAACATACATCTCAATTGTTACTTTATCACCACGTTTGAAGAGAATGCCTTTTCAGGAGTTCCCTTTAAGTAGTGTAACACCTGATAGGCAGCATGAAGATGGGATTCAGTTGGTCGATGCATGAACTGACTTAAGAGACTAACTACATATGAGATGTCAGGTCTAGTGTGTGTGAGATATATCAATCGTCCAATAAGACATTGATACATTTCTCGATCAATACACTCCTCCCCTTTACCAACACTAAGTTTGTGGTTAGGATTAAGGGGGGTGCTAGGTGGTTTGCATGCAAACTTTCCAGTATCCTTTAGAAGATCTGCCACATACTTTCGTTGAGAGATGAATATGCCCTTAGAAGAATGAGCCACTTCAATGCCTAAAAAATATTTAAGACAACCCAAAGTCTTGATATTAAATTCTTTGACAAGATATTTGCTCAAATTTCCTTGTTCAATGTCATCACTTCCAGTAATTATAATGTCGTCAGCATAAACTAGAAGTATAGTAACTCTCCCTAATGAAGTATGCTTGAAAAATAATGTGTGATCAGTAGAAAATCTCCCAAATCATACACATGGAGATTGTTTCAGTCCATACAACGGCTTTCTTAGTCTGCAAACAATGTTTGATGATAAACTTCCTCCATAACCAGGTGGATAATACATATATACTTCATCAGTAAGATCTCCATGAAGAAAGGCATTCTTCACATCATATTGTTGAATATTTCAACTAAAAATAGCAGCCAATGATAAAATAATTCTGACTGTGTTCATTTTTGTCACAGGAGAAAAAAGTTTCATGATAGTCAATTCTATAAACTTGTGTATATCCTTTAACTAAGAGTCTGGCCTTGTACCTTTCAACTGATCCATCAGCATTGCATTTTATAGAATAAACTCATTTACAGTCAACTGCCTGTTTATCCTTAGGAAGAGGTACCAATTCTCATGTATTATTTCTCTCAAGAGCATGCATCTCATCATCCATGGCTTGTTTCCACTCTTTCTTGGAGAGAGCTTCTGAAATATTAACTAGAATGGTAATATTATCTAAGGTAGCAAGGAAGGTTTTATAAGATGGAGAAATTTTATGATAGGAAATAAAGTTCGCTGAAGGGTATAATGGGTATTTTGTACAGGCTCGTGGAAGTTTCTTAAGGGCAATAGGAAGGTCATTGGATTGGGGACTAGTAGTATTTTCTATAGGGATGAATGTGGTTTATTGGTCATTAGTTAAGGTCAATTCGGAGTCTTGGGGTGATCCAGAATTTGGAGGTACTCATGTTCCTGAATAAACCTGACCAAATCTGAGTTTTTCAAGAAGTGGATCAGGAAGAGATGGACTTTGGTCAGACACATGAATTGGTAGAATAATTTGACCTGAAGGAGAAGAAACTCCTTCTGGAAAAAAATCAAGTAAAGGTGGAAATGGCAAAGAAGTGTCTTGTGAGTTTTTCTGGAAGTAAAAACTGATTCATAAAAGGTGACATCCATAGTTGTAAAGAATTTTTGAGTTGGTGGATGATAACATCAATACCCCTTTTGAGTTGTTAAATATCCAACAAATATACATTTGAGGGATCTTGGATCTAATTTACTTTTAGCTGAATTGTGATTATGGGTGAATGAGACACATCCAAATGCGAGGCCCTAATGAGATATGGTGATGATTAAGAGGGAAATAAGAAGCTAACTTTTCCATAGGACTTTGGAAACACAAGGTTCTAGTGGGAAGACGATTTATTAAATGTGTTGCTGTTAAGAGAGCTTCACTCCAAAAAAAATTGAGTGCACCTGCCTGAAAAAAGAGTGATCATGTAACTTTCAAGAGGTGTCGATTTTTTCTTTCTACAAATCCATTTTGCTGAGGAGTATAACACATGAAGACTCATGTATAATACCCTCAGCATGAAGAAAAGAATTCAGATCATTGCTAAAGTATTCCTTAGCATTATCTAACTTGAATTTTGTTATAGGATTATCGAATTGGATTTTGATCATTGCACAGAATCATTTCAACGCAATTGAAACTTCTGATTTTTGCTTAAGAAGAACCCACATGCAACGAGTGCAGTCATCCACAAAGGTAACAAACCATTTATTACCTGGTAGATCTACATTGAGACATGGTCCCCAAACATCACTATGGACGCAAGAGAAAGGGATCTCACTCCTTTCGTTTCTAATTGGAAAAGAAACACGAGTATGTCTGGACGGTTCACATATGTCAAACTTAAGGGTTTTTACAGACACCTTTTGAAACAAGGAAGGACGAAAACTCTTCACAATAGCAAAGGAAGGATGGCCTAATCTTTGATGAAGGAGCTAAATGTGATTCAGATCCTTGTGATGTTCTAGAGATAGATCCGCTTCCACAAGACAGGTTTGGCTAGATCCCTCCAAGATGTAAAGTCCTCCTCGTACTCTAGCAACTCCAATCCTCTGCTTCTGAACCTTATCAAGGAAAACACAAAGGTCTTCATCAAAGAAGGCATGATAAGATGTGTTTTTAACAAGGCTTTTTACAGAAATAAGGTTGGTGAAAAGCTTGGAAACATGAAGAACTTTGGTGAGGATTCCTAAAGGTTCAAGAGTCAAGTCTCCAATACCAGTGACCGTAAGAAGTGTACCATCAGTAGTAAACACTTTCCAGTCATTAGAACATAGGGTGTAGGTAAGAAAATGATATGACAAATTTGTCATATGATCTGTTGCTCCTGAATCTATTACCTAACATCCAGTAATATCTTGGGATGGAGCTCAAACACCAAGAGAAGAGTGTTACCATTGCCTTCAATTGCTCTAATTCAAGGTGAAGTTTCTCTACTTCGCTTGATGGAGTTGACTCAATATTTCTTGGGTCTGTTTGTTCAAACTTTTGATTGGATGAAGAATCAATCACCATGTGAGCTTGATTCACTTGATTCACTTGATTCTCATAACTCTGTGGTTTGCCATGGAGTTTATAACATCGCTCCTTGGTATGACAAGTTTTCCTGCAATAAGTGCACCAGAGATTATCTCTATAATCATTTTTCTGGCTCTTCCCTTGCACAGATGATGATTGATGGTTCGAATATTCTGTTGATTTAATGGTATGTCCTGGTTTGGCTAAAAATGCTGTATTACTCGACTTTTGAGTAGACAGCATCAATTTTTGACGACTCTCTTCATTCTGTACAATTAACATCACCTCATTCAGATCTGGTCTCCTTTCACGTTTTAGAATTTGTTGTCTGATATGATCAAAAACAGGACTTAAACCAGCCAAAAGTTTAAAGACCAGCCTTTGTTCTATGAAATTTTGTAATGTAGAAATTTCTTTGGGTCCTTTAGTCTCAAGATCAAGATAATAATCAAGCTCCAACCATAGATTTTTAAGTTCTCTTGTGTACTCCATCACTGATTTTGAACCTTGAGTAAGTGATTGAGATTTTATCTCGATTTCATATATGTGTGACTTATTATTTTTCATTGAACATTTCATGTATACTGTTCCCCGCAAATCTTTTGCAGTTTTCATAATGAAAAAATCTCTACTGATATGGGGAATTATTGTTCCCTAAATCCATGTCATTATCAAAACATCCTCCTCTCGCCATTGTCTAAATTGTCTTGACATTGGATCTGGTGTTGTTTCCTCTAGATGATGTAGCATCCCTCTGCCAATAAGAACTTCCTTAATATATTCTGACCACTGGATGAGATTATATCTAGTCAACTTAAATTATGTAGGCATGGCACGGAGTTCAATCATCAATCTTGATGATACAGGATTAACTTCCATAATGGTGGTAGAGATGTCACCTACTGAGGTCTCTCCTCCTTCAGACATGAATAACAACAAATCGAAACAGGGACAACTGCTTACTAAGTAGAAAAAAAAACGTAATTCTTATACGTCTTCAAAGGAAAATCAAGAAATGTCTTGAGAAGGGCTCAAGGAACTATATTGATCTTCTAAGTCCTCAAGAAGAGGCTCACAAAAACAGCATAGATCTCTTATAAAGAAAGAGATAATAAGAAAGGAGCAATCACACCTGGATTTGCTTTGATACCATGTTGAATTTCCTCTAGTTTGTTCGTTTCTTGAAGAACGACAGATCTTCTCGTGGAAGAAAAAAAAAAGGGCTTCTATTCACCACATGTCAGGAAAAAAAATTCAAGAAGACACTTTACATCAAAACAGAGGTCTGTTATTTATAACAGATCCATGGGAGAAAGTTCTAGACATAGAGCCTTACATCCCAAGACATGCAGGTGATGTTCACGTGCTTCTTTAAGTGAAGCACGTGATACACCTCACCCAACTGCTAATGCAGTATTTACATTATATTTCAACAGAGAGAGAAATTTAGAGAATAGTTTCGTTGGATAAGTTTGCAATGCTGATAAACAGAATGAATCTAGCCATGGCGGCTGTGATTTACATTATGAACAAATGAGACCCATTTTAACAATCCTTTGGTATAGAAAATATCAAATATAATGTTGTAGGATTCAAGGAAATAGCATGGTAATTTATGATTAGTGACAGGAAATTATAAAAAAGTTAAACCTGCCTGGCATCAGCCTTCTAAAATATGTTTTCAGCTTTTAAACCAATGAAAACTTAGAGAAGGAAACCTTCCAGACTCCCATGAAGCTGCTTATCCATCATCATCCCCCCCCCTTCCATTTCACCACATGATATCCTCTTAGTAACCATGCATATATTATGTCTTAGAAACATCTCATTTACATTAAAAAAATATCATTTTATTTCAACAGGCGCTGGAAACAAGCGAATTCCCAGGGTCTGCGAAGTATACCAGCTTAGAGTCCCAAATTACCTTGATTCTATCAGCTTATCAAGTTATATTAGTTTATTATATGTGGCTAAATCCACTTACTTCATTGCCTGACGGTTGGTATCTGATTATTTTGGCAGCATTATGAACCTTTTTGGAGTTCTGAAGTTCAAAAAGATGGGGGAGGACTTTGTTCGCAGTTCTGGCCTTCCCTTCACAATAATCAGGTTTTCTACATGTGTGAAATTCCCTTGATACGTGCTCGTGGGCTTTCCCCATTCTCATTTCACCTTCAAAATTTTTAAACATTTGACAGGGCTGGTAGACTTACTGATGGACCCTACACTTCATATGATCTGAATACCTTGCTTAAAGCAACTGCTGGGGAGAGGCGTGCAGTCATTATAGGACAAGGTGTGTGCATTTAGATTCGTGTATCTTACCTGCTCTTTGTGTTTGAAATAGATACGAAGTATAAATGTTGTGGCATAGATGGTTGCAAAGGAAATAATGATATGAAGAGTGAGCAAGATTGACTTAGTTAGGCCATTTATGGGAAGATATACAATCAGCAATCGTGAGACTTTTCCTAAAACTATGGAAGTGTGATCATGATCAAGACTCAATGCAATAATTTATTTTTGCGATACTTCATGTTTTCTCTGAGTCAGTTATTCCTCATTTTCTCGATCTTGTTCGTAAGGTTTATGCTTATGATCTCTTTCATGTTATTTTCTCATCAAGAAACAACTTCCCATGAGTTACTTCCCGCTTCCTGAGTGTCTTTCTTCAGTGGAAGAGTCTCTTTCTATTTTCTTATTCTTTTGTATTATTATATACTCCTAGGTAGAACATTCTTGAGTTATGAAAAAGGCAGGAGAAAAACACGGGAATGCTGAACATGACGGGTACAATGCTAACTATTTTCAGTGTCCTTCTGAATCAGAAAGTGGGCCCACATTCCGTTTACTTTTGGTGTCCGCTTAACTTGTAAACTTTGCGAAATCAGAAAGCCATCGGTTACCAAACTGAAGCAATTATACAGACCAGCTTTTGCTCCATGCATACCAAGAAGCATCCCGAAGACACCAGAGAAGAGACAACCGAGCACTGACTTCGGATTTATTATTCCTGAGGATGCATGGTGCAAGATTTGGAGCTAGTTCTTGAAGCTGTATTATTTATTTATTTTTCTCTATTAATTAGTAAGGAAGCAACTTGTTCACACGGCAACTTGATGTACCTCTCTTCCGCGTGATCGTACAATTGAAAACCATTTTGTTTCGCGGTTGAACAGGTGACAAACTTGTGGGAGAAGTTAGCAGGCTCGTCGTTGCTGAAGCGTGCATACAGGCTTTGGACATCGAGTTCACTCAAAACCAGATCTATGAAATCAACTCAGTGAAGAAGGTACCGTCGAAACTGGAATCTATCCTCTTTCGGAGTGGAGACTGGAACCTCTTCCAACTTCCATCTTCGCTTTTGCTCTTCTTCCTCTAAAGTGCGAGCTACGAACAGTCCAAGACCAAGTCCTTAGAAAACAGAGCAGAGGCTCATTACACATATTTTTGTCTGTATCTTGACTCGGTTGGTGTTCTGTCTTACTAAATCCTTGTGTGGATAAAATGGACGGCCCTCTGCAGGGAGATGGACCGGGAAGCGACTGTGAGAAATGGAAGGAGCTATTCAGGTCCGTCAAATAGAGAAAGCGAAATCCTCAGCTCGTCAGAAGACTTACCGTGACCCATTCCATCATGCCCACTGTATGTATCTCCTGTATATCTTCTATTTTCCACAGCAAAGTGCCAAAAAAAAATGGCATAAATCTGGGAGGGGGGGAGAGAGATTAAGAGGCCATGTGAAAGCATTGACGTCCCATATCTTACCATAAGTTTCAATTCAATACCACGTTGAAGGAATATCTTTCTTCACGCGAACGATCCTGCCTTTCTATTTTAATCAAATGCATTGATATTATTTCTTTTTTGCACCTTCCAGCCTCGTTGGGATTAAAAGCTTTTGAATGAACTCCCCTTAAAATTCGGCAGTCGCTTATTTTTACAATTAAAATTGGGATTAAAAAAGGTTTTAGTATTTTGCCAGAAATACAATTAGAATCAGCTGTCAAAGAATCGCTAGAGCATCTACAGTGTCACCAGTAGTCAAGGCAAGAGCAGCTGCCCTGTCCGAACCTGTGGTAGCGGTTGGGGTCTTTGAGGAGGATTTCTACACCAGAATTCATGGATACAAACTTGAACATCTCGTGGCAGTCCCTGCAGACTCGGAGGTTTTTCCCTATCCTGATGACCCCCCAGCCTCCCCACTCAGTCAGAGCAAAGGCCAGGGCGATCTTTTCTGTGTGCCCACATAAATCCTCTGCATTCTCTTCCTCACCGACGTGATGGTCGAACGCCGCCTTGACCCGCAGGAGACCGGCCTTCGTCATCATCTGCCTCACTGACTTGATCACCCTGCGGATCCTTGCAGAGTGCCCACTCATGTGGTCCGCGCCCACTGTGAATCTGTGCACTTTCCCCCTCACCTCCACCCAGCTGCACGCTGTTGCAGGGCTCAGCCCCATCTCCTTCATGGACGTCCTCACCTTGGCCACCTCCCCCCACCGCCCTGCATCTGCATACATTCTTGACAGATGCAAGTAAACTCCGACCTCGCGGGGGTCCAGTTGCAGAGCTCTAATGGCGGCGAGCTCCCCCAGCCTGAGATCTTTGTGGTTTCTGCAAGAAGCGAGCAGGGTCACCCATGCGAACTTGGGTGGCTCCGCGGGCATCCTCTCGATGAAGTCACGAGCCTCCTGGAGCAGCCCGGCCCGGCCGTAGAGGTCCACCATGCAGACGAAGTGTTTCATCTCAGGGGCGATGTTGTGCTCCAGCTCCATGGACTGGAACAGCGCCTCTCCCTCTCGGACCAGCCCGCAGTGACTGCAAGCGGTGAGGAGGGCGAGGAAGGCGACGCCGTCTGGCTCGACTCCGGATTGCTTCATCTCCCCGAAGACCTCCAGAGCTCTCCTGCCCAGCCCGTGGGCGCCGTACACGGACATCAGCGCGGTCCACGTCGCCACGTTCCTCCTCGGCATGGTACCGAACAGGGCAGTGGCGGAGCGCAGGCACCCGCCCTTGGCGTACATGTGGACGACGGCGTTACCCTGTGCCAGGCCGTCGGCATGCGGAGGTCCGTTGCTGCCGGCCTTGAGGATGTACCCGTGGAGCTGCTTCCCCTTACGGAGATCCGCCGTCGCGCCGCAGATGCCCAGCGCCGCCGAGAGGGACCCCCATCTGGGTCGTAACCGAGTGGAGGAAAGCATGCCCCTCAGCAGCTCGAGCGCCGCCTGGTATAAGCCGCTCTCGGAACAGCCGGTGATCATCGAGTTCCAGGCGACGCCGGAGTTGCTCCTCTCGGGCATCTTGTCGAAGACCCTGCGGGCGTAGATCATCTCCCCGCATTTGGCGTACATGTCCAGGAGGGCGGTCTCGAGGATCGCATCTGCCTCGTCGAGCAGGCCGCCCCTGAGCAGGAAGCCATGGAGGCCCTTTCCCAAGCCCGGCTCCTTCAGCTGCGCGCAGGCGGAGAGGACGCTCGCCGCGGTCATGTTGGTGGGCTCGATCCCCTCCTGCTCGACCATGGCGAAGAACCTGCCCAGAGATTCCTCGGCGCGCCCGATCCGAGAAAGCCCGGAAATCATGGCGGTCCACAGGGCGGCGTCCCCTCGAGGACATTCGTCGAACAGGTTGCGCGGCCCAGTCAGGCGCCCGCCCTGGAAGTAGAGCTCGACGAGGCCGGTGCGCACAAAGAGGTCGGCAAGGTGGCCGCCCTTGACGGCCACCGCGTGGAGGTGCTCCGCATAGAAGAGAGGAAGGCGGAGGGCGTGAGAGAGCTTCAGCAGGGGCGGGATGGTGAAGCTGTCGAGCCTGGCGAGGCCGCGCCGGTGGCCGTCGAGGAAGTGGGCGAGAGCTTCCTGGGGGCGCCCCGAGGCGAGGAGCGACCTGATGGTGGAGTTGAGCGAGAAGGCGCCGCCGCCGCGGAAACCGGCGGCGGAGCGGCTGGGCGGCGCCACCTCTCTCTCTCTCTCTCTCTCTCTCAGCCACACGCGACTACATGGCTTCCACGATGCGGGCTCCGGGGCTCGACATGAATAACGTCTAGACATTGGGATATGTGATCCCATAACGTGGATTTATACAAGTGACATGAGTTCTCTGTAATAATTTCTCAGATCATTTTCCTGCAACCGTGTTGCTCCAAAATCATCCAAGAACCATAGCAACTCGTACAATCATCATGTTTTATCTTTGATGGGTGGGTAATTCAACATCACCAAGCTCACTTATGAGTGACTTAAGCTCCCCATAGTAGCTTCCCAGCTGGCCAGGCCCTTCTTCCCCACTTGCCGTGGCTCCTGCAGAACTCAGGTCTTTCTGCTGCCTATGAGGTGCCACCACCGCCCCTTCCAATAGCGTACCATCATGGAACATCCTCAGAGCATCATCTGTAGACATGGAGCGAACAGTTTCGCACAGTTTCCAGAGTGCGTCCTTTTTCTCTATTCTTTCAGCCAACTTTCCCCTCGGAGAATCTGGAAGACCAGTCAGCGCACTGGAAATCGGTTGCAATCCAAATGGAAAATCTTTAGCGGTATATAAAAATCATCAATTGACAATAATATATGAACGATCACATCTTCTTCAGGGGAACTTTTCAAGCGGATTTACCTAGCGACACCTCTGACAAAGCCCCACTTGTACCCACCAAGCACAGCTTTCTTAAATCCGGCATTGAAGCCCTCCTGAGCAGACGCTTCTTTCCCAGCAATAATTCCATCCCGATAGCCCATCTGATTGAGTTAGGAATTATACACAACCATGGCAGTAACTCAGTTTCAATCCTCAAATGAATAAAAGGAATTCAACAAAGCAGAATATGTAATATCTCTGAAACGCAGGCTTTTTTACCCACCCAATGAAATTCATTTTCTCTAGCCTTCCGCTCCCGGTTTAACTCAGCAGAATCCGAACCATCTTCCAGCCAATCATCATCTATCACATTATATTGACATTAGGAGAAGCGGGGGGCAAAACATGAGTACATCCCATCAAAATACCATACAAGAACTGTAAGTATCTACATCCAACAAAGATAATGATGCAATAAACAACAACACGTCAATAATCACATGAATGAATCCCCACCATATTCTATGGAAAACAAGTTCATCTGCCACAAAATTTAGGGTTATTTTCTGACCACTTCTTCCACATATCAGGGTTTCTTCTACGTTAATATACTGACGATGATTATGACTACCTGCATTGATAATATTTCAATCAATACACTTTACTGAAAGGTCCCTATATAAGATAAGATGTCCTTCTGTCATTTAAAAACTTCCTTACCACGATGTGTACTCTATGCAAAGTCTATGGAAACTTAAGTTTCACAGACATGAAGTACAATGCACAAGTCCACAACACAACTTTTAAAGGGTTGGTGCCAGTTTGGGCCGGTGATTTAAACGATTCGTCAAAACTCAAGATCCTAGGTTGCCTCCCCCCCTCCCCCAACAAAGAAAACCACTAATCCCGAAGTACAATGCACAGACATAAAGTGTGCTGCCGAAGTTCACGACACAACTTTTAAAGGGTTGGTGCAAGTTTGGGCCAGTGATTCAGAAGATTTGACAAATCCTAAGATCCTAGGTTGAATCTACTTGATAGATTCCGATGATGGACATAACCACCTCCCCCCCTAAAACCCTAATTCCAAAATAAAACCATCGCACGAAATCATCTCCACCATTTCTTAGTTAGCATAGATCAGAAAATAGTAGACTGGTAGATAGAGGTGTTGGCAAGAATCTAGGTTGGCTATAACTTTACATGGTACGTGAGATTTAAATTGAAAACACAAGAAACAAATAAAGAAAGAGAAGAAATCATGGAAATTAAAACATAGTTTGTAAATATTAAATTCAGCAACCGGTGCAAGTTGTCACCCATGAAAAGATAAAAGTTCAAATAGAATCAGCAAATAAATGACAGCGTGTGCATGCCCAACTGCCATGTGGATGCAATCCTAAGAAATATAGAGCAGCAATGACGAGGAAATTTTATGACATAGGTGTATACCCTGCTGATCATTTTGTTCAAGACTAGTGGACGATGTGAAAACCTTTTCCATTATTTGGAATTCTAAATGGTACCAAAAATTTATCTTATCGTATTCACTTGGTCAATGGATGATAATATTCACGACTTGTATCTGCATCAAGAAAGTCCAAAGTCAGCGACAAGACATATGGAATAAAGGCTGAACGAAAGGAGCAAAGTAGAAATAGAATTTTATTTTCGTGGACACTAGGCGAATGGCATGTAATAACCAAGAATCTATGAACTCTGGGAAATCATACGATTATCAAAAGTGCAAAAAACATTTCCACGCCTTGGAAAAGCATGCACCACTTTTTCGGACTCAGCATACTTCCAAAAGAGTTTTCTGTAGTGTACATCGTTCCCTATTAGAAAACTTAATATATATTCACAACGGCTATTTTTATTGGAGGCGACTAAAGTACCTCAACTGGCTTTCATAACCCACAGAAAGTAACGTACGTAGAAGAAATAATATTAAGACAGCATAAATAAATCAAGAGAGGCCATCATAAGATTGTGCGTACAATTCCCTCTGACAGTGTTAAAGCTGTCTGGCGATCAATCAACAGCTAGGTGACCTAAAGAATCCGAAGATACAGCAAAAGTAGAGAGAATCCGGAGTGGAGAGCAAGACGCCAAGGAACGCCTCTGGAAGAGGGGGCCAGGAGGAAGAGGGCAGGGAAAGACTGTCGGAGGGTGGAGGATGGTCGATCCGGTCAGACAGTGAGATTTGAGGCAATGCGTAGGCCGGTGGATGCTCAGACCGGGGATTGCCCATGTTCTCGTTAGCCCAAAACATCCCATCATCGCCCATAGCCCAGCCCCCACTATTATCAATCGGTAAAGACCGTTAAGAGACCGATGAGGAATGAGACCTATTTTAGCTAATTTTGGGCTTGGCAGAATTCAAGAACACACCCCTCTCAAGAGTGCGACGCTCCTAGTTAAGTGGATCATGGTTTAGGGAGTAGAACCGTACCACCAGAACAGACCAGGTGGTAATCCATGCAGGTGCGCAAGGGACGGCACGTTGCATCGGGGACCAAGCTATATGACAGGGGTAACAAAGGCGCCAATAATCCCATTGTGGGCCCCACAATTTAACCCCACATGCTCAGGCAGCTGACCCTCTTCCTAATAGAGAAACCCTTGGGGCATGGGCTGCTGGGACTAATCGGGGAAGATGGTTGGGATTCTGCCGAGTTAGACCGGCAGTACCCACTCACTTTGCTTGGATATGGTAGTCAGTGCAAGGCCCTGAACAGTTGAGGAGGATTCGATGTTGGGTTAGCATTGGTGCCTCTTGGTTCGTTAAGGCACTCAGTGCTTTTCTGCCTCCATGAGCGAAGCAATCTTTGACCCAGTATAGTCTCTGGTAGATAAAGCATCCACCTTTCAACGAATTATTTGCTCATGTCACTGCTTTGGACTTGTCTCATCCTTGCCCATGGGCACTCCCACCGCCGCGTTAATCATCTCGATGCTTGGCACTGACGTTGGGCTCCATTGTATTTGTGATTCGGTGATTGACAAATACATCAGTCGTTGCCATAGCCTAAAGCACATCACATCCCCCTATCCCTATTGCCGCAGCTTTGCCTATACCCACCTCTGCGGACCATTTGTCATATTCCTGGTGTTGCGCATATTCCTGGTGTTGAGCACTAGTGAGATGAGTTGTCTTACATATTATTTCACATTGGAAATATGCTTAAAAAATCAGAGGTCATCTCTCGCCACCCACATTTTTTGTAAGCAGGAATTGCTCCAATTTCTAAGATCAGACATCCCACGAGTTGACAGATTGCTCATAAAAGGTATAAAGTTTTCAAGGAAAGAGTCACGAATTCGGTGTTGTGATCACAAGAATTGGCGATCCGAAACGTATCATTTAGCTCGGAATTCTGGTCCCATCAAGGAAAGCGCAATCAAGAGAGGCACAGTGAGGAAACCTTCTCAGACATGCCGGAAGAAGACACCGTCGCGAGCAAGAAATCGGAAAACGCAACTCATCTCATACCGGCCACGAACCAAGGGTAATTACCCTTCGTAAAAGATAACATTAAGCTCAGGGACGAAGAAGATACCAAAGAAAACACGAGCAACGAGACGAATCCTCATGCAAAAGTCCCCCAGGTGCTCACCCGGGACGGCCTGGCAGCCCTCGGCGTAGAAGGGGGAATCCGGAAGAAGGGGAGATTTGGGGGTTATGGGGGGGCTTTTCCGCAATCTCCAACATTTCAAGTGACCAATTGTGAAACGAGGCCCGGCGAACGAGCGCATGTCTGCGACGGATCCAATCTCGAGGCGATCACGATGCGACCCAAACGGATGAAGCGCAGACCCATCACAGCCAAGTGGGCTCCAGTAGCAAACCTAAGGGGATCACTTCTTGACCCGGCTTGGAAAAAAATGTATTTACAATGTTGTCAGCATATTTACGATATTTATCATCATCAAAGATAAAATTACCCATTAATCCTTTTAATAATATCCCCATTAATCCTTTCCGACCCCAAGAAAATGTACTTATGAAATTTAATTCGGATGCCGGTCAGTTGTCGTGGTAAATATGCATTTTTTTAATACATCCGTAGAGCACACATATATATGCATATATATTGTATATATGTGTGTGTGTGTGTTTGTGTGCGTGTGTTCTGTGTGGAAAGCAATAAAAAAAAAAGATTTTTGAGGAAATGCCTAACCCCACCGGTGGGACGATCAGGAGATGGATGGATGGATGGATGGATGGGTCACAACCTCTGGGTTAGAGGAGGCAGTGGGTCCCTAGATTTTGTGCTCAAACAAGGATTATCGGGTCACAAAACAAACCACAATATACTTGGAAGGATGGCCATATAGATGGGATGGGATGGGATGGGATGGGATGGGATGGGATGGGTTGGGCTGGGAGGCGACGAAGTTTTCATCACAATAGAGGGACTTTACATCCAATTATCACACGATGCAAGTGCCATTTCAGAACTTGTTTGGACTCCGTTGTTGGAAGCTGCGACCATGCTCATCATCTATTGCTGCATGATAGATGGATAGATTAGATGGATAGATTAGATGGTTATCATAGGAGCTGCGATCTTCCCACACTCGAAGATCCCAATCAGGAAATGGCATGCATGCAGAGGCCCGCTGCAGCCCCCTTCTTTCTGTTTGTTTTATTGAGAAACCGCGTGAAACAGCAACACTACCAAGAAGAAAGAGGCAAAAAACTCGCCCAAGTTTCCTCTCCCACCGGCGTGAACAGCAACCAATGATAACGCCTACCCAACTCACATGAGCCCAAAGCTGCTACACCGGTTCCAATGTTCGCTGGAGATTTAACGCAAAAGGGTGTGTGCCCATCTTCTCCCCAGTGAGTGGGGCCCACCGAGTCCCAGAAGAGCAGGGCAGAGCCTCACTTAGCCCTGGGGTGCGAGGAGATGAAGTCAATGGCAAGGTTGATGGAGTTGATCTTGTCGGCGTCGCTGTCAGGGATCTCGAATCCGAATTCCTCTTCCAAGGCCATCACAACTTCTACAGCATCCAAGCTGTCAAGGCCCAAGTCATCACTGAAATGGGCATTTGGGGTCACCTACACATGGGCCATCATAATATGATTTCAGAATGACTACATGCTCCCAATCATGCATAAGAACAAGTCAACAGTAATAAATATCGATCATTCTGAATTAATCACATCCCCCACCAAAATGAGTGGGTGAAGAAGCTTAACGTCAATAACCTCGAGGAGAGGAAAGCAAGATAGGAGGTAAATACAAGATTTTGAATCTCAACATAGAGCGATATATTATCTCTAAAAACACAATCAAAAAAGGAACAAATCAGCAGCTACTGAGTTTTCTCATAGTCGTCAATCTTCTTCTCCATCACTTGTAGAAAAAAGGACGATGATTTGATAAGTCCACCGTACAAGCTGCTTGCCTGGTGGGTGATTAAAAAACCAAATGACGGAGACGAGGACACTACTATACACACGACACAATAACAGGAATGCAATAAAAGCCTACCATCCGAAATAGAATGCATAGACTTAGGAGAAGAATTACGGAAGAGAACCATATGTGGAGTTACTAAATAGGGTCACAGCATGTGTCTTATAAATGCTTTCCATTACCTGCTCAAGACCCCAGATTTAGGCTTACTGGAAAGACAGGTCAACTTGAACCATCACACCCAGGGAGGATTAACACAAGAACCATCGTGCACTTCATTGATATTCTGGAAAAGCCTCCTAGGACAAACTGATTTCCATGGTACCCAGGAGATTTAACAAATGGGAAACAAAATAATAAAGCGGAAGGAAGCAAGGTCTCCCTTTTCACCATAATATGCTGTCTTGTACCCATCATTTCAATACATAATCAAGGGTCAAAAGAAACTGAGATTTATGCCAGTGTATGACTGCATCCTCCTTTAAAAGGAAATTCGGTGTTACTTGAGAACTGAGTAAAAACATTTAGCAAATCAGTAGATGACTCTTGGATCTGCCATTTTAAGGCGATTGGTTTCGCATGTTTATGTCCGAGAAAATTCTCCTAATTAACGCAGGTGGTGGATCTGTCCCAATCAAAGTTGGTCAACAGATTCAGGGGGTATTCCAAGGGATCTTCGTCGATTGAGTCATGCTGAAAAACCAACTCTTGTAAGTCTTGCTGACTCGCACAGGTCAACTTCGTTCATAATGATTCATCGTTCCAGGACTGCAGCTTCTTAATGATTTATGATTGTTATGGTCAACCAACCAACTTCGAAAATGCCTTTTGAAGAAAATACTTTGTCCGAGAATCCAGGTGGATATTTGATATATCACAGCATATTGTTAAAGCAAACTAGATCAATCGTTGAGCTATTATCAATGCTGAGGAAAGAGGGGGCATAAACTGATTGAAAGGACTGATGGAAGGTCTGAAATGCAATAGGAGGCCTTGATGGACGGAAACTCAAGAATAATCAGAGTGGTATCCAAAGACGAACTCAGCATATTGATACGAGACTTCGGTGAGGCAAAAAATAAAAATATCTGTACTAATATTTTTCAAATTTTGCAAAAGAACATCACTCCATACGGGGGGAGGATAAAGAAGTGCCATCATAACTTCCAGATGGGAGAGAAACTCAAGCACTTCTCCTTTGGTTTCATTGTGCTTTATACAGACTTGTTTTCAATTTTCAACAGAACTCTTGCTATTTCTACATAACACTAAATAATTCTGAAAACTTCCATAAAATTGAAAACAAGGTCAATTCATAGAATATAGTCACCACAAAATGCTAGATTAATTGTTCGTCAATCCATCATGGATCCATGAAATGACATGTCATGTTTCCCTTATTGTGCTTTTAAGACTGGCGACTTTCCATGTTCAAGGAGTAAAACTTTAGCGAACCCAAGATTCACATCCACTGCACAAGAATAGGTCGCATCTATCTCACCAAGAAACTGAATTAAGTTCCTCAATACATATGTATAGATGATATAGAAACCCAATCATGTGGGCCAAAGGAAAAGGAAATTGAACTGTGGCTACTATCCAGACACAGGTACAAAGTTAACTGAACAATCTCAGGCGTGGCACGAGAAAAAACCGTCCTAACTGCATGATCCCCAATCTCCCTCTGGAAAAGCATCACGTTTATCTCTCAGACGAGCCAAGAAGGTTGCATGAGTGATCAGGTAGGGGAGTTCCCAGGTAAAAGGAGCAACTGAACTACAAACACGCATATATTCCGTCAAAAAAAATACGAAAGATTCCAAAATCTACCTCTGATCCTAGTGAATAGTGCACCATGTAATGTATTGCATTCAAAGAAACTTGTGAATGAAGACCAGCAACCATACGAAAAAATAGTGGGAAAAACATAGCTAGGTCAATAGCCTGTAAAACTCAAACTGCTGGGAAGAAAAAATAAAGAGTTCCTTTGTTGTTCAACGTTGAAAAAACTCATGTGAAAAACATCCGCCAACTGAATTCAAACAAAGCCATACTACGGTTCTCTGTTGTTGTTTGACATCTGACGATTTCACTCCTTATTCACCGAATCATGTCGTATAAATATCAACAGATGTAGATAACGTATTATCTTAATTGTATTTATTAGGTCCATCACAGGAACTTTTTTTCTCTCTTTCTCTGTATCTCCAGATACAACGGAATTAAAAAACTCTATTTTTTCCTAAGAAAAAAAACCTAGGAAGGATTTGCGTGCGGGAGAAAAAATATCTTCCCCCTTTGCACATAAAAGGAACACGACCTCCACCAACTAATGCTACAAGGTATTCATTGAGAAGTACACTGTCCGTCATCGAAGATAAACCGAAGAAGAAAATCAAGTGGACCCAGTGTCTAATAGATAATATAGAAGGACAACCGGTCATTGAGTTTAGTTTCCTGCTTTGGGCCAAGATTATAATGATCAAAAGTAAAAATAAAAAAGTTAGAAAAGTCCGCGTACCCAATGCCATTGAGTTTAGACGTACAGCGCCATGAGGAATGACGTGATTCATTGAACCAAACACTCAAAATGGAACAACAGCGACAAGAAGCCCGGCTCTAGTAAACCCGAATCTGAAACCTAGTTTAGGAGTTACGACGGAGGTAGATTAGAACGACACACCTTGGCGGGATCGACCTTCTGGAAGTTCTTAACGACGGTAATGACGCGGTCGGCAACCTCAGACTTGTCGAGGAAGGTCCCCCTCACCTCCTCAGAGAATCCGCGGCGAAGGTGAAGGAGGCCACAGACGGGGGGGATCGCGGCCGGGCGGAGATCGGGGAGGACTCTCACCCTGAGGTGCTTCAGAAGAGCGCTCCGTGCCGCCGCCATTTCCCACAAGAACCAAAGGGCAAGGGCGTGAAAGGGAGATGGGCGATGCACCGCAGTGGCTGCGCGTCGTTTCCGTTCCCCGTCTTCGCACTCTCTCACCCCTTTTGGAGAGAGGTCACATTATACTTAACATGATCCTCCTAACAACTCCATTAAATAAAATAGGAACATTTTTTCCATTTTAATTTCATTCTAATAGTTCAACACGATTTATAAAAAAAATATGAAATTAATTTCGTACTTGATACTGAACTAAATTTAGAAACCTAAATCTCATCGATGATATTTTTGAGATTTTGTATGTATAATATCCGTGCATTTTGAGGGGAAAATATATGAGAAATCTGATGGTTTTCTAGTAACTAGAATATTTGGATAGCATTTAATTAAAAAAAAATCCCTTAAAATATAAAATGAAGTAAAGATAATACCTTTGCTGATGATAAAATTAATGGGTATAAATTTATTGAAGTAAAATATGTTATGATATTTATGTTAAAGGCCAGACGATTCCTTTTCCCTCATCAGATCGTTCTCGAAAATGATATCCCCATTTTTACGACCGAAGATATTAATCACCTTTTTAAGTTGTGCGGATCATATTCCTTATTTTTTCAGGAACATCAAATAAAGATCCTTTTCGGTCCAAATATGCTCTAAGAATAAATAAAGTAAGAAAGGGAAAAAGTCAACTATTTAAAGAAATAAGGAAGAAAAAAAGAGAGAGTCAGATGGGAACAAAAGAGAGCCTGCTGACTCACTCTCACCATGGTCGAGCTATTTCACTTCTTTCCGCAACCTAACGGTACCAAAGGTTCAAGAGGAGTCAAACTACATGCAGGAGGAGCTACTGACTGCGGGGAACGAGGTAAAGCTTGCCGACGACGTGCAGGAGGGCGACAACGGCGATGAACCCGATGCTCATGATGAGCACGGTGTTGGGGGACATCTTGCGGCCGGTGGCATCGTCGGTGTAGAATTGGAGCATGGTGTTCACGCCACCGCCAGCTGCGCTGCTGCCTCCACCGGTCCTCCGCCTGCGCAAGCTCGCAGCGGCCGCTGCGCTGCCTCGAGGCGGCGCTCCTCCGTTTGTCACCATTTCTCTTAGTTCTCTGCGCAAATTTGACCAAAATATTTCGGTTATAAAAGGAACGTAGGGATGGAAATCCTTGACCAAAATCTAAGCCGTTTTTGGCCAGTTTTGGTAAGAGTAGGCTCCACAAAATGTACAGCCTTTGACGTTACAAACATGTCAACTATTTCGCAAGTTCCTACAGGAAGTTTCTTCTTATTTTTTCGGATCCGAGTCGCAGAGAGCACCAAGTTTTGGGATCAAGACGATGGGGGTCCCCAAGAAGGGCTACTGCAAGATTACTCTTCTCTATTTTCTTATGATCAACAGATCAGTCACCATGATTCACCTATTTGGGGTGCAACATCAACCATTCCTATATGACTCTCACGAACAAAAAAAGTGAATTAAAAAATTCCCAGTAATTTACCACTAAAAGTCTCTGCTTAACAGAACCATCAGTAACATCCATAACGGATCTCATAATGGCTTTCGGGGAAATAACAACGCTGATAAAATGCACACAATACAGTTCTTGTACAAGAGACATGGTTTCGAGGCCAACATCAGGTAAAGTGTGAAAGATAATGTGAAGATGCATATGGTAACTCTTTAGCCAGAAAATACTTGGAAGTATTGGAACAACAAGCTTGTCGATGAGATATAACAGATTTGTCAACTACTTGTTTTTGGCTGCCGTAAAAAAGACTACGGAAAATTTCTAAATTCTTCACAAATTCCGAGTTTTTCGCTCTTCACCATCCAAGATCAGTAGACTTAAAGGCGCCTACATGCTAGATATGCCCTACTGTATCCACAGACCAGCTTAACCTCAACCCTTGTCAAAAGACTGACTTCAGAGGTATGTCCTACTATATCCACAGCTCCGCTCGATAGAAAACCCCCATCAGTATTGAGCTTCTTTCCCAACAAGAATCCCCAAACCACATTTATTTCGGCAATTCCATCCCCCCCTTTTTTAATACTTCTCGTGCACTAGTCCCCTCCTGAACACCCAAAAGCCTCCTCTTTCAGGCCAACCACTCTCTTCCCAAGGAAAGAGAGGGAGGTCGCCACACAAGGAAGGAGACTGGGACGGTGGAAGGTTAGGCTAGGATGAGACTGGGAAGATTAACACGTAAAAATTGAGAGAAGACAAAAAGTATTTTCTAAGCCCGGTAGCAAATGCCTGTTTTGAAAATATTGCATTAGATAAAACGGTATGCTCATGACTGTTACACACATAAATGGTCCAGAATGACAGCAAAGATTATCTTGCCAACGCCACGTTTTCAATCTTTTTTAACAGCAGATAAGAGCAAGTCCAGAATGACAGCAAAGATCATCTTACAATGGCTTATTACCGAATTTGACATCTATTTATTTTCCCAATGTCAAATTATTTACTGGATTTCAGAACCAAGAAACCCAATTAAACAACTTACGCACTATCCTCAGTTTATGAAAGTTAAGCAAATACAACCAAAATGTCCTTCTATCATCCTTTCCGGTTGTACGGAAGGAAAGTTCACTAAATGCATAAATCGTCACAATAAGGTCTAACCGTAGCACCTTTCAGGAGAGTTATTTAGAAAAGATCGTTGCATGCATCACATGCAGTGAAAATTCAGAGGGGCTGAGGGAAACAAGAGGAATGTACTTTTAACGTCACATTCAGAGAGGGACTTAGGCAAACAAGCAAGTCAGGAAAAGTCGGATTAAAACCTGAAAGCGGGTAAAGATTCAATTTATTTAAAGAGAAGAAAAATGATTGACGGATCAGAAAAAGAGAGCCAAAGTTTTTCCTTCGCATGCGATAAAAAACCAGATCTGTTAGAAAACCACCATACACGAAGTATATGAATCCTTCGAAATCGCGGTGAGCCGAGCGCAAGCAAACTTAACAGGCGAAAGGGACATAAAATCGAGGGAAAAAATAGGTATTTTGAACGTCATTGGAAATCCAATGCACATGAGGAAGAAGAGATCCACAGAAAAAACTTATCAAGGCATAGCTCAGAATCAAATCAAGATGCAGCGAATTAATTCGTGCTGACCATAGCCATCCAGAGCTTATTTCCAGAGAAAAAAATCCGGATCCGGCAGTTCTCTCCGCATGCACAAGAGCGGCATGCATGCGCAACCGAGAAACGGCGAAACGCTCCATTAACTTTTTCCTTCGGTAAAAGGCGGTGAATAGGAGATCGAGGTGAGATCGAGAGATTTAGAGAGCTCATACCTGGAAACGACGATCACAACCCAGCGAAATCCCTTGAGAAGCCCGTCGAGGATTGTTTCACACGGCGGAACCGTTTAAATAGGAGGGAACCTCTTCCTCTCTTCACCGATATTGACCAACCCGATGCGCCGTCCACCGCTGACTCAATTCTAATACGTGGCTTTGCCGACGTGTAGCCAATCAGGTCTAGAAGTGTGCGCTGACTTGGCAATCGCCGGCTCACGGATCGGCGGTCCACCGCCTCTCGGGAAGTCCATCGCATGGATGGCGCAGTGGACCACAGTCGTCTTCGTCTCCGTCGTCTCTCGTCTCTCGTCTCTCAATTCTCGGCCTTCAGAGGAATAGATAGAGAGAGAGAGAGAGAGAAAGAGCTCTTCTACGTCGTCTCATGATCCATGCCCAGCCTCGGAAGGGCGCCATTTTGCTCTCCTCCTTCCCACCGTCGTCTTGCTCCCGGTTTTGCAGGCTTCTCCTGCCGAGGCCGAGATGGGTCTCCTCCACAGGAGGCATTGACCCCGAGCTCGTCTCGCTTCTCCGGGACGGCGGCCGGTCGTCCCGCGGCCGCTCCCTGGGGTTCAACGTTGTGGCGGCGCTGAAGGCCTTCGCCTTCTCCCTCCCGTCGGGGGAGCAGATCCACTCCCTGGCCGTCAAGTCCGGCCTCCACCGCTGCAATGTCTTCGTCCGCAACGGGCTCATCAACATGTATGGTAAGTGCAGAGCTCCAGACGCCGCAGAATCCATTTTCCGGTCAGGTTCCCCGCTGGACGCTGCTTCCTGGAACACTATGATCGTCATGTACGTGAAGCTGGGCCGGCTGGAGAGCGCCCGGCGGCTGTTCGACGAAATGCCCGATCGAGACTGCGTCTCGTTCACGACCATGATCATGGGTCTCGGACAGCGTGACGAGCCCGCACAGGCGCTTCGGGTCTTCCAGGAGATGCTCTCTGCGGACATCAGACCGAATGAGGTGACCCTGTCGAGTGTGACCTCCGCCTGCTCCCACCTTCATTCAATCGTAACAGGGAGGGCAGTTCATGGGCTGGCGATTAAATCTGGGCTCGAGGATTTCCTCCTCGTTTCGACGAATCTGGTTCATTTCTATGCTCTCTCTTCTAGCATCAAGGAGTCGGAGACTGTCTTCACCAGCATGCCGGAGAGGAACATCGTCACATGGAACACCATGCTGAACGGCTACGCCAAGGCCGGTCTGACCGACGCAGCGAGGGTTCTCTTTGAGCGAATCCCCGCCAAGGACTTGGTCTCGTGGGCCACCATGGTTGACGGGTATCTGAGGGCCAACCGGCTTCAAGAAGCCTTGCTGATGTACCGTGAGATGGCCAAGACTGTTGTTGTAGATGGGCGGCCGAATGAAGTCATGATCGTTGACTTGATCTCTTCATGCGCCCGCCTCTCGGCGTTCAACGAAGGCCGGCAGTTCCACGCAGTGATTCTGAAGAGTGGGTTGGATTCCTACGCCTTCGTTCAGGCGACGATCGTCCATTTCTATGCCGAATGTGGGTACATTGAGCTCGCTTCTTCCCAGTTCTGGTCAGGAGACATGGGGAACGTCTCATCCTGGAATGCCCTCATCGGGGGATTCATTCACAACAACATGTTGGAAACGGCAAGGTCGCTCTTTGATGAGATGCCCGACAGAGACGTCGTCTCCTGGAGCACGATGATTGCAGGTTATTCCAAGAAGGGGTCGCCCTCCGCGGCTCTGGACCTCTTCCATGGCATGCAAGCTCAGGGGATCCAGCCGAACGAAATCACTCTGCTGAGTGTTCTGTCTGCTATTTCTGCTTCTGGGACTTTGGAACAAGGGAGACGGGTTCATAATTACATAAGGCACCATTCCATCTGGCTGACCGACAACCTGCGCGCAGCCCTCATCGACATGTACTCCAAGTGTGGGAGCATCGGAGAGGCACTGCTTCTGTTCAACCAGACGAGAGATTCAGCAGCGAACATCTCCCCTTGGAATGCTGTGATATGCGGCTTGGCCATGCATGGGCATGCGGAGATGTCTCTTAGAATTTTCTCAGAACTGGAGAACACCAAGATCAAGCCTAATTCGATCACATTTATCGGGGTTCTCAGTGCCTGCTGCCACAAAGGTTTGGTTGCAGAGGGGAAGCATTACTTCGAGCAGATGAAGAATGCCTACAAAATAGAACCCACGATCAAGCACTATGGCTGCATGGTGGATCTCCTAGGCAGGGCGGGGCTTCTCGAGGAGGCCCACCAATTAGTGGTGGCCATGCCCATGGAACCGGATGTGGTCATATGGGGCACCATGTTGGCTGCGAGCAGGACTCACGGGAATGTGGAGATTGGGGAGAAGGCGGTGAGGGGCCTCACGAGCCTGGAGCCCAACCATGGGGCGAGCAAAGTCCTCCTCTCCAATATATATGCAGATGCTGGTAGATGGGAGGATGTGCTTCTGGTGAGGCAGGCAATGCAAGCTAGGGGGCTGAAGAAGCTACCAGGCTGCAGTGGAGTCGTGTGATTAAACCAGTGGAAAACTTGTAGAGGGAAACCTAGAAGGATACATACGTACGTATGTACGTATGCTTCTTACGGGATGAAAAAGATACGTATGTATCTTTTTTATGTACCCTCCTCCATGTACGACGTATCTTTGAGCACCGATTCTCCAAGCGCCACTGAGAAAGTTCACACAGAATGTTCTCCTAAATTTATTATACGAAAAAATTATTTTTTTTAGAACCCAAGTTAGTTTGGCTCGAGTTTCATTTCCTAGGTGCCTGCAGGCTGATGAAGACTATATTGAAATAATCCGTAGAGATGTTCTCACATTCCACTTGTTCTGAAGCTTTCCTCGTGCTTTAAAAGGGAAACCAAGCCCTCAAACCTTGGCCCTCATGAGGCATGTTCTTCCAACAGGCCCAACTCTGATCGGCAACTGTGATACAGGTTCACCCGTCTGAAAATATTTCACACAGGTAAAGGCAATTCACAGGCCCCCGATGGATAATTTACAAATAGAAGACAACACGCCTCTTTTCATTGGCTTGCAAGAAGCAGATCGGCCGCCGCACCCATCGCCGGGACGCCCCCTCGCTCCAGGAGGGCGAAGGCGAGCTCGTCCTCATTCCAATGCCGCAGCCCCGAGCTGAGTCTCTTGAGCACGTCGACGCTGGCTTCCAGTACCCAGCAGGGGGCGCACTGCACCACAAGCCCCAGGAAACCCAGGACGTAGGCGCGCCACGTTGCCCAGCCACAGCCGAGAGATATCTTGCCATCGATGGCGTTAGCCAGGAACTCCAAGTGAGCTCTGAGGACCCTGGGGCGCCTCTTCGACACAGAGGTGGAGCCAATTCCCCAACCAAACATTCCACAGAGCACTGCAAAGTAGGCGAGCGCATAGCCTTCGAACATCGCCGCCGTGCCGCCCTCGCCACCACGGTCCGCTTCCCGGACCGACAGAAACCAGGACGGCAGCATCTCTTGGAACAGAGACTGGACGATTCCCGAGCCACCCGAGAGCCAGGCAAATGTCGCGCCGAGGGAAGCCGCGACCTTGATCTGGGTCATAATGGATACCAGCGACGGCTGCCCATACTGCATCCGGTGCTTGCCCTTCTTCAGCTTGTCGAGCTTCTCCCTAGGGAGACCTGCATCAGCTATCAGCTTCACCGAGGACATGAGAAGAGAGAGGATCTCTCCGGTCAGCAACAAGATATCTTTGATACATCGGTAGATGCGCAGGTAGAGGATCCCCGGTGCAACAGGAGAGAGCCCCCCGCAGAAGTGGGAGCCGAAGCCATGGCCGAGGAGGCTCCCGACGCCGCCGCTGCTGTGGGCAGCCGAGAGGCCGAGGGTGGCATTGAAGCAGCTCCTCAGAAGCTGAACCACCGCATTGTTGTTGTGATGGAAGACGGTGCGGGAGGCAGAGAATATGAGGAAGTCGCTCCAGCGTTTCACTTTCTGAGTCCAGAGGGCAGCAACAATCGGCATGCTTGGCCAAGGGCAGCTTGCTGCAAGGTTCTCCAGGGCGGGGCCGGCCAAGTTGAGGAAGCGCTCAGAAGCACTGTCGAGTTTGTACGTAATTGTAAGACTCACAAATGCTGCCAAAGGGAGTGGAAGCCTGGCTCGAGAGCTACCTGCTGTAGTCATCAAGGCACACTTGTCAGAAGATAATCAGACAGAAGTACAGTTTTTTTCTAGGGTGGAAAGTAAATGAGATAAAAAAGGGAAAAAATTCAGAAGAAATCCCAACAGAGAGCTCAACTCCTAGTAAATGCTTTGAAAAAAATGGCGGTTTTATGCTTAATCCTGCCCGATTAAATGGGTCCTTAATTATTCTTGATCCTACATTCCTTGAGAGCAATCAACAGTTAATCTGAAATTTTGGCGTATGATGTCTCCCAAGCTTATGAAATTCTGCGGAAATCTTCTGCTCTTCACCCACAGCTGAAAGCGCTAGGAACACTTTCCATGGCCATCAGAGGGGAGAAAGACAGGCAATCTTTTACCCATAAAAGATTTTGAGTAGATTATACCATTTCTGGCATAAAACTGAAGTAAGAGCTGAGCGAAATTTCCAGAGAGCAATCATGCCACATCCCGAAAAAGGGGATCCAGAGCCCCTAGAGGCAGACCACTAATACTCAATAGCTGCTAATACTCGGCACGACAATACCATTAGTATCAGCCGTAACAATTTCTTTATTCGCCAATTTACCTGAGCAAGTCTCAATTCGGTAAGAAAAATTATTTCTCCAAGAGAACTCTGCATCCACCATCTTCACAACCACATCGCTGGAGTTGGCTCAATATAGTCTCCAAAGAGTAACTCTTTCATTTCTAGTTTCTTTCCCACCAAATAAAAAATAACCTACCGCCACAAACTTGTAATCTCTTCGTTTGGCATCAATGTCTTTGTTGTCCTAGTTCAGTTGCACGTCAAATCTTTGCCCATCCAAGTCAAACAAATCAGGATGTTCCCTTTCTCTTTGCCACCAGTCTTTCAGGATTCATACCTCTTGCTCAAAAAATTCACAGATTATTACTAAGTAGACACGAAGAGGTTTATACTATGAAAAGACCTGCCAAATGTTACAAAGCAATCCACAAAGATCGGTCCGGAAACATATTGTACTTGGGACTTTCTCTATAAAACCTTTTGAGAAAAGTAGACGTAACTAAATCGCTCTTCGTCAGCATTTGTGGTTCCAAACGCATGAGACAAGCAACAAAAAATAAAATACACCCAGAAAATTTGGCGACGACATGATATGCGTAAATGACAGTTGCTACTTCATTCCTGAGAGAAACATTTGTTATAAAATGATAAAAGTAGAGCACGGAGATAATTCGGGGTAATGGCAATCACTATTGAGGAAGCTTTGGCACGGAACACTTTGATCTCCAAATGAACAATAAGAATTAAAAAACCCAAATAGCAAGAATGGCTCAAGTCCTCTAAAATGATTGGCCTTTGGTCGTTGTGGTGCGTGTGTTAGGCCTAAGATGGTAATGTAGAAAAGGGACTAAGCATTAATGCACTAACTAAAAGGCAGTGCATCGGCGAATTTATGTACAATGAGCTCAGACAACTGAAAATTATACTTCCATTTAAGCAGTCAATTGTCATAGCTACATTCTCATGTCCAAAATATCATGACAACAAAAGTTATGTTTTGGAGGAAAAATAGTTTATTTTTAGATAAGTGTGCAAGAAAAAATAAACGTTCATTAAGAAAAGAAGAAAAATGGCTCTTACCTACATTTCCTGGAGTAAAAGGGAAAGCAAACTGCACAACTTCTGTTTTTACTTTTCTTTACGTGGGCGCATTGCAGAATTCCTTTACGATATATCCAACCTCTATAATCACGAATTCCTAATTACAGAACTAGCCATGATTCCATTGTTTAACAAAATAGATCAATGGGTCACCAACGCAAGATGTGATTATTCAGGGAATTTTGCCGTTTTATAAAACATCAAGAAACATTAACATCTGAGTGCTTCTTTGTTGTTTTAAATGCAAAAAAAAAACTCAAAGACTAAAGAAATAAAGAGAGAGAACTAGAAGGAAATGAAAATGTACTATTTTATCTGATCTAATTTCATACAATAAGAAAACCTAAACAAAACAATAAGCCACCTGTGACAAGGCTTGGAACGTCAACACCAGTGGCAGCTACAATTTTTTTTATGTGGTCTTCAACAGTCGAGAGATTAGCAGCAGGACTGGGCCAATCTGTGCCATTCATGAAAGCAGGTTCCCAAACTCCACGCGTCACCTCTGCAGAGAAGTAACTTACAATTGTAGCCAATGATGCAGGAAGGAAATCAGCCAGATCTTTGAGGCCTGAAACATAAAAGCTAGAAATGATCACGATACTACAAACTGAAACTCAAAAAGAAGTTCATATTCCATAAAACATCTTATTATAATTTCTCTATGCTTCACATGAAATATGCTTCCTGTTCAATTTGATTACCATTACGAAATGGGATTCTTATTCTACCACAACTAATACAATAATGCAAGACATTTAGTAAAATAGGCTACCAAAGTTATTACAAAACATTTATGCAGATAAAAATAGCAAGCTTCGTGGGATTAATCAAAGAAGAGGAATATTTTAAGATGAACTAACCAGTTGCCAATTCACGAGGCGACAGCTTTGAATGGGAACAAGCTGTTAGAGCAGCATCAACAACAAAAGGGACTGCTTCCAAGATGTCCCATGCGGCTAACTTGGGTCTCAAAGAAGCATCTTCAATTCCAGGGTTAGAAGAATTGCTCAGGCTGCTACTTCCAGATGCACCAGACCCTACAGATTGGTTACCTCTACTGAGCTTCCTGAACATCATGCTCAAAAGACTGTCAACGTTGTGATGAACTGGAGTTCCGGGAACTAAACCAGAGAGTGTGGAAGCTAAACATGCTTGATGCTGCCGGTACCAAATCTTCAACTTTGGAAATGAGTCAACAAAGATAGGATTCATATCTGTTGTATTTGGCAACACTTGCTTTCTGCTGTTTTGCTCCTGACTAGAAGCTACTACATAAGAGTTACGAAGCAATAAAAGATATTCTGGCGTTAATTGAGACCCAACAGGAGCACCATCTCCCATAATGCAATACTCTAGAGGTGGATGATTGAACTTCCATAATCTCAAAAGAAGAATGAATGCATTTGAAAATACTGCATGGGTGGAAACTTCTCCTGATGAGAGAGTCCGCGAAATGCTTGGCAGACAGGACCCAAAAACTTCACAAATAGCCATCAATGCTCCTGCAAGCTCTGGAACCTGGTAAAAAATGAATGTGAACGCAACAACATCATTCAAGCATGTCAGTGATAGAACTGTATTGGATTTGATCGCATCACGCCCAGAAGACAGTATTAAGAGAGAACCTACCAGACCATGAAACGAGAAAACTTGCACACAGTCCACAGATGATATTCCAGTGAGAATGACAAACAGTACAGGAGCATGACTTATTAAATGGCTGTCAATCCCTGAATAATCAACAGGAATTGGGGGTGAGAGTAACTTCACGACAAAACGAACAGTATATTCCTGCAAATGATAAGAAGATTATGAGTTCAATTTTTACAGTCAATTAGATCAATTATCATGAGTGATAATCCGAGGAAACCACTGAAATTTTAGTCAAAACAACAGCTACCTGAAAATTCCATCCTCGAATAAGGGAGGCTCCACAGAGGATAGTGGCAGCAGAAATCCTGTCATCGTCTGATCCATTGGATGCAATTTCAAATATCTTTTCGAGCTCTCCTAAACTTACATTGAATTCATAAGTTTAATTCAGTTTACTTATCACAGATAAGTAAAAAAAAGGCGTCATGTAATATAAATAGAGGGCATACAGAAGTTTTTAAACTAGAAATCAATTTCAATAGAACAAGGATACAAGCCATTGTGGTAGTTCTGAAAAGCTTGCATTATAGCTACACTTCAAATGTATTTCCCAAATCGATGGTTTCTTTTTCTTTATGTATGTTTACCAGAAGAATGGCATGGGGATCTGACTTGACAAGAAGTTGAAAAAGCCATGATGATGATCTGCAAACCTACGGAATGTAAGTCCTGGACCCAATGCATAGATCAACACAAGTTTGCTGTGAGACAAGCGGCATCCTTATGGCCCAAGCTAATTCGTCTCTAAGTTAGTGGGAAGGACCCGAATCCTAGAAACATCTTTCCAAACTACGCTCCACCAATCCTTTCTGTAGGAGTCTACATTAGGAGACCTCTCACCTGGATGCACTGCACACCAAGTTCGCAAGCTAAAAAGGGCCTACAGGTCAAACACATCTGCGTGTATCAGTGAAACATTTTTAACACATATATGGATATATATACATATATATAATTTAGCAATTCAATCACACTAGATCCAGTGAATCAAGAGGCACCTAGAGACCAGACAACAATGAATCCCTGTTTTGAAGCCAAAAGCAATTCACAATTTCCGAAGATAGTTGATTTGTGGCATTAGAAATCAATAACAGCAATCACAACTGATGACACGTAATGCCGCATGATTGAATGAAGAAATAAAGTCAATGTCTCAGCATATTTTTAATTATAAATGTCAAGTACTGCCATACCTTGAAGCTGGAGTGTTCTCCAATACATTTATCATTGATGAGGTTAGAGGGGCACCCATCATTAAAGCTGACCATCCAGGACCTTGGCCTGGCATAGCATGAGGTAGCTGGCTGATACGACCATTCACATAGCCTGGCCAAAAATAAGCAGATGTGTCCAACAGATTTCGTGCGATACAAGCCTCCACAATCAGATGTCGCATATTACCAGCTAAAAATAACATATTAGAGTCACAAGATTGCTAAAACACTGTAAATATAAATAATAAAAAATAAAATATATAAGGGCAGCGAACTAAAAAATAATAATAAAGTAGACAAGTCACTTACAGCAGTCTAATGTCTTCTCATTCGTGCTAATGCTTTCAAAGTAACCACTAGAAACATTGAACTCAGAAATAAATAGCATCGCTTTTGCTGCAGCCTGATTGGCTACAGAAATAGAACATTTTGGAGGAGCCAGCAATGTCTCATAATCCCCCAGTACTTGTATGCTGGACATTAAAGCCTTCCGGCGCTCCCCAGCAGTGAGTTTCTCTTTCCATGGATTATTGGCACCGTTTCCACTTTCCTCGGATGTGTTTGTCTCTTCCTCCCTAATAATATCAGCAACTGATAGTGTTGTTATTGACAGAAGCAAACACAAACGTGTATCTATATGTGGTATCGGACCTTCAATGGGATCCCTTTCCTATACCAATGAACAAAAAACAAGAAAGAATATTAAGTAAAAAGCATACCCCAAATACAAATCCATATCAAACAAGAAAACATATGATAGAAAAATAGATAAAAGAAATTCACACCCTTTGGACAAGCCGAAGAGCTGCCACCCAGAGACCTAAGAAAGCATCATGCCAGGTGGTCCTATTAATTGCTTGAAGAGCCTTTACTAAACCTGTAGAAAATTTCTGTATCTTGAGAATTGATATTCTATACATTCACTGAATGTCAGATACAAAAGGGATAATGAATTAAGAGCACACTTGAAAAATGGAGGATAAAAGCGTCCTTACCGCTTATAATTTCAATGGCATTGGTTGCTGCAACTGAACCATCAACACAATCTTCTAGATAAATATCCAAAGGTATCCACAGAGAAGAATGGCTGGCCCCATGACAAAGACCACCCAGAGATGAATGAGGTCCAGAAGTAATAGCACAAAATTCCTGGTATTGACTAGGTTCACTTGCTCGACCCAATTCCCTGTGACTATGTAATGATAATTGCAAAAGTTTGTCAGGAGACACTGCTGAATTCCTCAACGCCAATGAATTTGTAGCAACCAACTGCAGACGGCGTGCGAAAATTCCCCAATGCAAAGGCCTAGTATAAATAGGACTAATTGATCAGAAGCTTTATCATATTAAAAAAACGCTATAAATGACAACCACGTTAGGGCACTTTCCACGTAAGCACATCAATTACAAAGAACACTTGATAAAACAGTGCACTGAAATGAAATAAACTTCTAAGTCCTATAGAAACAATAAACCCAAGAATACAAAGAAAGCATAAGCTACTGACTAATAGTAATTGTTATATTTACCACTGGATCTCATATTTTGTGAGAATTCAATGAAAATCAAATTCCTGGATCATCATCCAGCAGAGTAGGAAACCGCCAAGTGTAGAATCCTCAATAAATACAAAACTACAAACATGCCCAAACACTAGAAAGAAACTGCAGATGCTCTTCATATCCTGAAAATTCCCTCTAAAATAAACATTAACAAAAAAATGTTACACTTCTCAAATTAAGCAGTGACGAACTCAGTAGTATAAAATATAATATTTTGTAAAACTCATCAAAATACAACAAAAACTGCTAGTATCGAAATAATCTGATCTGGTCAAATCCAAATGCATTTTCTCCTATGTCCCCAATCTTTAGGATAATAAAAAAGCTACACCTATCGCAAATATCAATCAATAGACACGCCAGAAGACCACAAATTAGCATGATGCTAGTTGTGTAAAGCAAAAATAAAAGGACCTCGTAAGACATGTAAACAAAGCTCATACATATTTTGGCGCGCCAAGCAAAGAAGCCCAGATATTAACTTATGTTGCAGTAGCATCCCAACAAGCTCAATGGACATGACGGTGTTTGCTTTCCATAATTTCTCAGAGAATTCGCTCTTTTCGTCAAAAGTCTCTTCTCCATCGATGTCCATGCCCTGCGGCTTATTTAGCCACCATGATTTCTTTTCTGGTGTCAATTCCAACAAACCTTCGTCATCCAAGGAAGCATCAACTAACTGCCACAAAATACAGAAAACGAATTCGACTAATAACACCCCTGGTTCACAATCTTGGGTACCAAATGTCTCTGAAAGATGAAGAAGCGCATCCACGGACGACAAAATCCTGCAATTGCATTTTCAGCTCTCATAGTTACAGAAGATGTCAATAAAATTTATAAAGAAATAAGTCAAAATGCAGGAAATCTACCCTAGAAAATTTTAAAAAACAAAACAAAGAAATCACATCCACTTGTCAATCAGTGGCATAAGACATGGATCAGGAATATCTTGACTACACTGTAAATGATACAATGATACACTGTAAGCTTATCGCCGCCTGAAAGTACTATTAAAACAGTCGTGCAGTAGATGGCAAGGATGTCAGAATGGGATCAAATCTGAGATCAGACAAATTGTCAATAGACAACGCACAGTCTTCAAGGCATCATCGAGGCAGAGCCCAGACAGCAAAGTCAGGAGGTCAATATGTTTGGATGTGTAGACAAACATCCCTAATAGGTCCTTGCCTCACCAAGGAAGCCTTTCTCATTGGCTAAAACATCTTATTCAATAAAGATGAGCATGGATATACAATATTTAGTTATATATGCCTGAGGCATGTTCATAGTCACCAAAATTGTAAGTTAACAATAAGAATATCAATGGCAATAGGTTGTCTAACAACGTGGTTTACTTCGTGTTCTAGCTTAAAAACTTAATATGATCAACTGGAAAAGCATGTCTAGTTGACATTACAGAGTTTAACAACTATCATGGACAAGGATTAAATAATTACTCAATATAGAATTTATAGTCTGTTGTAAGAAATATTATCCAATTGTTGGAGATGGAATATCTCATAGTACTTAACAAATAGGACCATCTTTATTTGTAATTGATTAGATGTGAAAAATTCATGGTCCCATCCATTAAATTGTTCAGCGACAAACTTAACGTGGTATTCAAAGTAGAAAATTGTGAATACAATTTTAAAAGAATCTTAACTAAAGCTAGACTAGGGACCCACTCCTTTCCGCCTTGGGTAAGCAGAGTCCATCCCCTTTTCACTTGTACAAGAATACATAGAGCTCAACATGTCTGGTAAAGCAGGAGAATGATCATTTGATATTATTATTTCCACAATTTGACACCAAGTCGTTCATAGTACTAGCATGCCGTTCCCAATTATTGTGGAGAGTTGATTCTTCACTTTGGGCTTAGCCACTGAACTCTAGTCCAAATAAATAGTTCACAGAGAAGCAATAAGGTATTCAATTAATAGCTGAACTTTCTGATCCTTTGCAACAACTTAGTTGATTATGTAGATCATTCTAGAACGTCCCCAATCACTGTCTCACACATTTTGCCCGCCTTAGGTGTAAAAAAAAGTCAAATGCATTAAAAAGAATATTTTAACAGTAATAAAGCTAAATAAAGGTTTTAAAGGAAATCAACATAATGGCCGACCATCTAGTAGCTAGGAGACATTACAAGAAAAGGTAACAGGGAAATGCTTTTAAAAATATATCATAAAAAATATTTTTAAAGTAATGAATGCATATATATGGAATCTTTACATATTTTATTGGCATATATAAATTTCTATACAGTATTGCACTTCCTTTCCATCATCTTTACCTCCTAGCCACAGTATTAACTTACACTTCTTTTTCTTTCTCGTTTCTTCTAATTATTTGGCTCTTCTTCATTCCTACTACCATATGAAGGAACACTATAAAAAACCACCCTCCTCCAAAATCCTTGACAATGATTTTTGTTTTATATTTTAAATTTACAAGGAGAGCAGGTTTCTCTCCCCTTGTACGAGGTACCAAATCCTCAATTATGATCCCGAGTAACTGATTCGAATCAATATCAACCAACTTCACAAACCATGGTAGATGGCCAAGTTAAAAATGTACAGGCAAAAAGATCACTTGAATAACAATGGTTTCAAAATCATTGTCGTTGTCATCATCAAGCCCTGGTCCGTTATTCCAGGAATAGGTTGAAAACTCAAGAGTTCAGCTATCTCATAGCCAAAGCATGTCTTATAACTGATTTGTGTAGAATGCCCGACAATCTTTGATGGTATGTTTGTGGGAGCACCAAATTCTAACCAAGCTTAATCTACGTCAAAAATACTTATACCTTTGAAAATATAGAAAATCCTATGCTTTATGAATCAGTTATAAGAGGACTTAAGGATCTCTAAGTCACATCTCTGGTCAAACGATTCCATATCCAGAGCAAGTCTATAGATATTTCAAAAACCATGAGACTGTTACACAAGTAAATTGACCAAAAGAATTCATTCATGAGCCCGTCTAGACAGGAAAAAAATAAGCACAAGAAGTCAACTTAGGTTTTCTTTCATGAAATAAATGGTTGAGATGATCCAGTGAGCCTTCCTGATGCAACCCAAAAAGGGGAAAATTCTCTATGGAGAGTGTTTATCTCCATAGTTAAGAAAGAGGCAACCAGTCATTTGGACTTCATCAAAGTCACATAGGGCTGTGATCTGATTGAGCTGAACAGTGTCCAGAAAAAACAAATTAGCATGTTAGTCTAAATGCTTGCTGAGTGGTTTGAAGTGGAATCAAGCAAAATATATATTTTCCACATTGTAGCGAGACTCAAATCTTCATTTTTGATCGACACTAAGGAATCTAATTCACAATGCAATCTCAATTATAGTCAACAAATTCCAGTCAGGCAAGCTGGCTCATATCAATTTAGAAGCCACAACAGTTTTGACCCATGCTGAGTCAGCTCCAATGAGCCTTTCAAAGCCTAAGCTACACTACTCAGCTGTCCCTTGCACATTTGGAGAACCAGAATCATTGAACCTCAAGTCAAGATGAACAAGTAAGCAAAAAATCATCCCACACAGGAAATAACAAAGGCGTCAACTTCAGAAAGGCTGGAAGGGGAAAAAGGAAGCCCCTTCATTAACAAGTTTGTTTGCTTCCTCGTCTCCCTCACCCCATGGGTCTGCTACTTTCAATAGGTTGGTCGCAGCAACAGGCTGACGCTGATTGCGGTGGCTACAGAAATAACTAGCCATGCTGATGGTGATATTGGCCGCCCTTTCCTCCTCATTACTATTCCGAGATGAAGGCTTTTACAGTCAGTCAAACGCAGATGGCATCTGAAGACCTCATGTCTTAAAATTGAAAGCCTCCAGGCCTTTTGCCAGTTCTGACAATAATTTGGATAATTAGAAACTTTTAAATTTTCCCCCCAATGTAGTCCACTGGTATATCCAAAAATTTCATTCTTATTCCGAAATAAAAGTTTTTACGCTGAGTCATGGGCAGCTAGCATGTGAAGACTACATGGCTTAAGATTGCAAGCATCCAGGTCATTGCCTGGGTCTGTAGATGATTTGGCCCATTAGGAACTGCGTATATTTCCCCCTCGTGAAGACTGCCAGCATGTCCAAAAAAAGATAAATAGATGGAGACCAAGTAGGTGTGCTGTCCATAAAACCAAAACAGTTGCATAGGACAAGACCGTGTAGAATCAGTATCAGAGCAGACTGAGTTAGCATGTGCACATTCAAGCAAGGACAGAGATACCATGTAAAACGATATGATTTTGTGAACTGCTACATTCCTTCACAGTCCAGATCAACTAAGAGCCTTGCTACAGGAAAATTGCTCCACTGGACAAGCTACTGCTAAACAAGAAATGACTTTAGGAAATAAACAACGCAATCGAGCAGAACAGAAGGACTTAGTAATAATATTGCCAAAAAGGTGAATGTGGCGAAGTTTATTCTCACTGTTTCCAGCCAGCTTTATTCACTTCTGGAGCGAATGTAAACACGTGTCTCTTGAGGAGTTCCATGTAAAGTCTATATGCCGACGGCCTTGAACGTCGATACGGCAGAACCCTGAAGAATAAAGGAGATGGAATAATAAGGTTTAGTACACGCTAAACAAAGCAAGGATTCAAAAGTGTTAACGTGAAAAACGAAACCCAGTAACCATACCGGTAACATATATATCATTCAAAAAACAGTTTAATGGAGTATGTTTAACATTAACGGAAAAGAAAGGAAATAGAGAGCGCGAAACCCTCGGAAATAGCGTCTTCAACCAAGGTTAAACAACTTCCTAGACCATTTGGAATTTAATCCGCTTGTTTTAAGATAAAAAGTTGAAACGATTAAGAGCAGTCTTGAAGACAATAAAATAGTTATATGACAGAACAGTGACACTTTGTCTATTCAAAATGCAAACAGGAAGCACCGTGGCGATATTCATGCGTACGACAGAGTGTACAATTTGCAGACCTGATAGAAAGGTGGGCAAGAACGAGAACAGGAGGAGCGAGCCCGGAGGCGAGAGCCCAATCGACGTATTTCCATGAGGCTGGGACATGGTGACCAGACCAGCAGACGTACGAGACGAGGGCGTGGGCGAGGCCCGGGGAAGGGAGTGACACCCCGGCGGCGTGCAAGGCGGAAGCCAGTTGGGAGCCCCAGGCAACGGCGTCCATTCCCTTCTCCGCCGCTCCCTTTGTGAGCTCTACGACTTCGTCCCACAACGCCGGCACCGACGCCGACAATCCCAATCCCCCCAGCAACGCCACCCCCCCATGAGACGGCAGCTTCGGGGGAGACGCCACTGCAGCGGCCATCATCATAGCAAGACCCCCTCCCTCTCTACTCACGAGTCGCGGATGGAGAGACAAGAGTAGATGGGGACGGAGAGAGACTTCCCCGGCAGTACCTTTCGCGTGATCCGCCGCGCTAAGCAGAGACCCTGTGTTCTGTTCAGGGTCACCTACGAATAAAGTCAGCGCTGGTTCAGATGTTCCTCAGGAATAACTTCGTTTCTTGTGCGACTCCTCCGCCCACGACTTATAACGTATAATACGCTTCTCAAGTCCCACATTTTATCTGCCATTTACACAAATTCATCTTTATTAATTACAACTATAGAAATATAATAAGTTCCCCCAAATTATCAGCATAAAATATCACTTAATAGTAATAAAAAAAGAAAAACATACGATTTATGTAAAATGTACCCCAAAATTTGAATTATTGGATTTGGAATTGGTTATAGTGTTTTTAATCTCAATCAACCGTCGCTTCTCTTCAGCTTACCAGATATTGTATTGTAGCACAGTTTTAGGCAAATGTCGCAGATGTTTACGTATCTATGGCAATGAGTGCTAAATCGCAACACTTTTAAGGTCTTAGAACATATTTTCAAATAAATTTGGATATCTTTAATAAATTCCAAAGTTAGATCTAATAGCGCAGATTTGCAGGAGAAAAGAATATGGCACCTTCGAGTAATTAAGGACCTTGTTATGTCGAAAATAAGCATAAAAAAGCTCACGTATCTTAGAAAATGCAGAAAATTTGTGTGATAATAGTTATTTCTATTCAAAATAATGGAAACTTATTTATTCAATTATTCATCGGATTTCCAATCAAGGAGCTGATATTAATATTATCGATAATTCAACTAGTCTATGCCCGCTTGAATTGTGACAATTATTGAAGATAAATGCGTGAATCATTGGTGAGTAAGTACCATAGGCTATCACATAAACCCATGCAACATTGTACCACAAAAAAAAAACCATGTAAAACAAAAAAGCATGTTCATCATTAATGTTGTACATTTTTCTGTTACTCACCTGATTCTGAAATTCAATGGGCCCTCAATGTTGACAACCTCAGCTCTGTATGATCATTTGTTCCTACTATGAACAATCATAGTTAGTGAGTGAATTCAGTCATAGAAGAACGGGATCTTGACATCCAAATGTCTAAATCCTATCCAGACACCAGCATCTGTACTCGGATCTTGACATCTCAAGCAGTTCTTCTGAGGACATTTTCTCCAGTACGTTAGATCTGGTGAGATCAAAAGCATTGACATTTGAAGGCTCGCCAGAGTCATAGTCACAGAATAACATAGGGACCTCTTCTCTCCGATGCAACTGGGCCTGCATCCTTTTGTAAAGCCTCATCGCAGCCAAATAATCCTCTAGTGGGTAGTGTGCAGCAGTTTGGATCTTATATCTGCAAAACCCAATCCCTCAAATATATAATTAGATAATTTAACCAAAGTTTCGGAAATATATGATAAGTTGGCATGCCATAATTGGAAAACCAAGCATATATCTTTAACTTCCAGGAGGGACTAGTATTGAGCCTTTCCTTGTACACTCTGTTGCACATTGCTTGGCGTTAAATAAATCGAATAGCGAAATTGAAGAGTATTTGGCGATAAGAGGCCCAAATATTTACAATACACGAGACTATTTTCTCACAGAATGTGAGGCTACTCTGTGAGCAATGTTTGAATATATGGACGAGAATAAGTAGGAGAGTGACTTGCCCCAAGTAGTTTTGTGTGAGGTACTTCAGCGAGTGGCTGACTAAATTTGTTTTCATAAAAGGTGGATACTTGGCGGTGTCCCTGCAAATGAAAAAAAAAAAAAAAAAAAAAACAACAACAACAACAAGATATGAGAGAAAAACACAGATGCAAATGTATATCAATCAGAGACCAATAAGAGGCCTTCGTTACAGGATCAGGATAACAGAGTTGTGGAAATCCTAAATTTTACCTTAGCAAATGAGGAGGGTAATGCATATTCAGACAATACAGATCGTGATCCAAGCCATGGCCAACAAGAATCAGAGCTCTGCCACCTTCTACACGGGCAATGCCAATGGATTCCCCATTGTAGAGTATCTGCTCAATTGTATGCTTGACATCATTCAGTGGCAATGCATCTACTAAATTTTCTTCCGTTATACCAGTTATTTCATACCTGAAAGTATTCATCATGTAATCTCAGTAAGAAAATCCGCAAATCTATGCTATAAAATATGAAAACCAGAAAATTACCTATAATTGGTGACTGGGATCTGAGATTTAACATATGAATGGAAAATTAGGTTCTCAGATTCATCAACGAGGCACACTCTAGCACAAAGATCAAGTGACCCATCACTTCCTCCACCAACCAGTTCACAATCCATGGCAACTACACGTGAAACTTGTTTCCTGGTTGCGTCAGGACTGGAGCACGAGTCTTGCATTCTACTATCCATAGAGTTTTCAAATAGAGGATCTCTCGCATCCTAGAATCAATATACTTCAAGTTCAGTGAGCATAATGCCTTTTAATACAGAATAAAATTGTTTAAATCAACCGTTTATGTTTCGTAGACCAGGATACTTGCTATTGCTGTCATTCGACTTACAAAGGAAGCAGGGGATAAGCAACAGACTTCTTTGTGAGCCAGAAGCTCGTCAGGGGCGTCAAATATCTTTAAGCAGATGATGCAGCCACGAACAGTAAAGACATTTGGACAGCTTCTCTTGGAAAGTGGACCTATAGTCAGCTTTTCAGACTAACTAGTTCACATAGAAGTTCAAGTTTATTCATAAAACGACATCAGAATGAATGTACATCAGTTTATTCTCCGGGAATGAACAGAATAAACGTGCCATGAGCAAGCACAGAAAACTGAGCTTCTCCGGGAAAGTTGGTTAATTGAAAACTTGATTGCATCAGAATAAGGTTCAAATGTTCACCTCGGTAGTTATATAGAAGCTGAATGAAACCCTTCTCCAGCATTTTCCGGTTTTAGTTGTCATATGTGGAACTTTTCAATTCAGTCCTTAGAGGTCCTAAACAACATCCCCTGAAACGGTTAACGTCTGGATGTTGGGCCCAGTTCTCACCTAGAAAATCGTGTTACGCTGATTCTAATGATCTGGGAAAGAACCAAGATGCGCCACACCGTGGAAAGACCCCATAAACATAGTAGTCTTTACCTGGCTTGCAACACTAGTGCTCCAGATGTGGGAACCAAGGACAATGATGAATGAACCCAAAAGTCCATTTGACTCGCGTTAAGCCAATTTGAATCGGATAAGGTTAGTATGTGCCAAATCTTATTTTGAGCCAGAAAGTTAATAAAGCATTATGATTCAGCCTCCAGTATTGGGTTTTATTCTGAATTGGATATGGACGGTATGCAAATGATTCCCCATCGCCTGGATCATATTAGTTTCCAACAAGATCTATGCGCTGCTGAATTTCTTCAGGAGAACATATGCGTTTGAGTTTCGATTTTCAGCCGATTACTTACTTACCTGTGAGATGTTCTCTCACAGATTCCAATGTTTTGCAATGCTTTCTGCAGACTTCACACTTTGGCTAATGAACTGAGTGGTATGAGACCCTCATATGCTCAATTAGGTGCTCTTTCTTCTTGTATTGCTTGTAGCATGCTGAGCATTTATGCCTGTAAAAATAAGGAAATCTTTGGGATGGAAACGTCGAAAGTATACTAAAATCTTGAAAGCAAAACGGGAAATATAAAACAGAAAAAGGAGGAGGAAACGAAAGAGAGTGTGATGAGAAGGGTGCTCTAATACATAGATGATCTACAATGGCAAACAAAGATAATTTTCCATAAGAAGAGAAAATTTTGTGCACTCAAATTTTCAGAAAATATCTCTAAATGTTATCCTATCCTTTAACACCGGTCAAAAACATCTTCAAATATTTTTCCAACTTGAAGCGAATTTTAAAAGAAATGGAAGATTCAATGTTCTAATCGGGGCTGGAAAAGTAGAAAAGCTCATCCTATCATATTTAATTGGTTATTAGTAGTATCAACGCAGCTCCATTGAGTGTCTGTGAATGTCCAAAGTTTTCTTAAATCTATCTACAAAAGCATCAACCACATCACTCTGCTAATCCTAGAGAGTAAGCTGGCCATACGCCATTTTCTTCCAATAATCTTCACAAATCAGTAACATTGAAGTCGCCAAAGTCATTACAAAGACATGAACAGGGGTTAACTGCAACATTCAGAAATTCACCATCCAAAAACATCACTCGTGTGAAAAAAAAAAAAAAAATCATCCGATAAGCGTTCTGTCAACAATTTAATTCGGTCAATTGAATAAGATGCATGGCCCGACAAATCTTGTGTCGTTCCAAGGTTCCTTTTAACGCCCCCTCCCACATTCCATCTATCATAGTTATTACAGTTGAATCACCCAAGATTCACTGCAAAACGATTTTACTGCTCATTTCGTCACAAACGATTTGACGGTCAGGAACCACTATTCCATTAACAGCACTCGAATTACACCACTAGATGGATGGGAGATATTCGTGGAATGAAGGCGAGCTCTCTGCCTACTCCAGACAGCACGCAGCAAGCGCCTGAGAGGAACTACCCTTTGTTGTCCGACAGTCACAGAACAACGGCAACAGGATACACAGAACAAAGGAGAGAGGAACCTCATCGGCTACACTTAACAAATAAATCAGAGACAATGTGTGTTTGTGTATGTGGGGGAGAGAGAGAGAGGGAGGGAGAGAGAAACCTCGTTGCCGTTATGGACCCGCACTGTTCTACCTCGGAACTCATGGGATGCTCGACGGAAAGAAGACGCAGGAGACACAATTCGACGCACAGAGAATTTCCTATCGCGTTCTCTCTCTCTCTCTCTCTCTCTCTCTCGCTCGCTCTCGTCAGAGACGTCCGGCAGAGGGGGTGAGAACTTGGTTCTGCAATAGAGCAAACCACTCTGTTCTTCACAAACCGTTCCGCTCTGCAAATGAGAGATTACATGCCAAATGCCTTCCTCTGCTGGCTTTCTCTCCACTGCTCCGCCCAGGGATTTCAACGGTAATGCCCTCGCTGGCCCCTCCAAATCCAGAACCCAGCGGGGAGGGAGAGAGAGAAAGAGAGAGCTGAAAAAGGAGTACCATCTACGGTAAAATGCAAAATAAAGTTTGAAATGTATGTCAGAAAAATCAAATGTCGGGGTTTGAAAATCATTTCCCAGAAATATGGGGAGTTCCGACTAGTTTTCAGGACAATTAAAAAATAAGGTTTTTTGAACGGCTCAAAAAATTTAAATGTTCTTCAAATATTCCCAGAAGCCCAAGAAAAAGATGAACAGAAAAGGAAATAGCGACGGAGGAGTCGATTAGATGGTCTGGAGGAGATCAGACAGCTAGATGTAAGCATCACGGCTCTCCAAGATCCGGATCCCTGATGGCCTACTCCATCTATTGATATTCAGAAAAACTACCAAATTTTTATTTATTTGCATTTTCCATTATCGAACGACATATTACTGGAAAAAAAATTCCTTTTGACGAGTTTCCGTGGATTTTTTTTGGGTCGCTGAGTAATCTGATTAAAATGAAGACTGTTATTCTCTCTCAATTTTATTTTTTTCAACAAATGCTATAAATCGCTGGCTCATCCAGTAAGAAAACGCCTCCAGATGTGTGGTAAGAACTGCCCATCGGGGTTCATGTCCCCGGAATATCATCTAAAAACGCAAACGCTGATGCAAGCTGCTCCATCAAAACCCCATTTTCTATAGAAAAACCTCAGATGGGCTCTCTCTCTCTCTCTCTCTCTCTCTCTCTCTCTCTCTCTCTCTCTCTCTCTCTCTCTCTCTCTCTCTCTCTCTCTCTCTCTCCATCAGTCAACGCATGAACGAGTGAAGGTCAACGGGTCCCATCAGTTCGTGGGAGACCGTCCTCCAGCCAAAGACCCAGCAGTAAGAAGCCCGCAATTCCCACCAAGTCAATCTCTCGTGGGCAGCTGGCAAAGCTCCTCCTGAGATGGAAACCCCAATTAAACTTCCCTAAGGGCAATGTCCTCGCTTAGTGACCCATTGGTCAACTTGGGGTCATCGTCCCTGGGTTAAAGATGGAAAGTCAACGCCTCCTGAATTCCTGCGTTTGGAGATGATCGGATCTTCATGCAAAGTAACCCTTGCGGCTTACCTTCAGAAGCCTTGGTTGCAGGAAGTATCATGGAGAGGTCATCACCGTGATCTCAGTGACTCCGAGGACGCTGACTGAAGCTCCTCTGCAGGGAATGAAGAAACAATGTCACCCACAGAATATGCAGCAAAGAAGGAGAGATATACGCAGCAAAGCCGACCAAGCCGACCAGATGGCTTGATGAATGTATGGGAAATAAACTAGAACACGGATGGAGTCAACAAAAGGAACAAGAGAAGCAAGAGCTGTGAAGGATCGATCGCAGAGGAAGGGGGTGACCGAGCGTAATGAGCTTTCAAATACTGTGTAGATAATAAGGGCAGCGAGTCAAACTGTATAAATACAGGAATATTAACCAAATACAATTTACTCATCAAGGGACAGTTGACCAACTGATCCTCAATAAACATCATACAACTGTCTGTGCGCTGGAGAGAGAGAGAGAGAGAGGAGCGGGTAAGTCTCCCTTTGAGAAGGACAAAAGAAAAAGCACCATTTATTATAATGAGAGCTCAAAGTACAACGAACTCGGATGTCACATCAGTAATCTTGGCATCAACAATAAGCTAGGAAGAAAAAAAATCTAGCAACATGATGATCTAGATATTACTGGTTGTTCCTCATTTTAGAGATACAGCAATTGAGGAACAATCAGATAGGATTCATCTCATTAATTCTCACATGGAACATAGAATTTAAAGCCATTATTTATTTTCAATAGCAAGAGAATGTAGACATGATCTAAAGTAATCTATAATTAGCAAAAAGTCATCGGTCATGGAAACAATTACGCAATCATCATTAAGAAAAATGTACGAAATTCTGTAGACCTCCTCGTATGTTTGCTCCAATTTCCTTACCAAGAATATGAACTTTGCCCACGAAAGATGCGCTGGCAAGAAGATAGTTTTTCTGCAACGAGCTAAACAACAAAATCAGATATTACATGGAAATGCATACCCATTTTGTCATTTCAAAATATTCGTTACGATACATCATCAGTAGCATAGTAGAGAATAAAGAGGAATAGAGATGTAGACGCTATATAGTTAAGAAATCAAAACTTGAAAAATACTAACCCTGTGAGTATAACAGACCCCCAACGTAAGCCAATAGTCTTGCACAAGTCATCCCCATTTCCTTGGCGTGTGGTTGAGAAAGGTCTCTGTCCTGGGCTCCAATCTCCGGAAGCCACCAGCTAGGAAAAAGTGGAAAATAAGAGCCAAATAAGATATATCAAGAAAATTTCTTGAAACGGGAATATATAAAAAATGCGTCATTTAAAAATAACATCGAGCAATTTATTCAGGTATGAAAATAGAATCACCTCAATTTTATATTATCTCTTACAAACCAAGTTTTATGGTAAATCAGCTGGGAGAAGAATTCCGACGGATGGAAACCTACCTCTCTGCAAATTCGAGTCGGATGATTGCTTCGACTTCATAGCATTTGCCAATTCCCTGGATACCGTTCTGTCTAAAGTGTATCCCTTCTCCATCATGTGGTCCCAAATACTACAAGCCATTGCAATCTTCCCTTTCTGTAACAGACCACTTATTATCAACTTAAAGGTAACTTCGTCTGGAGTTAAACCCCTGAGGCACATGTCCTCGTACAGATCCATGGCTTCATGTACCCTAGAAGCCTTACATAGCCCATTTAGAAGGCAACTGTATGCGACCACATCAGGAGTGATTCCCTTCTCAATCATCTCAAGGAAAAAGCGTCGAGCCACTCCCACTTGACCAGACTTGCAAACATTATCTATCATGGTAGTACAGGCGACGACATTAGGAACGATGCCCATATGAATCATATCATCGAAGAATTCCTTTGCTAAATCAGGATGACCCTCTCTGAAGAGTCCATTAATGAGAGTACCAAACGTCACTATATCTGGATTTATACCCTTTCTGCCCATTTCCTTGAATAATCTGTAGGCCGTTCCAACACTCCTAGAACGACATAGTGCATTAATGAGAGTGTTACAGGACACGACATCACAGAAGCCTTCGACCTCCATCTTGTTTACCATCAAGGAGTATGCCTTTTGGAGCTGGTTGGCATTGCACAACCCCTTCAGAAGCTGATTATAACTATACTTATCGGGAGTTATGCCAATATTTTCCATCTTGAGTATCAACTTCTCCGCTTCTTCCAGCCTGAGCTTGCTACAGAGATGATTCAGGAGTGTGTTGTACGTGATCAGATCTGGTTTGCACCCGTTTCTCTGCATGAACGATACAATTGCATGAGCTTTCTCAATCCTATTGGTCTTACAGAACCCACCTATCAGAGCGTTGTATATGGGAACACTTATCTCGATAGTTCTCTGCATCATTCCCATCACAATTTCATAACCAAGATCAACCTTCCCATGGTTGCACAACCCAAAAACCAAGGTGCCACAGGCGACATTATCTGGTCTCAGGTGTCTCCTCATCATCTCACGCCAGAGAGCCACTGAATCCTGGAAACGTCTTGCTTTGCACAAGCTGTTAATGACAGTTGTGTACGTGACAACATCTGGCTGCCTCCCTCTCTCAGTCATGGTCTCGAGGACATCCAAGGCTGCCTTCAGTTTGTTATCCTTGCACAGTGAATCCATGTACATATTGAATGCCCATATGTCGGGGACCAATCCGAGTCTATACATGTCCGCCAGAATTTTCTCAACTCGACTGAGATTCCTAACCTTGCAGAGGCAACAAATGTACCTGGAGTACGTAAACGGGCTCAGGGTGAACCCCAATTGGGTCATCCTATCGTAGTACCGCTCAACCAGATCAAAGCAATGGCTCTTAATCAGAACTCCGATAAGCCTGTTGTAATCGATGCCGAACTCACGGCAGCCTGACTCGATCATCTCGTCAAAGGTCCGAACCGCATATTCAATCAGACCTGCTTTGACATAACCAGATATGAGAAGCCGGTAAACAGAGCGGTGAGGGGAGAATCCGCGGTCCCTCATCTTCTTGAGAACCTGCGACAGGAGCTCAAAGTTCCCATCTTTCAGCAACGATGAGAGGATAGACTCGTCGGTGAAGTGATCATGCTTGAACCCGGGAAGGGTTTCGGCCCAGGAGTAAAAATGGAAGCCCAGCTCCGAGTTCGGCAGACTCCTTAAGACCTTGTAGACGACATAAGCATTTAAAGGGACCCCATCACCATTGCCGCGGAACCTCTGCAGCTCCATCTCCAGTGAATGGGACCACCCCATCTTCCGCTCTAACAGAACTCCCTTTAGTTCCGAAATGATGTCCGCATTATGCCCTGAAGATTTGAACAACTCTGAGAGGACCGGCAAGCGATCCTCCGACGTGTGGCGGCTAACATCTGGACTCTTCTTCTTGCCGTCGCCGCCGCAACCATCGTCAGAGGAGACCACCGTGGCAATGGTCGCGGCGTGATAGGAGAAGCAGATGAATGCGATGGGGACGCTATGTTCAGAAGATGAGAGACGCACCGGCAGGCTCGAGAACCTGGGGAACGCCACGGCTACACCGGCGGACTTGGTGCTCTTGGAGAAGGATGCCCATATCATCTGCCCGCAGGGCAAACCATAAGAATGGCTCCTGCTTCCTTTGTGGTAATTTGGTCGAACGACGAACGGGCATTCCAAGTACTAAAAGCATCGCCTTAGAGGATCCGGGAGAAGGATCCTTTCTTAAATTTATACGAGGCGTTCACAATGTTTATAATTTAACACCTCATGAAATTTTTTTTTCTTTTTACCCTTTTGCACTTGTATATATATTTATTCTTTAAAAAATACTAAAATATATAAACATATACATATTAATACTAAAAACTCCAATTCACGCCACCTTTTCCACATATTGTGATAGAATATAATATGGTGTTTTAATTATATTATCAAATTATAATTATGAGGGCAATAAAAAATATAATATATATTTAAAATGTTTTAATATTGTGATAGAAGTGTGCACAAGTAGATGTGTTGATGAGTTGGGATGGAGCTGGACCTCATGCTTCAAAATTGATCCAACCCCATGGCTTACCTACTTTTTATTAGTAAACAAGATTTAAGTGATTAATAATAGTAATAAAAAATTGATATGTATACCACTATAGGAATACTTTAATGACATTCTAAGAATATGGAAATACTTCCTTATCATTGAAGATAGTAGTTTTAAAAAATACTTTGAAAGAAGCTGAGGAGGATAACTACCAATTACTGAAAATATGAAATTTAATTTACGAGAATGTTGCGCCAATTTTTGTTTTTTTAAAACGTTATTTAATCGGTTTTTTTTTTTTTTAAATGCATCTTGTCTCCCGGTTTATCAGACCTGTCGCTCATTCTCTCCTCCCCGTCCTATTTTCTCATCCGAAGCGGAAGCCTGGCGCGGCGTGCGGATCAACCGGCCTGTGAGATCGGCACCGGCTCTCGTCGTCCCGGTTTTTCCGGTGGGAGACTTTTCCATTCGTCGGTCCCTTTTGTTGGCTCTCCCCTCTCCCACAACACCTTCGGCCCCTTCCTCTCGGCATCATCCCCATCGCAATCGTTGGCCCCGTCCCTCTCTCTCTCTCTCTGAACGTCAGCCCTCCCCCTCCCAATCTGCTTCATCGCGTCGTAGTCATCGCCCTCTACCTTCCTCGGCCGCCGTCTCTGCGGCGGTCGCTCCCTATCTTTCAGTCAAGGGGCAGGAGCAGGAGCAGCACGTGTTGGCCGGGAGGAGAGCAAGGTACAAATGTTTCCTTCTCTATCGACGAGCTGATAGGGAGTTAAAATAAAATATATAGAGTATTTCTGTAAAGTAGCTGTTTAAATTGTATAAAGTTGTGGGATAAAGCGGTCGTCCCTGGCACGTTTCCCCGCGGGAGGACGAGCCTAATTTTAAAAGATTAATTTTTTTTATGAAAAGGACAAGGATTCAATTTGCTTCCTCATCCCAGTTGTCGGTCGGCAATGAATGATCTTTTTGGTACACGTTCTTTATGAGGAAAACGGGCATCAATTTCTGGCCGACAAAGATATCGTCTTCCAGTGCGCAGAAAATTGCTTGAATAGGAAGAGAAAGAGAGGGAGAGAGAGAGAGAGAGAGAGAGGAGCTGCTTGGTCTCTCTTGCTCTTGTTTCTTTTCTCCTCGCCACCTCTTGCCTCTTCGAAGAAGGCAAGAGGCAGTGCAGCAAGCCCCGCCGATTTGATCCTCCCAGTTGGGCATAGCAGGTTTGGAAATCGCCTTCATTCTCGCCTCGAGTGAACCAGAGTCTTCTCTTGCCACTTTGTCTGTCCATTTCTTCCGTGGCCGTCCCTCTCCCTCCTTCTCGTGTCTCTTTGCCAGCCCTTCTCCCTTGTTTTCCTTTGTCTTATGAGGTAGTGGAAGTGTGGAGTTTCGCGTTTGTTGATGTTATAACCCAAAGTTTGAAATCCCTCAGAAAGTTGGCAGAGGGAGTGATGTTGAATAACTGAAAGATGGCAAGGTCTCTACTGTGAGCCATTGTTGAAGTTTAATGCGACAGACTGAACCCTTCAATCCAATTTATTGTCCAACTATGGTGAAGGAATGATACCTTGTTCTTCGAGAGAAACCAGTCTTCATTGTTGCAGCATTTTCGCCTACTTTTCTTGTATTTAGCAACCTTTTTGTCTCCTATTACTTGTTCGCCACAAGATTCGTCGTCTTTCAGAGAGGACCATCAGAAAATTTAGTTTGCCTTTCGTGCATTTTTTAATTTTTCATGGCCATAGTGCAAGCATCATTCCTGCAAGTGATTAAGATAGTGATCGTATGCAAAATTTCGCCTTCTTCTAGTTATTTCTTCTTCCAAGATTTGATCTTAATTTTTTCTCATTTTATGTAATGTTTTTTGCGCCATTGTACAGGTCTGGGCAGAACCATGGATGACAAACAGAAAAAAAGACCAGCGGTTGTCAATGGAGACGGAGGTATAGATGGGGTCCTGGCCACTGCAATCAGGAATGGAGAGGATCTGTGTCCCATCGTCAGACATGCATTCGAAGTGGGGAAGCCTGAAGTCCTCGTGAATCAGCTCAGGAGCATTGTGAAGAAAAAGGAAGTTGAGATAGAAGAACTGTGCAAAGTTCACTACGAGGAGTTCATTCTTGCTGTTGATGAGCTTCGTGGTGTGTTATTAGATGCCGATGAACTAAAAAATGCTCTCTCCGGTGAGAATTCCCAACTCCAAGATGTTGCGAGTTCTCTTCTCTCGAAGCTCGAGGAGCTTCTTGCTATATACTCGATCAATAAGAACGTTGCAGAGGCCATACAAATGTTAAAGTTCTGTGGCCAAGTCTTGAATCTGTGTTCAAAGTGTAACACGTATATTGCAGAGGCCAACTTCCACCCACTGGTCAAGACACTCCGAGTTATTGAGAGGGACTACATGCAAAAGATATCCATCAGGGTCTTGCAGAGAGCGATTGAGAAACGAATACCAGCTATTAGGTCCTACATTGAGAAGAAAGCCTGCAGTGACTTCAATGACTGGCTAGTCCATATACGCCAGAGCGCAAAGGAGATTGGGCAATTGGCCATTGGACAAACTGCATCAGCACGCCAGAGGGATGCGGAGCTGAGAACGCAGCAACGGGAAGCTGAGGAACAGGGCCGTCTTGGAGCTGGAGATTGTGCTTATGCATTGAATGTGGAACAGATGGAGGAAGGGTCTTTTATAAAGTTTGATCTCTTGCCTGTGTATCGGGCACATCATATTTACACTTGCCTCGGCATTCAGGACCGTTTCCAAAAATACTACTTTGAGAACCGGCTGCTGCAGCTGAATTTGGACCTGGAGATCTCCTCCTCGCAGCCATTTCTTGAGTCTCATCAGGGCTTCTTTTCTCAGATTGCAGGGTACTTCATTGTGGAGGATGGGGTCCTGAGAACTGCTGGCAGGTTGTTGTCACACAGCCAGTTGGAGACGATATGGGATACGGCCATGGCCAAGATGACTTCACTTTTGGAGGAGCAGTTCTCTGGCTTGGAGATAGCAAGCCACTTCCTCCTGATCAAAGACTACGTAACCCTTCTTGGTGCTACTCTCAAGCGATATGGGTACCAAGTAGCACCTTTACTTGATGTTCTTGATAACTGTAGAGACAGGTACCATGAGCTCCTCATCAATGAGTTCCGAAAGCAGATAAGTGATGTGCTGGAAAATGACACGTATGAACAGATGGTTATAAGGAAGGAATACGAGTACAATATGAATGTGTTATCTTTCAATCTTCAGACGTCTGATATAATGCCGGCCTTCCCATATATTGCTCCTTTTTCCTCCTCTGTTCCTCATGTTTGTCGCATAGTCCGTTCTTTCATTGAAGACTCTGTTAATTACTTATCTTACAGTAGCCATGTTAATCTCTACGACGTTGTGAAGAGGTATCTTGACAAATTCTTGAATGATGTTCTGAACGAGGCTCTCCTGAAGATAATCCACAATGGCACATTAGGCGTGTCCCCAGCAATGCAGATTACGGCTAATATAGCTGTTCTTGAGCATGCTTGTGAACACTTCCTGCGACAGGCAGCCCAGCTTTGTGGAATACCTGTGCGTCTGGTCGAGAGGCCTCATGGTGGTTTGACTGCCCGAGCTTTGCTGAGGGCCACGCAGAATGCTGCATATATTGAATTATCTAACCTTGTGAGCTCAAAGATAGATGAGTTTATGGATCTTGTTAACAACATCAATTGGACCGCTGAGGATCCTCCTCAGATGGGAAATGAGTATATCAATGTGGTATGCATCTACCTCGACACTCTGATCTCCACAGCCCAGCTGATCTTTCCTCTGGATGCCCTGCACAAGATTGCGAGCGGGGCACTTGAACATATCTCCGACTCTATAGTGACAGCTTTTCTTTGTGAGAATGTGAAAAGGTTCAATCTTAATGCTGTCATGTGCATCGACAACGATCTGAAGGCTCTGGAGACATTTGCAGAGGATAAGTTCCGGAGCACTGGCTTGAACAACGCTGAGAAAGAATGCAACTTAAGGGACTGTTTAACTGAAGCCCGGCAGCTGGTCAATCTTTTACTGAGCAATCAACCCGAGAATTTTATGAACCCTGTGATTAGGGAGAAAAGCTATGGTGCACTGGATTACAAGAAAGTTGCAAGCATTTGTGAGAAGTTCAAGGATTCACCAGACAGGCTCTTCGGGAGTCTTTCCTCTCGGAACTCGAAACAGAGCGCCCGGAAGAAGTCAATGGACGCGCTGAAAAGAAGGCTTAAAGATTTCAGCTGAGTATGATCTTTGCAGTGGGCATGCTGATGACCATCTTTTTGTCTAATTTCCTATCTGTGATGCATGTAACCTATTGAATAGGCAAGTCAGTTTTTAGGGTTTGTAGTAAATGTGGAAAGACAGAGTATGGCCATGGGACTCAAATTTTTATCAATTGAGTCTACTGTACCATTCACTTCAATCAGAAGAGTCGTTTTTGGAGATGTTTACCTTTCAGCTTCTTTGCTGCACCTGTTTGAAGCTCGGTAGGCTATGATTCCTTCATGTACAAAATTATTTGGATAGGAAATGAAGAAAAGTTCTGTGGCTTATTTTTTTTTTTTTAAATCAGTGTCACTGACATGCTGTCTCATTGTTTCCTTGTAGTTCAGTTCACAACAGAAATATTGACAAAGGGAAGAGAGATATTGCCCATGCTCTTTCATCACATCCATCATCCTCAGTTTCACATTGGAGAGTTAGTCCATCGGTAGCTTATATTTGAGAGCTCTTTGTGTCGGGTCCCCAAGGAAAATGAGGGTTTCTGGGAATAAACTTCGCTATTTTAGACATAAACTTCACGTTTATTTTTTGTTCATGTATATTTCAGATTTAATTTTTGGATGTGAAATTGACATTCCAATATCGTCTTCATCGATGGGCTTTTATCTCTCTCTCTCTCTCTCTCTCTCTCTCTCTCTCTCTCTCTCTCGCTAGAGTAAAAATACGTTTGTTCCTGGGAGATTAATCCTTCCAACTAAAATCTGGCGCCTAATCAAAAGATTAAGGCCTCTAAGCTTCGTCTTGGAATTTCAGGTGGTTTTCTTGCACGCACGAAGCACGAAAGCTGGTAAGGACATTTGAGCTTCGCCTTCAGTCCCCATAACCCGAACTGGTATTCGTACCTTTCAAGAGTTTCCACCTTACTCTTACGATCGTGATTATTCTTCTGATAGACAGTTTCTGTGGAGTTGCTGGCATCATATTGCTCTTCTTTTTACACGCCTCTGGTCAGAGCGGAATTAGGATTTGTTAATCCTGTGGCAGTAATATGCTCAGAACCCCAAGGAAGTTACTCAGGTCATGATTTGTTAATCCTGTGGCAAACTAATATCCGGGAAAGGCAACTTCAAAAGTAACCCATTACTATTCGACAATGTCAATTTCCTTTCAGGTTAGGGTGGGGAAAGAATCTCAATGGGGTAGGTAGGTAGAAAAATAGGCCAGCCAAGGAAAACTACTAATAAAATATATATCATATGCATACTGTTATAGTATCATAAATGCATACTATTATACACATACTACAATAATTTACCATCCTATGTACTAGTTTATAATCCAGTCAGTCTATGGCCTTGGAGTCGACCACTGGCAGCACCCACCATCTCCACTGCATCACAGTGTCACTGGGGCATGGATGAGTGTTGGAAGATTGTTAATTGTCCAGGCTTATACTTCCTTTTGTGTATGCTGGCACACACACTGTCAAAGCAACACACACACACACACACACACTGTCAAAGCCTTTTCCAAGACCAGAACCCAGCCCAGAGGAGGTCGTCTTGACAGATCTCCATGAGGAAACCCTCAGCTGAAATGCGATAGTTACACTAAACATCCGATTCCCCGCAGGAACAATGGCATCTGACAGCCCATCCGAGTGCTCAATGAGGGGCTGCAGAGAATTCAAGCAAGATGATGCAATCGAGTGTGCACTTTGTCCAGAGTTTTTTTTCACAAAAAGAAAGTATTTTTTTTTTCCCTAGTCGTGCTACATAGTCATGGAAATGTTGGCCGGAGTAGATATACTTCTCCCACCGAAGAACAGCCTATTCAACTAGCCACCCCGCGCCTCTCTCCTTGTAGCATCGTGAAGGATGTCGATGTCGACTCCATCAGGAGGAAGCTGGACATATCTTACCACGGAACCCCTTATGAAACAGTTCCTCACTGATAACTGCAAAGATTTTGAAGAACAAAACAATCAATGAGCATCACATACCTGACTCCAGGTCAAGAAGAACGAAATGTTGCAGGATCAAACGATTAATCTGATTCCAGGTCATTAATGAGGGGACATTAAAACGCCTTTATAAACAAGCTAACAGAGAGCGGATCATGGTGACGCCTTTACGCAAACTGCTTAAGGATCTCCGTAAATTAGGAAAGAACTCAGAAAATCAGGAAGAAAGAAGATTAAATAGCATGCAGTCACCACAACAGTTCTCGGAAAGGAGAGTACAAAGCAACTCGGATGAACCAGCCAACAATAAAAATGTTCTGGCTATCTTTTTCGGTTCTAAATTGAGTAAGACTTCTCAAAGAGCAGATATGAAACGTATCTCACCCAAAATGGGTTATTATGCAGGATATTTCTCAATATACACTTATTCTCTGGTGAACATGTTTCTCTAATTTCCCTAATATTGAACTCTTATTTTCAACCATTACATATCTTGAAATTTTGCAAATGCAAATAGGAGCCCAATCAATGTCACGGGTTATTTTGTTAACTCGAATGCTTAACTCCAACAACTTTTTTATGGATGTATCTTTACAACAATGTGAAAATATGCGCTTTCTTATTCTGGTTCTACAGCAAAAATACTATGCTAAATGCACAATTTTGCAATAGAAAGCATGCCACGGTGTAAACAAGAGAGTGGCATATTATAATGATGGAAACCATAGTGCGAGTTACTTATTGGGTCATGTCACTTCCTGTAAAATGCTTTCAAAGTAAAACCATTCAAAGCGATCCCCTACAAATGGAAAGAAAGCTAAAGAAGATCTATGCAATCGTACATAAAAATTAAAAAAAACGGATCGCACAAGTTTGCTTGATCGGTTTTCAGAATGAATAATATTTTCCAATAATTTTGAATTCCAGTCTAGTACAGGAAGCATTAAAACGCCCCTATAAACTTCCATCATGCTAGAGTAAAATATATTTACAACCTCACTTTCTATTAACATCTCGCGTAATGCTAGATAGCATAGCACACCCCTCTTATAAGATGATTGGGGTCCATTTTGATCCATCTAATGACATGTCAGTTCATCGCAACGACATAGCATAGCATAAGCATGAAATTTGCACAGGTTAGCCAATATTCGTATGTGATGTAGAACAGAATCGCTGGAAACGCGAAGAGGTAAAAAAACTGCAGTCCAGAAGAGCACAGGTAAAATGATGAAGGGCCGAATAATGTTGTCTAGGTGGGCCTGTCAGGCTCAAACACATTTCCTTTTTGTATGGTTGGTGACTGCTTTCTGTTATCCAAGAAATCTTTAATCAGCATTATCAACCCTTGTGGATTCAAGCTGCTCGTTTTTTGATCCTTGTGGACTCAATGATCAACACTCTCAATCCCTATGGATTCAAGGATTCTGGATTTCGTTCCCAATGGATTCAATGTACGACTTCCTCTGGCTTCTGCTGTGTCAATATGGTAGCAATCTTATTGCTAGGACCCTTTTTAGTGCAATATGGCCCTTCTTCCACAAGAAGCGAATCATAGGTTGGTCAGAGAGACCAATCCAAACGCGGACCTTAAACCCAGATTCTCTAAATCCAAATCATCCCACGTGACTCAAGTACACGTAGTGAGTTTTCAGATCATATTCAGATACACCATGGCTCAATTAACAGTCATGGTTGCCGCCAGAAATAGAATTTATGTTCAGATCAGCCTTGGATGCGAATCGCAGCTATGTTCAAGAGCCCCACAAACTTTATGCAAGTGGCTAATATTTCCTTATTTCAGATTTGAAAATCCTAAACCATATGAAAGAACATTCTGTATCCCAAATCTTTGAGTTTCACTTTTCAACTTTCATCCTACAAAGAAACAAAACGAAAAAGGTTCCCTACCACTTAAGGAGCTCAACAACTCAATCTCTAATCATGGACAATACGAGGGTACGGTCTCTTGGTACCTATGCCAGGAGTAGTTGAAGGATAATTTGTCTAGGGCATGTTCATTCTCGACAGAAATTTGGTAGGGATTTGAGAAAAAAGTCTACATAGAAATTTTGGCGTGCGATGCTTTGGTTCATCTAAAGATGAAAGAACAGTCAGATGTTTAGAGGACAGTTACTTGGTATGACGGTTGCAAGGCGAGAACGTGAACAAGGATTATTCTTTAGCGAAAAAGGAGGTGATTGTCACCTTCTTTTCAGCAACTCGGTACACACCTCCAATAGAGGTTTTTTCAGAGTAAGCTTAGAATAAAGTTGCAGACTCCCTTCGTTCTCGGAAATTTAATGGATACGCGGAGGAACGGATTTGCGAAAAAAAATTCTTTCTCCGTTATTAACGAACTAATTCAACCCATTTTTTCTGAAGATGAACAAGGAACTGAAAACCCTAAACCCCTTAAGCCAAGTGACGGGAAAATTAATGAATTATACAAGATAGAGATGAAATAAAGGAAGAAAAAGAAATGATGACATTAAATACAGATAAATTAAGATTAAGGAGAGTGGAGATGGACAAATATAAGCACGTACCATGTGAGGGTACTTGTCCTGGTCGACAACCCGGGTGTTCTCGAGCTTGATGTTCAGGTACTGATCAACGGAGTGGAGGATGCCCTTGATAGCCAAGTCATTCTTCAGCTCCACCGTCACCTCCTTCCCCACCAGTTCCTTGAAGTACGAGAAGAAGAGCTGCCGCAGTGCACCGCCGGCCAGCCACCGGCAAACGAGAGGAGAAATGTCAGGAAAAGCCGCCGCTACCCCTAGAAACCCTAGAGACAAAGAGAGGAAGACAGAAACACAAGAATTACCATCTTCGGGAACCCACTTCCCTCCTCCCCGCGCTGCTCTCCCTCAGCTCCTCCGGACGGGCGGGGAACGGGACGCCGGCAAGCAAGGCAGAGGGTTCATCCATTTGTCTACTACATTGTTTGTATAAAAACCCTACCAGTTTGCTGAAACACCCCAACATAAAACCTAATCATGTAAAAGGCTGCTCCAGTGAGAGGACTTTATGCCCTTATAGTCGCCGCCTTTATATATTTACAGTTTTATTTTATTTTTACATTCCGGGAAAATAATCCTGGAATCAAACCAGGTGGGCTTCGTTTTTTTTTTTTAATTAATTACGACGCTCAATACTAGGAAAAGAAGAAGAAAAAAGACCAAGCTTTTTGGGCCCTCTCCTTGTAGAAGATATAATGCATGATTTAATTAAATATTCTCTCCCGGGAATAGCTGACTTACTTAGAGTCACTAACACAAACATTATGTCATAAAACCCGTAATTTCCTGTGTTTTGACGTCAGAGACCTAAAATCAGAGAAGACGAAGAAGAAAAAAAAGAAAAAAGAGGAAGAAAACATATGAAATTGTTACGAAGAGCCAACCCTTCTCCGATCTTCGATGGGTCCCGCCCACAAGCTGCCTTATCATCTGTATGCATCTCCCAGACCAGCCGAAAAAGGAAAGACAGACAAAGATATTAAAGGGGATATACAATCGAAGGGACCCTGAGAGAGAGGGGAGGGTTCTGGGTTGATGCAGAACCAAAGAGTGGTCTCATATCCGCGGCTTCACGCGTCTGCCGGCGGCGGCCCCGCTATCCAGGTCTTCACTGGGGCCCAGACAGGCGGCCAAAGAGTGTTCTCTGACCTTGGCCACGTACTCCAGGAGCTCGGTCAGGAGGGCCGGGCAGCTGACCTTCAGATACTCGAATCCGTCCGTCTGCATCACAGCTGCAGGGAGGGAAAGGAGGGAGGGGATTCATGCCGATGGCCACTCGCCCAGAAGCAACCTGACTGGTCAAAATAATTGAAAGAAGAAGAAAACAGGACACCCACATACGTGTACCCAACTAAGTGGCCCAATTATTCATAATTTTTTCTCTCCACATGCTTTACATCTTTGCAGACTCTCTCTGTATTGCAAATATGCCTTCGATTAATGGCGACAATCTACCGAGAACAGTGTTCTTTCCTACACAAATGTAATTTAACTATACACCAGTATATGTATGGAAAAAAGAAAAAGGGAAAAAGAAAAAGGGGGACTTACCTCGCAGGTTCTCAGGTAATGCAATGAATTTGAGGCACACGGCTTTCAGCTGAAAACAGTGGTGCTGCTCCGCTAGAGCTAGTGTGGTGGCCACAGTGTTTATGGCAACATCTTCACAGAGGTTGGCCTCACAGAGTAACCTAAGCCTCTCCATCGCATATCTGTCTGCTGCTACTAATAAGTGCTGACCCATCAATGTGGAAGCCCATTTTGCATTGGTACCAGTGAGCTCTTCCATGTCTGGTAGGGAATCCCAGTACATGAAATGAAGTAATGCCTGGAAGATGAAGCAAGGAGGATCACATCAGACAATGTCAAAGAGAATCTTGATAAGGAAACCTCTGGGAATCGTCCTCCCATTTCCAAGAGCATAAGCTAGAGACATAGACAAACGGGAGAAAAAATCTGGCCAATATTTTCTTCTTTGAGGATGGGATACCAAAGGAGACGTTAAAATTAGATGGGCATCAAAGAGGAAAAAAGGAGGCTTACAGTCAAAATGTGCACACAGAAGGTGATTGGGAAGAAAATGAAATCTATGTAAATGCAACATTGAGAGTATCTCAAAAATCCCGACACCTCTCAAAATACCCACCATAGTTTGTTGCATGCTGCCTATCAAAAACAAAAAAGATAAGTTGAGCATTTAAAGTTGCCATCAATGTTAGAGGAGAGAAGGGTTACAAGTATATCAATGCTATTCACAGTTGCACCAGTCAGTAGTTTGCCTGAGAAAATTAATATAACAATCATCCCCGCAAACCATTAATTGCCTAATCTACCAATCTAGGCAGTAAAACCATGGATGATACGATGCAGTTTGATCTGAGAAGAGGCAGAATTCAGGAAACGAGGCGCAACTGTCAGACAGATTGGGTTTAGTGGAAAATAATTAAAGGAACCACATGAAATGTTTTAAAGATCATTGCCATCACTGGAGATTCATTTGCACAAAATGAGGGTACTGAGGCATTTAATGAAGAAACAGTCTGCAGCAACTACTTCTGTTACTAGCAGTTTCTTAGTTAGTAAAATTGGTATTCATCATTTCACGGATAATCCACAGTGGTTACAGGCAGGCCAATATTATCGCATCTTTGTGTGAAGAACAACAGCTCTCACACACTCTATATGAATTTCGACAGAGAAAGCTTAAAACTACAGCACATCTCGTTAGAAAATATATTCCAAATGATAAGAAAGAAAAGTCACAAATGACCAAATAAAACCATAGTCTTCCCAATACTTTGCATTCGCAAGATGTAATCAGTAACACTACTGCAAGCGCAGCAAGGTTTAACAACGTGAAACAAAAATCGAGTAATTCCATGATCATACTTTGATGAAGTAATTCAGAAAAAAAGTCTGTCAAGAAAAACAGAAGATAGGCAGACAACGTATGAATTTTTGGATAAGGAAAAAAAGGAATTGGATCAATCTAGCATAAACCATTTGAAATGGCAGAGAGACCTTGAATACTGGCGCTTCCATGTCCTCCACCTTTATACAGTCAGTGTTTCGATCCTTCATTGGGCCAAAAAGTTGTGCCCTGAAAACAGGGGATCGAGTTGCAAGGACCAACCTGTGGGCAGAAATAATCTCACCATCAACCTCAAATCTAACGTCAGCTGCTTTACCACTTTCCAAAAGCTGCCCAAAATGCTGACCAATGTTAGATTGCGGTACTGCAACAGAATAAAGTTCCGGTCCCTCTGTACGTGATCTAACAACACCAACACTACAGCGAACCAATAGAGAATCATCTTTAACATAATCTGATGTATCCAAGGCCGTTCTTTTGAAGAAGCGTTTATAGCCCCTGCATTATTCCGGTTGAAACATTAATACTTCAACCGCAGATGTAGGATCCAAATACTCATGGAAGAAGAAGATATGCCTTGACTTCGATTAAACACACACATCCATAGGAAGGGACGACTAACCAACATAGCGAAAGAATCAAGATATTAGTATTAAATCCATAGACATTAAAAACAAGCCAAGAAAAAGGTTATGCCATGAACTTGTTAATCCAACTTCCATAAGTTCAACTCATCTGACCTCTTAACTTAACGCAAGTACCAGTACTTTGTCATTCTCATAAAGTGACGAGTCATATCAAGGTTAACTTTTCAACTCTTTCAGCATTATGCTAACAGGAAATTTCAAAAGAAAACCTGAAAGAAGCCACTCCCCACCAAGGAATTAAATAAATCAATCAAGAACCATGGTACTGTGACGATACTGTGCCACTTTTTTGCATGAGTTTTAGGGAAATAAACGAAAATTTTAAAATCCGAAAATAGTAAAAAATGAACATAATATGACAAGTACAGATCCCTCAAAGTTGCAGGGAAAATTATAGAAACAAATTATTTCTGTGAAGAAAATATTAGCTAAGAATCAAGCTTCAGGTCCAGAACTGCAGGCGTCAACAGTTGAGGCATAAGTTCTGACACGTGAATAGCAAAGAAGATATATCACAGGAGTCATTCCCTATAGTTATCAACACCAGCAAAGTTGTTACAGCTACGTTGTCTATAATAGCAACTGTAGAATGGTGAAAACTGGAGGAGTACAACCATTGAAGGGTAAATATTTTCCAACGAATACTTTCCAGGCGATAGAAGCCTCCCAAATGTAAGAACAATAATACTTCCGCTAATTTAAAACTGTTAAGCCTAAGGCATTATTTTCAAGCTCTTAAATTACAAAAGGACTCTAAAATCATCATCCGACTTGATCTTCTGAGCTTCAATAACGTCCTCTAATTATGTTTTAGATCTTTTTGGTTCATTTATTTTATCTTCTGTTGAATTCCACAAGCCTGCTGTTGCATTGGTATAGGAAGACTTGGTTGGCACTGTGAAAAAGTCAAGTTGTAATAAGTTTATGATTCACTAAGCAAAATATCCAAGGCTTAGAGAGTCTAAATTGAGATCAAACGACAACAAATTCTCCTGTATCACAAGCGCTCGATTGCATTAATATAAAATTTTAGCTCCGAGCTTATCTTCAAAACTCAATTCAAATCACCTCCCTTCTTGTAAAGTGTATCACCCAACTAGGATCTTCACAAAACTTGAAGATGCGTGTCATGAGCAAATGAAAGATCCATGCTGCTTATTTGGGTGATTTTATCAAGCTCGAACCCAATGTTAGTTAATGGTCCTTGAGAGCAATGGCCAAAATCATATGAGCCCCTTTCACTTATGGGAGTCATGTCCAAATGATTACGACATTCCATTATCGGGTGTAGTAAGGAACCGTCCACTGAAGTGATTCCTATAGATAGTCTTCAGAGGACACATAGTTCATAAGGTGATCAAGGCATGCAAGTTTATGTGCGACTACTTTCCAGCTTGCGTAAGTACTTGATAGAGCATACTTTTATAACGGATTTGACCCAACATAATGCATGAGAAAGTATTTATATCGGGTACTACGCCAGTTTAAACTCAAACTAATTAATGCAGTGACATTCTTGAATAGTTCACACATGCGGATTGTGAAAAGAGAGACAACAATACTTGAATGAAATATCAAGCACATTGTTTCTATCATTTTCATAACTAGGATTGAAAGTTCTTGACAAAATTAAGTGATATTTTTGTCAAGAAGAAAGACTGTTATCTATCAGTGAAAAGGACCATGGTAACCAACCAATAAAGATTTTCGTGATTCTATCACATATTTTATCAGTGGATTAGTGCCTTGACCCGGCTAGGATGGATATAAGAATTCAATGCACTGTTTTGTAACACAAAGCCTTCTTTCAATTATCGATTAGGAATGATGTTTAACAACATCCGTTGCTTCAAGGAACATTTTTCTTCTTAAAAAGGCCATTAACTTCTACCCTTATAAACAAAATTGTCATTAGTTGCGTTTGATAAAGTTTCTGACAAACAGGGTCTGCCTTTGGAGTTGGCATGGATAAGTACCCTAACTCTCCAAAAAGGTTGCTGTCTAGGAGGGGTCCAGGTGACTTCGTAAGAACTGACTAACTGAAAGGGAAACGTGGTATAAATTGTTTTTTAGGACGTGCTTTAATTTCAAATCATTGTTTGCTCTCTACTATATGAGAGATGCTCAAGTCTAGATCCACACTAACTTCTTAACAAGTGATGCCCTGTGGATATGAAACACTGCAAATCTGAAAGTCACCCATCTACTTCTTACATTCAACGAAAGACAAGAACAGATTATTCCCCGCAGTAATGAGCACTGGCCATAGCGAATGTTCAGATTACCTCGATTTATAAAAACACACGAAAGAATAGGGGGTTCCTTTCATTACAAGCGTGTAAATCCAACATGAAAGGCCAAGAAGCAGGATCTGACGATGGATGATTTAAAGGCCGCTCGGGAGACAGGTGAATAAAAATCATGCAATGATCTCATTCAGGTACGTGAAACCAGTCATAAAGAAAGAAATTACATCCCCTTAAGTATCAGAAAAAATAAGTGAAAAACTAGAACCCTGGTGGAGGAGGACAAACAGTTGAAACTATGCCCACCTACCCTTCTCGAACAGACAGAAGAAGAAGAGAAGTGACTTCTCTAATGAAGAAAATTTTCGGAAGAAAGAAAATGGAAAGACAATTACAGGCACTAGAAATGGAGAGCCAATGTAGAAGGATACTGCAGAAAAGAAACCGGAGCAAGCCGGAGCAAACCAGAGAGAGATAGGAAGCCACCCATTGGAAACTAACCACATGCTGCCGCGGTACTTAAGGGTGTAAGGCCCCCCCTCGAGGGCCCTCTCGAAGTGGCTGTGAACCTTGTGCCGCTCCTTGCCGCTCTGGTCCATCAGCGTCAACTCAAAGAGCGCCCTCACGCCGGTGCCCTCGCTGGCCAGGGCGACGAACAGGGAGACGTAAGCAGCGTTGTCCTCGGGGTTCTTCCCATCGGGGTAGAAATAGATGGCCCACGAGTGGCCCCCGACCTCGAACGTGTCCGATGCAATGTACTTGCCGATGCCGAGGCCCTTGGACATGGAATACCCAGATATTTTGAACTGGTGGGAACCGTTCACAGTCTGCGACAAGAACGTCGAAGCCGTCTCGTTGGGATCCTGCGGGTTGGACGAAGAGGACGCGTAGGCGCAGGGAGGTCGAATGCAAGGTCCCGCCCAGCAGACCGTGCCGGTGCCCATCTCCGCCGGAAGAGAGAGAGAGAGAGAGAGAGAGAGAGAGAGAGAGGACCGCCCCGGTAGCGAATTAAGCAAAAAAAAATCGGTGCACGCGCAGAGAGAGCTCACAGGATCTCCCGCCAGAGCTTCAAGATGCGGCACCCAGAGAGCTTCATCTTTGTCCAGGACATGGCGGCTACCAAGTGTCTTTCCTTCCCATGAAAGCACAGGGTTCCCCCGAGAGGGCGATCTATTCCGCCGCGGGTTCCTAAGAGCACCGATCTGAGTATTCCCCCGCGAATTCGATCGGTGCGTGGTGGACGACTCCACCAGGAGCTAGGGTTTCTTCTCGGATTTTCCGTGCGGACAAGAGAGGAAGAGAGGAGGAGAGAGAGAGAGTGAAAGAGAGACGGGGAATAATCTGAAGAGGGGTGGGGTACGTGGAGAATGTCCGAAACACGGTTTTAAGTAACCATCATCCCCGTTGACTAAACCCATCCGACGTGTACCTCTAGAAGTTTGGAGAACCCGAACACTCTGTGTAACTTCCTTAATAATCTGCCCTCGTTGACTAATCCCATCCGACGTGTACCTCGTTTACCGAATATTGGCGTGATAATACCGAGTATCTGCCTCACATGGGTAGATTTTCATACGTGTCGATTTCTAGCGCAGCATAACTGGTCAAGTCGCTTTTGGATCGTGCCGATTCCCGATCTTTATAAAGAGATTGCGGAAGTCGTCGTTTCCGAAAAAGTCAAGTTATCGGTTGACTGATTTAGTCAAAAGGTGTCCATTCAGCAAAGAAGATGATATATTTTTTTTTAAAGTTTTGTTTAGCTCGCATCCAAAAATATAGACACACAGTCAAATAGGTGCGCTATTTGCTAACGAGTGGCGGGAGAGAACGACGACGACGACTTATTTTTCCTGGACCGACGACGAAGCAGAACGCTCAGACAATCCCTGTCGGCCAACGTGCGCGACGGCCACGTCTAGGTAGGTGACCAGCTGGCGCCCGGCGCTCTTTCCACAAGTGGGATGCCGCAGCGCCTAAGTGCAATTTCACGTGCGAATCTCAGAGCCTTGCCGGGACCTTATAACCTGGGATTCAAAAGAAAAAACCAGCTCATCTGGGAGTAAGAGAGAGAAAGAGAGCGCGGTAGAGAGGGGAAGTTACAGAGATAGAGAGAGAATGGAGTTAGAGAGAGAGAGAGAGGAGTTACAGGGAGAGAGGGAGGGAACGGTAAGAGTGAAAAGGACGTATGGTAGAGAGGTAGTGGAAAAAATGTAGAGAGAGAGAGAGAGGAGTTACAGGGAGAGAGCTGACAAGAGTAGAGGGTAGTAGAAAAAATGTAGCGAGAGAGAGAGGTTGGAGGGAGTAACAGGGAGAGCGAACCCAGGGAGTTACAGAGAGGATGAGTGGCTGAGATGGGGTAAGAGAGAGAGAGAGAGAGAGAGAGAGAGAGAGAGAGAGAGAGAGAGAGAGAGAGAGAGAGAGAGAGAGAGAGAGAGAGAGAGAGAGAGAGAGAGAGAGAGAGAGAGGAGAGAGAGGGAGAGAGAGAGAGAGAGAGAGAGAGAGAGAGAGAGAGAGAGAGAGGAGAGAGGGAGAGGGAGAGGGAGAGGGAGAGGGAGAGGGAGAGGGAGAGGGAGAGGGAGAGGGAGAGGGAGAGGGGTCGTACTTCCGCACTTGGTGCCGGGCTTGAGGGGGACACCGCAGAGGGCGGCGACGCGGGCAAGCTTGTTCATACTGAGGCGTTTCTCGACGCCCTCACCGACGAGGTTCTTGCAGACGCAGGGGAGGCTTGTCCGCTGCTCCACGAAGTAGCAGCAGTCGCTGGAGGGCTCCGCCGGCGGCACCCCCGCCCGCACGGCCTCCCCGCAGTGCCCCTGCAGCCCGTAGATGTCGTCCTCCTCGCAGTCACTATACGCCCCCACCCTCTCCGCCCCCCCTGCCAGCAGCAGCACCACCACCAACAACAGCCACATCCACATCCCCTTCCCCATCCCCATCCCCATCCCCAACTCCCTCTTCTTCGTCATCCTCATCCCCTCCATACTCCTCCTCCCCTTCCTTCTCTCCCACTTCTCCCCTTCTCCCCTTCTGAGCGAGAAGATAAAGAGAGAGAGAGGTAAGAGAGAAAGTAGAGAGAGAAAGAGAAGTATGCTCCGTTTGAGAGGGTGGGGGGGTGTTTTATAGGCAGGTGGGGGGGAGCCAGCTGGTTTGGGGGGGTGTGGGGAAGCGCGTGGCGTGGAAGGGGAGAAGACCGCGGGAGGAGCCCTCCGGACTCTCCGCTCCACTGTACTGTTGGAGCCTGTTGACCATCCAGAGACCCTTCTCCGTTGACTGGATGGTTAGGTTGCCCCGAGCCGGACGACTCTCTATATCTCTCTCTCTCTCTGCAGTCGGTTTGCAGCAGCAGTGGACGAGCCGTTTCAGCAATTCCGTCTGCCGCCGCCAAAATATCGTGTGTACGTTTGGTCAACCTTTTCACCCGGGCTGGGGTGCCGACGTCACCCTCTCATCTCTATTTTCATCTTTTTATTCTAACTTTAATTATTCATCGTCTAATTTATTAACAAAGAGCGCGATATCTCGGAAGATCGGCCTACGTATCACCAGTGTTCCGATGGGCCCCAGCCAAAATCTGTTGACCTTGTGGACCTCACACAATCGTGATCTGGGTCTTAAATGGTACCGCGAAGATCGAAGATCGCACGGTCCAATTTTCTGTGGGCCCCGATGAAAGGCAAAAGAGGACCCTCGGGGTAGTGGCGGTGGTGGTGGCGTGGCCGTTACAAGCCGGAGCACAGAGCGGCCATGAAGCTCCGGCGATGAACGGCGGTGGTGTCCCATTGGCGGCGCCACCATCCACCCGTCTTTCCTCGGTCGCGGCAACCGTCCTCCGACAATGCCGGAACACGCCGGAGCTGAAGCGGGCACACGCCGCCCTCCTTGTCCGCGGCTTTCCCCTGCCCGCGGCCTCGCCGTCTCTCCTCCGAACCGCCGTCTCCCACGCCGCGCTCCACCCCTCCGGCGACCTCCGCTACGTCTTCTTTCTCCTCCTCTTCTCTCTTCCCGCCGTCTCTCCCTCCCCAGCCTGTTCCGCCGCCGCGGCCGTCCGCTTCCTCTGCAACACGGTCATTCGAGGCCTCGCCAAGCGGCCGCGTCTCCCGGGGGCTCTCTCTCGCTCATCCCTCATTTTCCGGCGGATGGCTAGGGCCGGAGTTTCTCCCAGCGGCTTCAGCTTCACCTTCCTCCTCCAGGCCTGCGCCGGCGGCTCTCTGGGGCCTGGATCTGCCCTCGGGATCCAGCTTCACGGCGCCGCCGTGAAGAACGGCGTCCTCCTCGGCGACGTCTGTGCCAGAAATTCCCTGATCCGATTCTACTCCTCGTGCGGCGCGATGGAGGAGGCCAGAAGAGTCTTCGACGAGGCCGGCGCCGGCGGAATCGACGTGGTCTCCTGGAATTCCCTCATCGACGGCTGCCTCAACAACGGTGACGTCGCTGGTGCGCTCCTCCTGTTCGACAGAATGCCGGAGAGGAACACCGTCTCTTGGAACAGCATGGTCACCGGACTGGTCAGGAACGGCAGGTTGGACGCCGCACGGTGCCTGTTCGACGGAATGACCGAGAGGAACCTCGTCTCCTGGACAGTGATGATCTCGGGGTACACTCAGAGCGGGCAGCCGAAGGAGGCCTTGTCTCTCTTCCGAGAGATGCAGCTGGTCCACCGGGAGCTCAACACCTCCGCCATTGTCAGCGCCCTCTCTGCCGCCTCGCAGATGGGTTCTCTGAACCACGGGCAGTGGATCCACGCCTACGTCAGGAGGAAAAGGGTGAGAATGGAACCGTCGCTCTCCACGGCAATCGTCGGCATGTACGCCAACTGCGGGAGCATCGAGCTAGCGATGCAGCTGTTCCAGGGCTTTAAGCCACCGGAGAAGGACTTGTCGACGTACACGGCGGCGATCTTCGGGTTGGCCATGAACGGCCATGGCGGGGAAGCTCTCCAACTCTTCGAACAGATGAGGAGCGAAGGGCTCGAGCCGGATCGAGTGTCTTACCTGGCCGTTTTGTGTGGCTGCAATCACATGGGCTGGGTCGATCGGGGTTTCTACTACTTCCACAGCATGGTTGATGAGGATGGGATAGCGGCAGAACTGGATCATTACGCATGCATGGTCGATCTTCTTGGCCGAGCAGGGCACTTGAAGGAGGCAGTGGAGTTCATCTCTTCCATGCCTGTGGAGCCGGATAACGTAATCTGGAGATCTCTCCTTAATGCGTGCAGAATTCATGGAGATGCAGAGCTGGGCAGGAGAGTGGGGGAGTTTCTGATCGAGTCCGATCGGCTCCATGACGGGCCCTACATTGCTCTATCCAATATCCTCGTGGAGTGCAAGAACATGGGCAGTGCTGAACGAGTCAGGCAAACCATGAGAAGCAGAAGCATCAGGCGGGAGCCTGGGTTTAGTTCTATTGAGGTCAACGGTGTTTTTCACGAGTTTGCGGCGGGGGACAAGTCCCATGAGAAGACCGGTGAGATATACCGGAAATGGGAGGAAATTGCAGGAGAGATCAGGAGGTTCGGGTACGCTGCAGAGACGAGAGGGATTGGCTTTGAATGTGAAGAAGAGGAGAAGGAAATCATCATCGGGTACCACAGCGAGAAGTTAGCCATTGCCTTCGGGTTCATCATCACAGAGGATGGATCTCCATTGCGAATAGTGAAGAATATCCGGATCTGCGGGGATTGCCACAACGCGATGAAGCTTATTTCCATGGTTTTCAAGAGGAAAGTGGTGGTCAGGGATAGGAAAAGGTTTCATCATTTTGAGGTTGGGACCTGTTCGTGTATGGACTATTGGTGAAAGGATTTCTCACAGCTTTTGAGGGTGAGTTCAAATGGGCCGTAGAACCCTGAAGCTGCCGAGGGAACAGTGGGAGGTCCTATTAAAGGCATAAAGGAACACTTTCTGCTCATGGCAGATGCGTGTGAATGGTGAGACGCTGTTTTTTCTCTCTTTTTTTAATGGAGAAACTGTGCCCGATGATCTTAATATCATTCTGGAGATTTTATAAATGCAATTAATAATCTTGAGACCGACTGTAACTTTTCTTCTCCCATCAATCAAAGAGAGGAGTTTTGTATCAGTAACAAGCTTCTTACACTTCCTGACATGTGGCCATTCTCAACAGAAAAGCGTCATGCAGATTTTCGTTGACTGTCATACAGGGACGAGCTCCCTACATCATGACAATGTTGACTTTGCATGGATTTTTCAGGGTGAATATCTAGAAACGCAGATTTCTTGTATCTATATTTAGCAAAAATTTTTTTTACATTCCTAAAAATAAAATGTCATTCGCGGGTAAAAGGATGAGGGGAGCAATGCTTTCTATCTCAAGTTCCCACAATCTCATCGTTACTAGCAACAAATTCTCTGGGTAATGATTGAGATCAAACCTCTGCTCCAGTTTTTCTTTTGGACAGGAGAATTCCGGAAAATTGGTAGCTGCTTTCGGTTGATCAATTCATTGAGATTTTCCGACGGCCTCTTGGACTTGGTTCGTCTCTGTTTCATGATTTGACTCCACAGAGGTCAGAAACTTGTGCATCAGAATCATTTATATTTAATACATCATGCGTTAGATATTAAACGGCTTTCAACACTTCAGAAATCATGTGGAATGAGCCTGATTCTACATTGTATTGAATGAATAACGAGCAACAAGTAGAGCATCATTATAATCATACACCACATCGCATGGCGTGAGTTACATCCTGAACTGATGACGCACGCAAACTGTATATTCAATTCATAGAGCATATACCAAACTCTGGATGTCAAAATCTTCGAGGAAAAGTATTGACGACTGTGCAGCATCACCCTTCTGCCAAAATCTGAGAACACCAGTCCACAAGGATGATCTGCATCTCTTCATCTTCCCCGACCAAAGTTCGTATACCCCCCTGGTGTTTCTTTTCCGAGCAATCAATTTTGCTGCTGATTTCTTGGGATCAGATGGTAAAAAGTAAATGTCTGTCCCTCGGTCACTTTCCATCATGGCAGCAGGCTAGCCAATGGATGCTGAAATCTGGAAGGCGTGGTAGGGCAAGTCCCAGACTGGGTTCTGACTAATGGAATGAGTGATTGGACAACATCCGTCATGAGAGGTCGGTAATCAGCTTCTGACTGCACACACACAGCCGCAATAGCAGCTATCTGCAATGGGGAGGAACAGAAAAGAATTATTAGGCGATGATTCTTGTAGAAATATGAATCGAATACTTTCATGATTTTTTAGCCGGGGTTTTCCATGTTCTTGATGCCTTGGGTGCTTTCAGAGATTATGGCAGCCGCTCTGATGACGAGAACGAAACAAGCTAACCTGAATCATCTCCTTCTTTGAGCATTGACCTTCTAGAGTCGGATCCACCATCTCCATGAGTTTCTCCCTGTTTGTTAGCTTTGGAAGGGCCTGTGGAGTCAAAGAAGGATCCATCAAACACATTAGAGCCAAGCCATTTCTTCCATCCTACATCAATGGCAGACGCCGTATCTAAATATCAATGTTTACTTATAGGAACTTGATGACGGGTGACATAAAGGGCTCAGAGAGTGTGGGTGAAGGTTGGATGTTTCATATTGGAAGGAGAGGGGGAAAGTTATGAGGCCTGTTTACACTGAAAAGTAAAACCTGCATCAGGTGAACTTGCTACTCTGATGGAACAGCGATCGTTAAAAAGTCGTTGGGTGTGAGGAGGCCAAATCAACTGGGGTCCCCAGGTGGGTTATTATCATCTTTTGGGTAGCTGCAATATCTTCCTGATGGTCCGCTTGTGTGAAATTTAACTGCAGGAGCTTGAAAAGACTGGATTTTGATACGAACCCACGGAACAAGAACATCTTCCCCAGGAGGCCTTTTGACGTCAACAGGCACCCGCCCTGTCAGAAGCTCGAGAAGAACAACCCCGAAGCTGTAAACATCTGATTTAGTTGTCAACTTGCCGCTCAATGCATACCTGCATAACAAACCCATCCCGGTGAGCCCCTTTATTCTACCTACAATAGTATCAGAACAAACAAAACAAAAACAAAAAAAAAAGTATGTTCGAGATAGCTTTTTCTCTTCAAATATTGGTGATTTAATGCTCGGGAAAACGAATGAATAGACAAATAAATGCACACAAATGGGGCAACCTACTCGGGGGCTACATATCCTGTTGTCCCCAGCACTCGAGTCAAAACCTGACCATTGATCTTGTCGGAGCCAATCTTTGCCATGCCAAAGTCTGACACCTTCGCCCTGTAGTTGTGATCCAGCAGAATGTTGCTGCACTTGAAATCCCTGTGGATGACTGCTGGGACAGTGTGCTCGTGCAGAAACTCAAGGGCCCGCGCACAGTCCAGAGCAACCCTCAGCCGAGTCCCCCAATCAAGTGCCCTGTTTTGGCCGTTCCTTGTGGTAAGGTGGAGGTGGCATTGTAGGCTACCGTTGGGCATGTATTCAAATACAAGAAGGCGATGGTGTTGGTCTGCGCAGTAGCCCAGTAGCCCGACCAAGTGGGGAGAGTGCAACCGGCTCAGTAGATCAACCTGCATCCATTGTTACACTCATATAATTAGACGAATTGCTGGAGCGAATTATCCTGCATCCATCACCCCGACAACATGCTGACATCGTTTGACTTTGTGCTGGGAACGTTAAAATATAGATTGAAATAATCAGATTACTTATGATAACAGCTTCACTTGTTAGCTGATTATTAACCAATTCTATGATGCAAGAGTGGTGTCAGGGCAAAACTCGGATTCTTTTGCATGATGCAGGGTGAAGTTTTGAAACTAAACATCTCTGTGTTTATGTCCAAAACTTTATGCTACAGATGGTTGTTAAAGTAAGTGGCTTTGAGTGGAGTAGGCCCACATATTCAACCAATGGGAGACTATTCTGGTACGTCTTCTAACAGGCTGACTATTTCATGCTCTGCCATATGAAAGATAAGAGTAGGGTGCATGAAGTCCATAGACAACTTGCTATTCTAGTACCATGTTGAAGTAAAGGTGACCATGAAAATTCGACGCCATGCCTGCTTTTCTACCAACAACTACAATGAAGAGAAAATGAAAATGTAAACCATTTGCTCACCATTAATTGGTAAAATAAATTACTAAGCTTCAACAAAGATGCCCACAGGATGCCCATCAGAAATAACACCTTCCAAAGAAAGAAAAAACTGGTAGGAAGTACAAAAGGCCCAGGCATTTTCTTTAGGATCTACATGGAAAACAGAGAGATTGAAATGTACCACATGAATGCTCTTGAACCATAGGGCTACTTTGTTCTCACGGTGGCAAGACTATGATAATTACTGATAAATGTTACTTGTAAAATAAATAAATAAAAGAATCTTTGGCGTGTAATAATAGAATTTGAACCTTAGTAAACTCGCAGTGTTGGTAGACAAGTGGAGAGAATGTTTTTTTCCTGAAAAATTGAGCATCCTTTCTTCTCATGGGATAACAGCTCGGATAGCATGACATATGGAGTTGATTTCACCATACGATGTGCCAATCCGTCAATCATATACGTAGCAATTTACTTCTAGACTATCCACCCTGATTTATAACTTATGATTTCTCTTTTATTCGAGATAAACAGTATCTAGTTTCATTTTCAGAGATGAGAAACATTGTTACCAGTGTTTAAGGCGTCCTGTCAACACATAAGTATATTGAGGAAACATAGTATAGTGCATTGAAGCTGGGCAGCATCAAAGATCTGTCTACTTTACCGCAGAAATTTCAATTCTGCCGAGTGCTGACTCAGTGTGTGCCTTTAAAATTATTGGACCATGCTTTACTACTTTTTTCATATGCCGTGTGTGCAAGACTGTAACCTTCTTTGTAACATAAATATTGACTATAACCTCGAATATAGAAAAATATGAGCCGGTCAACGGTACAGGAAAAATGGTGCCCTGTCTCCTTCTATGTTTTCACTCACATATAAGCGAAATTCATGGTACTGAATCCTGCCCATTATCTCCCAGTAAGAAAAACTCTAGTTTTTTCCAGAGTGATCCTCGTGATCAAAACTGTTTTATTATTTTCCCCATAATTCATTAGCGAATGTATAAGTGGCTTCATAGATACATTCTCAATGAATTCCCATTTGAGCCACAGATGCAGCAGCCGCCATTAAAGTTACAAATGCTAAACCATATCTTCTATTCCTTCGCTCTCAAGGACTGAGCACAGGTAGAGTCAAGCTGTGATGCAGACACAACCAATAAAGGCTCTAAGCTAAAGATGAAGTTAGAACTGACAGTGATGTTGCAGCCGATGCTGGTCCAGATTTGGTACCGCTGATCTGTATACGCAAAGCATATACTTTTCTGTCACTACTTCCTGGGTTCTTCGGCCTGTAAGGAATGCGTTTTCTGAGATGTCAGTGTTCCTTGAACAACTTAACCAGGGAGCCACCATTCAAAAGGATTGTGGCTGCGGGGGTATATGGCCATCACCTCGCCTCCATCTTAAGCAAGCAGCACATCATAACTAAGAACAAAAGATACACACAATCGTCTCTTCCTGGGTTAGACGAGCCATTTTTTCTTCATAAGCGGATTTCTCCCCACAAATCCTGGAATTAGCTTCAGGAAAGAAATGCCCCCGCCTTCATCAGTGTCGGTTCTACTATCGACAAATTTACCGTGTTTGGGATTTCTGGTGTTTTTGAGAGCAGGTATAACGGGATGAAGAAATTATGCCCCTTTCAGCATCGAAGAGCTATAAGACAGAAATGGAGCAAGATTAAGGGTCTACCTCAACTCTGAATTCCCTCTCTCCTTGCTTGCCTTGCCTGTTCAGCATCTTGATCGCAGCCACAGTACCGTCGGGCAGTGTGCCCCTGTAAACGACCCCGAAGCCCCCATTGCCGATCACATTCTGTTCCTTGAACCCCTCCGTGGCCAGTTCGAGCTCCCGGTAGGTGAAAACCTGGCCGCCTCTGTACTTGGGCTGGAAGGGAAACCCCATGGTCCCGCCGTATATGGACCTCTTGACATCTTCCATGGAAGCAGAGGAACGTCAGAGAAGTGGGAGGAAGGGGAGACGGGGGCTGTGGAGAAGACGGACACTCACCGGGGCTGTGTCCCACGCCCAGGCCGGAATGCTGTCGCTTGTGGATGTCGTTGCCGCGGCTGACGGCGCTGCCGCAGGCGGAGCTGGCGGCGCCGTGTGTCTGCCGCGAGGACCTCAGCCGGCGGAGGAGCAGCAGGAGGGCGAGAGCGAGGGCGACAAGAGCAGCCACCGATATGAGTGGTATGAGGATTGTCATGAAAGTGGGACTGCTGGCGGAGAGGATCCTATGCCGGTGGTGATGCCCCGCCGGCTGGACGTCGGCGGCGACCTGCGACGGTTGCCTTGCCGGAGCCACGCTCGGCTCGGTGCGAGCCATTGCGCCTCCACGCGGGAAAACGCGTGTAGATCAAGCGTGGGAGGCAGCTGCAGCAGATAAACAAACAGAGCGAACGAGCGAGCCAGAGAGAGAGAGAGAGAGAGAGAGAGAGAGAGAGAGAGAGAGAGAGAGAGAGAGAGAGGGCACAGCTTCTTTAGAAAAGCGACGCCTTTTGAGGGGTGTTTGACGAAATGGTCACACCCTCGAGACAACGTCGGTGAGCTCACCTTTCTCCTTCTTCCCCTCAGTGGCGGAAAATACAGTCAGTCAACATCTCTTTCTCTCTCTCTAGTTCCTGGTTCTCTCTGCAGACGCTTTCACGTGTCCCTCGCTCACCCTCTCTCTCTCTCCCCGTGATCTGCGTAGTCTTTATTGTCCTCTTCGGCCTTCTATCTTTGTCCTCGGCACATCAATCATCCACCCCCACCTGTCCAACCGCCCACCATTTAAGCTGTCCTCTTCCGTCAATCCAGGCCTCACCTCCTGCTACTCCACCCCTCACCCTTTCTTCCTTCCTACCCTCCTTCCTGGTGATCACGCCAGCCCATCTGACCGGTCCTCCCACTGCGGCCCACCCCGCCCCCGCGCGCATGCGGCGGCACGGGGGTTCTGCCGAAACCCGGCGCCAGCGCCCGCACGGCAGAGCGGAGAGCACCAACGCTTTCTCTCGTAGCCGGCACGCGACGCAACAGGGAGAGCCCAGCTAGATCCTCCTCCCTTCCTTCCAAAGGCCTACCACGTTACCTCACAGTCGCCGCCATCTACTGCTGTTGTTGTTGGTGCTGCTGCTGCTGCTGCTGCTCGCCAGTCAGTGTGGTCCTGCGCCTCCACGCCCTTGTCCGACCTGCTCCGTCGTGTCCATCTGGCCAACTGGCGCGCGCGCGCGCGGGCGGGCGTGGACCCCCCGACGCGCGCCAGCGGCCCGGACGGCGACGTAGCACGGGGTCCGTCCGCCGGCGGGGCGGGGGGGGGGGGGACCACGCGCGCCGCGGCCTACTCGCTACCCGGGGAAACGGTAAAAGATCAACGGCCCTCTACTGTGCAGTAGTTTAATGACCGTAGGAACGGAAGGCATTCACGGGCTGCGCGGGAAAAACGGGGTTCCTGAGGTGACCCTTCGAAGGTGGTCTTCGTCTTGTGCGAAGAGGGGAGACCTCATTCCGTGCCTATCCGCTACGAATGCAGGCCTACCTTCAGGTCAAGAAGATTGAAGTTGCTCACTGGAACATGTACCCATCATTGTCGCCTTGAAGGACAGCCTCCTAGGAGTGGGGTCTCCTGATTAAGCCCAGTGCATCCGGACACGGGCGGCCACAGCTGAGTCAAACATACTGCACAAAGAATTGAGCAGCGAGTAGTGAGTAGTGAGTAGTGAGAGAGGACTGCCCACTTTCGACATTCTTCCGGAGGAGATCGCGCACCAGGATTTATGGGCTCGGTTGGTGTCAGCGTCTCCTCCGCGAGGATGAATGCCTTCGTTCTTCGCCTCAAATAACGTCACGTCATGGCATGTGTCACCCCCTGACAAACAAAGAAGATAACGAACCAAGGGTCAGGACAAGGCAGGATTCGAGGGGTAAGATCCAGCGGCTGGTCATTCTTTCGGCAAGATCCGGGTTTCAATAGGGTGAAACCCGTAATGTCAGAACCCATCTCTTGGTCATCTCAGAATCAATCATCCACATGGCAGCTTCCTCTCTCATTGCCCCCCACCCCAATTCTCTCCCTTTCTTTCTTGTGAGACAGATGTACACAGATCCCAAGCTCCAACTGGCCCATTTGCCAGACTATTTCTGGCTCACTGGCCAGGTCTCGGGGAGTTTAAAGCGCGGATGCCCGAGAAATGCTGGTTTAAAACTGGAGGAACTCTTACGCGCAGACAGCACCGTTTTTGGTAATGCTTACCCGGACGGAATGGGAACTCTCGAGGACAAAGGCCACCTATTATCACAGAGATGTAATATCAAACTGACGATAGACAGATTGATCGGATGAAGACCGAGGTGATGGTGACAGTCCAGCAGATTTCCTATGGTTCAAAGATTTTGGATGCTAAAGCAACATGTCCACAAAGGTCACAAAGGTCGGATTCAAGAATAAGCCTGGCAAAAAAATGGCAATTTGCTTAAAAGAAAGCGGTGATGGTTCAGAAAGAACTTGGGCAATAGTCATCTACACGACTGTCAATGCCAATGAAAACTTATAAACCAATTAAAAAAATTTACAGGACCAAGGAACCTACTTTTTACGTAGATTTTTCTATTTTAGGATAGCCAATTATATTTCTTGTGCAAATCAAAACAGAAGGAATCAACAATCCAGACGGTCGCCACGATTTCCTTGAAAACGGTTGCTAATTTGGGTAAACATCATGGGCGGATGAGGATAAAGACGAGAGAAGCGAGGGAAGCAATCCCCTATCAACTGAATATAAACGTCAAAAACCAGGGTCTGCAGTTAGTGATGTACCTAATGGCAAATTGAGCGCGACATTTGGGTGGGTTTCAATGAACAAGCTGTTACCAATGCTCCATGTTATGCCACATCATCCACCACATCAGTGCGTCATGTGGCAGCCCCCCCGTCAGCAGATATAGTGGGTCTCTACTACCAGTAACAAACAGTAGGCAAAATACCAAAAATCTTTAAGGTTAGTATACGCCACCTTATGTTAATGGATCATATCATCGGTGATGATGGAGACTTTCGGAAGGAACTACATGATACAATATGATTCCCACGCCACATTTTTCATTATCTGTCCACCACGGTGACGCAATACCTTCTGTTTGATCGGTCCAAAAGAAGGGATAGCAAACAGAGTGAGAAACAAGATCTTCCTGAACAAACACAAATAATCTAATCCTCCAGAACCCATTATTTTGGAGAATTACCGCCTAAAAAATTTCATCTAAAGAAGGAAAGATCGTATTCGCTGGGAGACATTTCGTCCACATTTCTGGAGAGAATCTTCATGAACTCTCGTTCTTATTTCAAGATCCCAGCAGCTGAAAAGCAGGTCTCGAATGCCATGAGGTTTTCCAAGCATAATCCGAATCAGTAAGTAGATGCGCATATGCTCAGAGAGTAATGTATTTATTCTATTTCATCAGCATATAAAATAACTAAATAAAAAAAAAACAATATACAGGTAGTATCCAACACTTTTGTGAAACAGAGCTACGGAAACTCGGATGTTGGAAGATGGTAACCGTTTGATCGTCTGGATTCGCTTCCTTAACTGCTTTCTTTGGCTTCAAATAAAGAAAACGTATGAGGCTTCAATTCATAAGATTCTAGTCCTGAAAAATGAGAACAATCAGGATCATCACTATTAGAGAAAAATCCAGGAAATGGACAGCCAGTGTCGACTAAACGGAACCACATATATCGTTCTGGAGCTTCAGGTAGAACTGCAGTAGATGGCACATCACTGCCATTGAACACAATAAACATGTCTCCTTCGTCGGAGTCAGGTTGCTTTTCATCCTTGTCAGCCTTTAGTGTCAAAGCCAGGAACTTGGAAGAAGGGTCCTCCCATTTGGGTTCAGAGAGATCAAGACCACGCCATTGTATGTTTTGAACTTTATGGAAAGTACTCCTTTGAAAAAGATCACTTCTCCTGTCCCTAAGGGAGCTTAAAAAAGAAATAAACTGTGTAACTTGAAGAGCAAAACTTGTTTCTAGATAGGCCCAATCAAATGGACATCTGTCACGGTATAATGTTGAACCACCATTTGACAGGCCGCACTCATCGCCCATATTAAGGACAGGAACTCCAAGAGATACAAACAAGAGAAATAAGAAATTACGTATCTGTTTGAGTCGTGTTCCAAGGATAGCGCTATCACTTGTTGGACCTTCCACGCCACAGTTCCAGCTAGACTCAGATGAGAGCTTGCTCCCACTGAAACTGACTAAATCAACGAGAGAAAGCCCAGAATTCCTTGTAACAAAATTAAAAGAACAAGCAGGGCCCCGAGAATCTGAAAAGACATCCCCACTACCGCAGAGACGGGTCGCAAGATCACTCAGAAGTCCTTCACCCCTCAAAAAGTTTCTAGCATCTTTACAAAATTTCGAATTGATTTCTGACCATCTCTTCCAGTGGGGAAAATCAATTTCATGGTATGACATGTCACGAGGGGACCAGAAATCTGCAATGAGCTTCGTATTAGACAGTACTGGATCAAATGCAATTGATTCAATCAACGGTGGGCGAGATGAATGGTGTTTACTTGAACACTGCGTAAAGTATGATGCATTCACAAAACAAAATCCATCAATGTGGAAATCAATCACCCAATGACGGAGACTGTCGATGATCATCTTCTGGACTACGGATATATTGCAGTTTAATGAAGTGTTGGCTCCTGATCTTTTATCTTCTTCGACATAATAAGACAATTTGTCAATTCCTTGAAAACTAATACCTTGATTGGCCATTTCACTCCCTTCAGCAGTGTGTGTGAAAACGACCTCTAATAAAATCTCTATACCATTTGCATGCAGAGATTTAACCATCTCCTTCATGGAAGTCGTAGCTGACTCACCTTTACCTTTAGGTCCATACATGTTCATTGGGGCAAAAAAATTGTATGGAAAATATGGTCCTTGTTTTTCATCAAAGGAGAAGATTGGCTCAAGTAGTATTGCGTTGACGCCCAGATTCTTGAAGTGATGTATTTTCTCAACAATACCAGAAAAGGTTCCAGCAATATCTTCAGATAAAGTGCTAGATTCGTCCCCAGTAAATTTACCCACATTTAATCGATAAACGACCAATTTCTCTGTTGGAAGGCATAAACGAACATCACCGCTCCAATCAAAAGCTGTTGCCTTCTGAATGTGGCCTAGAAAGTTTGAGAGAGAAAAATCACTGTCATCAGGTGAGAGGTTTCTAATTACCTTTGCATATGGGTCCAGAAACACAGGACTACCTCCCTTATTGTGAAGCAGATCTCCATCACACCGGTAACCATACCTGATGTAGTTCCTCACATTTTCCAAAGAGGCATGCCAAATATCGCCTGTTCTATGAACACAAGGATCTAAATCAATTTCTAATGAAGGCTTCTTTGACTGATCATCAAAAAGGCAGAGAACAACTCTTTCAGCATTCCTTGAAAACAGAGAAAAATTTACTACCCCATCATCACAGAAAGAAACACCAAGTGGCATTGGATTTCCCGGTGCAAAACCCACAGGAACCCGAAAGCTTGTCTTTCTAGCAGTTCTGACCACCCGCCCATTAGCACCATCAGATGAAAATGATGAATAAATAAGAAATGAGAGACAAAAAGGAACTTCAGAATAATTTATTTCCAACTCCGATGTGTGTCTACCGGGAGATGTTTGAGTTAATAGAATATCACTAGAATGATCAGTCTCTGATCCAAGTTGGCGTGCATTAAAAGCTGAAAATTGAGAATCTATCTTGATTGACCATGATGAATCAGATCTCAACATCTGCCAGCGTAATACTGAGTTATGCTCATTGAACCAAGATGGCATATTTAAGACTTCAACATGTACAGCATAAGTAAACTCTTTTGCTCCAATGGACACATTCACTACCCCACCATTTTCTGTCTGAAATCTATAAGATCTTCTTTTCAATTCTTCATTTTTATTGGTCACATGCAAATCTGGCTCTGTGTGCGCATCAATTCGTTGTGAAGCAGAACAAACTCTCAACCCATGCCTTTCCAGAGCATTGCCGATGGGTGCTACTTTGCCCTTTATGCAAGTTCCGCTTCTTAGACTGCTCGACTTCATTTCATTGAAAGCACTGCCTTTCCAATGACAATGACGCTCTCTATTAGTGGAAATTGGATACATTCCAGCACCATTTTGACTAAAAGTATTCATCGTAACAGACAGCAAAACGTTTGCCATCATAACTTGATATTATATTTACAGGAGGACAACTTGAGCTCAATGGATTCGAATTATTAAATGCCAAGCACTCTAGCGATGTGCTCGAAGTTGCTTTCCTAAATAGTCACTTGTTCCTGTTGAGCAATAAAGCAAATAAGTCCAGGAACATAAGTACTTCTAAAGAACAAAAAACCTCTGCAGAATCACAACGAGGATATAAAAAAGGGTCATATTAAATTTCCGGTAGTTGATTAAAATTTTCATTCATTTACGTCTGCATCCAATTCGAACTGAGAGAGCAAAAGCAAGCTCTTGACTTCAAATAATGTGAACACTGGACTGCAACTTTTAAAATCTGGAAATCGATACGATACTAATGTTACGAAGGTTACAAAATTTGATACAAAAAATTTCGTAGCTACCAGCGCAATAAAGGGCATATAAAAGGTGGAATAGTTTAAGCCACAGAATTAGAAGAAAAGTGCAAGGATAGATCAATATTGTGACGGAAAATTCTGCCGATGCAAGCGTCGCTAAGAAATCTGCCGGCTCAAACTATACCAAACGTCAGGACAATTATATTCGGATAACGTAAGAAATCACACTACCCCATTCGACGCCATGGGGGTACCACGTCGATCGGACGATCCTAGCGATGACTTAGAAGCAAATGCCCGAAAGCCAGACAGGCAAACAGTCTGGTGCGGGGATTAAGCTCGAGTACGTACACGACATCCTCTCAGTGAAGCATGGCGAATAGTGCCGCAGGATCCAAGGGAAGGCACAGTACAGGATCCTGCACAATCGCTTAGATACGCACCCCTTTACGCGAAGAACTCTCCCGGTCCGCCGGTGAAACTCGCAGAACAAGATAGCATCAGGAAGCACGGCGCTCGCATTGCCGCCGGGCCCTCCCTCTTCTCCTTCGTACTGCTGCTACTCCCCCACTCCCTCTTCTCCCGTTCTCCACCTCCGCCTCCGCTCTCCACCGCACACGTACCCATCACAACAAACTAACGGAATGCTCTGGGCCGTTTTTATATTTTTTTTACTTTCCATTTTAAATTCATAATCGTGGTTTCTTTTTTTAGTTTAATAAGCAGGCACTCTTTCTTAACGACCCCCCCTGAAGAGAGCGAAAGTGAGTGAGTGAGTGAGAGAGAGAGAGAGAGAGAGAGAGAGAGAGAGGGATCCGTTATTTTCGATTTTAAAAAATAATACCAAATTCGAGCTTTCTATAGAAATAAAAAAATGTTCTTTAATCATCGGGAATTTGAATTCAAATAAGCCGTTGCCCCGCAACAGGGGGTTATGGAGAACATATAAATAAGGGTTTTAGTTTATACAATGTGATATGTGGGTATAAATGTAATAATGAAAAAATATGAGAAATGCCTATAAAATGGGAAACGGGAGAGAAACGTGCGCGCCGAAGCGAAGATGGGTGGGAGAGCGAGAGAACAGGGGAGCGCGCGAGAGAGACGTAGCGAGAGAATGGCAGGCAACCGGGGAGTGGAAGCGGGAGAGCCGGAACAGCTTCCTCTCTCTCTCTCTCTTTCTCACTTATTCTCGGTGCCCGAGCCTCTGTGTCATCGTCCACAACGAACGACGCAGGAGAAAGTGCCGTATCTCTGGGTTTTTGCACACGCCAGGTCGTGTCCGTTTCATGTCTGTCCCTCTCCTCATTCCTTATCTTTATCAATATACTTCCCAGTTACGCATCCCACCTCGTTCTCATGATGGATGAGGATCCGCAAAGAATGGAAGTGGGTAGTACGAGTTCTGCATTTTGAAGCTCTTTCTTCTTTTACACTACAGAGATTCCTCAAATTTTCGGGGACCTCGTTTTATGTTTCGAAAACGTATGAATTTATTTATTGACAACCCCTGGTTTGCCCTTTTGATCACTCCGTATCACCTCATTGTTTCTTCATTGGGGAAGATTTTTTCTCATGTGCTGATATGTGTTAAACTGTTATGGGAAAGTAATCTGGATTCTGTCTTTCTCATATATTCTTTTTGATGTATTTATAATGATCATTCATTGGTGATTACATAAAGAGTAGATAATCTAGTTATAAAAGTGATTTGTCAATCAGAATTCTACAGAAAAATTATGATTATTTTATTGAACATAGTTAAAATTTTCTTGGGTATGGATGTCAAGATATTTGTATCCACATCCTAAATGTTTAGCACATCTCCAGAGCATTATAACAATTGTCCTCGTCCATGTGATTTCTCATCTTTCAATTCTTTCAATAAGCTTCTTTTGATCTTTGTGCCTAAGTGGCATTGAGTTGAACCAAAACTCTCCAAAGATCACGTTTAGGGCGCCTTGGCATCTCAGCATCTCCTGAAAGAAGATAAATATCCTGTCTTAATTCAGGAAATACAAATTTCATTACTTCCATTTTTTGTGCCTCTCTCTCCATATATATGTATATATGTCCCTTTACCTCTGTTCACGCAGTTCGAATTAAATCAAATTCATTTCGATAAATTATAGTGTTCGTACATAGAGTTTCAAGACCCTTGGAATCTTGTATCTTTGGTTGTAATCTTCTTGAAGTTGGATGCAGAATGCTTTCTTGAACTTTTGTTGGAGAGGACTCCTTCAATTTTTTTATCTTATCTTTGAAAGTGGGATGTTTCCTTTGTACTCTGCATTTTAAGATTTTTGATAAGGTTTTTACTATCGATTTAGTTACATACTTCGTCCTTTCTTTCTGTTTAATTTAAAAGGTTTGACAAAACATTTCGTGAACATCATCTGCATGTTTTAAAGTCCAACTTCTCTGTGATACTATATTTTGCTTAGTCTTTTATCTTATTCCCTCTTATTTTACTATGTCCGCCATACAGAATTTGCCAGCATATTTTTGAGAAGCCCTTCTCTTCTGGTCAGTTGATAGAGGGCAAATGCGCATCCCAATATTCTCCACAAGAGGGACTCTGGTGATTAACCTGTGATTTATATCATGTTTAAAATATATCTGTTTCTCTTTTTTTTCTCTCAGTGGTCGAAAAGCTACTTTAATGGGTCTTTGTGAAAATTTAAGTTGAATTTCCTAAATTTATTTAGGGCTTTATTTTCTTGTGAATAATTTTCCATATTCATTTCATAATCTCCCTAAATCTAAGGAAATTGGATTCTGGCCGTGTATCCTTATTCAATGTTCCACTATCATTTATTTTTAGGATCTATTTATTTAACTAATTGTCAAAATCCTGCGACTGGATGCTCTTCCCCGTCCAATCTTTTTCATTTGCCTGTGCTGAAACGGATAGCATGAATAGTGTTCACACGCTTGCATATAACTCTCTTTCTCTTCATTTAGGGCCTATTCTCCACTCAAGACATCATAGTATGTCATAGGAAAAAAGAGGACAGGTTAGCCTTTGTGTTCTAGGTTGCCACATCAAATCTGAGCCTCGACTCATGACCCATTGTGTTTATGACTTCCACAGTTTTCTCAATATCTGTCCGCTTGGTTCAAAAGATACTATTTTACCCGGATCTTTTAGATGACAAGTGCTGCATTGAATCTGGTCCATAATATCTCATAAAAGAAATGATCCAACTGTGTAATTGAATGATTTTCAAAAAATTTAGTGGATCACTCTATTCAGTCGCTTTCTCAACAACTGTTCTCATACATAGGTAACAAATGATAGCTGTTTCCCTCAATCCCTACCTATGTTTCATTCTATTATACTTTGTGATAATTGTACCAGGAATTTTTTTTATTGCTAATCAGATAATTTCCTTGTTTTCCACTTGATTAAAGCTTCTGTAAGTAGAGGATGATCTAGTTGCCTATTATATTTATTTATTTATTTAAGGATGTTTAAATATTCTATTCCCTGCAAAAGCACTTCATTTCAAATGTTTCGGTGCTCAGAACAGAATCATCGTTTTCTTGCCTAAACGAATAGCCACATTTATGTTGAAATGTGTACATCTATTTTTTTTCTCTATAAATATCGTCTCTGTTTTATGGGTCATGTCAGCTCAATTGCAATAAATTCTTATGATTATCAACTTTATTTTTTTTCAGTTTTCAATATTTTCAAAGCACATAGTACCACTTCTCTCTGATCATTCTCTGAAGAAAGGCCATGGATCTTAAATTTGAAACTGATGAATAGAAACGAGTGATCTGAAGCACTGCCAATCACTAATCTATGACAGTGTACTGGTAAGGTCGTCAGTTTGGAATTTTATCAGCTGGATTGTGTTCCTTTGGTTGATACCAGTTAATGTCATCGATGGCAAGATGATTTTGGTCCTTGTTTAAATATTTCTTTTAGCTGTTCTGAGGAAGGCTATATCTGTGATCTCTAAAGTCAGACCAGATGTGTTAAAACTTTATCTACTGTCTTTGTCAATGCAAAATAATGCTTCCGAATTCTAGTTCCCGCAGTCTCCAAACTTTGAGTGTGCTTTTGGACATTTGGACCTGTAGAGATTTATTTTTGGTGGTATTAAATGTGTAATTGGAGAATGATTCGTATTCATTTTTTTGTATGATTCATGTATTATATTGTTCGGTCCTTAAGCCTTCTCTATGTTTATATTTCTATGTACTTTCAGTGATTTTTCCAGGAAGTAAATGGCAACTGTTCGAGATATCAGTCTTGCCGCAGCTATCAATATTTTTTCAGCATTCATATTCCTTATTCTCTTTGCTATACTGAGGCTGCAGCCAATAAATGATAGAGTGTATTTTCCGAAATGGTATTTCAAAGGGATAAGAGACAGTCCAACTCAGTCAGGAGGTTTTGTAACAAAGTTTGTGAACTGTGATTTCAAGTCATATTTAAGATTTCTTAGTTGGATGCCAGAAGCTATCAAAATGCCAGAACTAGAGTTGATTGACCATGCAGGACTTGATTCCGCTGTATATATTCGGATTTATCTTCTTGGGTGAGTTGATTGTTTTCCACTTTGGACTGCTTTAATGCTGCTTTCTTTTTTCTCGCTTCTAGTTAGCTGGATATTATAGTTGCACCCTTTTTTCAATTTTCATTGATCTGAGTTACATCATGCTAGAACAGCTAATGTTAAACCATCACTTGTTATCTCTGAAATATTGTGTAGATGCATTGGTGAAGTATAGTTACCAATTTTCAGAATTTATCTCATTTTCAATCTAAGACCGATACTATGATCCTGTTGTAATGAAAATATTGGGATAATTTGTCGGTCATAAGTTATATGATTTGGGGAAAGTTCATGCATGAGAATACTATCTATGAATCAATATGTTTGAAACTTTTCTGGTGAAGCAACTAACTGTTTTTAATGTTTTTTTAGGTTGAAAATATTCGTTCCTTTTATGGTTTTCGCTTTATGCATTCTTGTACCTTTTAACTGTGGTGGTAGGTCTCTTGAGGATCTTAAAGATGTTACCTTTAGTGACATCGACAAGCTTTCAATATCAAATGTGGCACCTCGATCAGAGAGGTTTGACATACTTCACTCTATTTATTATTATTTTGCCTGATACCCTTCCTGTAGGGAAAATATTATTTTTTAAAAATAACTAAGCTCCTATATTATTTTTTTATGATTAAATCTGTAAACTGGCAGATACTTTCTTTACTAATTGTTTTGAGAAACTTGTTAGGCCTATGCTTCCATGCAAAATTTAAAGAAACATATTTTCATACATTAACTTTTTTGCTGTGAGTGTTTCTTTTGTGAACCAGTCTTAATATTTAATTATCAACTACAAATAGGGGATAAAATATTTTCTTACTATTCCATGGTTTTTGTGATGAGCTATCTGGCTTCCAGTGGTTCTTATGGTATCCATTTACTAGATAATTCGTCTGCAAGAGTACTTTTCTGAGGGTCCCCTGATTTAGGGCTTTTTCTCTAATATATGCTACCTGTATATTTTTTTACTATCCACTTCTTTTTCATTCAGTTTATTAATTTGACTTGGTGTAGAGCGATTTGTTAACATTAATGCGTTCACTTGTTTATTTTTGTCCATAAGATTACCATAAGTCATCACATTCTTGTTATGAGTGGCATGTACTAATAGGTTATAAGGGAGGCTGTTGAGTCTTGTTGATACTTCACCGTGGAATGATTTGATAGGTTCTATGTCTTTCATTAGACGCAACAGGAGATGCAATTTCATTATTGACCAGCCAAGTATGATTTGAAATTTAGGGAACTATTCCACCCTTCTGATACGATCCCCTTCTCTCCTCTTGAACAAAGAAGGGAAAATGAACAATATATTCAAATAAAATAGAGAAAAGAATGAATAGATGAGAATTAATTCGAGAGAATTCCCCACTCTCCCTTTCCTCTCGTGACCTTCTATCACGATACCCCTTTTTATTCACATAGGAGGGTATTTATATTGTTCAGCCTATTCTTATCCTAGTGTTTATTGTAGAAGCTTCTAGACTGTTCTCTTATGGCGAACATGTCTTTAGGGGTACTATATCAGCACTCCATTCAAATCCACTTTATCCTCAAGGTGGAAGTCAGGAAATTTATGTATTATCTCTGAAGCTGCTTCCCATGTTGCTTCAAATTCTAGAAGACCTGCCCATTTGATTAGGATCTTAGGTCTTGCTGTTGTAGGCCGAAGCTCTTGACAAGTCTTTGGTTCAAGTTTTCATTTGAGCTCCTATGTTAAATTTAGAGGACAGGGTTGTACACAATCTTGAAGGCTTATTGCTTTGCGTAGTTGCTGTACATGAAACATAGGGTGAATAGAAGAGTGGACCAGAAGGTTCAATCAATAGGCTAATTGGCCCACACAAAGAAGGACCTTATATAGTCCAAAATACCATGGTGCTAATTTTTCATTTGGCTTTTTGGCTAGGGATTTCATCTTGAATGGTCGAAGGTGAAGGTAGACAAAGTCCCCTTTCATAAATTGAACATCTCATCTCCTTCTATTAGCCTTCTATTTTATAATGATTTGGGCGTGCTTCAGTTGGTCTTTGATGATAGTGAACATCTGATCTTTGTCTTGTAATTGCTGATCTATTACATAAAGAGGTGAGGGTGGAATGTCATATTTGATGATGGTAGGAGGATCTCATCCATCAACCACATTGAATGGGGTTGTCTTGAGAGACGAATAGGAAACAGTGTTGTAGTAGTACTCAGTCCAATGCAACCATTGACTCCATGAATTTAGTTTATTGGATGCAAAACATCTTATGTAAGTTCCCAAGCACCTATTGATGACCTCTGACTGCCCATTGGTTTAAGGGTGGTATACAATACTCATTTTTAATTTGACACTTGAAGTGTGAATAGTTCCTTTCAAAAAGTGCTGGTAAAAAGCTCGTCACGATTTGAAATAATTAATCTTGGCATCCCATGAAGTTGTACCACTTCTTTGGAAAAGATAAGTGCAACCTCAAGAGCTGAAAACGGATGTTTTAGAGGAATAAAGTGACTATATTTGCTCAATTTGTCCACGACAATCAATACAAATTTGAAGCCCTTAGATCAAGGTAATCCCTCCAAGAAATCCGTAGTTAAGTCCTCCCAGATTCGTGCAGCCACTAGTAATGGTTGGAGTAGACCTACAAAAGCAAGTGAAGATGTCTTATGGTTTTTAGAGATATTGTGGCCATAATAGGGTGTTTGAGATTTTCTATAAATGTGTGGAAGTGTGGAATTACTTTTCTAAAAAATGATTAATGTTGGTTTTTATATATGAAGGAAAGAGAAAATTATATGCATTGGTTGCAGAAATTTAATCTTAATCTACATGCATGGAGGAATGAACAAAAATTTGTGTAATAATCATTTGTAACTTTGTCACATTCCTAGACCAATATGACAACATGGAAAACCCATTCTAGAGTTGTCTTCGTACTAGAACAAGAGACAACTCATCTGCAGTATCAACCATCATATGATATTTTGCCTTTGTACTAGAACAAGAGATGACTCACTATTTCTTAGAGTGCTAAGTGAGTACGTTGTCGCCATCATATGTGCAATAGTCAATAGTTGACTTGTGATCACCCTTGTCACCAGCAAACTCGACATCAGAGTAGGCCTCAATCTTGATATGCCATGGTGCTGATAGAGAAGCTCCTTTTTAGGAGCTCGTTTAATGTATGCAAGAATGTAGAGTGCTCCCTCCATATGCATCTCATGAGGTTCCTAAATGAATTGGTTAAGAATGTCAACTACATAAGATATGTTTGGACGAGTGATAGTGAGATAAAGTAGTTTATCGAACAAACGGCAATATTGGTGGATGTCCTCTAATTTGAGAGAATCATCCTCCCAAAACTTGAGTCGAGCCTCCATCGGTGATGAAGTAGGTTTACACCCTAATAGCCTTATCTCTTGCAGAAGGTCTAACACATTTCTTTTAGGAAAGAGTAAGTTTTCCTTGACGATAAGTAAACTCAATCCCCAAGAAATATTGTGGAGTGGAAAGATCATGGGTCACGAAGTGTCGATGAAGATATGCCTTTAAAGTAGAGATGCCAACTTGATCAAGTTAGGAGAATATCATTGACATAGATCGCAAGCATCACACACCCACCCCATGTGGATTTGCACATCACTATTAGATCAGCCATACATGAAGCAAAACTAAAAGTAATAATGAGACACGTGAACTTCTCAAATCAAGCATGAGGACTCTAGCGAAGCCCATAGATAATAGCCCACTTGAGCAAACACACTTGAGAAGTCTCTTGAGAAACATATCAAAGGTTGCTCCATGAATACTTGTTCAGCAAGATCATCATAGAGGAAGGCATTGGAAATATCTAGTTGATGGAGAGACCACGCTTGATTGACTACTAGAGAGAGAAGTACATGAATGGAGTTGAGACGAACCACGGGAGATAAGGTTTTTGTGTAATCGATGTCGTAGGCTTGGGTGAAGTTGCGAGCAATGAGACGCACTTTGTGATAAGCAGTAGAGTCATCAGGGTTGTACTTGAGGTAGTACACCCATTTGCAAGTCACAACATTGGCATTAATTGGACAAGGAACGAGTTGTTAGGTGTCGCCTTGAACCAAGGTAGAGTATTTGACATCCGTCGCCAACTTCCACTCGAGTATTTGGAGAGCCTCATGATGTGTCTTGGGTATCCTTAGATGAGACAAAGAGAGCAAAGGCTTGGAAGGGTGAAGGTGATCATAAGAAACAAAATGAGAGATGGGATGCCAAGTGCAAGAGCGAGTGCCTTTGTGAAGGCAATGGGACGATAGAGATCATCAGTTGGAGAGATAGGGATAACCAATGAGAGTGGTACCAGACTGAAAGAAGGGGATAAGGACTTGACAAAGTAGGTTAGACGACAAGGACTAGGAGGGTAGTGAAGATGCATGAGAGTCATGGACCACTAAAACAAGTGGGGATGAGGATGAAGGAGGAAAACCATGAGGTGGTGAGGAGGATGCTAGAGGAGTAGCAAAAGAAGAGAAGTACGAGATGTCTTCATGGAAGGTGACATCCGCACAAATGTGAGATATTGACGAGTGTCAAGAAGATAGACTCGATATCTTTTTGAGTGTGAGAGTAACCAATGAAGACACCTTTTAGGGCACGAGGTGTCAACTTAAAGAGAGAGAGAGAGCATGGTCATGTGCAAATGTAGTACATCTAAATACTTGGGGAGGGAAAAGAAAGTGGTTAGTTTGAGGAGAAAGTCAATGTAATGGAATCATGTCACCAAGAGTGGACAAGGGTAGGTGATTGATGAGTAAGGTGATAGTGAGGAGGGCATCAGACCAAAGATAGTGTGGGACATACATGACTACAATGAGTGTGGGAGTAATGTCAAGATGTCATTGCTTCCATTCATCGATGCCATTTTGCTGAGATGTGTAGGGGCAAGTAGTTTGATGAATGATGCCATTGTTCTTGTAGAAGCTTTGAATGGCATTTTGGATAAACTCTAGGACGTTGTCCATGTAGAGAATCTTGGGGGTAGTACAATGTGATGATCTTCGTGTTGCATTAGTGGATTATGCCGCAAACTTAAGAGTAGTATTTGAGAAGATATACCCATGTAATGCGAATATAGTCATCAACAAAAACAATATAGTATTGCAATCTTATCGGAGAAGCAACTCAAGATGGTCCCCCATCATAGTGAATGAGGTCAAATGGTCAAAAAGTAGGGATAAAATCCCGAGGTGGATATATAGAGTGATGATGTTTGTCTAGTTGACACAACTCACACACAAACTCAAAAAGAGTAAGCCATGGAAGAGATTTTTGAAGTTTTGATAAATATAGATGTCCCAAATAGTGATGCCACAAAATTAATGAATTTTGTGTGGAAGAAGCAAACAAAGCTAGAAGTCTCAAGGAAGGAGAGTCGAGAACAAGCTCATAGATGCCACTACTATTTGCACGACCCAAACCAATCCTTTGTCTAGTATGTAGGTCCTAGAAGACACAATGGTTAGGAAAGAAGATGACGACACAATGTAGTATATGAGTGATGGCATTAATTAACAAAAGATTTTTAAGAAAACCAAGAACATAAGGCTTGTTTAGGAGTGGTTGTGCCATACCCTTTGATAGGGCAAGAACGATTGTTAGGGACATAGACAAAAGGAAGATAATTGGTGGGTGTAAGAGAATGGAAAAGGTAGGGGACCCTGTCATATAGGTAGAGGCCCTTGAGTTGATAAGTTAAGAAGTACAAGAGGCGAGTAGAGTGTGTACTTGAAGTGGGTGTGTCATACGTAGAAGTGGAGGCAAGGTTGGCAGAAGAACTATGAGAGGAAGTGTGAAAGGCCTTTCATTTTGCATACTCTTTAAGAGTTATGGTCATCTGGACCATGGGAATAGATGATGCAGGTAGAGGAGCCATAGAAGGCAGGTTGCTACTGATCGCAGCTTGACCCATGTTGGCTTACCAAACTCCTTTCAACATTTCTTAGTCAAGTGATTTTGCTTACCACAATACAAGCATAGAGGGAAGGAATTCTTCTACTTAGTTGATCGTTTCCCCTTCTTGGTAGTCTTTGGAGGTATGACCTCCACTAGCTCCTATAGCAGTAAGGGTAGAGGAGTTGAGGGCTGTAGTAGTGGCATGAGCAAGAGATGTGCTGGTGTGCACATGAAGAGCTGTTGAAAAGATATGTCATCAAAGGAACTTGAGTGCCAGAGAGAACCTGACCATGGATCTAATTGGTGAGCTCCAGATGAAGATTGCTAAGAAAGGCCCCTGTGTAGAGTTTGCCACAATACGAGTGAGATTGGACAAATTTGTGGTCAGTGGTTGATAGACAAATAGCTTGGTGACGATATCCTGCAATTTGTTGAAATATGTATGGAATGATCGACTATCTTACTTACAAGTAAAGAGTGATTCATAAAGATGGATGGTGCGGTTGATGGTCTTGTTTGCATACATCATCTTGATAGTTTACCATAATAGGTGAGCTAGCTTTAGGCGACTAAGAGGCTGAATAATGGAAGGCTCAACACTTTGACAAAGTCAGGTGTTGATGACAGAGTGAAGATGCTCCCAATGAAAATAGCCTTAAGATGTGACATCAGGTGGAGGCGACTAGAGGTGATGTAGAAGTCAATGAGCATGAAGGAAGTCTTCGAATGTAGATGCCCACGAGCCATAGGCTAGGTGAGTCAATGCAGCTGTGATGGAATGTTGGGGAGGGAATGAGGCAAGAGGTGAGGTGGAAGGTATTGTCGCCAAAGACAAGGGCGAATGATGGGAGGATGACCATAGTGTATCTATCATCAAAGGAAGAGATATAACTCAACCAGATGACAAGAGGCACAAGCGGACAGCATCCAAGGAGGTAGAAGATGCATGCATAGGCCGACGCACAAGAAGCCCTAGAGATCATGGGCTGACACAAGAGAAGGCTGGATGCCCTGGGGTCAGATTGATGCACAAGAGGCCTTGGAGAGGTCAGATCGACTCATAGGTGGCCAGATCGATGCACAAGACACCCTGAGGTCAGATCCTGCTGTTGATGCCAGCCTTGGAGAGTACAGACCGGCAAGGGAGGGGCTGGATGCGTTGAGATAAGCACCCTGAGGGCCAGTGTGCTGGCGCGGAGGGCAAGAGATGTTGGTACAGACATGCCAGTGTGGAGGGTGAGAGAGGGCCAGCATGTGCTGTGGGGCGGGCTGTGTGAGAGAGAAAGCAGTGTAGATGTTGCATGGGCAGCAGCACAGAGAAACTGGTGGCTGAGGCCACCAGCAAGGGTTGTACAGGGCGGGTTGCGTGAGAGAGAGAGAGAGCACGGAGATACTGTGCAGGCAGCAGCATGGAGAAACTGGTGGCTGAGGCCACCGGTGAGTGGCTGGATGCCTTGATGAAGCTGCCAAGAATAAAAGCAGCACCAAAGATGCTGCCGGAGAAATGGCAGCGCGAGCAGTAGAGCGAGGGCAACAGATCGAGCCCCTATTTCTCTGATACCATGTGGAGAGAAAGGGTGCTGTCAACTCTTAGAATTGAGAGATTGAAAGGGAAAGGGGGATAAGTACAAGGGTGTATAGTGGGCCAAGGCCACAATCTAACACTTATCATCATATTTCATCATCATCCTTAGTACACTTCATGGGAATGCTGAGGTTTTCAGTTAATTATGTGTCTCCCTAAAAAGGCTCTTCCTCTTGATTTGAGCCCCAGATGTTAAAATTAAATGATAGTAAGTGACAGAACATGTGTGCTGAACACATTTTGCTTGATTTTTTAGCATCCCCCAAGGAAACTTTATTGAAATGTTCGGATATTTTTGTTGATTAATGATATTTTCTTCACTCATCAGGTTATTTGATAAAACTCTTAGGGAAGAGTAGTATTTCTGGATTCTAGGTTTCTTTCTAATCTCTTTCTTATCAACAGTTGGACTGTAGTTGGAACCTCAGTTACCTCTCTACAGGAAGGCCTGAGAAATCTATGTATGCCTAACTGTACCAACCTTTCAGGAAAATGGAGGATATGTCATGTGCTGGGGACTTTCAGATATTGGTTGGTAGGTGTGAGCCCATGATGTGAGCCGATTTACTAATTGGGGTTGGCTTAGCACATCCTAACAAAACTGCAATGTCTGTCTAGTGAAATGTTTGCCTAAGTCTATTGATCATGTGACATTACATGATGTACTCTTTGGCATGTGCACACAACGCAAGGAGTTGTCTTTTATTTTTCTTTTCTTTCTCAGTTTTCCTTCTTTGTCACTGTTTCTATGGCTGTTGCAGGGGCTGTGCTCGTTTCTTCTTGAATGAAACCCAAAGGCTAATTGTTTTGACCCTACGTTATGTATAAGATTAACTGCTGATGCTTTTTTCTGTTATTGATGTACAGACTTTACATTAGTGCACTTCCTTTTTTATATAGGTTTTGGGCCCATTTGGTAATGGCCTATGTTTTTTCATTCTGGACATTTTATGTTCTATACAAGGAGTATAAGGTCATAGCGTTCATGAGATTGCGTTTTCTTGCATCTGAAAGACGCCGTCCTGATCAATTTACAGTGAGCTTCCATTACTGGTTCTCAATTTTCTTCTCCATGCGTATGCTACTTTTTTTTAATTCAGTGTTAATGCAGTTTTCTTAGTGCGACTTTGCAACTTATTTTCTAGATATTTTTCAACATTAATTTTTATACTCTAGTTTTCGTGCATTTTGGTCATATACCTCTGAGGAATTAACCAGAAACAGTTGCATTATGTCAAATTTTTTTTGACATAATATACTTTTTTTCATTTCTAATCCTTTGCTGTCCATGCCTAATGGTAATCTGAAGTCTTTTTTTGTCACAATAGCTTCTAGTTTTTTTACGTTCTTTCTCAGAAAAAAGTCCATAAATACTGATCTCAGACTAATCCTCATTTGATTTCGTTTCATTTTGACATCTTTACTAATCATGGTGTGAGACGAATGAACAGAACAAATTCGTACGGTACTTTTACGCAAGGGTGAAAAAAAAAAACTAACAAAGATGAAGGAGGTGATTATTGCGCTAGAAATGAGGGAAACACAGTAGAAATAAGGCAGCTGTCTTACATTCTGACTCAATAACGGTTTCCTATAGTTGTACACGCCCCCCTTTTTTCTCTCTCCACCTTCTTGTGTTGTCCCCGGAACTGTCATCAACACAGGACAGAGCTAACAAGAATAGATTTGCTGTGTCCACTGTTGTCAGTCACGAGATCAAAGATCAATTGTCTTTCAAAAAGGCTATGTTTTCATTACCCTCAGAGTTGGAGAGGCTTGAGGTCACTGAAAATGGTACAGATGCCCGAGAAATTCTAGAACGCTCTTAGCTCTTGTCCCATGCAGAATAAAGGGGCTTTTTTGTATTAGTTTCTCTAGCACCCTCGCAGTTCATTTATACTGGGAGCGAGAGGTTGGTACATCATTAGATTCAAGATGAGCCTGTTAAGATCGTGCTATAAATGCTACTGCATTTACTAAGTACATCAATGGATTTAATGCAACATGAGAACGAATGATATTAAAGCATTAGATATTCGGCTTAAAGTCAAAGAAAATAGATGATGATAACGACCATTCATTTATATATATATATATAGATATTAAAATAGGACAGAAAAATGTCAATGTCTCAGAAGAATACCTAGGGTTTGATGTTTCTTTTAGATCTAAGACACCCTATTTATCCACAATCAAACGAAAATGAGAGAAATATTCTAGTGAATCATACTAAGGTTTGGTATATATATAGATATATTACAATAGGACAAAAAATTAAATGTCTCAGAAGAATACCTAGGGTTTGATGTTTCTTTTAGATCTAAGATACCCTATCTATCCACAATCAGAGGAAAATGAGAGAAATAATCTAGTGAATCACACTAGGTTTGTTATTGAATGCTTGAATTCACAATTATTTACTAGTATTATCCCAGCCCATCTAGATGAGTGTATGCGAGTCTTTCTCTTTTTTATAACAATTAGTATATTTTATTTATTTGATACTTGGGCCGTAAAAACCTGATAATATCTGAAGAAACGATGATTCCAGAGCTTTGATTTTTATTTGAGCTACTGAGTTCAGTTTTCTATGCATTATTTGCTGATCATTTCATTCCCTCCTTGCTTGATTCAGGTACTTGTGAGAAATGTTCCTCCAGACACGGATGAAACAATCAATGAGCATCTGGAGCACTTTTTCTGTGTGAACCACCCTGATCATTATCTCACGCATCAGGTATTGAATATTTTATTTTGAACTTATTTCAACAGGAAATAAGCAAACCACAAACAATTTACAACTCTAGAACAATGAATGTATATAATAACTTTCTTTGTTCCAGTATCAGTGCCTTGTTGGAGGTTAGAGGTATCATTTCATCACTGTTTAACTTAAATAGTGATCATCACTTTCCTTTTATCAGGTTATCCTGCCCTAAACAATGGGAGATTTTTGTAATTCGATTTTATTGTGCTACATCCATATGACGCAAAAGGAATGCTCATTTAATTTTATTCATAAATTAGTCCTTGTCTTCTCTTAAATAGGATGCTTCTGACAGTGCAAGTAATCAACTATCTTAAGTCTTTAGCACTCATGCCCTCATGCAAAGTCGACATGCGATTTAAGAGATGCAGTCTCTCCCCTTACTCTGTCAGAAAAAGAGTAGTATTGGCTGAAAATGTTAAACCTGAATTCACTGTTACTAGATTATAGCCCCCCTTATCTGTCAATATGTGTGCTCTTCCATGCTTTACGATAACCTGGGTTTCATAATATTAAGGATCTGTTCAATTTTATTAAACCAACTTAACAGTTGTTAATATTACCAGCGACTAAGGTACTTTATTGGCTGGCAGTCTGCTTTCCAAGATTCCTTTCATTTTCATTTCTCATTTGATCTGCCTCCCTTACTGTACATATTTCTGTTGCGTGAGGGGTGCGCCTCCAAGCTTAAAATATGCACATGCAGGCTCGGAAATGAACACTTTTCCGTATCACCACCGTATGCCATAGTCTAAAGTGCCAAATGTGAAATTCCTCCTTTGTTTAAATATTTATTCCTGCCTTGATTTCTTTTTAATGCCATATTGATTTTGATCTGCACTTTTTTTTCATTCAGGTTGTGTATAATGCTAATTACCTTTCTAAGTTAGTGGAGAAAAAGAAAAAAATACAGAACTGGCTCGACTACTATGAAATAAAATATTCAAAGAATTCTGGTAAACGACCCTCAACCAAGGTAACAATACCTTCATATATGAGCTTTAATCTTGCATTTGTTTATTCTGTTTCTGTAATGTTTCCATGGTTTTGATCCTTCTATATTTTTTTCAAAGAAATTTTGACTGTTATGGTTGTGGTCTACGCTTTATTATGTTTTAGGTTTTTTAGTAAAATAACATTTAAGATGTTATTTAATATATCTTTTTGTTTATAGACAGGCTTTTTAGGTCTTTGCGGGAAAAGAGTGGATGCTCTTGAATACTACACTCAAAAAGTTGTGAAGTTATCTGAAGAAGTAATTTTTTGGAGCCATTTAGCTATCTCATTTTGTTAACCCTTATATTTTGATTCTTTAGGCAGGATCTCAGTGACATTTTCTTTACCATTGTTACATTACCTCTAACTTTACAAAACGATGATGATTGTCTGATCTGTTTTAGTAACATTACCACAAAGAGGTAAATTTTATGCCAACAAATATGGCTCGGCATTTGTTGCCATGTCATATGAACTTTATTCTCATGGGATCTTGCTAAATGTTCAAATCAGTCACTAATGAATTCGTATTAGATCGACATTTCTTGGGTCTCTGAAATGAATTCGTATTAGACTTACTTTTATAAAAATTGAGCGTCATGCTAATTAGTTTTCTCATTTAGGTATTGATGCAATGTGGAACGTGTATCAATTCTTAATTTTAAAAATTCTGCCTTTCTTAATTATTTTTTTATTTTTAAGCTTAAATCGTTAATTAGGTTTTCACGAAAATGTATTTTTGAAAAGTTAGGTGGATCATATAATATTTAGATCTATATTTTGAATCCAAAAAATTCAATCCATGAAAGATATGTCGAAATTTAGATGATTTCTCATTTTTCCTCTTTTCTATTGAAAGAAAGTATCTGGATTCAATGCCTATAAGTTTTTCAAAAATACAGATTTCTATTTAAATGTTTCTCCTCATTTTGACTTGGTTTGGTAAAAACGGTGTGTGTTCATTTTGCGCAGTAGTTTCAACAGTATAGATTTTATAATAGGTTGACTTACTTTGACTGTAGATGAATTTTGAGAGGGCTTTTCTAGATATTTAATGTTTACTGCTAAATGAGCTCCCCCCGTCAGCAAACACAAACCAAACTCTTCATATGGCTTGAACTGCCTTGATTAGTATTGTAGTGGCCAATATGTTACGACACAATTCACATGCAGGATAGATCGATTTGGTTTTGTAGTCCGCCTGATTAACGAAAAGAGTTATTGCTTAAAAGAAGATTTCATCTTTTGTCCTTCCCTAGCATTCATGCCACATGACGTTTGTCAATAGAAAGTTATGTCTGTTTCCAAATGAATGGCTTCATCGTCTTCCATTTAATCGTGTTATGAAGAATTATATTCAGACTTAGAGCCCTTTGATTAAAAACCTTTCTTGCCTCTCTACCCTCATATTTCCATCAGAAAAAAACTAAGAGCCAATATTTGTGCAGGAAGCTAATGAAAGAGAACGAGTTATCAATGATCCAAAGGCTATAATGCCTGTTGCATTTGTTTCTTTCAAAACCCGCTGGGGTGCTGCTGTTTGTGCTCAAACACAGCAGTCAAGTAATCCAACATTGTGGCTAACAGAGTGGGCTCCAGAACCTTGTGATGTGTATTGGCCTAATCTTGCAATTCCATATGTAAAGCTCACAATCCGGAGGTTGATTATGGCTGTAGCATTGTTCTTCCTTACGTTCTTTTTTATGATTCCTATTGCATTTGTTCAGTCTCTTGCAAGCCTTGAGGGCATTGAGAGGGTCGTGCCATTTCTCAGTCCCATAATGGAGATGTAAGCGTTTTTTGATTCCTTTTAATCTACTATGGATTTAATTTATCCAGGAACTAGTTAGTTTCAAGTTTATGCTTGCTATTTCAAATATTCAAAATATTTTCCTGCTGCAGAAAGGTCATCAAGTCCTTCATTCAAGGTTTCCTCCCTGGGATTGCATTGAAGATTTTCCTTATTCTACTCCCAAAAATACTTATGACAATGTCCAAGATAGAAGGCTTCGTTTCACTGTCTACATTGGAGAGGAGATCTGCTGCAAAATATTACCTTTTCATCTTGGTGAATGTATTTCTAGGGAGCATCATAACAGGAACAGCTTTTGAACAGCTTAACAGTTTGATCAAACAATCTGCCAGCAAGTATGTTTCCTTAATATGTATTGAAAGTTCCCTTTTTCTTGCTTGACGACCTACATTGGTGATATGTGATATCATCAATGCACATTAATACATTTTTAGACATGGCTTGCTCTTCCTTTTTAGTGACGAATGGCCTACTGATGATTTAGTGGGATGAGATAATCTTTTTTTTCCACTGCTGTCCATTTTGGGGTTCTTGTTGAAGATTGTTATTGATAGGTATGGTGAACCTGGTGTCCCTTTCATCTTGCATTTTTGTGACTAAATTCGACGGACCCTGGATCATAATCTGTGGGATTTGAATTCCGTTATCTTTAAAAAATAACGAACTCCATATTCTCGGTGAAAAATCATGGTTTGTTTTCTAATTTCTGTCCCATTTATTCACTTTTTCGTGATTGTGAGTAAAAAACAACCTCAAATCTGTACCCTATCCTATCAAAGACTCTCTGGAGACACAATATTGACCACATTTATAATCCTCTTTGCAGCATTCCAATCACAGTCGGTGTGGCTATCCCTTTGAAAGCAACATTTTTCATTACCTATATAATGGTTGATGGTTGGTCTGGGGTTGCTGCAGAAATTCTTCGGGTGAAACCTCTTATTATGTACCATTTAAGGAACACATTTATAGTGAAAACTGAACAAGACAGGCAGCAAGCAATGGATCCTGGTAGCCTGGAATTTGCTTCATCTGAACCTCGAATACAGTTTTATTTCTTGCTCGGTCTTGTTTACTCAGTGGTGACACCGATTCTTCTCCCTTTCATTGTCATCTTCTTTGGTTTTGCTTATGTCGTCTTCCGCCATCAGGTATGGCTACCTCTTTTATTACACCTCTCTTTCCTCATTTTGCATCCCCTTCTCTATGAAAATCCTTCTAGAACCATAGAATTATTTTTTTTATTTTTATTTTGATGGCCATTAAAAATTCCTTGATGGCCCTTGTCGCAACAGAAATTTTCCTTTATATTCCTGTTAATAATTTTTGTGTGAAATATGCGACACTTATTACACTCGTGGACATCTTTATTTTTTATTTTTGGACATTTATTTATTTATTTATTGCGACTAAACAGTGTTTTTTTTTCCAATGGTTTTTAAGATTTACGTTTACCTTTTCTAGATCATAAATGTCTACCACCAGCAATATGAGAGCGGTGCTGCATTCTGGCCAGATGTGCATAGACGTATACTATATGCTATGATAATTTCCCAGATCTTACTGATGGGACTAATGACCTCAAAAAAAGCTTCTGATTCTACTCCATTACTCCTAGTTCTTCCCATATTGACCGTCTGGTTCCATGTTCTATGCAAAACTCGGTTTGAACCAGCATTTGTGAAGTTTCCATTGCAGGTGTGTGATAATATTAGCAAATGTATTGTCTAATTTTTATCCGAGTTTTCTGCTGCTTACTGACAATACAGTTCCATATAGTTTCAAGAAATAACATGGGTAAAGTTAGCATTTCTACTCTCTAGCCACCCTTGCCTAGCTGCAATTGCTGTGAAAAAAAACCCAAGTGGAGGTTCATGAAGCTACAATTACAGTTGTGTTGATTTGCTTAACTATAGGCCGACTCTTGACTAATTATTCGCATCCAATTTTCTGCTGCTGTTGTTAGAGGAAAGTCTCGATTCATATTTTAAATTCTTTCTTATTTTATCCGCCCCCCCCAATCTTGTAGAAAATGAGCTGATATTCGTACACTCTCCTATTAATTTATAACAGGATGCAATGGTCAGGGACACTTTAGAGCGCGCTACAGACCCTGCTTTCAATTTGAAAGCCTATCTCCATGAGGCATACATCCACCCCGTTTTTAAGAATGACAACATCGAGCAGCCTGCTGCCATGGATGAGGAGGAGAGCAATCCTCTTGTAAGAACAAGGAGGAGCTCTCATAATACTGCTTCTGGACCCGTGAAACATGGGTTTGAATTTGGCTCTTAGACCCACCTGTTGACATAAGACGGTATAGAGTTGATGTTTTCTGATTTGTGGGTCATCCCTCTTGGCCTTTTTTTGGGAATGGTTCGTCAACGTCCGGATCCATTCAGGGCGGATTCAACTTTTTACGATAAATGCTCTTCACTAAGAGTTTATTAATGTCAGTGACAGGAAATACTTAATGGATTTACTTCATGGTAATATCTTGCCGGGGGATTCTTAGGAATGACTAACTAGCTACCATGTTGCATGCATCAGATTTATTGTAATTATGAAACAGTAATGTGGCCCCCCAAAATACGGTTTAATTTTTGATCAGACAGATGTGGCCCAAAGGTAGTAAGATTGCTTCTTCGTAGGAGCTTCAAAGACATCACCAATGATATCAACATCCTCCTAGACCCTCCATAATGATCTCAGTATATAGTGAAGGAATTTTGCATCTTACACTCTCCTTAAAGTTCTGTGAGCTTGCGACCAGGGCTATGTGCTTGGTTTAGTGGAAACCTAAATCACGTAATAATCTTCTTGATCCTCCTAGTGGATTTTGCTAATGGCAAGTCATTAGTAAAGTTGGGTTGGGTTCATTTTAGTCATTAGTAAAGTTGGGTTGGGTTCACGTAATTATTTTTGTGAATCAATTATCAGAAGACAACTTTTCAAGCACCTTTCAGCTACCTATTTAATTAGTACTGTATTAGAAATAAACCCTAGAAACAATTTGAAGTTTTGACAATCAAAAAACAGAAATTAGTTCATGTATAATAATTTCTTGACAAAAAATGATGTCATGTCTGAGTCACATTATAAAGCATTGCACTATTAGGATACCTAAGTCATTACAAATAATTTATGAAATAGTATGTCTAATAAATAATAGATATTATGAAGTATAGTTATACTTGACATTGGTTTATATTGAAAGCATTGTGAGTAAATAAATGTTATGAAGTATAACATTTTAAGCATTGTGACGCATAATAGATTAGAAATTAATCTATTTTTAAAATAAATATTTAACTGAAAGTTATTTGACAATGACTTAAAATTTAAGTTGTGAGTAAATTCCCCATTTAGTGGTGATATCATAATGAATAAGGATATCTGTAATGATTGATTCTAATAAGGAAGTTGGACATAAATTTTTTGAAAGGAAAAAGGTATCTACACCAGTAAATTTATTTGTCTTACTAAAGAGCCAATCAAATAAACTAACCTTTTAAAAATAAGAAGCACTTAAAAACAACCAACTAATAATATACTTTTAAAAAATCAATCTTTCACTAATTCATATCATAAACATGTTGATTATGCGATATAAATTCTAGTCACGACCAAGTGATTTAAAACATGATTTGACATGGCTATGTATCATGTTTTGAAAGTAATATATGAGGTGAATTTCAAAAGCCAATTGACTAATGATAATTGGTTTCCCTAAGAATCAATGCATGCTTCATTTGTTGAATTTAATGTTCAACTACTATATCGTTTATTATTATGTGTTTAGTAATTGTTTCATTTGTTGGAATGCACATGGTACATTAATGAGTTTCATATATTAGCAATGCATGTTTAGCAATAATGAAGTGGGAGCCAATTTCTTTACTACACGATACAATTTTACATATTAGCTAGTAAATTTTAACCTTGTCTTAAACATTAATGAGTCTTTTGGAAAGACAAAAAATTTAAAGTTGGAATTTTCTGGTTCTAACTTATATAGTGTAATTTTATTTCACATAAAATAGAGGTAAAAATTCAAAGCCTAAATTAAAAATGAAGTACATCTCTAATGAACACTAATTATTTGTTAGGATACCTAAAATATATGATGGGTACAACTGTGTAATACATATTGCATCAAAGTTGGAGATAAAATTCACAAAAGCCTCTCCATTTGGTGATATGATCTAATTTAATTTACTTTTTAATTTTTTAGCAGGAAGAGACCATCTCATTGTAAGATAGTTTTAATAGCTATAGGTTTGATTAGAGAAAGAGAACAATGTAAAGACATTTTAGTCTTCCATGTACAAGATGATTAACTTTGGCAAGATCCATTCATTAAACTTCTCCATTCTACTTAAATGATTGATATTGCATGGTTCAATCAAGTTTATGCATGGAAATGTCATGAATTGAAGAAATATTTAGAGTCAAGGAGATAATTTATATTCTATGGACGATCATTATGTACAATGTCATGTTCAAACATATATCTTGTTACTAGACACATAATATTATGAGGTATGTAGTGTTTAATAACTTAGTATCATCAGTGAATGGAAACCTTTATTTTAAGAAACTATTAGTTCATGCTTAAATTTTCAATTCAGATAAGGATTTATTTGTAACAACATATAAGTAGAAGAATAATTCTGGAAGATGTGAAATATTTAATTATTTACATTTAAAATGTGTCATCATCAACTATTAAAATCCTTGTGAGAATTTCAACACGAATGTGTTACACTTAAAAAGATTTATTGGAATGGTTATCCTTTCAAATGACTTGATACACTAATAGAAAATATTATATGTAGAAACTTTAGAAAAATATATTCAAGTTTAACATTTATGTTCCTTGAAGATAAAGTCATAAATTCTTGTAATCTCAAAAAAAAGTATACAACAGTTGGCTTTCCTTGTGAATGAAGCAATAACTTCTTGAAATCTATAAAAAAAAAAACAACACTTGGCTGTGATCTTAAATTATAACCTCATAGCCAAATATTGACCTTTAGAAGAATAGTCAAAGTACTATAGATGGGCACTTGTAGTTTAGCCATGTATCATACCTTAAGAAATCCTATTTTAGAATGAGGTGCACATGTGCCAATGAAATATTTATTCATTATAAAATCTCATGTACTATGTCAAGTTTATTGATGTTCTTGATTTTAATGATTACAAGTAAAATTTTATTAAATAGTTAATATATCACATTTTAAATAGATAAAGTGAGTTTTGATTTAAATACCTAATTTATGGGAATTAAATTTTCAATATATTCAATGGACTAATCATATTAAATATAATTAAATATAATGAAATATTTTTTCTAATTATTATGATTTCAGCTCAACAATTACATATAAGTTTTTCAGCTTTGAGATTAAGTTGGTTTTATATCTTAAAAATAGTTGAAAATAAGTTGAAAAAATATCTACAAATGAAAGTTTAAGTACATGCTATATAGGGTCATATTGTGTGAACATGTTATAAATGTGTTTCCATATTTGTGAAAGCAAAATATTTTTCCCATATTATATTCCTAATGATTTAATTATTGTGATATAATATTTATTTATCTATATTATTTCTACTTGATAAGTACACAAACTTTCTTAGCTATTACATCTTTCAAATTAAAAAGAAAATAAATAATAGATGAAATATTTATTTTTGGAAAGTTTATCTTGATGGTGACACATTAGACAAGTATATAGACAAAAAATGAATTAAATGTGATGATCTGGAGGAAATGTAGATAACAAGTCATTCATCATCAAGTGAGAATGTTCTGACTCAAATCTGAATTCAAATCACTAAAAGAGTAAAGATAAAAGAAGATTGGAAGGTCAAAATATGGGAACTGCATACTCCAAAAAATACCAAGAATTTGAATGACCAGAAGAACTAAAAAAAATAAAAATTAGTACATGACAAAGGGTTGTATATCAAAACAAGAGTTCTAGTCTAAAATATTAAAAAATGCCTAGAGATTCAATGCTTTGCATCAAGATCTTCACATTGATGCATCAATGATGAACAAATAATAATAACATTATTTATCAACTTAATTTGTCATTCAAACAACTTAACTAATATAATCATGGTTCTTCATTAGGTTCTAAGGTAATTGAGTTATAAAAAAAATGAATTTAATGAAGTCAAGTAGTGCTTGTAGTCAAATTTTACTTGAGGAATTGATGTCTTTACGAAGATGAACTTGAGTGTTTTAAGTTAATGATCTTATTAAATCATTATTCATTATTGAGGGGAATAATGAATACTTGAGGATACTTTATTTTTAAGACTAAAAATACTTGAATTAGGTATTAACTAGTATACAAAAATTTCATTGGTGAAAGAGTGATGAGAGGTCATACTACTATGCACAACCTTTTGCTTATGTGTTGACATACACATCTCATCTACTAATACACATACCACATTTGTCAACATATAAACCAGCATATATAAGAAATTAATGGAACTAAAAAATTATTATTATTTATAAAAAACTCTAATTCACCCCTCTTCTTCGTGCTTCAACTAGTCATATAATTATACTAATATTTTATGCTAACACTATTTATCAAGTCAAACTAGATGCTAATATATTGATTCAATGGGGCATCACAAAGTAAGCAGAATTGATTATGAAACTACATTCTTAGTACAAAATTATTTTTTAAGACTTAAAAGTCCATCAACTATTATATAAAATACATTATTAGTCATTTCACTCATCTCTACACAAATCCTCTAATACAAAAATATCACTAATGACCAATTAAGTTTTTATTAAAACAAAATGAGAAAAGTAAAGCCTAAAGTAAAAATATATGATTATGGTAGGAAATCTAGTGTTCATTGAGATTAATGAGGAGAAGGTTTATCTTATAAAGCCCATAGCTAATGATATTGTGATGATTGGTAAGATCTTTTAGTAAGCCATTTACACCTCCGATGTTGTGAACTTTGCATGGATCTTAGAGGGTGATGACAAGTTTAAATGAGGTCAACAGTTGTGGGATCTGGGCTTAATGATATGTAACAGAGAGATGGCCATTGCTCAGTCCACTTTGACTAATCAAAGTGTTGTTAGCTCTCACAACGACGATATCAAGGGATTGCAATATTTTCAGGATTTTACCCTTATGATTGATTAAAATAACATAATCTCCCTTTGATTAAAGTAATTGGCTAAGGCTACTTATGTTAGTTCCGAATATGTTTGATCCTCAAAATATTGAGGGGAGTGGAACGCTAATTCTCTTACAGACTGGGTGAAAAATTAAAGGTCTCAGGCGGATGTGCATCCTAGAGAGAGAAACAAAGGGTCCATGGTTTTTCGGTTTCCACTGTTCTTGGACCCCACCGTGTCGGAATTGCCTTGCTCATGATAAACGTATACACATCGAAACGTACGAAGAAACGCGGAAGGGGCGGGGGGAGGAGAGGGCAGAGAGATAGAGAGAGAGAGAGAGAGGGGATATGAATTCTCGGCTCCTCCGACTCACCTCATCGTTAGGCCTGCCTTTCTCACGCATTCAGTGCATCTAGAAGGGGTGTTTTCTGGGAGGCCGAACGCAAGAACCGTCTCTCTCTCTCTCTCTGGGGTTCTCTCTCCCTCTCTCTCTCTCTGCAGCCCTATCTGTCGCAGGCGTCTTCCGTCCCGGCCGCCGCATCAATGCCTTCGGGCCTCCGACGCTTTTCGCCCAAGTTCCTCGGAGCCCTCTGGCCGGCGGAAGCTTCTGTTTTTTTCGGCGAAGAGAAGAAGACGAGAGATCGACTGGGGTCCAACGGCCGTTCCGTCTCGCCCAAGTGAGGGGGACTCTGTGGCGCGGGGGAGGGGCCGCCCTTCGCTTCTATCCCCCAGATGGCACCTGGCCGGCGTAAAGGAAGGGCCACCGCGGTGGCGGCTGCCGCTCAGCAGCAGTGGAAGGTCGGCGATCTCGTCCTGGCCAAGGTGAAGGGGTTCCCGCCCTGGCCGGCCATGGTATGTCCACTAAAGCCTTAATTCTGTAATCCCCCCTCTCCTCTCCGCAAAAAAGAAAAAGAAAAAAAACTTTTGGAGTTGTGCTTGTTGATTGCATCTGGTACTCTGGTGCGTTGGCCGTGTTTGCAAAGCACAAATCTTCCACAAACTTTGGGTGGGTTCTTAGGACTCTGTTTTCTCTTTCTGTAGGTCATCGATCTTCATGGATGCATGCTTATTTTGCCGAGATAAATTTTGATTCTAATATTTACCATCAAGGGTTTCAGAAAATTAATCATAGAGACTGTCCTCACACATGAAATTATTGTCACTTTTCTTGTTTTAGCATTTGCTTAATCCCTTGGTTTGTAAAAGGCAACGTTGCAAAAATAATTACCCACGTCTTTCATGAAAACCTAGGAAAATTAAATGTAGTATGTTACTCTATTTTTCGCTCGTTTGCTTACTGAACTTGATCTGATAATTTCCCTTTCCTACTGGAAATATCAATAGGGTTTTGGCTAGAGTCTTTTGCCATTCAGATTTGCGTGACTATTGACTTTTCCTTTTTAATTGCAGATAAGTGAGCCCCAAAAGTGGGGTTATTCATCTGACAGGAAAAAATTGTTTGTGTACTTTTTTGGTACGAAGCAAATGTGAGTAGCAGCTTTCATCATTATTTTCAATACTTTTTTAAGGTTTCCATGTGCTTAGCTGTAGCCTTTAAGGTCTTTTCATTCTATGTTTCGAGTTTTGGTTTTAAAAAAATGAAGATTAAATTATAACTAAAATCTATTTTTTGAATAACTTTAAAGTTAATTTTCATTCTTTTAGCCGACTTGTAAGATTATGACCATATGCTTTTTCTAATCAATTAACATTCACCTTCCTTCCATGAAAAATGAAGGATGGGATAATGAACACGTTTTTGTAGGTCTGTTAGTACGATGTAAATTCTCTTAAGTTTACTTGAGTATTAGACTGAGATTATTCTGGTCACAGTGTCTAGAAAATGAGCTTGAAGATGGACCTCTATGAAGGTTGGTGTACGTAGATGCGTTTGTACTGTTAAATGGCTTACATAAATGAGCTTAACATTTTATATATTTACTAGTTTTCCCGATTAGCTGAAACCGGATAGAAGATGGCTTTTGATGGAAAGTAGTACCAAATGATAAAATTAGAGATGTTCTATCAAGGTCTGGGTTCTTCATGTTGCTGCTGTGATATACTGTGGAATTCCTTCTAATGATATATTGATCCTTAAATTATGGTGGCAGTTATTTTATTTTATTTTTTTTTGTATACAACCGTTGATCATAGTTTATTCGATCTTCCTGCACTATTGGAATTGTTTTTAGAGAAGTTTGACTGTCAACAGAAAACAACCTATACTGTGCAGGCAGTTGTTTCAAATCAGTTCATCATTCGCCAGGCCATATGATAGGATTTACCAATTTTACTTTTTCCCTTTCACATTTGTCAATACACCGTAGTATTACATTTTTTGCAGAAATATTTGTTTTGGATACGGACATGCTTATGCATTTTATTGTATCCATTACTTTAGTTATGACAATATGGTATTGAAGGCGCATGATATCTATGAGTATGTTCTGTATTTTGTATTAAAATGTTCTCATAAAAAATAATGCTCGAGGGTACAAGGAAAGACCATTATCCTGAATTTCACAATCGCCCAAAATTTGAAATGTAAATGTCCTAGATTCGTTGTACTGCAACCTTTTGTGGATGTTATGGTTGAGCTTATCATATATCTGTTAAGAGTCAATGGCCGAGTGAAAAGTTTGAATTCGAGTATGCCAGTAGAATTTCTCTGTGATATAATTTTTTGAGTTTGATTAAGTCGTCACATATCCTTCGTTATCAATATTGAAAGCAAAAGTGGGAAGTGAATCTGACATGAAAATTGAGAAGTGACCTTCAGACTACTTGGAAGCAAGAAATGAGAACATTGGACATTTGGCATGTTTCCAACATTCTCTCCTGTATCGTTTATGCTCTTTTAGGGCAGATCCGCCTCTATTTGACTGCATGATCTTAAAATTCTTAGTTTTATTTCATTGTGATGGTAGCTGTTGGTGGCATCTGCACTGTTGACACGTAGGTTTTTAAAGGTTCTTCTCTGTATTTTTAATATTGGTTACATCAAAAAATTTCTTCATTGCTCGGAAATTTTCATATGTTTACCAAATGAATCAAATTCATTTCATTGTAGAAGGGTTTTGAAAGTTTGCCTCCCCACCATGTGGCCTCTACCAAGAGTAAGACAAGCATTTACAAATGCCTATTTTAATTAGAGGTTAAACTCATACTGTGCATATAATACTCTGTAAATTCAATAAATTAGATTGTGCGAAAATACTGTGTAAATTAATCATATTAAAATCAAGGTGTTAATGCAATCAAATTTTTAGTTAGATAACGGGTTGGCTTGAAGATCAGTTACACTTGGATGGAATTTTTCCAATGTAACGGAATAAATATTAACCCTTGTTCATAGATAATCTGCTGAAATGTGGATGGAGTCAGTTAACATAACTTACAGTTAATTTGCTTTAAAAGCTCTTTCCAATTCCTATTTGTATCTTGAACGGTTATCTAAACTATGAGATCATGCATGGTTAATCTTAGTCCTCTTCATTCTCCAATCGATGTTATCAAGGAATGTACTATGGTGGGTGTGGGTGTTCGATGATTAATGAAGGCATACTCTCTAAAATCACCTTTGTGTAAAATGGGCACTTGGACAGTTTGACATATGACCGTAATGCTTGGAATCTCATCAGATTGTCGGATCTAGGTTAACTTAGCTGTTGGTGGCTGATTTATTCAGGTTTTGGATTTCATTGAGGGATCAAAGCCTTCTTAGACCCAGTTAGTTCAATCATTTGTTTGAGCTTGATAAAATCCAATAGGCCAATGGTGTCTCATTCATCCAGGATTGGAATTGTATTGTGCAATCCAGGCCTTCATACATTCTGTCCTGCTTGCGATTTGGACCAGCTGGATCGGGTCTGATGGTCAAATTTTTGCCTATCCATCTACAATTATTGATTCCAGGGATTCAGCTATTAATCCTCATATCAGCCTGATCGGGGAGCTTATCTTTAATGTTTTTAAAAACTCTCTTTTTTCTTTTCTAATCTGTTGATTTGGGGGGAGCCTCATTATCAGTACCGTACTCATGGCTCCCAAAATATGCATATAATAGCTCCAATTATTGCTCAGCATTGAACTCCAGTTAATTCTTTATATCCTTTTATGAAAGAGTTTTTTCTTATCCACATGAAATGTTGGCGGGTGTAGTTAAAGTGGTCAGGATTATTCTGTGATAAGCACAGGTCAATCATAACCTAAATGACTAAAATTTAGATGTCAAATTGTCAATGTTGGGTTTATTACAGTCTGATCCCTTATTCAACGATGTATGAACTTAAATTTATTACGTGGATATCTTGTCTATTTGATGTGAAAACTCAGATGCTTAATTAGTATATATTATCAATAATCAAATGTTGATTTTCCTTTCACATAATGGAAATCTTTTACGATGAAAACACAATTTGTATGTCAAATAATGTAATATGCGTTGGCAAACGTGCATGAACTTTATATCAATTATCAGTTTATTTTGCTATTTTAGTTCTCTTCGTTTATCAGGCAACAAAAGTAGTGTTTGTCTCGTACATGCATAAAATTTTCTAGCAAAGTCGCATTTACTTTAGGCCGACCAAAATCGCTTTAAGGGTTGATACAGTTTAGATCAAGGAGCTTAAGTTTAACCAATACATTGGTGGACTGCGTTATTTTGCTGTCGTCAAGGTGAGATGGGCTTTTGGTGTATTGTCTGAGTATAGTTTGAATAATTTTAAAGGGTAAAACAATCATCAAATATGAGAAATGTTGAAGTCGGATCATAGTAATCTACTTAGAATTTTGAGAAATGTCATGGCTTATCACAAGTTTAGCACTCATATAAACCAAATATTCTTTAAACGTCTAGACCTGAATCCTGTAGGCCATGTCTCTGTGGAAGGATTCTCTTCTGACTAGATCTTGTAATTTTTTTCAAATGGAGGTATTTTAGGTTTTTTGTAATCATTTGTGTAAAAAGAGGTGAAGACCTAGGAGGGGATGGCATGGTTTTGATTTTTTGGTTTTTTTCTTTAAAGGATTGATTGTCTGATCTTTGTTCATTCTACATCTTAGCTAAAGTTTGACAAAAGTTGGTTGACAGTGAGCAGTGTTATACTGAATCGTAAAACCTCAAGCCGGTTAAGCCTGATACCATCTTATTCAACTGATTCCTTTGTCCTTGATGTTTCATTACTGAGCAGAGAAAAAGGGAAAGGAAATGGAATATGCTGTCATAGAAGTAGACCAGTGAAACGCTGGCAAAAAAGAAGCTTGTTAAAAGTGTAATATTAAAGTTTATCGTTAACTTATGCCCTCCAACAGGCATGAAGTTACTATGCCCTACCTGAACAAGATACTTCTTTCTGATTGTGGGTTTCAAATTTGTTGTTCGAGGATCATGAGTGATGATGTTCGAGGCTTTTGTACATTGCGCTTGTACTCTGTAACTTAGAATGAAAGTGCCATCTCTGATCTTTGCATTCAATCAAATCTGTGTGGGTTGTGTTTCTCATTTTTCCTTTCTGGGGAAGGGGTTTTCGTGGCTATTCTGAGGGTTTTGTTTATCATTCGTAGCAAAACTGTCTTTTAACTTCCAACTTTACATGGGTTTTAGGCCATCCACTCCTATAGAAGTGGAAAGGAGAGGTATTCTACGAGAGATCCCTTGGTTTATTTCTTTCTGAATGGTTCTTATTTACTATTTTGGTTTTTTTCCATCTAATCACTTGTTATACATTCAAAATGCATGTGTACATGAAAGGTCAGTGGGCGATGCAAAACTTTCCTTCCATTGTGGTCCATTGAAAAGCAATGTCCAGCACAGACGATCAATGATAACCACCTCCATGGACTGGCGTTTTCTCCCTTGCTGAGTTTCCTACAGTTTTAAGGGATGACACGGAGAATATGTTCCAGTTATATGGGCCATATTTGGGTCATGAGGGAAAGTTTGACCAGAGAAAAACACATGATGGTTTTACATTATGAGCCAGCGTTTTCCCTCCTTTTATGGAACCAGTGGACTGCAAAACACTGATTTTGATCATTGTGATATGACCGTCATGTTTATAGATATAATGTTCAGTATGGCTTGGTGACTATAAAGTGGAAGTCAACCATTTATGATTTCCAGGGGGAATCTAAATGTTTCTACAATGTATCATAGGAGTGACCGCCCCCTTGGAGGAGCAAGATAGAAACCAATTCATATAACAGTCATGCAAAGAGCACCCTTTGGAGGAGAAGATAGAAACCAAAAACCCTAACCTGCATGTGAGACACGAAGAACAATTGTGAACTTCGTAGACGCTACGTTGATTTATTTTTTTGCAATGATACCTGTGATGTAGTTTGTTAAAATTCGTCATGCACTCCTTTTTCTCTTTATAGTATTGTTAATACCTTCAGATTTGGAGTCGAAGGTAGGTATACAATCTGTTTTTTATCATATTCGATGCCTAATTTTTTTTCATTATTCATCACATTTTGTGCTCATATTTGGATTTCGTTTCTCAGTGCTTTCTGCAACCATGCTGATGTTGAAGCATTTACAGAAGAGAAGAAAAAATCCCTTCTTGTAAAACGGCAGGGTAAAGGTGCTGATTTTGTACGTGCTGTAGATGAGATCAGTGAGAAATTTGAAAGATTAACGAAGCATATGATCAATGATGTGTTGTGTTCTGGGGATGAAGGTGTTGAGTCACATGCTGAGAATGTAGAAGGTTTGGGTGTAAACTCCTGGATGAAAGACCTTAAAAAAGAGTCTTTGGTTTCTTCTAATGGTCCATCAGAAACCATCTGTTCTCTGCGAATCGATGATTCACATGGCTCAGAGGAAGTTCCCATGGCTCTGACGAAAGATGATACTGCTCAAAATAAAGACATAACATGTGGACAGCAAAATGATCAGATATCTATAGTTGATCATCTCAGGAATGCTACTTTAACTTCTAATGCTTCGCTTAGGAGGAGATCTAGAGACACATCACATTCAAGTGACATCCAGAAAAGAGCTCTATCTCACCAGAGGTCGAGAAGCAAAGCTGGGATCAATACATACAAATTTCAGAAGTCTGAAACACAAGTTGAAGTTGAATACAACAGTAGTTATTCTGTGTCTGATGAGTCGACAGACGATTTTTCATTAAATGATAATATTGTGAAGAAGTCTCCGGATGTGCATGATACATCTTCAGAAGTTTCAACTTTAGTAGGAAACAATGGTAATGATGATATTGAGTTTGGACCTACAGTTGTGGAATCAGGGACGTATTCATCAAATGAACTATGCATAGTGGAATCAAATCGCAAAGCTGAGTCCAAGATAGATAACTTGGAGAAAGGTCTTGAATTGAATGGAGGATTCGATACTGAAAGAACAATTATTGTCCTTAAGAAGAAAAGGAAACCAAATAAAAAGCGGTTTGATCAAGAGGCGGCAATATCTACCAAGCAGGAGGAAGCGGCATTTGTGCATTCTGAACGAAATACATGCCCAGTTTCATTTGATTGTTGTCATAGTCTAAATGAGAGACGTTTACAGACAGATGGTGACGAACACCTTCCATTAGTGAAAAGAGCCAGAGTCCGGATGGGTAATGTGTCTGAAGAGCAAAAGTCGGATGAGTTGGTTGGCATAGTTGTAAAGTCTGAAAAGGATATGGCTTCATTTGATCATAACTTGTCCTCGAGCTCAGATGGCAGTTGTGCGACTAATGAAACGTCAAGAAAGGATGGTTCATTGCCCACAGATGATCAAATGCAGGCTACGGAACACGTTAGCATCCATTGGAAAGAAAACAAATACCCATCGAGGGGGAATACAATGGATGTGGAAGCTGCTTTGCCTCCTTCTAAAAGGCTTCATCGTGCTCTAGAAGCGATGTCTGCAAATGCAGCAGAAGCAAATAATGGTTGTTTGGAAGCTTCAACTTTAATTTCTGTATCTTCTAGTGGCAGTGCTCAATTTTGTAATGTGGGTACCCATCATATTTTATTTGATGTGAACTCTGATGGCCGAAGAAAATTGCATGGCACACTGTTGCCAGATGTGAAGGAAATGCCCAATAGAGTGTCTGGGTATTCTTCAAGCGCTTTCCAAGTTGTAAATGGATCTCCTAGATCCTCTGCAGATGAGAAATGTGGCGCCATGTCTCTTGAAAATTCCATGACTCAACCCATGGATTGCGAAGTAAAGCCTAAAGATTTCAATTTCCCTGAAGAGCTGTCTGATAAAACCGTAATAACTGAGCTGCATGATAAGAGTCCTCACCCTTGTTTTGTTGAGAGTGGAGACAAGGTTAGTGCTGCATCTGGTCATGATGCCTTGCGTCCTTTGTCTTCTTTAGTCAGAGGAGAAAGCACCAATGTGCAACTGCAACTATGCAAGGAGTCACCTGTTGATTCTGGGGGGGCACAATTTGAGCCTCAAAGTGGAACTGCCACAACAGTTTCCAACCATGTGGACAATGTTTCAGTGGATGACAGTGTTGACAAATCCTTAACTTCAAATTGTGCTGCAGTCTTTGTTTCAGCTGTAGATGGGGGTATGAAGCCTCCAAGTTCTTTTTCTGATGAAAAAGATGGAGGTGATATGTAAGATTCTTGCCTTCCACCAGAATGTTTTTATCATTTTTTATTTAATGATTAAGCATCTTTTCAATATCAATTCTGGCATTATTATGTACCTCTAAAACTCCAAATTTATTGCAAACAATGATATTGTAGACAGGAGCTGACGGTGGGAGTCAAACATATGCTAACTCCCAAGGAACCACGCGTCTCACCTGATTCTACTTCAATGAAGAATCTGATTGCTGCTGCCCCGGCAAAGCGACCTCATTCTCAATATGGTTATCTGCCTGAGAGTAAATATTTTAAACCTGTTCCGGATGGTTCGTCACGGCCAACTACGATTTATTATGAAAATTCTTCCCACAAATTATCGCCCATTAAGTCAACGGTCAATCATACAAGGATTTTTCTTGAGGAAACTGCTTGCAGTTTGCATTCAGGTGGCATAAGTCCTGATCCCAATCATCAATGCAATAAACCAGTCCATTTGATAGAAATTAATACAGTGCACTCTGATTGTGCACCCAATCAAAACGAGAAAACTCTGAACAAATCAATGACGCATGCTGAAGCTAGTGCAGCACGAAAATCTTTTGAGAGTTTGGTGTCTACATTGTCAAGAACAAAAGAGAGCATTGGCCGAGCTACTCGTGTGGCTATTGACTGTGTGAAGTATGGCATTGCCGGTGAGGTAATGGTTTTTTGTATTTTGTCTGATTTAGATATTCCCTTTTTCTATACTATGTCAAAATCTAGTTGTTTATGATTTAACATTTTGCACTCTACTCTTCCTTGATGTTATGTCCTGCAAGCAAGCAAAGTCTGGTCAAACATTTGATTTCTCAATTCGGTGTCTTGGAAATGCATTACATTTTCACAAACATCAGACAATATCAGGACTATTAGATAGGAATTCTGATAGAGAAGAAAAAAGTACATAATTTTTTCCTTTGCTTAGTCTTTGTTTATTGAAATGGTTGAGATTGTCTGTAACTTCATTCACCAAATGTAATGCAAAAATTAATGTTCATATGATGATGATGAATATACTATATGAATCTAAGAATAATTCAATTATTTAAATTATATAACTTTCAGGAAAATTCAAAGAAGATGCTATAAATATACATCATTTTATCGAGTGGTAGATGGTTCTTCAGCGCTCATTTTAGTCAGGGCAATTATGAAGATATCTTTGTGCTAGTTCCACCATCATACTCCCGCTGAGTTTTCTTGAATGAATGATAGTACTGCTGGCAATTATGAATGGATTATGGGGATTGTTTATTACCCTCTGTTGCTTTATATTGTCGTTTTTTTATGGGGTTTTCTGACGTCATTGTGGTGGCTTTTGGCGTAACTGCTCCAAAGACGGCCAGATAAGTGTGATTCAAACTCTTTCATTGGTCAAATAACTGACTGTCCTAATTTGGATACAGTTATACATAGGATAACAATTTTTAGGACCAACCCGATCTGAATATGCCTGATTTAATCTCAGTTAAAATTACTCTTGAGCCAACATGCACATGCTTGATCAAATTGAGTAGGATCCAGGCGATTATAGAACATCTGCCCCAAAAAAACAGTTTAGGCTTTTTCTTGACTCATTAATGAGTAAGATCTCATTAATGTCTTATTCTGATATTTTTCATTGATAAGAGTTGAGAGAGAGAGGGCCCATAGAAAGTATAATGCTTTCCCCTTATGATTTTCTGAAGAAAGTAATGCAGACTATTCTTGAGCCAACATGCACAGCCTAGGTCAAATTGAGTAGGATCTATGAGATTATAGAACCTCTGTCCGAAAAAAAAAACAGTGTAGGCTTTTTCTCGACTCATTAATGAGTACGATCTCATTAATGTTTTATTTTTAACTTTGTCAATCATAAGAGTTGAGTGGGAGACGGTCTGTAGAAAGTATAATGCTTTCCCGTCTTAGCATGACCTTAGATATTTAGTCAATGACCTGTTTTCATCGTAAGAATGCTTAATGAAATATAATAATTCAGACAGGCTTCGTTTCATTTTGAATTCAGTCATGGAATCCATCTCTAGAAATATCAGTAATTTTTTTTATTTTGACACGAATGGTAAGAGAATAATGAATTGACTTAAAACTGTTGAAGTTTTCTGAGAGGATTCTCCATGGGCTTTGACGCCTAGGAAAAACAATGAAAACACAGGTAAGCTTTTACACTTTTCTATTGTGCTAAATAGATAACTTTGGCAGGTCAGATATTTTTTTGGCATTTTTTGTTCATCCGTAAAAAAGGTCCCTTCGTTGTTAGCATCATCCTTGAATGGAGTACGTGAAAGAGTCTGTAGTTAATGAATATCTGCTTGCTAAAGTCCCATGTTCCTCAACAGAAGGTTTTCAAGTTTTCAATGCTTTTACTTAGATACATCCAGAAGTTGTCATATCCAGATCTAAAAAGAGAGGATCTGGATTCTTGGACAAATGGGACGACTTAAAAAATACCACTTTCCACTAAGAATGTTATTATAGTTTCTTGTAGTACATACGTGATTGTCTCTTGATGCTGTGTCCTATTCTCTGCTTTTATGAGTCATGTCTGGGATCTGTTGTTGAATGAGGTAAGCTCTCTACCTTTTGTTCTAAGTCGTCTGCCTTCAACAGAGAAATAGGAATGTTTTTCTTCATCTCTTTGTATATTTAGTCTGTTTAAGAGACTAACAAGTATGCTGCTAAACATTCTCTCTTTTTTTTTAATAAAGTTGAAAATTTCACATTTTCTTAATTATGAGTATGAATTTTAGTTATTACTTCCTGAATGGAATTTTCATTTATGGTTATTGTTAGAAGATTTGGAATTCAACTGGAAGAGCCCCTTCGTTGTGTCTATAACCTCTTACTTGTCAGAGCTTGGTTTATTTATGGGTTATTTCCTGCCTAAAAATTTCGTGGCCTTTGAAAGCCAATCTCTTCGAGACCTGAAAAAGGCCTAACTGATTTTTTATACCTTTCTATTTGTACTGACATATTCGTACATGAAATAGGAGAACGTACTTGAGAAATACATTTTTTGACACCATAGCTCTCTCCTCATGCACTAACTGCATAAAGTAGCATTTAGATACAATTTCCATTCTGACATTGACTTTTAGACCCGGCATGTGATTTGTTTCCCTAATTGAGATGTTCTTAATCTTTCGTCAGATTTTATTGTGTATTATCTATATTTTATATAGTTCTTTTAATTTTATAGAAAGATGCTATCATGTTCTTGCCTCATTCAGTAACAAAGTTTTCAGTATCTATCTGGGGAACCGTTCAGAGCAATTGAGTTGTGGAATTCGTCTCAGGAAATGAGGTCCTGAGTTCAATGGATACTTTTTATTTTTTTAGGAGCCTGGGGGCGGGTGAGGGGAGTGGCCTTGGGAGAATTCACTGGAGAATATTTCCTTTTCTATTTCAGAAACGTAGCATTTCAATCTCCAGAATGTTTTTACATAATTCTTCTATTTCCCATCATCTTGTCATGTGAAAATGGGTGTGTCAAAATCACAGCACTTTTGCATCCGACAGAGAGAGGATCTTGATAGGAATTATTTGAATGTCTATGCGGAACAAGTTTACTAATCAAACTAGTCTTAATTTTCGTAGTTCTGAACGTAATATGCCTGCCATTAGAACTATATAAATGCATTAGAATTTTTAGTTTATATATTTACTGAAGGACAAAGAATATTTCAATCTCTCTCTCTCTCTCAACACACAATGGATTATCTGCCAGTCTGCCAGTTTGTCTATATATCTGTGGTTACTTTTTTAGCTGTGATGTCTATGAAAATGCCAATGACATTATCAATTGTGTTGATATGTAATCAACTAGCATCTGCTGTTTTGCTTGTGTAGGTAGTTCAGATACTTCTTCAAAACCTGGAAAGGACAGTGAACTTGAGCAGAAAACTGGACCTATTCTTTCTTGTTGATTCTATTACCCAATGCTCTCGGGTTCAGAAAGGTTATATGCAGTTTACTTTGATGGCCCATCATGCAATACGTATTATCTTGCTTTGATAATTTCTGAAGGATATTCATGTCTGCAGGTGCTGCTGGAGATTCCTATCCTTCTCTATTTCAGTCGGTGCTCCCCCGTTTGTTGTTCGCAGCTGCTCCCCCTGGAAATACTGCTTGTGATAATCGTAGACAATGTCTCAAGGTAAATTAGTTGATCCCTGTGGATGGTTTTTAATTTATTTATTTTTCACTTTATTGTAAGATTCTAGTGTCATTTCAATAGGTTTTGAGGTTGTGGCATGAACGGAAAATCCTGCCAGAATCTATTGTGAGGCATCATATCCGAGAACTTGAGTCTACTAGTGGGGCATCATTCTCAAGTGTCTCTTCACGTTTTCCTCCAAGAGCTGAAAGAGCACTGAATGATCCTATCAGAGAGATGGAAGGCATGCTCGTTGATGAGTATGGCAGGTTGGTTACTTTTTCGACCTCATCTTGTGAGATAAGGTATTTTTCTGTAAGTTTAACTAACAGGTCGATTATCTGGTGCCAGCAATGCTAGTTTTCAGATTCCTGTTCTTGTTGGCTCTCACTTGATGGATGAGGAAGAGGAAGGAAGTGCAGATGATGAAAAGAGCTTTGAGACAGTTACCCCAGAACATGATACCGAGACTTGCAAAGAGGTAGAGGCAAGTTTAAATTCTTTTCCTGATAAGCATACGCGCATCTTGGAGGATGTTGATGGTGAGCTTGAGATGGAGGATGTATCCCCACAATGCGAAGGTGGAATCAGCTCGACATATGAAACCAGAAGAGCTCCCACTGGGCATGCAACCCATTACCAGCCAGATAAGCATGTTTCATTAGGCTTTGCTCCCCCTTTGCCAGCAGATAATCCACCATCTCCTCCTCCTCTGCCCTCTTCACCTCCACCCGTGGTGCCCCCCTGTCCTCCAATGTTGCCTATTGTTCCACCACCTTTGCCTGCAGCGCCCTGCAACCATGGTGATGGTTTGGATTCACATCGTTATGCGGGTAGGAATGTAAGTAGTACCTAACCTTGAATATCCCATTTTAAAGCTTGTTGTCAATGATTTCAGCGTATACCTTTAATTATTCTGAGCAACCTTGATCATATTTTAATTTTTGGCAGAGTATGCAGTATCCCTTGTCCAATCATAGGTCTTGTGGCTCAAGTATGAACCTAAGGGCCTCAAATAGAGGGGACTGTTATGCTCCTGGTTGTATAGATTATCCAAAGCAGATGCAGCTGTCATCTTCCTCTTGCAATTATCAGAGTTCATATGGGTATCATAGTGGTTCTCATTCGTCTGTTGGCAGTGCAAATGATGCCCCTCCAATAAGAAATGGCCCCCTGCCTAATAAAGGCTACCATATGCAACCACCACCTCCAAGCATCTCAAACCAATTCTCCCATGACCACACTGAAAAGGACCGTGCTCAGACCTGGAGGGATCACTCCTCTCCATTCGATAGGAGAGTTCAGTATGCAAATGAAGCCCAAGGAGGTCACTTCTACGGTGATGGATGTGCGAGGAGACCTGTTCAAAGTGAAGTGTCGGACAGGTGTAGATTCTCTTCAGCTGCTCGTTCAGGTATGATAGTTTTTTCTACTAGTTTCTTTCTCACGGTCCTGTGATGTGGGTCTTCTGAGTCGTAGGGTCATAACGTCTTAACATGGTACAGATATTTTTTTTTTTACTGTCATGGAGCTTGGTCTTAACTTTCTTCATTCCCGTCCAGGACCCATGCTCCCAGAGAAGGCTGAAGGATCCCCTAACTTACTAGCTTACCATGGTCCACCAGCAGAAGTTTCATCCGTCTCAAGTGGCTGGTCTAACCCACCAAGGGCATCAAGTTATCGGTACTCAATAGCTGCAGCAAGACCACCAGTGGAAAATAAGATTTCTAGGGTGGCTGGAGGTACTTTGTGTAGCTAGTGTTGGTCTTTTCATGAATCGTACATTGTTGTTTCTTTTTGAGTCTTCTGTAACTCTTCAGCACCTGAATCTACGTAGTGCATTATCAGTGATGTAAGATGGATTTCCCTAATCAGCTGTTCTTTCATAGGTGTCTTTCTTGTTTGGTACTTCAATTTTTTATTTTCTTAATCCATATTTGTTTTCTAATTGTGATTGAATTTTGTTTTCTTTTTCTTCTCAGCACCTGGTTACTGGAGACCAAGATAACCGAGATTCCTTGGAAAGTATGTTCTTTCCTGTCTTGTACATAATGTTCATTTGCTTCGACACATTATGGCCTTTTTAATATTGGTACACTCTTTTGCAGGATTCGTTTTTGACATGATTCTATGGCTGCTCAGATATTCAAATCTTTTTTTCTGGGTAGTCAGTGCCTTCACTGGTGACAGTGATTCTGAGAAGTGCGATTTCTTGTTGAACCTGTGGGAACGTTATCTGCTATTGTACATAAGTATTTTAATGTCGTTTTGGGAAAGCAGAAGAGAAAGGCAGTCCTCATAGGAAGAGCTGTATCATAGCCCAAGGTTATGCCCTGTATGAGTTACTCACATATCTGCAAACTTTTTGTGAGTCTTTTTGATTGGTTGAGGACTATTAAGGGGGTATTTTCTGTTCTGAACTGCCTAGTATATTCTTTTAACTTTCTGGAATGACTATAGTTTACCTGCACCACTCTGTAAAAAACATTATTTTTACTGTTGGGTTGATCTCATCACTTGGGATGCTTCCCACTATTCTCTGATTTCCTTAAGTTTGATTCCATGGGATGATGAATATTGTTCTTCCAGTCAAATGCTGTCATAGTGCTAGCAATAAACATATCATAAGTTTGTGTTGTAATAGCGGGATGCAATGCATCTGTTAGCTGTCTGCTCAAAACAGTCATTACAGAGTTTTTCTGGCAACCTAAGGGATGATTCTTGCATCTCTCTCAGTATGTTTCTTTTGATCTCATTAGGTTCTCATGCTTTAACACTTCATTCTACTTCGAGATTCTACAAGATACTGTGCCCATTGTCATCCTTTTCTATTTCACGATCTCGAATGATGCCTGGGCAGACATTTTGGATGCTTCATAAATGGTTGGGCATTCAGTCCCTTGGGGAGGGTAGTTCACAATAATTTGGATTTCGGTTGCTGTATTTAGTATCGAGAACCTGGTAGAAAAGACATCGGAGAAGATGGCAGTAAGGTGACAAGGATTTCAGTTTTGAGCGTGGACCTTACATTGTAGGGTATAAGTACATGGTATGGATCACTTCAAATCCTCAGGTCGAGTACTTGTAGGGGAGGTTAAAGGGATGGAACAAAGAGTGCACCCTCTGAGCTCTGCTGATTTTTTTCTTTAAAGAGAGTGGTAATAGAGGGGACCCTTACCTTTGTGTAAAAGGCAGGCCTGAAGATTTTGGTATAGGGTGGAGTGATGATCATGGGAAGACTTTTCAGTGGTATAATCACTGGTGAGCCAATACCGTCTCAACTTGAACTCAGATTTTCTTGTCTAAGTAGAGCTGATAATCATAAGGAAGATAATCATTAGTTCACTTCTATTGAATTCACGATTCTAGTAAGTTGAATGCCTCTAGAACTTGCTTGTAGATTGACAACTATGGGTAATCAAGATGTCATGCTCGAGACAAGTCCCATCTTTTCTAGATTCACTACTTTATGGGGCCAAGAAGGAAAAGTTCAATGTTAATTCATTATTCTACATTGACTCTATGAAGAATGCCCCAGTGTTTATTAAACCTGATTGCAAATGATTAACCTTAACTAAATAGTTTAAAAAACAAATGAAATCTGACTGTTGACTGTCACATGAGTATCTAAGATGTAACTTCATAAAATCTTTGTTAAACTTCTAAACTCCATAGAAAATTAAAAACTTCGAATTTTGATGTTGTTTCTTGCATGGCACTTGTTTTGACTTAACCTTCCAATGAACATGGGTGCTTATACATGTGACATAAATTTGTCTAAAAATTATTTGAATGACAAGTTATCAATTTTCACTCTTTGAAGCATGAGTCCACTTCACTTCTTTCCAAACCATTCACTTACCACGACTATAATAATTAGGTGGTCACAAAATATCCTAATAATTAATTTTGCTAATTTCAATATTCCATATGTAGTAAGCTAATCATAATCGTGTAGTTTGTAGAATTAAACATTCTAATGTTGAGCAATTAAAAATTATAATCAAATTTGGAAATTTGTTTCAATGATTTAAACATTTCATTTGATGATTGATAAAGACATTCTATACTTGAGCTTAAAATCAATATTCCAATTGATGACTTGCAGTAAAATATTTTCCATGATCAGTAAAAACATTCAAAATTTGATATTCTAATCAAAATTTTAACTAAATTCAAAATTTTGTCTGATGGTTAAAAAATTAATCCTCAATCAATAAAGGCACTGTGAATTCAAAATCATAATAGGCATTCTAACTATATTCAGCAACTAATATGATGATTAAAACATTTAATCTATGATCAATACAAATATTTTCAATTTAATAATTAAATTGGTGTGGTGTGCACAAATAAATTAACCGTGTTTAATTCAAATAATTAAAGCTTCTAATATTTAAATTAAATAAAAAAATTAAAGTGTAAGGATCAATATATTTAATCAATAATCAATAAAACATTCAAAATCGTCAATTTAATCAATTAAACTTTTAAATCATATCATCAACAAAACCAGTATTCTAGTGAGATATGTCTTGTGCTTGTGACTTACAAAAGAGAGATAAGTCATTTACTTTTCTTGATTAGGAAGCCATCTCAACTTTATGTCTATCTTTTAAAATTTATTATGCTTCAAACACATCTGTGTTTTGAAATCTATTACTATAATATATATATAGAGCCATTAATGTTTGAAACATATGAAAATGTTGGGACTCCAAAATGATATATCAAGTATTTTGATAAGGAATACAAGGCTTGTTCCATATATCACCTTTGAAGAGAGTTTAAATAATCATATTGGAATTAATAATCTCCTGTATTTATAAACTTTAGTAAGGAATAGTTTTACACTCTTTAGAAAAAAAAATATTAATGTAGAATCAAGCAGAAAATAAGCTAAAATTGACGTTTAGACTAAAATGTTGATGTTGGCTTTTGGAGCCTAAATAACTTTGATGATAAAAAAATTGATAGAAGGAAAACATAATAAAATCTAAAAATAGTAGAAATGTGTTACTTGATGATTTAAATTATTGTACATGAAAATGAGCCTTAAATCATCACACAAAATTTACCCAAGGGTAAAATGGTCTCCATACACTTCAAAACAAAGCATAGATACTAGTCACATATGTACCCATTCGAAAGGTATTTGAGAGACAAATACAAGGAAACAAGTGAACACATAAAAACTAAATATTTTTAACTTTTATGATTTTACAATATAACTTGGTATTTCTTAAAGGTACAGATGTGATAGAAAATGGCCCAATTTCTATTGAGTATAAGACTACTAGCAACCCAAAATGATTTTACAAAGGGCACTTCATCTGAAATTACATGGAGGCAAGGGGAAAAGAAAAAAAGAACTACAATGCCTACCCACATGTCACCTTAGAGGATATGTATGAGAAACAAATACTATTGTGTGCTGAAAAGATGAGAGATCTAGTTTCTATTCAAACATCAAGTATCTTTCACACAAGATTTGTTACATTGAGAAAAAGAAATCATGCAGAAGCCATTGAGTTCAAATAGAAATGAAAGGTTAATTGTTCATATTTTCTATTTAACTAGAATGATAAATCATTTATATGTGTAAAACTTGTTAAATTCATTCTACAACCTAAAGTTGTCAATATAGAAGTGATTAGTGGGAAGTTAATATAGTTTGACCAACCTAAAGTCATGAATCTAGAGGAGGGTTTTGGGGAGATGTGCCTAAATTAGTTGGAGATGTTAATTCTAATGATATACAGTGAATTGATTGGATTTATAAATCTAAAGGCTTTATATTAATTGTAAATCAACGAATACTAATCAAACAAATAAAATATGGCCATATTGATAGAACTATTTAAAATTATGTGTTATTTAGTAAAATTTAGGAAAAAATAGAACATCAGCAAGTATCATATAAAGAATATGCCAATATTCAATTTTTGGTGTTTATTGTGTTGTCTTAATAGGATTAAGAGTTGATCTATTCAAAAGAGTTTTAAAAGAATCAATAGTTCCACTAACATAAAACTAGACAAAGTTTGTAAGTAGCCATTTCAAAACTATTGTAATTGAAACTTCTAGCAACAAAGAGCTATTATAATTTAATAATCTAGTCCAATGCACATGATACTTTGACCATATAAGTTTGTTTCTAGGAGTAATGATGATTTATATTAAAAGAATTATTTAGTTTCTAATTTATATTCATATGTTGTTTAAGATTATTTGTGTTATATTTTAAGCTATACATATATCAAGATAGGGAGAGTGTAATTGATTAGTTCCTAATTTTTATTTTGGTCAATGTTTTCTAACATCTACGATTTTCCTCCTCAAATATAAAGTTTTATGGTATTCTAAGATCTAGAAGTATGAGACTTAGGGATTTTTTAAGTACTTTGGCCCCTTGTCTATGTCGAATCTTTAATGATATCCAACTCAATTCTACTAGACCAATCATTCCAATTACAATAGTTGATTAACAAGTTCCATCTCATAGAACTTTATTATGAAATTATTAATTAAATTCATATATCTAGGTGACTAACAACGAAGTAAAGGATTCAACTCTCCCAAGTGATTAAATAAAATTTAATCACAAACTTTTCTCAAAAATATTAGGAAGGATATCATCATGTGTTGTTTCTAGATGAAATTGTTGACTTGGTGTGACTTAAAACTTGATAAAGAAGAATATAATGAAATCTGAATTTTACATTCATCTTCTTGTATAGATGCTAGTTGAAGGTGGAAGTCATTGTGGATTTCATCTAATCAAAGAACATATTAGGATGCTTAAATTTCATTCCTTGACATTTTGTTCGTGTAGTTTTATCAGCACAAAAGACCTCTCTAATTTAAATGTTCTATATAAAATATTAAATAATCCTCAAGATCATAGGGGGTTAGAAGTGATTGCTCAAAATTGATCATCTATGAGGGAGGTGCTCATAGAGAAATTGGATTAAAAAATCTCTTCAATTTCCATCTTCTACTAAAGTTTTAATTCCAAAATGAATGTTAAATTCAAATAGTTGGAACCTGATGCAGCATGTCTTTTAAGCATTTGGATGTCCTCTTAGGAAAGAAAAGAGTGTAACTATTACGTACCAACACACACACACAGATATATATATATATATTATCTTTTTTGTTCGAATAAGTCTAGTAAAGATTGAATATTATCAAAATACAATTGATGACATAAGTCTAAATAAAGTAGTATGAATTTGTGGTATGAATTTGATCAATTATTTTGATCTCAAAAGCATTTTAAAAAGATGATCTAACATCATGAGTACAAAATAGACAGGTTTTATACCTATACTTTACTTTAAAATATTTTTTTATTTGGATGTGCTAATCATCACGATCTCACTATGATAACTAATGTAAATATTGACAAATTTTACAATAAAATACGAAATAATAATGACACAATAAAATTCTTGAAATTCTGAAATTCAACATAATGATGTTGTATAACCTTATTTGTGTTCTTACTTAGGTATTTTCATCATTACTCTAACTTATTTCAAAATTTATGTTCAGTTAAATTCATGCTCATGTATGATAGATTGAGTATCATAAGCAACAAGTATTGGTTGATGTTCTTATTAACCTTCTAAGTGTTCATCATTGTCCAAATAATATGTACTTAATGTTCTAACAATTTGGATTTATAAATTATTATTTGATTAAGACATTTTTTGTTATATTTTCATTATAATAAATTCTTACTAGACACATTTGAACCAATAACATTGGAGATATATATTAATGATTAACAACTATCTATTGGTTTCACTTTAGAGGATATTGAGACCTTAAAGGATATTTTAAAACTAATGTTATGATCACAAAATTGGAAAAGGTTGTGAATCCAATTGCTTTGTAAATTCAGCATATTTTCAATGACTAATCAGCTCATAATGATCACGTTGATTTCATCAAAATCTCAAATTTATTTTTAGATTTTTCTTAGATAATTGAATGAAATTTTGAGTAGTCTTTGAAGCTTGATCAAAGAACAAGAAGATATAGAATTGAGTAACAAAATTTGATTCGAATGTAATCTTCCTCAACTTGATTGAAGAGACCACATCTTCACAAGTGATATAGCTTCATGGCATAGAGAGAAGAAACAAAATAGAACATAAAATTGATGGCCATTGATATAATTTCGATTAGTCAATTAATTTTCTATCGAAAATAATTCAAAGTAATATTTCAATAATTGACATCTAATATACTGGACAAGATGCCATACTAATATTTTACTTCAATGAATTATGCAAGATATGGTGTCCAAGTCATTGATTTTTACTAGTTGAATACCTCATAATTATGTGTAGTTGCAACAGTTGTAAATAAATTAATGATTTTGAGTGATAAATTCATGATTAATCTGAAACTAAAAAGATGAGGGTCATATACATTCTTGGAAGTGTCTTTTGACATTTTATGTTATTACTATTTTTTCATAATATATATATTTAATTACATTTAATCATATGTCGAAGAGATGACTTATATGAATAAAATTTGTAATTAATATTCAACATAGATTGATCCCTTTATTTATCATATATGTGTTTGTCATCATCAAAAATATTTAGGATAATTAATGCTTCTGAAGCCACAATCTAGATTATTTGAATATACAATTCTATTATTTTAGTTTTATTAGTTTATCCTTCCACACATTTTGTGATCATCAAAACTTCTTAAGCTCTTAAAGCCAATAACCTATTATAGTGACCTTGAAACTATAACCCCTCTTATGTTATAAATTTATAGGGATTAAAAAATTTTGAGTTATTTCCTTAGAAAGCATATCAAGGTAGATTGTTAAAATAAAATTCAATCAAAGATCTTATGCTATCTACATTTTTGCTTCATGTTTTTGTTTTAAATTAATGTTTATCCTTTTCTTGATATGGGAAAAGTGTTGAGATCTATTTTGATCTTTAAAAAGAAAAAAACTCAAGAGATTTATTAGGTTTAAGAAAGTTAAAAATTCAGCATTATTTTATGTGTTCAATTTTTTAGGTGTTTGTTTTCAAAGTTGTACGACACGTGGTAGGCCAACAATTAATTGAAAATACATTTAAAAATAGCATTTTAACATTAGGTGTAAATAGTTATTAATCACTAGAGCGAGAGAGAGAGAGAGAGAGAGAGAGAGAGAGAGAGAGAGAGAGAGGGAGAGATAGAGAGAGAGCAAATTGCCTGAAGTGGATAATCTAAACCTTGATCCCATGCTAGATTGTAAAAAAAGAAAATAAAATAGCAATATTTCCCTATATGGTGACTTCCCACTACAAGTTAAGAGAGAGCGGCCAAAAAGAGAGAAGGATCCAAAGGCACTTCTATCTAATCGTAGTGTCAAGTCATTAATAACAAATACTAATGATGCCTCAACTAGTCAAGGAAGGCATGTGCTGAAGCCTGTGAATGTGGAGGCCCAAGACCCACCACCATGTGGGCCTAGGCCCATTCTATTATTAAACAGACTATGAACAGATTTTGCATGAAATTTTACGACTTAGTAATGAAAATCCAAATTTGGAATGATCCGATTTTGACGGGACTCCTGCATATGGGAGTGGCAAGTGGGTCATTTAACTAAGAGCATTAAGGAAAGAGCACGTGGCACGGGGTCACGTATGAATAGAGAAAAATTCTCTGGAGCCTTTGATGTATTGCAAGGACATGATTCGTTGTCACCCTGTCGCTCTTTTCAACCCCCCCCCCCCTCCCGACAATGTTCCCTTTGTCCGTAATACAATGCGTCTCGACGGTGAATTACTTTAACAATGAACTACAGGGTGTTACTGGAAAATGTTGTTCGTACTGTATCCCCCGGGGTGGGGGTGTTTACGCAATTTCCATTTTATCTGGTGTTTAGAAAATTACCTTGGCACGTGGCCGAAGCGGAGAGATCGTGATGCAAAGCGGGCCCGCGTTCTGCGTCACGATCTGCGCGCCTGGTCAGGTCCGTCGCCACAAATGCCGAAACCTCCAGCCGCTCGCGGGGCGCGGCGGGGTTAGGAGCGGAGCTTGCCGGGGAGGGGCGGGGCGGGGGTAAAGGAGGAAACTGGAGGTAACTTCCGGAAGGCGGAGAAGAGACAGGTTGGAATCCGCGGGACCCGTACGTAGCGAAAAGATCAGTACGGAAACATGGAGGAGAAGAAGAAGAGAGAGAGAGAAGGTGGAGGTGGGGACTAGCTGCGCCCCGCCCCGACTCTGTCAGCAATCCTTCATATTTTTTCTCTTTTATACGTTTGTTGCTGGATTTACCTTTTAAACCAAGGTAGGTGATGCCACGGGCGAGAGATCTCCTCGGTTTGTTTAATGACAAATTTTGTCTTTGATTATTTGGTAACTGCTATATTTATAATTCCTTGTCAGATCATTTTCGGTTCAGATTGCGGTGTGGCCGGTTGTTGCCTGCCGTGTGTTCGTTCTGTGGGTTGTCGTTGCGGAAGGAGGGGGTGTAGAGCTGGAGGGCGATTGGGACTCTGCTGATCCAGGTAGGGGGCAGCAGCGATGCACCCGATCAACGTGCTGGCGGTGGCGAGGACGGTGGTAGCGGTGGCTGGGGGAGGGAGAGGGATGGCGAGCGTCATCGCTGGATCAGATGACATCTCACTGGAGTCGCCATGGTGGTACATCTACGCCGGAATATCCTGCTTTCTCGTCCTCTTCGCCGGGCTCATGTCAGGTCTCACACTTGGGCTCATGTCCCTCGGGCTCGTGGACCTCGAAGTGCTCCATCAAGGGGGGACACCCACAGAGAAGAAACAAGCTGGTAGGTTAGAATGGGTTTTGAGAATTGTTGATTAATCATGTGCCTGAGGTCTTCATGCTTCTAGCTTCTAAAGGCAAGGCGTTCGAGTGGCAGTGAAATAATTTCGCTGATGATTTTTTATTCTCCGCGATACCACGTTTCATTCTTCTTTTGCTGTGTAGTTGCTTGAAAAGGGGATGCTTGATTTTCTTTTTTTTCTGTTTCTTGGTTCTCCATGAACATGCAAATTCATATTCACTAGAAAGGAAGAATTTTTTTGCAGTTGCATGTCGGGCCCTCCATCCATGACTGAAGTATACACTAGTATAGTTACTCCTAAGGTTCACATCAACCAGACGAGGATCCTAGTTGCATTCCCTGTTATGGATAGTTACTCCTAAGATTCACATCTTTTGCGTCTCTTTCATGCAGGAGCTATTTGACTCAAATTTATTTAATGGGAAATAGATAAGGGAAGAGGAACCCTTTGAAATCATTGGTGTGTCTGCATATATTCCCCTCCTTCCAAATAAGGTTTTGCATATCCTTTCTTATTATGACCAAGCAGGCATCAGACCTGTCGGTAAATGAATAGTTCGTAGTTTGACCTCTGCTATATTGTAGGCTGGTCAAATTTTTGTGTGTCCGTGATGAAACAGTGAAAACGTAGTTTGTGAATGCCCCACATAATGTGTCCATCATCTTCTGGGATAATGACTAGAAAGAAGCATCTTTTCAGACACCATAGTCCAATGAGTCGGAGGTTCAATGATGATGCATGTAATATTTGCCTTTGAGTTTCTAAGAAAGGTTGTCTTTTGGAAACTGAACAAGTCTTTCTTTCATGATATGTTTAGGCTACATCTTTTCTATGAGCTTAAACGACCTAAAAGCTAGAAAATATTATTTTTCCATGATGGTATAAATAAAATATATAAATTAATAATTGAGTCATTATGGATTCCAAAGGGAAGGAGAACATTTTCTAAATTGACTAAAAAGCTTTTTTTATCTATTCCACGTGACCTTAATCCGGATCCCACGAGTGAATATAAAGTTGGATCTACATTGGATCTTACCTGAATCGCCCCATCTATCCTCCTGAGGATAAGTTTGCTTTAGCTGGCCGATCTTATCAATCCTGTCATGGGTGAGCCTCTATAGGGAGGTTCTGTTCCTTAGGTCTTTGTACAAGCCAATAGATGGAGTGCAGGTGGTCACGCTTCACTTACCTCGAAGAGTTGTCAGTTAGCTTGCTGATGTAAAGATGAAGCTGTCTTTCTTTGAATCGACAATAGTTTTTGTAAAGTGATTTTCTAGCAGAGAATGCATTGCAGGAGCCTTACATGAGATTGTTATTTAACCTTTTATTTTTCTTCTTTGAAAATATGTGTTGCTTGTCTCTTAGGAACTTGCTGTGTTACATTTTGCAGCCACTATACTTCCTGTTGTGCAAAAGCAACATCAACTTCTCGTGACTTTGCTCCTTTGTAATGCAGCAGCAATGGAGGTAAGTATACTAGTGTATTTTAATTCAAGTTTTTTAATTATCTGCATATAGATTTATATGATAGATACGTGCATTATCATTTTGTAGTAGACCTCCCTCTAAATATATTAAACTATAGGATGAATGCACCTGTTCTGAAGGACAATTTATCCTTTTGCAGCGTTTAATTCAACATGAAATAGCTCTCTCTCAATTTCGTAGCAACTAACAGGAAAATACACTTAGTTGGCTTTTCATTAGCTCATTTTTGATCCCTTTGTAAGCAGCAACATAGGCCTCACAAATAATGTATCTTAAATGTAGCCCCAGCGTATTATACCATGTTCACTATCATTCTCCCCCTATACCTTTGATCATTAATTTTGAAGTCAGTGGAATCTTAATCCTCTTTCTTGATCCAGTTTTCTTCACACTCAATTTTCAAAACATCTGATGGTAAATGTAGCATCATCCATCATACTTAGTGCTTATGACGTCTAATGGCTGCTGAAGTGATAACACAACTTGCACCTGCAGCAATGCGATTGTGTGAGTGTTTTTTTCCTTATTTTTTGCTCTGAACTTTTTTATCCTACACCCTTTCAAAGTTCATTTAGCACTTTAACAGCAGGTCTGGTGATTTTTTCCGCTCAATTACTTTTTAAGGATGATTTCCGGTATATTATAGACGAACAACTTTACTGCTACTTACCTTATCTTTTTGTTATTTTGATTCTTTCAATTTTAACTGCTGATGCATGGTTTACTTGCAGGCACTTCCTATTTTTCTTGATAAATTATTTCATCCATTTTTAGCGGTTGTATTGTCTGTAACTTTTGTTCTTGCTTTTGGAGAGGTATGTGTTTTTTCCTAGAATCATCTATATTCAAGTATCTGAAATACGATATCATCCTTTGTATAGGAGACATATGAATTATGCTGATTGTCTCTCCCAGGTGATTCCACAAGCAATATGTTCGCGATATGGACTCACGGTTGGTGCCAGTTGTGCTTGGGTTGTGCGTATTCTGATGGTAGTTTGCTATCCAATAGCTTTTCCTATTGGGAAGGTAAATTTTCTCTCCAGCAGTTTGAAATCCCTAATTTTGAGGTACTTGGACATTCTTGTTCTTTTTTTCTGATCAATGTCACCAACTTTTTACTCTATGGTCGTCATATTCCCATTGTTAATAAGTAGTCTTCTGATGGCTATTACTGAAATTTTCTGTAGTCTGCCTATATTCATCTGATGTAAATTAAGGCTTCTAAGAATATGTTTCTTTGGTCTAATATTTTGCCCTTTCTTACGGCATCAAATTCAATGGAAGTCTCGCACACACTCTAAAACATTTTCTTTTCTATTTTAAATGTAAAGAATTATTATCTTTTACATTTTTAGTTTCATAAGGACTTGCTGTTTATTCTAAAATTGTTCTAAGAGATGTCAAAATGATAGGATTCGATAGTTGTAAGGATGTGTATATTTTCAGGTGTATATTTTTGTGGTATAATTTGGATAATGCCTCATGAATATTTTAAATGCTTATTATAGTGAGGATATATGCCTATGGAACTCTGTTATATGTTTAAGGCTATCGATATCTATAGTAGGCATGCCTGCTTGAGGATATAAGTCAAAACTAGGTACATAACATGAATATCCTCTTTCCTTGTGCATCCATAGATGTTGACGAGTAAGTTACATTTTGTGGATCAATTGATGAATAAATATGCCGGGGATATTAAATTAAGAAATTTTTACAATTATGTAAGCGGATTTTTCATGAGACTCTAAACTTTACCGCTAAAGAAGTGCTACATTTAAAACTCGGAGTAGAATGGCATAAACAGCTATGTTTAAAGTATGTGACATAAGCAGACGTAATCCATTTGTTAAGATCACTTAAAAATTACTGAACAAATCCATCATTCCAGGAAAATTCGTCTGTCCCTGGAATATTTTTTAAAACCACTTACATCTTTGGACGTGTTGTAAAGCATTCCACTTATGTCCCTGCAGAGGTTCAGAGACAAGATTGTTATAAATTCCGTCCTTTTAGTTAATAAACAGTAGATTCACTTCCTATTCACAAAATATAGCCTCTTTTTCTCAATTTTTATTTAAAATATAACCTCTATTCCTATTCCTAAGGAATACTAGAAAAACAAAAAGAAATGCCAAAAGGTGCGGGACGTTAATTTATTTCCTGATTCGTGATTGACATCAGCCACATCTGAGTCCGAAGTCACAAAATCAGGAAGTTATGTCGAATCTTTAGAGGAAAGAAAAGAAAAGAATTGACCCAGAATCAGGCGGATTCTAAATTATCAAAGAAAAGAATGGACATGGAAGCACGCATTGGAATCTTGCGTTCTTATTTAATGTTCAAGAGGAAAATCCTGATCCTCCATGAAAGTAAAAGAAAAAAATAAATCCATCAGCTTGAAATCAAATGGCGTGGCATTGATTGAACATATTCTCACCGGCTTGCTTGGCTAGTTCTTGCTTCTTGAGAGGCTAGTTCAGTCTTTCCTGCAGTAGGGAGCGGAAAAAGAAAAGAGGACAGTAGAAGAGGAAAAGAAATATAAAATATCACAGTGACAGGAGATTTGGTTCTCTTCTCTCGTTTAACCAATATGGTCAATCTAATTCAATTTTAATGGGATTGGACTGTGGCAATCTGTGAACTCTAACCGATTCTCTGACCTTGATCCACTGCATGCCTGTAAATGATAGCTTTCGAGAAGTCAATCTTAGCATAATGTGATGAGTTCTGCCCCTTCAAAACACGAGCTTTGGTCCATGTCTTGAAACTGAAATTTTTGATGGGTTTCAAAGAGTCAATTTCAGAAAGAAGTTTCAGTAAGCACCGATGCTGTCATTCCTATACAATATTCATGAGTTAGTAGCTTTGATTTTGGTTGCTCTTTGCCTGCACATTCTAAATTAGTATCCGTACAAAATGTTTCATCTATCTCTGTAGATACTGTCTACTCTAGCTCGCTCTTCTAATTTTATCTAATTTCTTCAATGTTGTAGTATAGTTTAGTCCAGTTATTTCATACTCATTCCTGACGTGGTTTCAGATTCTAGACTGTGTACTTGGGCACAACCAATCTGCCCTGTTCAGGCGAGCACAGTTAAAGGTCTTGGTCTCTTTCCACAGCAAAGAGGTACTTCAAATTTAAAATTTTATTGTTAATGACCTTGTAGATTTTGTTAGGTTTTTCATCTTGAGATATATGCTCCGTGCGCAGAAAATCTCCTAATATCTTTGAATCCATCATTTTAGGCTGGTAAAGGTGGGGAACTTACTCACGATGAAACAACAATAATCAGCGGAGCTTTGGACTTGACTGAAAAGGTTTCTTGGTGAATTGGTGGACGAGAAAAAATTATGATTTCGTTTTCTGACAACTTGGTTTATTTTTTCTACGATAGAAGTTCTGGATTCATGTTCTGAGACACGTTAGAGGTTAGGGTATTTTAGATGGTCTGATATATACTGCTGAAAATAACCTGGTTTTTCTTAACCTCAAGTTCATAACAATATGTCGTTCGTGCTTGAGTTTTCTACATGCTTCGTTGTTGAGTACATGGACATATCATCATTACACAGTTGTAGGAGCTTCGAACCCATTTCACTTAATCAGGTCTCAATCGATGAATTTTTTAATAGTCCAAAACAAAGCTCATGAAAGTTTATGTTGACTATCTTCCTCATGTCGCTAGAATGAATAACCTTTTGTATTCAGTTATAATGTTCATTTCACATCTCATAACATAAGAAACAGACCACAAAATTCAAGGACCACCTCTCCCAGAACAATAACATAGCTGCCCTTCCTGTGTGGACTTCAAGGACCAGCTTTTAATTATCCTTGTCCGTTGGGGCTATGCAAGACCTTCCTGACTCCCTTGTTTTTTAAATTCCTCAATACTCCTCGCGGATCATTTTGGTCTCTCCTCCTGGCAGACTCCACATTGAATCTTTTTCGTGGAGAAGTCCTTCGGTTTAGTTAATTTCTTAACTTATCAGAAGCCAATCTGTTTACACTTACCTAAAGTGCAAGTGTTGGCTCCCCCCCAAAAGGGCCAGATTACCTTTGTTTTAAAATGCATCCATCGACTGAAGACTGAGTGATGAAATCAGGACAGTGCCATTCTGGTTGCAAAATTCCAAGTTGGTAGCATATTATTTGGTTTTCCTGGGATGGTAGTCTTTTGATTCAACAAACGAATAGCCGTTGGTGAAAGTCCTAGTCTCTCCAGGGCAAGAAAATCTCTAGGAATGTCAATGTCCTCTGAAATAACGTTCTCCTCCTTGATCTGACATCAAACTTCTGTCATAAGTTCAGTTGAGACGACCACAAACAAAGCCTTTATATGCTAACCTGATGACTGGATCTGTTTACATGTTATCTCATTTTCAACCTGCAATATAATTGTTGCATTACAATAATGATGTGGTTGTTAACCTACATTATCTTAGCTTTGGTGGATGCAAAGGGACCTGTAAGTGTTCTAAAATAAAAGGGAATAGATGAACTTTTACCTTTCGAATCCTATGAATTTGTGTGCAGTGAGGATAACTTCTAGATCTGGGATTAGTGGAGTATTATTGTCTGCCTTTGCGTGATAGATTGCATAGTCATTTTGAGCGTAACAGGGTTTGAATGGGGGCTGGTCTGGAAGCGGATACTAACCATGACTTCTGCAGGGCTCTGGTTTTTTATGTTGCATTTCTTAGATCAATATGTAGAAAAATTCATTTAAACCGTCTTGCATTTGTTGAACATAAATGCAATTTTGATAACGTGTGTGTGTGTGGGTGTTAGTATTATCACGTGGAAAATAATCTGGTTCTGTGACGATTTCAAATGTAAAATACAATAAACTGTTGGTTCATTTACTGAGGATTCTTCAACAGTTCCCATTTTGGAGGGTCCTCTTATCGATGCTTTCTACCTTATTATGCAGACACCGGCCACTAAATTTTGAGCATTGGCCTATTTGCCTCGATTCTGCTTATTATTTCACAATATTACTGACAAGTGGGCTTTATGCCATTTTTTTTGCATTTTACTTCACTTCAAATTGGAGATGCATTCTGATTGGAGTGGTTGCCTTTCTCCAGACAGCTGAAGAAGCCATGACACCAATTGAATCAACATTTTCATTAGATGTCGATTCAAAGTTGGACTGGTGAGGATTCTTCCGTGCTTGAAATTATAATGTGTTAATTCTATCATATGTCCCACCTAAACAAAAAATAATTTTTTGTTTTTGCTAAGAATTTTGTCGATACATGCTTCAGTCAGTGGTGCCCATTTTTACACAACCTATTTCCAGTTATTTCCTGATTCCCTATCACGAGACTCTGTGCTGTTCTTAATCTCTTGCCAGTCTAACAATAATGGTTGATGCATAGTTAGACTCTTGGAGTCGCCAAACGTTTCTATCATTTTTATTGAATTGGCTAACTTGTCACCCCAATTTTGTTCTATTCAGGGAAGCTATTGGGAAGATACTTGCTCGGGGACACAGTAGGGTCCCGGTTTACTCTGGGAGCCCAAAGAATATCATCGGCCTTCTCCTGGTTGGTGCATGACGCCTCATCTGTGTTCAACTTATGTGCATGAAGGCCTTCTTCTGACATGTTAATCTCCTCTTTAATGCAAATGGTGGGAACAAGGTCAAGAGTCTTCTGACAGTCCGTGCCGAGACGGAGACACCAGTGAGCGCAGTCTCCATTCGAAGAATCCCAAGGTTCTCATATTTGGCCCCATTCTTTTCTTAGGACATCTCTCCACACATATCGCTCTCATCGCTGGGATGTTGGCAGGGTCCCAGCCGACATGCCCCTGTATGATATACTGAATGAATTCCAGAAGGGGAGCAGCCACATGGCCGCCGTGGTGAAGTCCAGAGGGAAGATCAAGACGCCTGCACCCACCTACTTTGATGGCTCGGAAGAAGTTAAAGAGGCCGATGGGGACTCCAAGACCCCTCTCCTCTCTAAACTTGCAGAAATCGCTGGGAACGCTGTGATTGACATTGAGAAAGGCCAGGATAATGAAATCGCTGTCCTCAAACCATCCATGCACCCGAACGATGCGGTGGCAGTTGCAGCTGCCACTGCCACCATTCAAGAAGACATTGAAGATGGCGAGGTGATCGGCATCATCACGCTGGAGGATGTATTCGAAGAGCTTTTGCAGGTAAACCCCACGCTTCTCAGGTATACTGTCGTACGCTTATTTTTTAGTCCTTTAGTCTAATTACTCATGTTTAATGTATGATTCTATGCAAGAAAAACTACTATCCCTCTCTCTCTCTCTCTCTCTCTCTCTCTCTCCCTCTCCCTCTCACTAGTTGGAGGGAGACAAGCTTGATGAGGGGGATAGATAAGTTTAATCTTTTTTGCATAAAATCATGTTGAAATGTAATCAATTGGATCAAGTGAATGAAAAATCAGAGTATGAGAATTTATGGAGGGCCCGTCAATAATTCAGCTGATCTGTGGAGAGTAAAAAGTAAACAGCTCTTCCTCTTTTTTCATGTATTTGATCAGTTGCTGTGCTCGCTGACCATGTATCTTCACTGCAGGAGGAGATTGTGGATGAGACCGATGAGTATGTGGACGTCCACAAGAGGTACCAGTAGATTGCGATCCCCCCGCGAGCTGCTTCCCACCATACAGTTTCATTTACAGCATGAAATCTCTTCTGGATTGCAGGATTCGCGTCGCTGCGGCTGCGGCTGCATCGTCGGTTGCTCGGGCGCCTTCGACCCGCAGACTAACCAGCCAGAAGGCGGCGGTGCGTTGCTCCTCCTTCCTTCTTGTTGTCTTCTCTGCTCTTTCTGCCCTTCATCCTTATTGTTCTTCCTTTTCGATCCAGGGGAGCCAAAATCGGCAAGGTCAGCAGCCCATCTTGGCCATGAAGAAACCTTCTGAGAGGGATCCGAGCTCGGCCAGAGGTCACGTGAGTCTCACGGAGCCCCTTCTTGAAAGCAAGAAGTGAGGGACGCGGATTTTTTGTGGGTGAATCTGCAGAACCGCTGGATCTGCCTGGGGCTCTGCATCTCCATCTCCATCTCCATCTCCGCCTGCCTGCTTGTTTGTTCTTGCTGTAATCTCTGTAGAATGAATACGCTTTTGAATGCAGTGAGAGATGATTGTGCTGCTGGGGCTGCTGCTCTCAGACTTTTGGAGTTTTTGAGTTTGTTTACAGTGTGTGTGTTGATGTTTAGATTGGACGCGAGAGGAGAATAATGGTGGGGTGTGAGCGCTGCCGTGCTCGGGCGAGTGATGATCCTCTTGATGTTGTTATCTATGGTGGTGCCCGGCGGCGTTGCAGAAGGCGTTGAGGAGGACGTGGACGAGCATCAGGTCCACGAAGTAGTGGTGCCCGATCTCGCCGTCGCGCCACCTGGCCTTAGCCGGAGCCCTCCCGTAGTGGACGCCGTCGCTGCACCGGTTGTCCCAGTGCCAGGGGAAGGTCATGTCAAACTGGTCGATGACGCCGCCGGTGAGCAGCCCCCTCGCTCGCAGCTTCTCCACCAGCACCCCGTTGAACGCCTCCATCTTCTGCGGGTTGAAGGCCATGCTCCAGGCGTACCCCCCCGTCGCAACGGTCGTCCGGTAGAACACCGCCGGCAGGGCCTTCCCCCTCGCCCACAGGCCTCCGAGGACCTCCTCCCAGAAGGCGGCGGCGTACTCGGCTCCTTCCGCGAAGGCCCGGATGCTCCGCCAGTAGACCCCGTCGTGTAGGCCGGAGTTGAGCACGACGGCGTCGGGGGCACCGCCGTCCTCCTCGAAGTAGCTCCTGACCAGCGCTCTGAAGCCGTCATCGCGCAGGGAGTGGAGGCCCTGGTAGTTCTGGGTCTCGTTCCAGTGCCCGTTGAAGACGCTGGTTATCCGGACCCACTGGCGGGAGTTGCTCGGGTTGGTGAAGCGGCCATCGAACCGCCGCGGCACCGACTGGACCTCCGGCAGGCCGAGGACGAAGTTGAGCATGTTGCGGACGGTGTCGACGTGGTTGGAGTCCCCCCAGAAGAAGAGCCACCGCCCCCGCAGGCACCGCCAGGCGATCTCCTGCGTGAACACCCGGAAGGAGCAGTGCGCCGAGTAGACCCAGCCGTTGCTCTCCAACGCCCCCAGCGGGCCGCGGCACCACGGCGACGCGCAGGGGTGACCCGGATCGAGGCAACGGTAGCGGCCGTCGCGCGCGACGGCACACGAGTCGTTGCCGGCGTGGCGCGTCCACCGCCCCGACCACGCCCCCCGCGACCGGAAGTCCGCCGCCCGGCAGGGCCGCAGCTCCTCCGGCGAGGAGCCCGCCGCCGCCTGCGGCCTGCGGAAGCGGATGGGGATCCTGCGCAGCTCCCGGCGGAAGGCGAATCGTTCGGTGGAGAACCTGAGCCCCTCGAAGCTGCGGAAGAGGAGGACCACGGTGAGGTTGTACTCGCCGGCGAAGTCCGGGTGCACCTGCAGCCGTATCGCGTAGGAGCCGTCACCGTGGTCCTTGACAGGGGGGCGGGCCTTCCACCGAGCGCCGGAGAGGTCCGTCTCGAAGTAGTCTCCGCCCAGGCACCGGCGGCCCCCGCCGTCGTACAGGGAGAAGATGGCGAACTCGTGGACCGGCCCGGCGGATAAGTCGAGGGTCCCACGCCCCCCACTGCCAGCGTCGAGGGCAGGAATGGAGATGTTGGTGGTGCGGGCGTCACGGCAGATCTCCCCTCCGGGGGTCAGCCACCGGAACAGGAGCATCGAGGTCAGGTTGGGCTCCAACTCGACGGATATCCAGCCACCCAGCGGCGGCGGAGCTGCCGCCGGGCTCTGGACGCCGGTGTTGGTGGTGGGATCACTTGCCCGCCCGGCGATCTGCCGGACTGGGCCGGCGGCGGAGCGGGTGCCGGAGGCGGCGATGAAAGCGGTAGGGTAGGGGTGGCTGGAGACGGCGGACTGCCAGGCGTCGCTGCGGATGACGGCCGTGTCGATGGACCACAGGAGAAGCGGCGGCGCCACCACGAGGAGCAGGAGGACGCTAAGGCCGGGAACGCGGCCTCTGTAATGACCGAGAACCCCTGCGTCGCCGGTGGCGGCGGCGGCGTCGTGAGCGGTCGTCTTTCCCCTGCGCTGCCATCTGCGAGAAAAAAAACGGGTGAGAAGTCGGACGGGATGACTGCAGAAGCCCCCCGGGCTCCGACAACTCGAGAAGAGAGGAGAGGGAGGGAGGGAAGCCTCCATGCAGAAACCGCCAACCGGCAATCGCCGCCGAGAGCTCGAGTTTCCCCGGTGGGATCCCCGTCGTCAGTTCGCCGGCTCCGCCGTGGGAATGTAATCCAGATCCTAATCCGACTGGGGGGACTCTTCTGCGCCGTTCACTCCTGCCCCGCCGCAAACGGCCAGACCCCACCGGCAGAGGCCAGCTCCACTGGGACCACATTCTGCTCCACACTCGCCCCTCCTCTCTCTCTCTCTCTCTCTCTCTCTCTGAGGAAGAAAAGGAAGGGCAGAGCTCACCGGCAGGGCAGAGAGTTGGCGTGGAGGATGCTCCGCCATTTCGGAACTCCGCTTCCCCCCAGGCCGGTCGGTTGAAGTTGAAGCAGAAGTTGGCTGGATTCAGCCGACTGAGGAGAGGAAGAAGAAGCCGAGATGTGACGCGCAGTTCCACCAGTCTGATCCCCCTGCCTCCACCTTGTCGCCTCCTCTCCTTCGCCAGCACAACTCTGGGTGGTCACGTTCCCCGGACGGCGCAGGGTTCACGTGATCTCACACGAGAGGAGAGGAAAGGAGACGACCACCTTGGGGAAGAGATCACCCTCTCCCTAGCTCACCTCCCGCTTTCTAGCGGGCCTCCGTCGCCGACGGGGCGCCCTCCCTCTCCTTCCCCTCCCCTGTCACCCCGACCGGCACTAATTCCGAGAGAGAACATCCCCACCCCCAGACCAAGAGTCCGTCCTACTGACAGCTGTCCAATAACAGAAGGAATCACCGGGTCTACCAGAACGCGTGTTCCCACAAGCCGACACCGACGTCAATCGCTCCGGTCGCCGGCCGTCGCCCCGGTGAATCTCCCCGACCTGGTGAGCTCCCTCCCCGGCGATGCGGCCAGATGGAGGGGGTGGTGGAGAACGGGAACCACAAAGGTGAGAGTAACCATTGCGCCCTACTAACGGAAAACACGCGCCTCCTAAACGATTGGCACCCCGCCCCTCCAACGCACGATAATAATTATGTGTAAACTCCGCGGACCAACGTAATAGCATCCCCTCCTACTCGCTTTTCATTTAATGGCACCGCATATTTGGAACTTACCCCCCCTCATGAAAGCAGCGCCATAAGCATTGAAATATTTCCATTAAAAGTGGGACCAAATACCCTAACTTGGCAAAAAAATAAATTACTTTTATGGGTAACTTGACCCCAAAGACGTTCACATATAACTTGACCGGCATTCAAAGAGCTTGGAAGATCACTCTCCCATTTGACTTTCATTCAATCAAGTTTACTTTTTAATACGTGAGAGATTACTTTCACTCTTTTACGTTGACCATCAATTCCCCACATGCTTCTTGGCAGTCTCTCCTTCCCCACATACGTGGAGAGCAACTACGTTTATACGACGATTTATTTCCTCAACTGGAGCCACGAATGAGTACAAGTGCATCCTAACTGCCCACTATAGGCCTAAAGTTAGGGAAAAATTAAGTGGAAGAACCAAATCTTGTGTACTGGTTTAAATTTAAATATTTCAATAAAAGGGTAAAAATTTAAAATACTAAAATTGAATATTCATCGACAGTAAAATAATAATAATAATTAAAAATAACCTTTTAAAAAGGTTTTCCGATTACACACAATTCTTCGGTCAATCTGAGACCCTCCGCCGTGTAATGCAGCCGTGATGGCGCTCTGCTCCTGCCGTTGCTCTCCCAGATTTCCCACTATCTTCCCTCAGCCTTCACCTCAAAGCCGGTGGCCTCCTACAGCTACAGGAGCATCACCGTCGAAGCTGGTACTGGGAGCACCCGTCGCCGCCGCACTTGGTTTGCACCGCCAACCCCTCCCGGCGACGTCCCGTTTCCGCCGCCTCTGCGCTCTCGCCGATTCCTCGCCGAAGGGACAGGCGCCGGGCCTTCCCCCCCGCAATCGTGTCTTCATCAAAGGTAGCGATGTCGTATACACCATGTATCTGTAACCTAGGTGCCGGCAAGCATCCAGATAAGCCCCCGTCCATCGTTCAGTTCCTGATGAATGAATGAAACCGCGGCTGATCCATTAATGATTCAGCAACCACAACTGCTGTTCCATATACATCGTACGTACAATGGGTTGCTTCCCTCGCTGTACCTAACCTATGATTCTCTGTGATTGATCTATCTATAGTTGACTACTTCTGTTGGAGATCTGGTTAGAAATGATGCTCCTCCGGCAGCAACTGCTGTTCCATACTCTCCAATTCGTTCTTCCTTCTGCTGTTCCATACTCTCCAATTCGTTCTTCCTTTTTGTGGCAAACATTGTAATGCTCTGCATTTCTTCCGCTTGTGCATCAATGCCTTGGCTGCCCTAACTGCTTGATGGAAGAGTGACGCTCGACGAATTCATCAATGCCTTGGCTGACCTAACTGCTGTGTCACACATTGACCAATGCACTGGCCCATTCGTATACTGGCCATCGTAATCCTCTACGGTTAATTTTCTTCTGCCAAGACCCTCCTGCTTGAATATATCTCCTTCGGCCTGGGATTTTTTACGTCCGTTCTTCGGACATCTGACATCAGCTTGCTGCAATTTACCTACTTTTTTCTCCCGCTTTCTGATCTCTTTCAACCCTACTATTGGCCTTCAAAGGCGAAGAGCGTCTAGAGATCCTTCTCTGAAGGTTTAGCTGCATAGATCTCGATCTGACGTCAAATAGGGTAACACTTGCTAATCGTTTATCAGCAAGGGGTATTCGCCTCAATCTGGAAGATTCTGATCAGCATCAGTTAAATCGGTAAATTTCTATCTTTCTCTGAAAATTACGTCCTAGATTGGTCAATCGTCTGAACAGGACCAATGCTATAATCGTCTGTACAAGAGTCCCCGCACTGCACGAATTCAAAGGAGATAAAACCTCAAAAGCTCTGTTTTATTCATCTACTTGCTTATTTTTCCTCTTAAATGGGGGATAATATGGTGGCATTCTAATATAACGCAGGTCTTCCCAGCTCAACATCTGAAGGTTCATTGGTCAAAACGTTTTCCCAGTTTGGGGATGTCACAAGAGGTCGGTATGGTCGGACCCAAATTTGGCTTTCCTGGTGTGGAAATATATTCAGCTCTGGTGGTTCATATCGTTCAGCTTAACAATTTATTTGACTGCGATGATAATAGGCATCAGAAAATGTCCCAGAAATCTTTCATCCAAAACCCTTTGCATCTCTCTGTGAAGACCCTTGTAAATGACGTCATGACGAGCCTTAGAGCTTTGTCTGATGTTGTATTTTAAAGGAGTGTTTACGCAGAGAGACCTGGTGTTCTTCCTTCAGCTGATCCCTCTCTCTCTCTCTTTCTCTGTCCTCTGATGTTGCAGTGAAAGTAATAACGAGCAAAGTATCGAAACAGTCACTGGGATTTGCATATGTCTGGTTTGAACTCGAAGAGGATGCCCAAGTTGCGGTCGAGGAGATGAACGGAAAGGTAAGGTACCGGTTTTGATTCTAGCAAGCCAAAGATTCTAGCGTCAGGCGTCCACAGTTCATTCAATCTGTGCATTGTATCCAGTTTTTCGATGGCAGGTACATTCATGTCGCTATCGCCGACTCCGAATCTCCCACGAAGCAAGCCAAAGCCATCCCTTACAGGTTTTGATCATCTGTCTCATCGATCTCTTGGTCTTCCCCATGCGTATGGGCCTTTATCTGGTATGGATTTGTCAATCTTCGCTGTTTATTCTTGGCCCATACTCCGATTATCTTCACCCAATTCCCCTTCAAAAATGGTGATTGCTTCCACAATGTACGGGACCCGCCTAGAGAGAGAGCGAGAGAGGTTCCGCTCGCTCTACGCCGGCGAAGGACGCTGGAGGCGGCGGCGGGGCGATCAAGGCTAACGCGCGGCGGCGAGATACGCCGACCCCTCTGCCTCACGTTGAAGGGATGTTGCGGCGGCGGCCGGGTACGCCCCAACGGGTGCGAAGCTGGTTCTGCTGTTCACCGCAGGCGTTGGTTCCCCGTGGGGTATATATCTTTGTGGGGATTTTATAGATCGTATAATGCGGCAAATAAATTCTCTCTATCATTAGTTACGGAAGCTGAAATATTTCTTGGAAAAAGGTGCAAAGCCACCGTCTGAAGATCATCTCTCTAGACAGTCTTTTTTCCTCTCTCTCTCTCTCGCGTATCTCTAGCCTCTCGCGCTTCTCTCTCTCTCTTTAAAACCTATTATTTGGGCATGCGATATGAAAGTTCAGATGCCAACTGTTGTGCATTAAAACAGGTTACTCCCTCTATGCACATGGTACGAAACGGTCGGGATGCGAGAAGAATACGTAAATCGGTGAGGTTTTAATGCAAGTATGGAATTTTATCGGGGGTGCAATGAAAATAATCATGTTATTTTTATTACTTGAGAAGGTGATTGGTGGGGGGGGCCGGGGTGGGGGGTGCAACAAGGGGAGGTGAGGGAAGAGAAGGGGGGAGAAAGAGCGGGGAAGAAGGGGGGGCAGGGGGAGTACGACGGCGCCTCTAGTCCGGGATGAGACGCCGGCCATGATGATCACGTTTACAGACAGGATTGTACCTCTGGATCTCTAGGGCGACGGCGTTTTCCTCTGTAAAGAAGCGTGAGGTAGAGACTTTAAATCCTGGCAAACGGGGAGGGTCTGAGGGCACGTTGGTCGTGGAGGCAGGACGGCAGAGGTGGGGCGGAGGGAGAGGAGGCGTGCAGTGGGAGGCCCTGGCGGCGGAGGCTGGTGGCGGCGTCCATGGCGGTTTCGTGGGCTTCCGTCATCAGGATCTCGCTCCTGCTACTACTTCTTGCCGCCATTACCACCGCCTGTATAACCCTTCCTGTGGAGAAGGTGCCTAGGTTCTTTTTCAGTCATCGTTGACGCATCTAATTGGCTGTTCTTATGGTCCATTCCCACTATTTATGTCAAAATTCTCGGGTTATCTATTTTACATTCTTGTGAGGACGCTTTTTCGTTGTCTGACTTTAGTTACTTCCTGCGTAATTGGATTTGAATTCATTAGCTGTGGAATGTGCTTGGGGAAAACGTCAACTGAATCATTGTCCCCCTGTATTATTTGTTCTTTATCTTGTCCGCGACGGATGGATCATTTCTGAGCCTCTTTTGGTATGCTATTTTAAATGTGATAGGTGGGGCTTAATTGAGGTGCTATTCATTTCGATGCTCTTTTTCTTCTCTCATGATCTCCGAATGGATTTTAATTCTTTCAACTTGTGTCATCTCTTTGCACATATATATTTCAACTTCTCTTTCACTTTCATTTTTCTTGACTTGGTCAGCTGTTAGAAAACTGCGTGGATAACTCGGTGATATGATCCATAAAAAACTGTAGGAATCTCTAGCTTGATATACTAAAAACAGAGCGACTGGTTTTCTAGAGAAACAATTTAGGTATTATCTGAAATTGTATTAATCGTTGAGGAAATTAGTGTTAAAGATGTATGACTGACATTGTAAATCCAAATGTAGAATCTTCACTTCGAGAAATTTCTGACTTTGGTATCTGAAACGCAATGTATGGTGGAAAATTTGAGCTAGCATGCTAACATTTTTTCATTTAAATGAGAGACAGTCATCTACTGCTTAAGAACTCTGAGACGGTGCCTTATCCATCTCCTTTGCGATGATATTCTTTTCTGATAAGGGGTTCCGAAAGAAATAATGGCCTTCGAGATCAGGTTGTCTTTCGAACCAGGTTTTTGGGGAGTATGCTCGTAGCCTTCCCACTAGAATGATTGTTTTATAGTTTTATGGAAGAAACGTATGTTCATCGCAAGTAAAATGCTCATTTAATGATCTATTGAGATGTTGATTGATCAAGGTTCCTTCTAGCCACCTCATATTATATCAATTATCTTTATTTTCTGAATGTTGAGAATATTTATAGAAGCATACGTGCATTTGAGATATCTTGATTGGTGTTGGGTGATGGATCTATCAGCTGATTGAGGGCAAGGATCTGGGACAATCAAGAAATCAAGCATCAAGATTGCCATTTCATTCATTCATCCATGAAAAGAAAGGGAGGATTGAGCTTTTGAGGAATTGTAGAGATTTATGTTTTTATTAGTTACGTTTTGGTTGCTCTAGTCATTCGTAGACGAGTCAAATAAACATGCATATGCTTCAAAATTTCAGAACCCAAGGTGAGGACGTGTGAGATATATGCCTCAGTTGAAAGCTAATGTGATGAAGGAGGCTGTTTATATTGTATGCCTATTTTTGTGAACTAGCCCTATTCAGGTCATTACTTTTTCTTTTGCTTCTAATCGTGTTAGCGGGTAGCTTATCTTCATCCCTGGTTCATCATAGATACTTTGATATATCTTAAATAATATTAAGTAATTAATTAAGTAATTAATTTATTAAATATCAACGAATGTTAATAGTTTTGCCATATCATAATGGTTTGTCAAATATTTGACCGAAAATTTGTGGCTGGCCTTTATGAAATGGTACCAACTTACAGTTTAAAACAAACTTTGATGGTCTTTCTGCCTAATTTCTGTGATGAGTGTCAGAAAACGCTTGTACACAGATTGTATGGTTTCAGCTCTCTTATGGACAACATTTACATTTGTGGCATTTCACATTGATGACTTGTTGAAAGTCACCGGTAGAGGAAAGTGCCATGTGTTATATACAATAGCCACTTCGTTCTTTCTCTCTCACATTTACAATTTGTTGAGCTTTTGCATCCAAGATTAATTTTCCCTCTTTGAAATGATAAGAACAACTATATTTCTAGAACTTCAAAAATCTCACATTGGTGTGGGCATTGGCAAAAACTTATACCTCTATAGGATGATAACAATCTAACCTGATTTTTTTTCCCACTCAAATGCTCACTCATGTTTGCTACTCCGGTTAATATTTTAAGGTGGCCTGGCCTTGCTCAGACCACTCTGACAGACAAATGTTGCTTTTCGAGCATCGTTATGTTTTTCCTCCCTGATATTCGTAGTTCACAGCAAAGTCCTTGTTACTTATATGATGACTTTTATCGATTTATTCTGCGGTAATGCCATATTTTCTGATTCTCAATTCGTTGAAAATAATCACTGTATGCATGGTAGTTTCAAGTTCCTTGATATAATATGGGTTGGTACCTTTGTTCCAAAAATTACTAATCCCTGGGCACTTGTCGACAGATCTTGAAGGACTTTTTGATTTGGATCAACGAGAACCTTGGGCCATGGGGTCCTCTTGTGTTGTGAGTGATATTTTAATTGTCCCCCATTTTAAATTTAAACTGTTTCCTTGTTTATGTTTTGTTTCTATGTTCCCTGTTGCAGATTTTCTCAGTTCAATCTTTTTCTTTTCCCCGTAGTATTTAGTTTTTTGCCGCTCTGCAAGCTGTTCTACCACTTGGGCAAGCCGCTAGTGTTCTCTTTGTTATTTTTTAGCACTAATGTTGTTGCACTCCATTTGTTCTGTGGTACCACATCATACAGCCTAGCACACCATTATTACTTTCTCCACAAAAGTTATTTTAGCGCTGGAACTTGGGATGCTTTTCTGGGCAGGTAGCTAAAACATCATTTTGGCTAAAGAACATTGTGGAGTGAACTAAATCAACCGAGATTCTATCAATTGATGGAGAATCTGGAAATTTAATTTTTGAGTTACTCACAGATGCGAAGTTTCCCACTGCTTATAGAAGTGGCCAAGGAAAAGTATTTGTCCACTTTCAGGCGAAAAGCATAATGAAGATTGATCCTATACTTGTGGGTAGCACCCAAACTTCAACATCCTTGTAAAACTACTATTTTACAATAGGTGAGTGAATGAAAGAAATTAATTGTCTTCTCTACCCTTGGTCGAATGCAGTTTATTTCTCCATGGATACCCAAGCTTCAATTGTAAATTACAAACCGTGTTATCCCTTGTTTCTACTTGCCACCTAGTTAGACAATCCTTGATTTATTAAATTTTATTGTCTAAGAACTAGCAAAAACTTGTAAGTTTTTATTATTTATTGAAAGTTTTCCTTTTTGCAGCTGTCTGGGTATCTCTCAGTAGTGCCAAGTTTTACCAACTTGTAAGTCCTTTTGTTGAGGAAGGTGGATGGGTTGTTCTGTCATTTGGCTTGGTTTAACCAGTGTGGCCTTTTACACAGTTTAACCAGTTGGACTTTTGTCCGAATACAGAACCGGGAAAAGGAAGACTTTTACACAAGTTTGATTCATTACAATGAAAGGTGGTCAGCTTATAGTTGCATAAAATGAACTAAAAATACAGCTTTAAAAGTTTTTTCTGGTATATGTTAGGAAAAAAAATGATATGCCCTTTTAAGACAGTTTTTGAAGGGGAACATGTTATTTTGTACCTTTTACATTCCTTATTTTCCAGTCCAGCGCATCATTGAGTTTGATTGGCTCCATATCATACCAGAACCTACAAGGTGGAAGGATTTAGTTGTATCATATTAGCTAGATTGAAGCTCGTGCTACCTCAGCTTCCAGTTGTTGGAGCATAAAAACAAATTCTCTTAAATCGAACTGTTCCCTCACAAAAAAATGGACTTTTACTTTGCCTCATTTAATGTGCATTAGGATCGTTATCTAGAAAAGCATATCTAACGAGTACAAATAAGAGCTCTCTTGTCAGTGGCCCAGAGTTTTCGAACCATTCCAATTGCACATATACCGGATCTCTCGCTCCTCCCAGACTGTTCTATACATGAAGAGGGAAAATACTCATCGATAGTTCTATTTTTTAAAGCAGTCAGGTTTCATTGTACTCGCGAAGTAATATATCATACTTGTCAAGGTGCAGATTCTGGTATCCTTGTTTTCTCTAGTCCTTCATAGATAATTTTCCCCCAACGGAGTCTGTGAAGACTTGGAAGAAAATGTAGCTGCCCATGGTTGTTGGAACAATTTGTGTTCAGCAGTATGTGTCGCACCATGCCAAACATCAAAGCCCCTAGGAAATTGCTTGAATGAGTGCACACATCATGAAATATTGGTTGGGAATGCGTGATGATGTCTCCAATCGAATTCAGGTCTTGCATTCCAGACATTCAGCACCAATCGCAAGTGAAAAAAATTGTTTTATAGAAAGTAAAATTTATGGTTGATTTAGTGAGATGACCTCTTTTTAATCAAGTAGCATGCATTTATATGAATCAAGCATCATGCAGCTCAGCTGATAATAATTTTTTCAAATCATGTTGAGTATTTTGAACTTGCTTCAGTGGACTAACTTATCAAAGAGGATATCTTCTCATACAGTGTCCAGAGGGACTCCTGGAGTGTTGCATGTTTGAATAGTTTGTACCCTTTTTGAATAATTTGCATGTCTTCTCATGCATTTCTGCCATGGATTTTGTCTATCACGATGAATACTAGTGGTTTTATGTCTGAGAGTAGCATTGATCCTGGGTAGGTGTAATCTACCATCCTTTGAAGTATATGCTTCATTCCCATGTTACAAATTTTAATTGAATTTCAGGGCTATCGCCTACATCCCCCTGACAATCCTAGCTGTTCCTGCTTCGATTCTCACAGTAAGATTCCTTTTTTCCTTTTATGGGGGAGTTGAGTTACTTTTTCCTGAGCCACAATTCATTTGCAGCTTTCTTTTGATGATGATCTCTCACCCAGGTTATTTATATTTTATACTCATAACTTGTTTTCTCTCTGATGTACCTTTAAAGTGTATTCTGTGTAAAATCAATACTAAGTGTATTCTTCTTTATTCTTTGAATTTTCTATTATATCATTATGCTACCTTTTAGAGCTAAATGCAGCATGTATGAAAGGGTATTGATTCATAATTGGCTTTGATAGTTGTAGATACAAAGTTTTTTTTCTTCTATTTCTTTCCTAACTATGGAATATGAAGATTTACTTGCAGTACTCCCATAAACAGGGGATATCATTCTTTGCATACGGGACATATATATATATACATATATACGTATACATTCAATAATGCCATGTCAACAATTCCTTATGGAAATATCAGTAGGCTATTGCATGGAGCTAGGACCAGTGTTTGACCAGTTAATCTTCAAAAGATATTTTATGGTTTTTGGGTGAAACAAATTATTCATATTAGCGTTTTGTCAATTAAGAGTACCCTGATGCAGATCGAAATCATGATATTTTTGTGATGCTCAAACTGTTTCCATTTCATTTAGTTACACTGTCTATCCATACATTGAGGCATTTCCTTTGCAGATTCATTCTTCCTTTTTTCCCCATTTTCTGTTTGGTATATAGCGGATTATGTGATATCTGGAATTTGACATTTTAGCTTGGAGGTGGCTATCTCTTTGGATTGCCTATGGGTTTTGTTGCTGATTCTCTTGGTGCCACAATTGGAGCAACAGCAGCTTTCATCCTCGGAAGAACAGTAAGTTTTAGATCATCACTTAATCATTGTGTTTCATAGTTTCAGTGAAATGTGGGATTATGTTGCAAAAGATTGAACATGCAGGGAATGTTGTGTGCCAATCTATGAAACAACAGAATGATTCTTTCCTGACTTTCATTACTGTGTGATTTGAGGGCTGTAAGACGTCCTTTGGGATTTACGTCAGATTGTGTCCTATCTATGAATGATAGCACAATGTTCACTACTGCTTTGTTAGAAAAATTCATTAAGCCTAAATAACCTTGAAAAATGTTATTTATGTAATAGACCGGAACCTGCATCATGATTTCTGTCAAATATACTCAGTTTGAGCCTGCCACAATCCAGCTTGTGCAAACTACATGGTATCTGCCTACCATATCAACTGTTTCAATATAGATGTCTCATTTTCAGACCTTAAAACCGATTATACTTTTTCTTTGGCTACTTTTATTTTAAGATCATATCTTCGTCCAAGCATAGTTACTTTGCCTTTTCTGAATGGCCTTTTTAGCTTTTTCCCGGGATATTTATTTTTAAATTTTCTTATTTTATCTCGCATTCTATCCTCTGCCTATGTTAATTGCACAAAAAAATTATTCTGCATATTTTTCTTTTAAAAAATTTAACCTAGAATGAAGACATCTCAGTTATGTGGCATTGTCTCTAACTATGACATATTCATCTGTTATTTTTTATTTAGATTGGGAAGTCGTATGTTCTTTCCAAGCTGAAGGATTATCCAAAGTTCCAGGCAGTTGCTATTGCAATTCAGAGATCTGGTTTCAAGGTTGTATTCCTTATAATCATGCTCTTGGCATTAAGTGATCATTTTCGGTGATATTCTGTACATGTGACAATATTTGCTGTACTCAAGACTCAAAAAGGATAATTTGTAACTTTTCAAACTATACCGATTTAAATTACATTCTGCATTCTTTATTACTCCCAAAGTTTTTTTTTGTTCTGTTATATATGCATTCATTCTTCTACTTAATCTAGTTAAGGTAACACACAATGGTGCTCATATATCAAAAGATCTTTGAAGGTTATGTACATTGACTTATCCTTCATTTAGGCTAGCGAAAATGATATTCAAACCTCAATATTGTGGTGTCAATGGTTTTGGCCGGGTCTGACCAACCTGAGTATGGACCAAGGCTGAAATTCGAAATTTTCTGAAATGTTTACTCGACCAATGGAATCATACAACTAAATAGTTTCTCCGGGAAATCTAAATACTCCTGGGTTTATAGCAAGTGTTATGTAAGTTAGTGACTGCTGAAATCGAACTGGCTAGTCTAGTTTTCAAGTATAGATATGTGTATACCCTTGACATTGTTTTTCTCCGGAATATTTATTGTGCTAAATTGAGTCTGCTTGATCCTAACTGATGCAATGGTTTTGTGAGTTTTCTCACTCTGCAGATAGTTTTGCTTCTTCGTCTTGTTCCACTGCTACCATTCAACATGCTGAATTACCTCCTCTCTGTGACCCCTATTGGGATTGGAGAATACATGATGGCATCTTGGTTGGGAATGATGGTAAGAATTTCGACATATCATGCAATTTTTTGTGTACCTGTCGCTTTCTGCTTTCTCTCAATATTTCTTACTTCAGGAAGTTGACAGGATGCCTCACTTTATGACCTTACTTCCTCTTGGACCAAAATTATTATGAAAAGACTGGCCGACATATTTCATTCAGAAAGTGAGGATAAATGTTTCTGAGAAAGCAGCTGCTGGTGTTTATTCTGCACTCGCTGCTGCAGCTTATTCGAAAGATTGTCATCCTTGGGCGTAATTGAGTACCGATTCATGAAGGCACAGTTTTGTGAAAAAGATAGTTGATTACAGCTTGGAATCTTTTTCACGTTTGTTTTTCGGAATTCTTTTGCACATTGATGGCTCGCTTCGTGTGTAATGTTTATTTTTGCAACTTTTGCCTCCCATTTGTTCATGAGGTTCATTGTTTGGGTAACCAATTTCGTTTGTTACGATAGGTTTTTGCACATTGAAGGCCTTTACGAGTTATGTTTCATCTTAAGTTCCTTTTTCTATTAAAAATGCTGATGTAACTGATTCTCTTCTGTTGCAGCCAATCACACTTGCTTTGGTGTACATTGGAACAACTTTAAAGGATCTTTCTGATGTGACGCATGGATGGAGTGAATTTTCAACCACTCGTTGGGTGATCTCCCTTCGCCAACTCTAGTTAGATGCTGCACTGGATTTTTATCAATCTCGTCTGATTTGCTATGAATAAATTCTCCTTGTATTTCATATCTCTGCTTCAAAATTTTGTGACGTGTTTTTTTGCTGTTTTTGCCTTCCCTGGGGTTAAATGCAGCATGTCTATTGATGCTTTCCCTTTGAGTCAGCATCCCATCTTGGATGCTCAGATCAATCATAGCTTGGGAGCACAACCACATATAGGTTTTCTCATAGTCATTTTCTGGGAGGTTGAGAATCAAGAGAGACGAGAAGTGCATGAATAGATTCATGAGAGTGGCGCTTACAAAATGGAAACTATTAGAAAGAGCACTTGACCCACAAAATTATTGTAAGACTCATCTGAAGAAGAAAGCAAGGAAAATAGTCCGACAACCAATGGTTGGCCAATGCAGTTTGTGAATGCTCGCATACTATATGAATTTGCACATTTAAGAATGAGGTCATGCTTGTTAAGACGACAGTATTTTGTAGAAATCCTCGTTTGTCTGACTATTCTTAAACGATTAAACTAAGACCCAAGCTTTTCTCTGAATTATGACTGTGTGAGAAAGTTATAAAGGTAGTTTAGTGACCATCTATGGATCCTCCTTGGACGGATGCACGAATTATAGAAGTGTAACCAAAGTTTTGGAGATTTTCTTCTGTGGAAAATTTTAGTCGTGATAATTTAAGTTGAAGAGAGAATGATCCTCAGAAGCAATTTTGGTTAATTCCAAGAGGAGAATATGGAAACAGATTCTTCGTTCTATAGGATGACTAGGATAGAGTGCAGTATGAAAGAAAAGTAGTTTGTACATCACTTTAGCCTGTCTCCTTTATATTAGAAATACTCAATATAATTTATTTATACATGTCGGCTGAAATTTCCAGGTAACATTATCTGATGGTTCATCAGTGTTTTGGGTTCTCTATGATTAGGATAGTGTGTTGTGTTGTTGCGAAGCGTTTTTCTCAAGCCCAAGAATGGTCTATTTTCAAATCTCAATGCGGTGGAGAAGCTTTCTTTGTAAAAGTATTGTGCCGTGGCAAATCGATTGCAATTAAGATCATTTATACTCCCATATTTGAAGAACCGGCAAAAGTAAAGTAAGTAAATAAATAAATAATAATGCAGAATTAGTTCTGTGCACTTGTGTATAGTCCCCTTGTGAGAGTTCAGGAGATAATGATCTGGATCATCTGATATATGTCAAGCGTAAGCACGAATGAGAGCTAGTTTTGCCACAATGAGAATCTTAACTCGAACATAACAGCAGATATTGCCAATTTGTCGGGGGTAGTTTCATCATTTCAAATCCAGTTCCACCTTTTTTCCATCAATCAAGTTGAATACTTTATGGTGTGATAATTGTATCTGGTTAGGATAGTCTCGATGATCTTTCCCGAAAAAACATCTCTTCTGTTCTTGCGTTCTAGATTAATGAACGGGCATCATCACAGTGACTGCAGAACATCTCGAGCTGACATTCTGACTTAAAATGCTGATGGAATCCATTTTTCGGTTCAAAACTTCCAGAAGACAGGTTTATTCCTCCGTTGAACTGTGTGAATGCTCTTGCAAGTTTCACATTAATGGCACGCCCATCATCTCCATTAAGAAGCTTATTTCCCCTCATTTTACTGAATGTTTCCCCCTTCTTTATGGGCTTTGCGTTGTAGCTTTTGGGTACTGATGTCATAATACTTTTCAACGAAATAAGGGACCACCATTTTAAAACAACTGCTTGCTTGTTGAGATTTGTTTTAGTGCATTTGCATTGGGATGTCTGCATTATGCTTACATTTCTTCCTTGTGCGTGCAGATAATTATTATAGCTGGACTTGTTGTATCTGGTGAGTAAACCCCCCCCCCGCTCCCCATCCCCCTCCAATATCCATATGATTTCATTGATCCCTCATGTCTTATATCCTCGGGCCGAATGCTCCTAGAACATTTCTTCTCCCCAAAATCACCATTTAGTATCCCAGATTGTGCCAAATATGCGATGGAAATCTGAGTTCGCCATTAATGCCCGCCTGCCCTTCACACTTGCAGCCGTCTTGATGGTCTGCGTGACCAAGGTCGCCAAGGCTGCCCTGGAGAAAGCGCTGGCCGAGAACGGGGCCAACGACGGCCCCCACCTGCCGATCGTCTCCGACACACCCGCCGACCTGGTCCAGCCGCTCGTGATCAAGATCGATCCGTCCGTAGACACCCATGAAAAGTAAAACCTAAGCCTGTAAATTCTACCCAAGTTTCCTGGGGAGCACTCCCTCCCAAATCCCCCACCCCCAACAAGAAAAGAAGTGGCAATGAAATAAACCGTGTCGTGCGCCCCATTGATTCATATTAGACGACTTTGCCCGTTTATTTATCATTGACTTCCCCAGCTTCGGAACAAGCAGAGAGAGAGCGACAGAGAGAGAGACAGAGAGATCAGCAAAAGTTTATGGAAGGTCCCGTGATGTTCTCAGATTCACTCATTAAGCCAGAGATAATCCGATGTCGGTAATTAAAGTATAGATTAAGTATGGAAGCCCCCAACCTCCCCTAGGGAGATCTTCAGCCAAGGCTGTCTACAATGCTGTACCAGCTCGGAGGATTATATCCGCGGAGGAGATGGGGAGCAACTCGAGCCCCTTGCTCTCCAGCAACCGGATCGCTGTGGGCAGGTTGGACTCCATCAGATGGCCCATCACCTCTTCCAGGGGCTCCGTCCGCATCTGCTGGTGGAGGATGTAGTGACCGAAGCCCTGCGGAGGCAGGGCCAACAGGAACGTCTCAAGACTCCTCAACTTAGAGATGGGTTGTCACTGTCAAAGGTTAGGGCAAAGGGGGGGGGGAAGGTCTTTGTGAGAAGGAAGATGTATGGGTACCTCAAGATGAACGAAGGGATGATGGATGGGCTCGCCACCCAGGCGGCTTTGACCCAGAGCCTGCATGATACGTGGTAGAGATGTGAATGCACAAAGTCATACAGAGCCGAGTGCGAGCTGAAATGCCACGTTGGTTTGGTGGATTTAAGGGAAGACACAATTGGAAGCAATCTCGCTCCCTTGTCTGACAACAATACATCCAGAGCTTTCTACTTTTTGCTCATTTCTCGTCAACTCAGAAGGGCGGTTGAAATAGATCAGGTCAAAAGTACTTATCTCGGCTCATGTTCCACGTTCTGTCGAAGTATATATGGAGTGTTGGAACATTAAACTAAGAGCCAGGCATTAAACTGAGTTTCCTGATTTTGACTCATTTCTGGGCGGCAAACAGTACCCCAATTGAAAAGGATGCTTGAAAGAGACTATGTATTTTGTTGGCTCACGTTTCACTAAAAACACTAATCCAAATAGATCAATCGCAATATCCTGGGCCGGATACTATTTGATCGAACTAGCAGAAGCTAGTTGAAACAATCGATGAGCCACTGAATCATGTGATACGAATTTCCATTGCTCTAAAGAATATGAAAAGAAATCGCTTAAGTAGGACGTGACTTGCCAGGAGTTGCAATTTCAGGTATTTGATGTAGTCGATCGCATCATCAAGCACCGATTCTCTCGTGCCCTGTGTACCAAGCTCAGATATGAACGTGAGGAAACAAAAGCAAGAGCCAATAGATCCTCTATTTGATGATGAGGAATTGAGCCAAGAAAATCTTAAAATAATTAAAAAAACGGAAAAACAGGTGGCCAAATCCGGTCTAAATATTGAAAGATGGAAGATAATTTCAGTCAGACAGAGGGTATCCATGTTCTTCTTTGCTATAAGAGAAGGGGGTAAAGGCATCTGCCCACGTGTCATGGAGTGAGCCTCATTCGTCGCTCTCGATAAACAGAGATTCAGGCCATTAGAGAAAAATCGATCAGATTCAGTAACCATATAAAATATTAAGAGTTTTGCAGAAAGATCAAGTAAAAAGTACCATGCTTCGTTTAGTGAGTATTTATTCTCTTCCGCAGTCCTGGGCTGGGTGGAGGGGGTAGAAACATTTGGCCTGGGTCCCACTTTTTCGCGGTTTTGCGACCGAGGGGCCAACCGGCTAAGACAATTTAGGTAAGATAAGGACTTACTGACGCGATTTAGTGTGATGCTGGGGTACCCATTCTACCATGTTAGGGTTTTCGTGAATGTGGAGGGTGAGGTCCCATTTCTAATGTAAAGGAGCTGTAAGACCTCCAGAAAACATCTTGGCCCATCACCAAGCGCAGTGTCCGGGACGTGTGGGTCGATCCCACCATTCCGGTTTATGATTCTGCAAGATCTTCTGTTGATATTTAACATAGAAACAGCAAGGCAGGATGATTCCTTGTAGTCGAAAGCTACAATGGCGGAAAACAGAACGCGGTTCAAGGTGAACCTTTCCAGATTGCGGGGTGCTCTCTTCTAACGCTTTAATTCCTTCTGCAATCTTGGCCCTTCGCCGCTGATGGAAGAAAACCCATCATCAGACAAGGAAAACAGAGGGAACATTCGCAAATCCAGTCGAATCGATCATTAAAATTCACAAAATTTTCGAAACCCTTCAGAATTCCATCAAAGAGAACATCTGGAAGGTTCATCAATTAGGCGGCAACTCTAATGGCAGCAAGGCTACTGCTTCAGGGCCCCAGTTTTTCCAGGGTATTAAGTCTTACCCGGCTGTCAATAGCATTTGAACTGGTGGATTCTTTGGAGCAAAGACCTTGTGCGGCGACAGTTACTGCTGCTGTTTCAGACTGTACGGCGGCGTTATAACTTTCCTCATATAGCTGTTCCTCCACCGGACATGGACACTGTTAGATATTAATTGATGCAGACATGATTCAAAAAGGTGAACGCCATTGTGAAAATATCATCCACAAGGAAAAAATTACGCACGTGCTAATTCTTCTTATGAAATGAAAATATTCACACATCCACTGTATTCTGTTGCTTTAAAAATTCACATAAGATTTTTTAAGAAAAAAATTCATTCGCTCCAAATTAATCAGTGGAATCTATCCTATTTATGGATAATACGTTAAATATAACGACGAATCACAATCAGATCAAAACAACAAAATCAGCAGAAACGATTCTAAGAGATGAGAAACGTTACCAGTGAAACTAAATAATCCTCCAAGCTCAACATGTCTCTTTGATCATGGCAGTGAAACTCTGGAAAACAAATTCAACTAGCACTCAACTGAAGATGCCGATACTGCACGAAAAATCGAATTCATTAGAGTATATTATTACCCGAGAAAACCGGGGGCCTTTTCAGCCTTTTGCTCGGAGGATGCCCTGGTCCCTCGGGATCATCGTCCGCCTTCCAACAACCATATTTTGCGATGAACTCCTGCGGGATACCATCTGGTGGTAGAGGGATGGCAGAAAGCAGATCAACGTCATCACAGGAAGGTTGATCATAAAGTGGAGAAGGCAGAAGAGATTCTGCAACAAAGCTGTTCTTCTGCGCTTCGAATTCGTCCACAGCAGCATCAAGGGCGTGCTCGCACACGCATTCAGTGTCCACTGCTACAGAAGAACTGACTGGTTCTGAGTGGTTAAACGTTCCTTGGCTGTTTCCTTCCATAATGTCTGAATAGAGTGAAACATTTTGAAGGATTTTACCACGGATCCTTCCAAGTTGCGGGAATTATAAACAAAGTTCTCGGAAAGTGAGAATACACCCATGAATAATTTACGCGAGGAAAGATAACAAAACTAGAGAAGTATTCGAAATCATTCACAATATGAGAACCCATGAATTAAAAAATAGAATAAAATGATGGACGTCAATATCGTGGAGTAACATTTGAGCAAAAATAAAGGACACTTGGGGCCAATCCTGGACGAAGTTGCTTAGGCGGTGCTGATTATTGGACGACCCAAAATCCAGATTCACGTTATCTTATGCCCTGAGGTTGTGATCTTCAGGGCTCTTCCGTTTTTGGATCTGCTCATCGACACTCTCGAAGAGGACTCAATTTCTTTTGGAAAAAAAAAGGGTGAATTACATGCAATGAGAAAATGATCCCGTAAAATCGGTTACTGGATGTTTCCCCCTCTTATTTCTCCTTCTTCTACCCTCCGTTCGTCCGTCTGAAACAATACCTAATGGGAATCAGCTTCCGTAGCCTTTCTTCAAGGAATACCAGATGATAGAGATGCACAGGAAAGTGATACAGGAACCGACCTACGGGCTTCTTAACAGCAATGAAGGAACCGGACGTCACTAAAATGTCCCTCGATCCGATCCTAAACGTTGGAAAACAAAATATCCAGAAACTGTTACGAGGAAAAAAGGGGTGAAGGTTCCCGAAGCCAGCCATTGCTTTGGTTTCAGCGACTCCAGGGCTGGCGCATCCATTAACAGCGTAGATAGATCACATGTCGCACAGAGACTTTCTCGCATGCAAAAAGTCCATCTCTACGTCCTCTAGTGTCTGTGCTCGAAAACTGTTCTAGCTGGTACAATTTAGAAAGACGGAGAACCCATGTAGAGAGACAGTTGAGGAGGAAACCCAAGACCACTGGTTATTTATTCTTACGCCCACAGATAGCCGGAGCTCTCCACCGTACGTGAAAAAGGGAAAATCGCACATAGGGGTCGTGAAGAACAGTGAACAGAAGCAGAGGGAAGATGACAAGCTTCTAGTGTTTCTTACACGAAGGAGGGAAGGAGAGAACAACCCAGCACCGCCTCTTCCTTCGACGCTTGATGTGTGTGTGTGTGTAAGAGAGAGAGAGAGAGAGAGAGAGAAGGAGAGATGGGTTAGAAAAAGCCCCCGTCAGCCCCTTCCACCAACCCCCTGGGCTTTCCGGTGAGCGGAGTCTGCAGTAGGCGCCACTTCGTACGTACGTACGTACGCCCACTGCCATGCGAGGCGACGAGGACGTGAAGAAGCTGTGATAAATGCCCAAAATACCCCCACCCTTCGGACCGTTAAAGCGACTTCCGACCGTGCCTCTACCCCCGAAAAAGCAGAATCCACCCAGTCAATCTGGATCTAACGGTCTACATTCCCTGATCAGCAGCCTCTTCAGCTGGCCTCATCCCTTTAAAAATGGACATATGGGCCGAATATTCCGCTATGGCTAATCACTTGGGCCGAATCACACACGAGGCCCATATTCAGCATCCCTCACAGCGGTACCCAGCGTTGGGCCCAACCTGCTAAAAACGTGGGCTGAGCCGGTCTAGAAACCAGAAAAACAGCTATTCAATTTAGTGGGACCCAAATACGTTGTTGACTTTGGACCATTCTCTCCAGAGCCCAATCTGGCGCCGCCACTCCGACCTAATCAGCCCCGGTCAACGTTGATGACTCCATTTATCACGGTTATCGACGTGCATTTGTTTTATGAAATAAAAAACAAGCATTTTTTGTTGTTTCCGGTTTCTAAAATTGGTAAAGAGAAAACAGACTTTTTCTCCGACTAAAAGTCTGCCAATTTCAGAACCGCCCGTCTTGTCCGAAGGACGGGATATCCTCCGCGCCGGGAGGGAGGGGAAGGGGAAGGGAGGAGAGGGGCAGAGTAGACGAGACAACACGAGACGTGACTCTCATCCCTTTCTTTCTTCCTGCCTTCGCCGCTGTCCGCATTTAAGCTGCTCGCCGGCGCCGGCGGCAGTATCCGGCGCCGGACGGTCTCCGCAACCCACACGATATACCCTAGAGATAGAGAGAGAATGGGAAGAGGACAGATATTGCTGTTTTCGTTGTAAACATATGGGAGGAGTGTCAGAGATTCCCCTTCGTCCATAAGGGGGGCGGCCGCGAGGTGGGGGAGACGCGCTGCACGTACCAAGAAGCAGAACGTCCTCCTCCCGTCCCTCTGCAGCTGCTGCCGCTTGTGCCGTGTCTTCTTCCTCCGCCGCCGTCGCCGGCGGGTACAGGAGGGGCTCCGCCGGCGCACATTCTTTCTTTCTTCTTCCTCGCTGGCTAGAGAGGCGATTCTGTCATCGGGTTGCATTCCTCCGGCGGCTGCATTCCGCCACCGCCATAAAGTCCGCCGCAATGGCTGCATCCCGGAGGTCGGTCGGTTTTCTTGATCACGGCGATCATGGCGGGCAGGAGCTGCTTTCCTCGCGGAGAATGCGGTCCCGCCAGGAGGGGTGGGGGGGGGGGGGTGTTCAATTAACTGGGCATGTGGGGGGAGGGGACGGGACAGCGGCCGGCGTGGGGTCAACGACCGCCGCGGTGGCGGTGGGGGCTTCTGTTGATCACTGGGGGTGTCCCCTGTTGGCGGGGGAAGGAAGGTGGCTGTGCGCGTCAGAGGCTTTTCAGAACGGGAGGGAAGGGCAGGAGGGGGAGACCCTACCAGGCGCTATCTAGATGGTTTGACCAAGAAGAACTAGGAGAGAGAGAGAGAGGGTGGGCACTTGTTGACATCCTTGCCACTGGCAACCTTGCAGCTGAGGCGCTCTCTCTCTCTCTCTCTTCTCTCTCGCCGATGAACCCTCGGGGGCGTAGTATATTCGAAACGCCTCGGCGAACGGGAATGATCTCCGATCTCTCTCTAAATATACTCCGCGGGTGTGACGAACAAATAATGAATCACTGCTCTCTCGGAGAGGGGAGAGACAGAGAGAGACAGAGAGAGGCAGAGAGAGGCAGAGTCTGCATGGGATAGAGAGAGAGAGAGAGAGAGAGAGAGAGCGTCAACAGGGCCTCGGTAGAACCGAGGGCGTTGCATTCACTGAACCCCAAGAGAGAGAAGACGGCCCCTCTTGCTTCACGTGCCCGTCAGTGCAGTTCTTTGCGAAGACGGTGGAGGGAGAGAGAGAGAGGGGTAGAGGGTAGAGAGAGGTCGGGTAACCGTTAACATCAAGCGGAGGGACGCGGCCGATTTGATTGCCGATATGGCCTACAAATGGTAGCGGAAAGCTGAGAGGAGGCGGTGGTCGGCGAGAAGAATTAAAAACAGAACTGACATCAGTCAAAGGGCAGAGCGGTTCAAAGGGGGGGTTCCCCCTTCCGGCGTTCCGGCCTGCAGATAAAGTTAGTGATTAAATGTCCCAATGACGAAACCAAGACCTCCCCCACGTCATCCCTCTCTCTACCCCTCCATCTGTCCGTCTACGGCTTCGCGAGGAAGCCGCCGCCGCCGCCGCTCGGCATGGTTAGCACTTTCATGGCGCCAACGGGAAACATGCACCGCGCCAAACCGCACACCCCGCCCGCCGCCGCCCCACGCCGGGCTCGTGAGCCCGCTCGTGGGCGTGGTGCCGAGTTCGCTCGCTCCGCCACGCCTTCCTTGCCCGCCGCCGCCTCCAAACGTGAGGGGAAGGCTGGGGCCACGTGTACGGTAAGATCTGCGTGACGGGCTCCTCGTTCCGTTCGGCTGGGTCACCCGCGGGTGTTGTAACTTCGTTGTGGCTGCCCGGTAAATATGCGGCGCCGACCGGAACGAGGGCGGGGGAGGCCGCGAGCTGCGTAAAAGACGGGATTTTTATTACCGCAATGCGACACGTCTCCGTCTCCCCCTCTTTTTTCAGTGAACTGTTCAGGCTAGAGGGAGACAGACACAGGAAGAGGGAGAGAGTGGGCCCCCGGTTGCAGAGCCCAACGAGGGCAATGTCTAGAGAGAGAGGGGGGAACTGTTGCAGCGAGTTACAGAGGTTGAGACGGCAAGTTGTGAGAGAGAGAGAGAGAGGTGAGGTACTGGAGAGAGAACGAGAGAGGGATGCGGTGTGTTGCAGAGCTTAACAAGCGTACAACTCTAAAGAGAGAGAGCTAAAGAAGTCTGCGGTGAATTAATATACGCCGCCAGCTCGATGGGAGAAAAACACAGGCCGAGGAGGAGGGGAGGAAGAGGGGAGAGAGAGAGAGAGAGAGGAAAGAATAAGAACGGAAAGTAAATGAATAAAGGGCAAAAGGTTGCGAGGGCCAGTGCCGGGCCAGACTCTGTATTAAGGAAAAGCCACCTCCCCGCCCCTCCCTCCCCTCCCCCTTCTTCCGCCATCGGCAGTTCCCACTCGGCTTCCCCTCCCAAGGACGAGGACCACCGGCTCAGCGTCTGGTAAGAGAAGGCTCTCCGTAGCAGCCCCCCTTCCCCCCTCTCCTCTGTCTCACCGTCCCCATCAAGGATCGCTCTTCCTCTCTCCTCGTTCTGCTCACGCACCGCGGGAGGGATGAGTAAGGAGGAGGATATCAAGGTTCTGAAGATACAGGTGCTTCTTCTTTACTCGGACTGCTGAATTTCCTCGATGCCCGGCGGCCATGGAAGCCGCCCACATCCTGCGAACCTCAGCATCTTTACTATCTTCCTATTCCCGTTTTCTGTTCTGATTTTCCGTGGTCTCCTCCCCGCAGACCTGTATCCTGAAGGTGAACATACACTGCGACGGCTGCAGGCAGAAGGTGAAGAAGCTGCTCCAGAAGATCGACGGTACATCTCCGCTAAATCTTCCGGCGTTGTGCAGATTTGTTTTACGTCTCCCTCCTCCTCAATCGGTTGTATTTGCAGGCGTCTACACCACCGTCATTGATGCGGAAAAGGGGACGGTGACGGTCTCCGGCGATGTCGACGCGGCGACCCTCATCAAGAAGCTCAGCAAGGCCGGGAAGCCAGCGGAGCTCATCGCTCCGAAGGTTCCCAGCAGCAACATCAATCAGCTCAATAACCAGTTCCATAAGATGCAGCTGGGCAATGGGAAAGGAGGGCAGAAGGACAACGGCAAGCCCGCTAATGGCGGGGGAGGTGGAGGGAATAATCAGAAGGGCCAGCCACCGCCGCAACAGCAGCTGCAGCCGCCGCCTCAGCAGCACCACCACAACATCATGAAGGGGTTCAAGGATCTGAACTTCCCCCAGCTCAAGGACCTCAAGATGCCGTTTGGCAAGAACCAGAAGACGGTGAAGTTCAGCGAGCCGGTGGAGGAGGGCAGCGACTACGACGACGAGTTTGACGATGACGACTACGACGACGACTTCGACGACTTGGACTGCTTCGAAGATGATTTCGAGGATGACATTAAGAACGTCAAGATGAAGGCCATGAACGGCGGCCCTCCTTTCATGGGGGCCGAGAAGAAATGCGGCGGCGGGAACATCCAGAACCACCTCCACAACGGTAAGAAAGGTGGCGGGGACGGGAATCCGCAGCCCAAGGCGGCCGCGCCGACGGGTGGTCAGGAGACGAAAAATGGGGGTGCTGGAAAGAAAGGTGGCTGCGACGGGGGCGGCGGAAACCATAACCATGGAAGAGGTGGCGCTGGTGGCGCTAGTGGTAAACACGGTCGCGGTGGGCCCCAGGATTGTAAGAATGGTGGCGGCAACAATAAGGATGGTCTGAATCTCGCCGGCGGTGCCGGTGGCGGGGGGAATGGAAACAAGAATAATGGGACCAGCCAGGGGAATGCCGCCGCCGTAGGCAAGCAGGGCGGCGGCGGCGGGCAGAAGAATGGGCAGATGGCTGGGGGCCAGCCGATGAGCCACGCCGCCATGATGGCCCAGATGGGGGCTATGAACATGCCCAGAGGCAGCCAGATGGGAAATATGAATATGCCGGCTCCTCCGGCGGCGGTCCAGGGCCTCCCCGCCGGCGGCCCTCAGCCGGGGTTCTTCCCGGGTGGCGGGGCCATCACGCCGGAGATGTTCGCCGCCGCTAACCCCTACCAGCAGCAGTACCTCGCCGCCATGATGCAGCAACAGAGGATGATGATGAACGGCCAGGACCGCTCATTCCAGCCAATGCCCTACGCGCCACGGCCGCCGCCGCCGGTCTCCTACATGCCTCCGCCGCCGCCGGAATACACCCACTTCTTCAGCGACGAGAACACCAACAGCTGCTCCGTCATGTGAAAAGTGGCGGCGGCGGCGGCGGACCAGAAGACCCTCCGCTTCCCCGGCGACGGCGTCCTGCTTTTCCTTGTACCTTTCTTCCCCCTGCCCCTCTCCTGGTTCGTCCGTTCTCTGAGTGAAGCAGAGTGTGATTCAAGCAAAGAGGAAGAAGGAGATCGCAGAGGGGTCTGGTCCGGTCTGCATGCATCACCACACATAAAGCCCTGGTTGCTTTTACTTTCTGCCCCCGCCATTTTTCTCCTCTTTTTATAATTCTTGTGCTTTGACAACGAAGTCCCGTACAGACAGTATTGAGACATCGATAGATAAATAGATTGATGGAGATGGTGTGGCGGGATTTCCTGGGGATCTATCTCCGTCGGGGATGAACGAAGCCGACGACGGTTGTAAACCAGAGCCTGCGAGGTTCTCGACGAAATGTCTCTTTGAATCTGTGTATAACCTGCCCAAGGTAAGAATAACCAACCCTTGTGTAACGCTCCTGGTTCTTTCGTCTTCCCCCCGGCGGCGCTGCCGCCTCCCCGCCGTCGTGGGTTCCTCTACGATGAGGCTCCGACTGGACCACAGGCGGCGGGCTCCTTTTCCTTTTGATCTTGACTGGCTAGTACGCGTATTTGCACAAATGTCCATTTCAGTGTTCAAACTTCGGACAGCGTACGCGGCCCCTCCTGAGAAAGCTCACTGCCGACAGCATCCGCAGAGGAGAGGGAGAGAGAGACAGAGACAGAGAGAGGGCCAACCCGTCGTGTCTTCCCACGAGGAAGGCGCCACCTGTAATCAGTTAGATCTACTGATATCTCTCACCTGCCCCAACGTTTTATTTAATGAGCGTAGATTCCTCTCCTTCTTGTCTTCGTCTCCGAAAGACGGGAGACGAAAAGGACCGGGAAGGAGCCATGGACGGCAACGTGAGACAACAGAGGAGAGAGAGAGAGAGAGAGAGGTATGAATCCTCTCTTTCCGTTTTCCTCTGCAGACAGCGGCAATAGCCATCTCTCTTCTTCTTCTCAGCTTTTCTCCTCCCCTTAACTCCCTTCTCAACGGCGAAGAAAAGCCTCGCCCCCATCTTCCTCTACTGTTATCCTGCAGTATACGGAACAGTGTAGAGTAAGAGAGAGAGAGAGAGAGTTCTTGATCTGCGGTACTACTGCGGCTGCGGATGATCCAAAATAAATCTGGTCGGAGATAAGGCAGGCGGGGGCTCTGCTCAAGGGGGAAGGGGAGGAGCACCATGTGGGTGGGGACGACTTCTTCTCGTATCACGGCATATCGATCAGAAGAGATGGCCGAATAAGGTGCGGGGCCTGCGGGAGGCAGACGGCGCTAACGCACATGCCACCTTCCTCCCCTTTCCCTCTCGTGCCGCTAAATCTAATCTGACCCCTCAGTCGCCGCTGTGAGCGCTCCTTCCCTCTCCCCTCCCTCCGGAAGCTTAATGCCTACACCACCACCTCCACTCTCTCTCTCTCTCTACACTCTCTCTCGCGTCGTCGTCCTTGTCCCCCCTACAACTGGGCACACTGACGGCTACACAGACGCCAAGCCTCCATTATTGCGCGCACCCTCCTGTTACTATCCGGCTGCCACTTCCAACAGCTCTCCCTCTGAAACTTCTGACTCTCTCTCTCTCTCTCTCTCTCTCTCTCTCTCTCTCTATCGGGGGATTGGCAGGGGGATGTGGGTGGGTATAAATGAAGGTATGGAAGGGTCGGAGCGGCCACTAGGTTCATGTTCTCCAGCTGGGTAGGCACATCCAAAGATGCCAGACGTTCATGTTCTCGGCTAGATCTTGTCCTGGGCACCGCTCTAAATGATGCCATCTGCCCTATTACCATCTACCTTCTCTACTCTCTGCATGTCGGCATTCAAAACTACAGCAGAAGTAGAGAGATAGAGAGATGTGTGAGAGCTTCCCGAGTCGCCATGGTGCAACTCGAGCTTTCTAGAACTGTCTTGTTCATATCTACCACCTCCCAACTGTTGCTCGTAGACCCTCCTGCCATCCACCTTCCGTATTGCTTGTTTCTCTCGCCACCAAATCGCCGCCGTGGTACGGCGGCTCAGCCCAGTCCTTTCACTAGATCCGCCCCTTCTCTTCCTTCCTATGCAGTCATATGCCATTCCTTTCCCCTCCCTCCTCCTCAGACCGCCCCCCTCCTCGCACTCACTCTCTCTCTCTCTCTCCGAATATCCAGAGGGCACTGCTTCCAGACGAGCGAGTTAGCCCGAGTCGTGGATCGCCGGCAGCCTATGCATAGCATTTACTAGCTTCACATTTTCTAAGCTCTCGACTCCCCGGGAACCCGCGCACACTCAGCGGGCCCTGCGTTTTAAGACAGACCGGCGTCGGCTACGCTTAAAGTCTAGCCTCCAGGGGGGATCTAACTCTTGGGACAAGGTGGGCCCACATGGCCCACGTGGAATAACTGTGCCTCGATTTCCGATTTTTCCTCTAATAATGTCGCCACGTCTGGCGACGGGCGCCAACCGCTCGATGGAGCTGATCATCAGAGGGCTTGCTCCCACGTGCGGAGTAGCCAAGTCACCGAACATCTTCCAAAGGGGATAAATTAAATTTTCATATCACGTGATTTCCTCGGAACTAGTGTTTGAACGCTCGTGCTAGTATTCTTCGCAGTGCCTTTCTATCACGTTATTACACTCGTATCGGTGTTCAGCTCGCCGGTGAGCGCCGCCGGAGTCCGCCGCCACCCCTGGCCGTGCTCCACCGGCGAACCCATCTTTCTCTGGCTGGAGATCGCCGTCGCTGCAGACTGGTAGATCTGCCTGCTTCTAGCCCGCCTAATGCGGTCGTTTTGACTCGTACGATGACGAAGAAATAGGAGACTGTGAGGGAGAGTCGTCGAATGCTAACGTCGGTGCTCGTTCTTCTTCTCTCAGCTTTTGACCGGAAACATATAGAAAGAGAGAAGAGAGGAGAGAGAAGAGGACTGTGGATGTCGGAAAGTTTGCATGCGATGCGATGGATGCAAGAAGAATCTGCGAGTTGGTCCTCACGGGGGCCTGCGATTAAAGAGGGTTCTGGGGATTTGGGAAGGAGAATCTCCCCGGCAATATCCGAGGAGCTACGGTCAAAAGGAGCACTGGCGAGAGTCTTGAGATCAGCAGTCCCTTGAAGCTACCCGCTCTCCGGCCGCCACCGAGTCCGTCTCCGCCGTCCGATGAGAGGAGTCCTTCCTCCGGTAAAAGAGAGAGAGAAAGAGTAACCGGCGACCGGCGGGACGCACGCGAAATATCGCCGGCCCCAAGACAAGGGAGATCCCAAGACCCACCTCCCGGTAGTGGAAAGCGCCGGCTCCCGCCGATGACGTCTCTGGTTCACAGGTAGTCATCTCTCGATGGATTATTCCGTCGTCCCCACACAGTATTCAGTTGAATTCGAACGAGTTCCTTTGAAAATGGCCCCTTCCAGGGTTGGCGGCGCCGCCGAGGACCGCAGAGGAAGCTCCGCCCTACTTGACAGAGATTTAAGAAAGAGAGAGAGAGAGAGAGAGAGAGAGAGAGAGAGAGAGTTTTAATGCGCAGGTGTAAATAGAAACTCGTTCATGATCTGGAAGTTGGACTTGTCGGGGAGACGGCACACCACCGGCCCATCTCGGGATCCCCAACTTGGCCCAACCACAGGCCCAGTACTATATCTACCACATTGGCTCATAAATGTCTCTCCGTCTCTCTGTCTACAGGTCAACGATAGCTGGAGCTCGTTGAGCGGCATTGAGTCAAATAAGTTCCAACCGTATATCAATTCGTCTGTCACATAGATAATTAGTGAGCTGCATCCATCCGAACTAATTGATCTCGATGGATTATTATCTAACTTTTGAGGGATTTTTCACGGATATATTATTTCACGAAAAAGGTTTTTATGCTCCTGACTTTTGTCTCTCGGTAAAAGCTTCTCCGCTGATTTTTCTGGCCACGTAAGCAAATAAAAAAACTGCAATAAACGAATATTCTAAGCTTAGGGTCGAAAATATTACAATCACGGTGCGTGGAGACGAGTGAAAAAATAACCTAAAGACGAGTGATGCATGTGGGGATCGCTTGGTCGGCGTATCAGCCTGTGAAGAGTATCGGTTGAAATTAGAAAGGAATATTCAATGGCGAGGGCAGACAAAATATTTTCTGCGGAGAGCATGCCATGGTGTAATAATAAATTAAAAAATGTTTATTCTTTTTTAGAAAGTCGATAATTGGTGATGCCGACGGGAACCAACATGGGGTGGATGCGGCAGGGCCCCACATGGGTTATGATGGGTAAGAGCGATGATTCGGCGCGCACGCCGTGTCCAGAGTCGACGGCAAGTCTCCACATCCCTAAGCTCTGTCCGTAGATGGCGAGAGCATGAATTCGACGTGTCAAGATATTATTGATGCGAGATGGCATATCCCGCCGCACGCTATCCCGATACCGCATCCATGTGGGAGGCAACAAGCGCATGAGCGCAGCAGGTTTCAGTTTTCTCCAATTCACAGCTTCACACACCCCTCCCCTCCCCCCCCCGCGCCATGGCTTCCTCCGCCCTGCTACTGCTCCTCTGCGTCTGCTCTCTGCAGCTCTTCCTCGCCTCAGCGCAGAGGCCCAAGGCCCCTCGTCCTCCCTATCGCCAAGGACGCCGCCAGCCTCCAGTACGTCGCCCGCCTGACCCAGCGCACCCCGCTCGTCCCCCTGCAAGCGGTGGTTCACCTCGGCGGTGGCTTCTTCTGGGTCGACTGCGAACGCGGCTACGCCTCCTCCACCTATCGTCCCGTCCGCTGCCGCACCGCCCAGTGCGCCGCCGCCCAAACAAAAAGCTGCAGTAGCTGCAACCTCGCTCCCCGGCCGGGCTGTAACACGAACAGCTGCAGCTTCTTCCCGGGGAACCCCTTCATCCAGACCAGCACCTCCGGGGAACCCGCGGAGGACGTGCTTTCCGTCTCCTCCACCGACGGGTCCAACCCCGGCGCCGCCGCCGCCGTCCCAGATCTCATCTTCGGCTGCGGCCCAAGCTTCCTCCTCGAGGGCCTCGCTCGGGAGGCCACGGGCATCGCCGGGCTCGGGCGGAATCGGGTCAGCCTGCCCTCCCAGCTGGCGAAGGCGTTCAGCTTCCGCCGCCGATTCGCTCTCTGCCTCTCCTCCGCCGTCGGTGTCGCCTTCTTTGGCGGCGGGCCCTACAGGCTCCTTCCCGGCATCGACGTCTCCAAGCCGCTCCTCTACACCCCCCTCTTGGTCAATCCTGTCAGCACGGCCGGAGTTTCCTTTAAGGGGGAGCCCTCCGTGGAGTACTTCATCGGGGTGACCTCCGTGAAGATCAACGGGAAGCCCGTCGCACTCAACAGGACCCTGCTGGCCATCGACAAGAAGACGGGGCTCGGGGGCACCAAGATCAGCACGGTGAATCCCTACACCGTCCTGGAGAGCTCCATCTACCGGGCCGTGGTGGCGGCCTTCGCGAAGGAGAGGACCCTTCAACGGGTGCCACCGGTGAAGCCCTTCGGGTTCTGCTTCAACTCCACCGGAGTCTGGTCCACGCGGGTGGGGCCGGCAGTGCCGCAGATCGACCTGGTGATGCAGAGCGACCTGGTCTTCTGGCGGATCTTCGGGGCCAACTCGATGGTGGTCGTGAACGAGGGCGTCTCCTGTCTCGCCTTCGTCGACGGTGGGACGAACCCGAGGACGTCAATCGTCGTGGGGGGCTACCAGCTGGAGGACAACCTGCTGGAGTTCGACCTGGCGGCGTCACGGCTGGGTTTCAGCTCGTCGCTCCTCTTCCGGCAGACTACCTGCGCCAACTTCAACTTCACCTCGACCCGATAGCCGGCAACGCACGGCCGGCGACGGTCTTCTCCCTCGTCACCGGTGTCGCGCGGGCAAAGTTTTGCAGCGCCTCGCACGGCCGGCTATGTGGCTTCCCTTACCTTTGTCGCGCCACCGTTGGCCTGGTCCTCGTGGTGGTTTACGAGCTCGCGCCTGGTTTTCAGACGGAGCGGCGGGATGTAATCGTTGGTGAGAAAAATAAAGAGGAATCAGTGGAAAGGCGTGCCTCTGCCGGTCCAAGATATCGGAGAAATTCCGGTCAGTCTGGCGCCAGCGTGCAAGCTTTATTCCTCTCTCTCTTTCTCTCCGCCGCGTACAGTAACAACAACATGATGCGGCGCTTGTCGCCATGTGCGGTTGTTGGGACATGGATGGAAGAGAGGGCAGTGGATATATGTATATATATATATATATATCTATACATACATACAAGGCGAGAAAGAGAGAGACCCGCCTTTCTAGGCCTCCATGTCTATTCATGTCTAATCATCTTGAGGCCCGACTAAGTCCCCAATCACACGATCTTGGTCTGGGATCGACCAGAAACCTGATCATGTCTAAAGTCAACCTGGTTTTGGATGTAGCGTGGTTTATGGACGTCCGTATGCGTCATTATGTGGATGTAGATGCTGTTGTAAGTTGGTATTAAAGTGTTGAGGTCTAGAATTAAATGCTACTCATTTTATGATGTTATTTACATCACTTTTTATTATTAAATCAAGAAAATAATTCTTAAAATGTAGGTAATATTCTGTAAACTTCAAGGCTTTATTCCTTTTTTAATATTGGAAAATTAGATATGAGTAAAATAATTACTTTTGAACTTTATGGTGGTGACATCACCTTACTTTAACCTTACACATCTCTTATGAATTTAGATTCATCGGAACTTCTTTGAGTTTTAGAACATAGATATATTTTCAAGTTGACACAAACTTATAACAGTGAAAGGGACATTGCACATTATTTTGATAAATCTATTATTAACACTGAGTAGCTATCAACATGTTAAAAAGGCCCATGTAAAACTTTTAATCAATCTGAAATTATTTTATAAATTATGCACTCTCAAGTAAAAAAACCATATTATGACATACAACTATAAGAAAATAAAAAGAGAAAAAAGAGTGGAATGTGAATAACACAATATAAGAAGTCGCTTATTAATTTCAAAAGTGTTAGATTATGGCATTGGCCCACTATAGAATTAGCTTATTAGGGCCCATTAAGGGTACTATAAACTATTATACTCATCTTTCTCTTTAGATATCTCGATTCTAAGGGTTTATTGGGCTCTTCTCTCCACAAAAAGAATGAGTATTAAAGTATCCCATTTGATTTATTCAATTCTCACATTATTTGTGAGGTATTTCCTTGTAAAAAGACAAGTAAAGTATCCCAAATTATTTAAAATAAAAATAAAGATAACAAAAAAGAGCCTTCCTTTACTTATCAGGTCCTTTTGCTTCTCTATGTCAAGCATTGATAATTGGTGGAGAAGCCAACAAATGGCTACATCTAGCAAGTATTAAGATGGCCACCATTCACTTTGGGTGGTAAGACCTTCTATTAGGAAGGAAGCAACTCATCAAATGAAATAGTAGGAATGAAAGAGGTGGGCAAGCATCATATGTAGTGGTTGGCATGATCCTATGTGCCCTTCATTGACTTGTTTATTTAGTGGACAACTATTGAAGTAAGAAAGAATATGTTTATAGATGGAGCCATTAGAGTGACTAATGGTTTTAATCATATGAATAAAAAAAAAGGTACAAAATTTTAAGTTATCTTTTGAGTTGACACTAGTGAGGATCCATGCAAGTACACAAAGATATAAGAAGTAAGCTTGACAAAGATGGCTAGTATATGAGGTTATGTTACAAACTAGTAGTGTACATCAAAATTGATATTTAGTATACACAAAATTATGCTATGTCATATTGTATTATATGAAGTATAATTTCTTTAGTAGATAAATTACATTGTAGAGAAATTAGATGAGTGAAGCTTCTAAAAAAGTTTGAAGGTTAACTCTTGGTTTGGTAAAATGCTATTATTTGTATTTAGAGTGTGTTTACTTCCAAAGCCATCTAGAGTTTTAATTGAGAACATATTAACTAGTGTTAATAATAGTTGGTCCCCCATAGCTGTAAATCTAGGAGAGGAGAGGTTCTTCTATGCTTGGGCCACTTGTGTTATGAATCTAGAGGAGATGAGTTGGTTTTCTTTTGCTTTGGTCCTTTGTAACAAACAATGTTGTAGATGATTCTCATGTGAGTTGATGAGTTAGTTAAAACTATTCTATCTAGGGAAAGTGGTTGAATGTTCTTTATTATGGATTTAGTAAAACCCAATGAAGTGAGAACATATGTAGTAGTTTGAGAGTATAGTAAGTCAAGTTACCAGCCTACTATTAAAATAGAGTGTGAAATACTTATTGTTTGGATCCTAATTGAAAAGGGGAAAAAGAGAATAGATCATTACAGTTGAACCACTTTTTGGTGACATGCCAACATATTATAAAATAGTAAAATATAGTAAATTCAATAGATATTTTGGTATATTAATTTGTCAATATATGTAACATTACATTGAAAAATAGATTAATGCATCGATAGTAACATATCAACATATGAGATGTTCCTTAAAAATAGTTGTGTAATATTAATGCACAATTATATAAAACTAAAAAATAAAAAAAAAATTATTATTTCAATTTTTTATGTTGGTTTGGAAATAGGCTAGGTATGATATCAAGTGAGTGGGCATGAATTGGTTCTTTAAGCCTTTTCATGTTTCTAGTTTTTTTTTCAAAGTGATGTAGTAAGTGGGTATTATAATTTGGGTTGGACTAAGATATTATGATTTTGATTCCTGGGAAACTATTCTTATTTTTTTAATCTTCTCTTATGATAATAAAATATCTAATATTTATTAAATTTATATATTTTGAGAACATTAATAATTTTATAGGGGTTCAGCCCCTTTGCTTACATCCACTCTCTAAGAACATCTCATTCTCGGGTTCTCTACTAAAACTCTACTAGTGATTATTGAGTTCACCTCTCTTCTAATTTTCAACTATTTTTTTTTAGATTCAAAGTTCTATGTGAACCAAACTTGATTACAATACTTAGGTACCCAAGATGATGAGCTGAAAATATTAAGTTTTGGGTCAAATTTAGATCAAGAAAGGGGGTTGAATTGATTGAATCTAATAGTTGACTTAGATAAACTTATTATTAATGTTCTTAACTTTTTCTTCAGATCCTAATATCCTGATTTTATGTGATGTAAAACTAAAATATTTTAGGATTTATGTAGTGGTTCTACCTCTTGTGGATACACTCTCAATCAATATCATCTTGTGGAAAACTCTCATGTCTTTATCCCCAAACTTGTCATTTAGGAGGCTAAGAATGTGAATAAATTTTCTTTAGGTAACTTGTTATAATCCTTATTAACATATGAAATGGGTTGAAGAAAAGATGAAGTCTGAATAGAAAAACCAAATAAAAAGACTCACATTGAAGTCACCTGAATTCGTAGATGACTCTAAATATTTAGGAGAAGAGGAAAATAAGAAGAACTAATTATGTTAACCAGAAAATTAATGAGATTTTTTTGTTAAGTTGGAGGGGAATAAAAAAATTATGAGAGAAGTTTTAAAATTTCCTAATGTTGTGATTGATAAATGTAAAAGCAAAATGATGAGTTTTTAGTACAAAAAGTCATGATATCTCATGGTTAATTGTCTTAAGACTAAACTTAGTGAAAAAGAAGAAAATAAGGATACAACATGGGGTGATGAAGATAACTCTTCATCATAATCAGAAGAAGGAAAACATATACTTTGCTACTCACGACCTAGATGTGAATGATTTGCCAAGTAATTAAATATTTAAATAAGAATTATTACAATTACTTGTTAAATTGTATAATACCTTCACAAAAGAAACAAGATATGAAAAATATAGAAAAGAAAATAAAGAGTTGAAAGAACAAATAAAAACCATGTCTGGATAATTAAGCACAAATCAAAAGCACATGAAAATTTAGAATAATGAGATAAATGAACATCTAATGAAAACATGTTGTTGAAATCACAATTAGTTTTAAGATAAATTATGTGAAAAATCTAACAATAGAAAGAGGATAGTAGAGAAAGGCAAATAAAAATTGGGAAACTATTTTATTAAATGTAAGGATAGTTAACAAAATTTATATGATTCAATAAAAACCCAACATAGATATAGGAGCAAAAAGGAATATGATATATTGAATGACCAGGAGACACTAAGGTTAAAAAATAGATCAGATTTACTCATCATATGTTACCATGAAAAAATAAAGAAATGAATAAAAATACTTTTAGTTCAACATGTCTATTAAAAACTTGTGACTATCCTAGAAAATCAATATTAGGCACTCTAGAATTTTGTTACATGAAAACAAATGACAATTAGCCAAACCTTTAGGAACATAGAACTTTAGAGAAAATAGTAGGGCACTAATGAAAGAAAAAATTAAATAAATCTGGGTTCTTAAAAAGTTAATAGAATTGGTTGAAAACATAAACTCAGATTATATCTATATCTTTATCTAAATTATTCATTTCATAGGTCTATATGGCTACATTAACTAAATTACTAATTGGATTAAATATTGAGAGATGTTAAGAAATGAATGATAACAATATCCAAGTTGAAAAATACACTAATTTAGGAATGCACTCATTTCTATACTTTAATTGAAAAATCTAGATAAAATATTGAAGATGAAAATTAGACTGTTGCTATATTGATGAATTAAAACAATTTAGGAAAATTACAACTTGTACTCTAGCACTAAGAAAAAATGAAATGTTTGTAATTAGAACTAAATGGATACTCAACAATAAATTAAATGGAGAAAAAGTAGATAGAAAAAAAGTCTAAACTGATTACATAAAGGTACATGCATATAAAATGAGTAACCTATGATGATACCTATGCACTAGT